TTTTCTTCTTTTTTACGAAGTAAAAAATATTGACATGAATAAAAAATCCTCAAAGGAAAGAAAACACACTGAAAGCATAAAGCAGGACAAATAAGCCTCGATTTTATGTCATGAAAGACAGATAACATCATATCACCACGGACGGTACGTAATGACAGTTGAATTTGACAAATTAGCACGATTTTGGACGTTCCCTCCGATTTGGCAAAGGTCTATAAACGAATTCTGAAATTTTCCTCTGAATCTGGACCCTTCTGCCCAATTTTGGACGCCGCCGTCCTGTTTCGAACACTTTCGTCCGATTTCGGAAGCCCCGATCTGATTTCGGGTACTTCCGATCCGAATTTGAACACTTCTGATTTCGAATCCTTCTGTATCTCTTTAATACTGAATGGCTTACTTTCACCGTATTTTGATTGTAACTAGCCATAAACCAATGATAAGAATTGATTTGGCTTTCCTCGCGAAACGTTCCTAGTCCGCCGTAAATCTGACATTATTTTACAGTCAACAGCGCTCTCTCTCTTCCCGATTAAAGGGCACCTCGATTAAGCGCCCGGGATATACACTATGCACACCAATAGCTTTGTTGACATCACCGACGTTACGATCTTTAAGTCTAACAGTACATGTCGTTACATTTCATAAAACGAAGAAAAAAGGGACATAGGGGAACTTTTGATAAACATAAAACGTGTGATTAGCTAGGAATTGTTCTCTGTCGTATGGAAATTGGAACCGACCCACTTGTAAAATATTAAACATCTTGATCCTTCTTGTGTCTTAGTGTTGCTCATTAGCCTCTTAGAAGCGTGGAGTTTGTGTGGACTTAAGCCCGTGTCCGCGCGCGACGCGTGACTCTCGCGATCGTCAAGTTCTCTAAGTATGTGCTGTTCACGTACTACGTTTGTTCCCGACTCTCCTTCGCGTCACAACTAAAATCATAAAATCAGAGCCACATCCGCCTGTTATCTCTATTGTTGATGGTTAGGTTCATTTTAACGTAGCATTTTAAAGAATAGAGGGGCTGAACTAACAAATTTCACCAACCTTAAACCTCGTTTGTTTCGTGTCACCAGAGTATGATGGTTTCTCCTTGTGTAAACTCCGTGTTCATTGTGAAACAGAACTGAGTTGCCGCTGCGACCATCAGATCCAACCAAAATAGTCTTTCTTCACCGACCATATCCACCGCTCCTTTTGACATATCGAAATATCAATTGCTTCCGTGCCACATCAACAAACAGTGCCAACAAAGAACTATCACCGGACAGTTCCAAAGGCCATTTTACGTATGATGTGTCTCTCAGCGGATATCAGCTTTATTTTGATTGCGCTCCCATGAAATGCCAAACAAATCGCACACATGCTTTCCTGTGTTGTGTCTTCAGATGAACCAGACAAGGTTTTAATGCATTTTTTTGTCCAATCCCTTAATCCTGGAGTTCTGTTTCATGAATTTTTATTACCACACGCACATGTGTTGGGTAAAGTCGGCATAACACTTTTAATCATGAGTTTCCATCTTAATTCACCGGATTACTTGGCGTATATGGAGACACAATTTACAATTCAGATCATTTTCAGTAAAGAGCGATCCCTTTAAAATTTCATTTGATCTTAGAGCCACAGCAGACATGAACTAATTTGCCGGAAACTTTCTAAATGCTAATCTTCATTTCCTTTTAAAAGAAGACCCCTGCCTGTAAATTTTACTGATAAAAAAAATTAATTCATGTCTTTCGAAGTTCAGATCACATCATGTTTTGCGTTTAGTTTAACCCGAGCAATCAAATTTCATGTTTATCACAAATAAGAGAGTTTTGCCTTGCTACAAGAAGGTTACCATATTTAAAGTGATGTTTTTTGAGTCTAGTAAAGCTTTCAATGGGGAACTTTTAAAGAAAGTATACCTCTCGGGTGATTATTAACATTTCAAGTTTTTCCTGAAAATAAACCTTACGCATAGAGTTTAGAAAAAATTGTTTCCATACTTATTAAAACATGACAAGGAAAGAAAAGCAGCAGGGGTTGTTTTCGAATTGTTTAGACAGCATAACTTTCTGCCTCGAGTCATATGATACTCCTGCAATGTAGATTTTGTTATAAACACGCGCCCTATGTTTTAATGATGCATTAAAATTGGCCGTATGCAAAAAAATTTAACCTCTTTCTAATAGGCAGTATTTAAAAATTATCTCTGCTGGATGGTTAGCCCGATGTTTTATAAAAAATTTCAAAATGAAAAAAACTGTGTGAACTTGTGTGGCTGCCAAGGGGCCGCTGTGCGAAAGTCACTGTCCACCTAAACTCAGAAAATAGAACACGTGTGCGCCAAATCCTTCGCTTTGTTCCCAAAACCATGGTGTTAATGACCATAACAATTATTGTTTAAAAGTGAGACGCTGTGCTTTACAAAGGCGAAAAAATAGAGGAAAGTTCTAGTCCAACCAGACCGCAAAAGTTTGTCTTAAATGAGAACGTATTTGAAGAGAAAATAGCCCGATTTTTTTTCGAGGCATAATGGTCTATGTATGCATTTCGCATTAGCGCCAGTGCGCAACCGGTTCTAATTAGCACCAATGCGCCTACTAATAGTTCCATTTGATGGTTAATTATTGCTACACGCGTGCGATATAATGCTCAATTATTCCTGTTATCAAGCGTAAATACAAAGTATACAAGGTGTTTTTGAATACAAAAACAAGTAACTCTTTCTCTAAACTGCGTATCATGAAATTCATATCAAGGGGAAATTAATTCACAATCGCAGACCGGACGTAATGTGGGTAGCGCGTTTTTCTTTTTCTCTCTTTAAGACAGGTACTACCACTTGCTACTCTCTGATCGCAATGGGAAATGTAAAAATACATTTTACACAGCATTTTTTTCTTACAGTACTCATCTTGGCTTTGGGTAAGTCGTATTTTTCGTGCAAGATAGATTTCTGATTATTATTTTGTTACTAGCCTATGGGTAGCTGGTCACACGGGTATCATAGAATACTCTTAAGTAACTTCGAAGAGTTTTTTAAAACCTTTCTGGTCACAAAGAGAGAGTCTAAAGCTGACCTTTCGAGTTTTTCATTCTGATGTAATGTTTCGCTCTAACGAAGGGTAAACGTTCGAAACATCAGCTTCAAAAGCTCTCTACAGTGGACAATTTACATTATCTCGTGTACTCCCCAGCGACGCAGCACCACAGCTTCTTGAAAAACTTACCCCTTTCATTTCTCTCGTCACAAGTTTATACCTGGGCCAAGGTTCGCTGGTTTTGTTAACTTCACAACAATTGTTTACAACATAGTATTCTAATATTTGTGTATAGGATAATCGATAAATTTGCGGAGACAGCGGCAGTTAAAGTTAGATTTATCATGCAGCTCTTAAGTTGAATTAATCATATGACTCCTGCCGCGCGGCACACAGGCCCCCCTCACGCAATGCTATAGAAAACTTTAATGAGAATTAAGGGGTGCAGGGCCGGACAAATTGACATGAGTTGCGGGCCGGAAAAAGCCGCCCGGCCCTGGGCTCGGGACTAGCACGGCTCTGTTGCATTTTCCAAGAAGGCGAATTCTAATTGCACAGTTAGGCTTAAAATAGGAAAGAGATGAGAAAGCAGGAATTTTTCTTTTTCATTGCTGAATCTTTTTTGTGGTGCGCGTTCGCCTTAGACTCAACAGTCACACGCAAATACATATTTACTGAGTTTCGTCGAACTGGACGGGGAAATATTTGACGTATGGACCTTGTTGTGCTCGATTCGTATGTCACGACGTCCACGCTTGTCTGTAAGGGGAGGGAGGGGGTTGGGGGTCGCGCCCTTAAGTTCCTAATAATGGGAAATTTTCAGGGGAGGAGGGGCGTAGAAAAAGTGGAGAGTGTTTGGATTGTTGATGTCTTGACACGTATCGTTGTTTCTTAACCCTTTTACCCCTAAGAAAGACTAGCATCTAAATCCTGAATCACACATAAAAGGTCACGAGAATAAAGGAAATGATCACCAACTACACAAGCTCTTGACCATTATACAAATTCTCCCTGATAACACCTTAGGAAATGTTTGGAAATTAGTATGGAGAATATACATACTGATATTAGGGTGTAAATGGTGATTCATGTTAGCTGAGTCGCAGTTATTCCAATTAACTAATTGACAATCACACTGTTTTTTTTCCTGGTTAACTTTGAAGACATTACAACCACACTCTGCAGTCGCTCCTGTGTATCTTGTCGGAAATCTTTGGCACATTGTAACAAGACAACGGGTGTATGTGAGAGCAACTGCGGTCGAACAAAACTCTGTAGAAGAGAAGACGACTTATGCCTTGCAACATGGCGTTGGAAAGGCCAAAAGCTGTTAATGTTCACAAGTTGTTTCCCGCTTCCTCCTTTTTCCAATTCCTCTCATTACCAAGCGAAGTGTGAGTCAAAGATTTTAAACGGAACGAGAACTTGTTTGTGTCAGGGCAGCAACTGTAACAGAAATCCAATAGAGCCGGTCATAAAAAATATAAAACAAGTTTTCAGGAGAATGAAACCGAAAAATTTGCGACAAACACGTGAGTACAAGACTTTTGTTGAGATTATTTCTTTTAGCAAAGTTTTCTTTCTGTTGAGTATGAAATGGAGGGATAACTTATTAAACTAAAAAGCTCTCAAACAATTTTTGGTTAGGGCAGTATTCAATTAATTGCCTGTCAAAAAACCAAAACCAAAGCTAAGTTATCACAATGACCAATCATAAAAAGGCTTACATCATCATTAGCCAATGAAAAATCAGAGTAAAAGCAGCCACAACTATCAAAATCGCGGGAAAACGCGGGTGACCAAGTTACGATTAGTTTTCGTTTTTCGCCACTAAATTGAAAATTGCTTAATGATCCATCATTCTTTGAAGCGCTTACTGGAAAACAATAATATATCTGGACCAGGGATAGATTCAGTCACGGCACCCTTAACTCCTTTTGTTTCCATGGCATAGAGACTTTAGAGGGGATGTCGTGGTGTTAGTAGTATGAGGTGAGACGGCCATCTAACCATGAGATTTCGGCCTTCATTTAATGCATTTTGGAATCATTAGTGATTATTGCAATCTGATTGGCTCTCAGCAGTGCACATTTTTCTCGAATGGTGCTAAATAGCATCTTTTTCAGTTCAGCCTAAGAAAACGGTTGTTTAACAAATAGCCACCAGAATCTGATGTGAAGATGAGCACTTGTTTATCATTTCAGATTTACGCCCTCAGCCCTACAATAATCTCACTTTGGTTTTTTTAATTTTTTTTTTATATTTAGGGAATCTTACTCATCCAAAAGTTTTATCAAGAAAGAAAGAGGAAAGAAAGCCAGAACCTGAGATACAAAAGAAATCAAGTAAAGACACCTCTACAATAACGTGGATCAGTGTCACTGCCGTGCTGATATCAGTTCTTTTCGCAGGGCTGATAAATCGCCTTCGTAAATGTAACCATTCTGTGGATTCAAAGTTATCAGACCAGGTTGAAATTTCCTCTGTGACCGGACTGGATGCTCAAAGAACTATGACAGATGTGGGAGAGAGAGGGCTTGTAAGCTTAGAGAAAGTGTTGTCCCAAGGAAGATATTCTACTGTTTGGAAGGGTCGCATTAAAGAACAGCCTGTTGCTGTCAAGGTTTATCTAGAGGCAACCAAATTGTCCTGGCAGAAAGAGCGTGTCATCTACGAGTTATTATCTGGAGATCATCCAAATATTTCTAAGCTAATTTACAATGAATTTCTGGGAGGAAAAGATGAACCACTTTGGTTAGCCATAGATTATTGCGAGAATGGTTCACTTCGAGAATACCTGCTGAAGAAAACACTGAGTTGGAATGAAGCAATCTTCTTGGCCAGCGGTATAACAAACGGAGTTGCCTTTCTTCAATCGGAAAGCTTTCCCGATGGTCGCGCGAAAGTTGCTGTCGCCCATCGGGATTTAAAAAGCACGAACATTTTGGTGAGGAAAGATGGAACCAGCGTTATCTCCGACTTTGGCTTGGCTTTGTCTCTGGGTTGTATCGAAGATGGAAGCGAAAAGGTAGGGAGGTTTATTAAAGAGTGCCTGAAGGAGGAAGGAAGGGTGACTGGGGGTGCAGTGCGTTATGTTTGGGTAAAAAGACTCTCCCATAATTCCATGCGTAGTGTACCAACTACCAAGGCAATCTCCTACCCAGATCCTACCGTGCAACTGTAACCACTTGGCCATGGAAGGTCTGGGTACGAGACTACTTCAAAACCCTAACAAATGGCAATAAATATTATATTTTGTAGTTTTTGAGGAGAACGGAATGGAAAGGAGAGGGCTTATGGGCGAGAGACGGGAGGGTAGTTCAGATTTCAAGATGAGGGTCTCTTAGAGAGTTTATAGTACTTAAATTCGTCCTCAGGGCCTTCCTAGGAAAAAAGATGTACAATATCTTGTTATTCCGGCTAACTCAGAACAAATTGCTGCTCATCTGACTTTGACAGATGCAAGTTGGCACATACAGGTACATGTCCCCTGAGGAACTGTTAACCACGGTTGACCTGGACAGCACAGAAACCTTTAAACAAATGGATGTCTATTCTATGGCACTGGTGCTTTGGGAGATTGTTTCACGGTGCGCAGTTGCAGGTAAGGTAACTTTTCAAGCCTATGCTGAACATGCAAATTTTCTTTCCTAAATCGAAAAAAAAAAAAAAAACAATTAAGAACGATGTTGTCTTCGGGCATATTTGTCCCGTTCTCGATTTTCAAGATGGCGGTCTCGGGCGACGACCCAGCTCAGTGATTGGTACAGGCTGTGTTATCGGTCAGTAACCCGATTTCAGCACCAATCATAGCCTTTACAATTTCCTCAAATGTGATTGGTGCATCAGCTGCTTTATTTTTCTCTAATCATTCTGCACAGTTTTAATCGAACAGTGTTATTGGACAGTTGGCTGTAATCGGATACCTGTAATCGGACAGTTAAAGCAGCCAATCATATTAGGTCCATTCAACTTACTCCACCAATCACTGAATTGATCACAATAACCATAACAACAACCACTTATCCTGAAAAAAAAAAGGAAAAAAGCCAGGGAATTTTCAAAATGGAGGAATTTTTTACTTAGGACATTGTCTGTACCGGAGATGTTTGTCCTAAATGTATTTGTTTTGTGTGACGTCGTCCAATTCTGTCTATAATCATACTCGTGATTGACAAATCGGACTTCTGCTTCGAATTGTCTGATTTTGTTTATCGTTCGTATGATAACAGACCGAATTGAACTTCACTCAGTCCTATTGCCATTATTAAGTATTAGTGGTCGTCCGCTTTTTTTGTCACTCCTATGTTTGCAAACCGAATTGGACTCCACTTAGTCCTATTACCATTATTAATAAGATAGCGCGCAAGCCATGCTTGTAATTGGAAAATGTAAACGGACATTTTAAGCGTCATGCCTGTGTGATTTGAAAGTTCGCGCCATTCGTTCTCGTTGTTTCGTCCAACTCTGTCCGTGATCATTCTCGTGAGTAGTAAGTCAGACTCCTGCTTCACGGTCCTCCGAGCATATGAATCACTCGTATAATTACAAACCGAGTTTGACTGCACGTGGTTCTTTTACTGTTATCGAAAACAAAAGGAAATCTTGTGGTCCATTTTCTTTCAGATCATAGCCCAGGTTCCTATAAGCTACCGTTTGGGGAAGTGGTTGATTCCGATGCAACATTGAGTGTTATGGTTGAAGTTGTTGCCCTAAAGCAGTGCAGGCCACAATTTCCATGCACTAGCCACGAGGTAAGGTTTGATCACAGAATGTAATATTACTCTCTAACAATGTTTGTATGATAAGCTGATTTTGTACACACGAATTTTTCGATTGGCTTTTACTCATGATCTGTTAGAAGACAGAGGCGTAGATGACGTCACCATTGACAACATTTTGCATTTTCATCATTTAAAACAAGTAGATTCCATTTTGACGTGTGTCTGTACAGTTATAGATGACCGAGTGACGCCAAAATGTGGCAAGCACATCGGTGATACACGCAGCTACCCACTCCTGTGCCTCTTTTTAGTTCTGACCTTATTTTGATGTCTGCACTGATCTATTACTTAACGAACGCACGGCGACATGGAATCTATATGTTAATTATTCAGTGGACTGAATATTACGCGAGTTCTGATTGGTCATTTCCCGTGATCTATTATAATAAATACGGATGACTTTCGTTATACAATTAAAACTGTTTTCTTTGCTTTGAACAGCATTGTAAGGAAAGACTTTGAAAAAAACAAAACAAAAACAATTAATAACTGAGAGTACATGTAGCGTTCAATCAATTTAAAGATCAAGGTAAAGAAACCCAATTCTTCCTCTTTGAATTATTACTACCGCTATGGGGAAAATTTGAATTTTTCACAAATGATTCTCTTGGTGTGCCATTTTTTGTTAACCGTCGACCACATTTTGGTGCCATCTTTTACATATAGCAGAATGACATTTTCTTCTTTCGTTTTTCATCACTTTGGATTAAAGTAAGATCAGAGTGTCAAAATCCACCAGCTTCATCACCCTCCCCTCCCCAATAATTTGCTTTTTGACTGTTCCTTTCCGGTCTCCCTCTGCCAAATAAGATCATGAAATTTTTATAAAATCGTACTGCTCTGGAAGCAGTTAAAACTTGGCCGGAAGTCCTTTATCATTTGTAAATGACTAAACAATCGTATTTACTGATAATTTATTATCTTTCAATTACATAGGGATTAAAAATGTTCTGTCAGACAGTACAAGAATGTTGGGATCCAGACCCCGAGGCTCGTCTCACGGCAGACTGTGCTCTAATGAGACTCAAGGAACTGCTAACGATGGCACATGCGCCGTGATAAAGGTTGTGATGAACCTGAAACGTTCAGGCGAGCCCAATTTTGCTCCTGGACAAGTGCAGCCCTATTAAGACTTTCTAGAACCTTTACTTAGCCAATAACACAAGATTTCCCCGCCGGATTGCGGCACACAGGTCTGCAAGGCGTACAAACAGTTGATAAATGTGAATAATAGATTAATGATTCGATTGCACTAAACGATCGAACCAAACTAAATAAGTTGAAGTGTCTAAAAGATAAATATGGATGTATTCGAAACAAAGACCATAACTTGTGGCCACAAGGTGTTGCTTGACTTTAAAGAGCTGACCAAGAACGAATTTTGAGAGCAAAAAGGAAATTAAGGAATCGTACCTTCTAGAAAAAAACATGCGCGACCCTTCTAGAGTGGCTTGCGAGCTGGTCTTCATTCTTAGCGCTTCGGCACGGGCGCTTCTTTGAAAATATAAAGCCTTCTGCTACGCGGGCCGGGCCGGGCCGGGCCGGCGAGAGGTTTGCAAGGGGTATGGGTTCCAGCACTAATGTTTATCCGTCCCAGGTCCCCCGCTAACCTCTACCGAACTCTGATGACTCGTTCCAAATCTTCCCGTAGGCGGAGAAAGGCGTGTCCTGCAGCGCTAATGAGAGCCTTCTCGCAAACAACTTCTGCACTTACGCAAAACAAGTCACGCAAGCCAGCGCAGACTTCCGATAGCTACAAGAAAGTTGTCATCCTAGTAACAGCACACTCTTTCTCCATATTTTCTGTCCCTAATATTATGTCAAACAAATCTCCAATTCCGGAAATGTTAAGGATTGCTCAGGTAACGAACTGGAATGAGAAAAATGTGATCACATCGAGTTAACCTCAAATTAAACTCTGCTCAGGGCGAGTGAAAGAGTAGAGAAACATCGATTCCATTGCAGAGTCATTTTAGCAAGATAAAACGCCTTTCACCGATCAGTATAAAGGAATTTTAATGACACAGTTCACAAGCTCACAAACGCAGTTTCATTGCGTGATTAAATAACGTTCAAACACGTGAAGTTAGAGACACCTCGACAACTAATGTACACTAAGAGCACATTCGTGCAACGCATCCGGCATGAATACAGTAATCTTCAGTCTGTTTACACGAAAAGTTTTAAAATTTCCCAATACCTATCACTCCGTTCTTGATCATCTCCTTTCGTGACAAAGAGATCATTCAGATTGAAAAGTATCTCAATTTTAACTGACCCTTGACATTGCATGTACCCAGTTTCAAAGCACGCAATTGTTCGACATAGAGGATTTTCTGTATCTCTCGTGTCACGAGCTAAGCCACAAAAACAATACATCATTCAGAGGCTGCTGTAGCAGACATTTGATCGCCGCATGAATGCGCCTCACAATTCCTTCACCGAGCCCGCAGATTCTGTTTCACCAGCAGGCAGGTTTCACTAGGTGAAGTTCGTCTTTTCCGAAAGTTACGAGTCTTTGTCGGGCTCTTCGCTGGTGTGTTATGCAGTAAACGAGCAATTTGCACCACGAAGGAATCCTCTGGGAGATCTGTCTGTCAAACATGGTCTCTAAAAGCAACCTGTCGTTGATTCTGCATTTCCTCCTCATAGTTTGTCTTCTAAACGATGTGGACGCCCAAACAACCGCTCCTGGAGGCGAAGAAGAAGGAGGAGGAGAAGGAGAAGGAAATGGAGGAAAAGAAGGTAAGATTAGCCGGTTTAATAAACAACATTGCTGTGAATTACGACAGTATGCATCTTCGTAGATACACAGCTCTTTGCATGCACATCACATTTCTGCGGCTTAAACATTTAGTGAGTGTCTGAAATGCCATGAAATGGTTGACCTTCGCAATTATCACTTAGATTGTTGAAAACTAAGAAAATATTTTTTGTTTAACTACTGCTAGTTACATTAAAAACCCTACAAGACAAGGAGGACAATTATGAGAGTGAATTATGTAAACTTCACCAAATTTACCTATTTTACAAATGTAATTATGCAATGTGGAAAGTTTCGCACTCAAAGGCTGCTTTTATTAAAACAAAAATCTATTGAGGAATTTTGATTATGGATTCTGCAGCTTCGACAATAAAAGCTGAAATGGAAGGGATAAATATGCTTTCCGAAGGTTTTTTTACGTGCAGAATGCATTTCTTTGGAAGGTTTTTCTGTTAGCTTATTTCAAGCGCGAGTACAAATGAAGAAACAAAAGGCATTGTTGGGTTGGATACATTATAATTGCTCTCTGTCGCCGAAAGGTTCCATGATTAGTTGTAAACAGTGAATAGGGCTCAAATAATAAACATTGAGACGAAATTGAGACCAGCGTTTAGACAACAGACGGTTAAACGAATGTAAAGTTCATAACTTCAATGCCAAGTTATGTATCAAAGAGCTAATATGTTAAATCCAACTCACGCAATCGATAGAAAAATTATCACGAAAGATTATAGTCAAGTGCAAGATTCGATCGCTCCGAATTCAAAGCGAGATGCTGAAAATTCTACCCGCTAGGGAATGTTTCTTAACAGTTTTCAAAGCCTTTTAGGTTCACAAAGAATGCGAATAAATATTTTCAATCCAAAACGGTCAATTGATACGTGTAGCAGGCGGCAATGGTTTGCGTCCAGCAGTTTTAACAATAGAGCATTTTCTGCAAACTGTCTCCTAAAAATAATACTCACTATATATCTATAAGTTACCGCGACGAGAATTATACCAGCAAATAACAAGCCGAAGTTCATTTGCTTAGGGTTAATCTTACGACGTTATTTCAGTCAGGCGTTTTTTCAGCCAGAAAAAATTTCCAGCTAGGAAAATACAGACAGAAGGCTGTTATATTCATGAATCCTTGTTTTACAAAAGTTTGTGAAGACGAGCAATTTCGTAATGTCGTTTCCCGATTATGTGAGTTCCAGTGATTTGAAATTTTTTTTTAATTTGTGCCACGTACTTTCGCAATATGGGTTTGTTTTTCTTTTTGATCGATTTTTAAGTTTGGTTCACAAATTTCGAGAAAGGAGTATTGTTCTAGTACTGGTTTGATTGTGTTACATCAGAATCATGGATTCCTGTCGCCAACAAAAACTGAGAACAGCGCGTCCCTGGTAAAAAAAAAACACTCGCTGCACCTACATATTTCTAAATTTTAGAATAAAGTAAAAACCTCACATTACTTTTAAAACCTATTTCAATCCAATTTCGTCTAAAAAGAGCTGTATTTGCAGAAATATTTGCCTCACAGGGGTTGTTGGCTATAAAACTTATAAACCCATGAATACGAGAAAAGTTAATCAATTATTGATAGTTTAAAGTTCAGTACATCTATACTATAAGAACGCAAAAAAACAATTCTGGTTTTCTAGACACCAGTCCGTCATTGAACGGTAGAAATTGAGATTTATCTAAGAGAGGGAAGTGCAAAAGCCAGTATTTATAGTTTTCCAATCAGAAGTCACACTTTTTATTGATTAAATTCTGTTAAAATAAGGTGATGTGAATAAGTGTTGAACGTAAAAGTAACTCAACTGTATGAGAACTCTCCTATATCAACACATTCGTTAACATACTCGTTACACTTGTTTCTAAACGATCCCAGTTTTCTTCAGAGTCCTCAAGAATTTCCAGTCTGTATATGAATATTGTAATCAACTGATTAAAGACGAATCATTCCCAGACAACCGTTCACTACGTGTAGACAAAGGGCCAAGTAACATGTTGTTTTTAAATATTGTTCACTTACGCTCCTACCAGATTTTCCATTCGTTTCACTCTCACCATTATGGTAACTTTCAAATGATTGTATCATTTTATTCAAGCACAAATTATGAGACATCTTCTGGTAACAAAAACTTTGTCTTTCCAAAAATATTTAATTTAAATGGTTCAAAAGAGAAATCTTTCGTAAAATCGCAATATTTGAGTAAAGCGGAATACAGCTTATTTGCCACCCTCACAATCTCGAAACAAACGTGTCGCGAAAATTTAACAGAAACAGCTATTTTATGTTTCACGTGGATTATGTTTCTTTTCGTACGTGAGTTTTAATAGTATCCTGCTTATTTAATTCTGCAGGACTTCGTTGTTTCTTGCGCACCGAAAAAACTTTTACACAACTCATTCTCGTCAAAATCAGCCATGGCTCCTTAATGTTTTTCAACGAAAGATATCACAGACCACTATGAGCCGCACTTTTCTTGGTAACCAGAATTAATCCTTTAAACGTTAAGAGTGACTAGCATCTAATTTCTCCTCGTGATATCTCCCATGAATCACACTTTGAGTTTACAAGAATAAAAGAAATAATCACCAACTAAAGAAGCTTTTGATTGTTATAAAAATTCTCCCTGTTAGCACCTTAGGAAATGTATGGAGAATTTGCATACTGATGTAGCGGAATGGGTTAGGTTAGCCAAGAACTTTGTGTCCTGTCTGCATGGGAAGTTTGCCCCTGGCTAAGGCATCGCAATTTCTGCATGGCAACTGTCTAAAAAGAAATGGCAGCTCTCTAAGCGCGTTGAACGAGGCGCTTTCAAATTTATTCTGTAGCAACAGTGACGTCGCCAGGATTTTTCAAAGAGGTGGGAGGGGAGGTTTATGGTCAAGAGTGAATTCCACACATCTTTCTTGAACTGGGTCATACCGCTTCTCTTCGGATAGCGTATTTTGCAAAGAGTAAGATTTTTTTGTAACTGAATCAAGAAAAATTTATCGTACCGGGGGGAAAGGGATTTGGGACATATCAAGACCCCCTACCCCTGATCAATGCTCATGTGGGAAGTTACCAGCCTACCCTCTAATGCAATGATGTTGAAAGTTTTAAAAGAAGAGAATGACGAGGTTGCACACCTTGGCAAGCAGACAATATAAAGGCTGGATGGAAAATCCTATCCAGGGGGATTGGGAATACTTCTGCGAGCTTCATGCGACAAAAACCAGGATAAGCTCTGGCTAAATAGGCGACTCAACTCGCTGATCCCCCCTGAAATGATGAGTGTGTTGCTTGTTTTACCAACAGCATGTGACAAAGATTTTGATTTGAGCTTCGTGATTGATGGCAGTGGAAGTATCGAGCAGGCCGGAAAAGGGAATTTTAAGAAGGTGAAGGACTTTGTGAAAAGAATCATAGGGGGATTCAACATTGGAGAAGACAAAACCCATGTTGGTGCCGTGATCTATTCTTCTAGCCAGTATGTTAAAAAAGTCTTTGGGTTAGATAGCTACTTCAATTTAGCATCTCTTGAAAGGGCCATTGACAAAATTCCATACCCTTCAGGGGGTACATTCACGGGGAAAGCCATTACATTGGCCACCAGAGATATCTATACAAGCAGTAAAGATAGGTCTGACATACCAAATGTCTGCATAGTCATCACTGATGGCAAAGCCACAGACTCCATTGAAGAGGCATCAAGGACACTTAGATCAAAGGGGACCACTATAATTGCCATTGGTGTAGGACAAAATTATGATGAAGCAGAGTTGATAAAAATGGCTGGAAGCCGAAGCAACGTCTACACAGCTGACTTCTCAGACCTGGACACTGTCATAGAAGACATTAAGCAGTCTGCTTGCCAAGGTTGGTCTTACTCTCAGCGAGGTCTTTGGGCTTTGAGAAATATGTCAAGAAATGATGGAATTTTTATCTTTCCTGTCATAAAGTATGAATGAAAATTTACTCCTTTTTGCATTTTTAGATTCCAAAGATTGTCTTCAAATGTTCCGAAAATTTGACTGAGGAATAATAATAATAAAAGAACAGTATAATAATAATGATAATAATAATAATAATAATAATAATAATAATAATAATAATAGATGTGTCATTTTGTAAACAACTCAGTAACCTGGCTGCATGCCTATTAACCAACAATCTTATTTTAATTCTTCCCTTCAGCTGTTACACATTTTCTTGCAAATTAAGTTTGAGAATTTGGTGTTAGATCTTCTAACTGATAAGTTTGAGTATTCTCATTACCTATTTGTTGGGTAATGCATGGATATTAAAGGGAGAAGTTACATTTAAATCAATTTGGGAGTTAAAGGCTTAAATGGCTGGAAATCAAGCAGTCGGGCTATGATTAAAAAACAAATGCAATTTTGACAACATAAATGAGTATCATTGAGGCATGCTATTTGTGAAAGAGGTGTTTGAAACAAACTTCCACAGTTCTCTGTTATTTTCCGTTCTTTTTGATGTGGTTAAACCTTTAATAACTTGGAAACCTTACTAATTTGGATAAGGACAATTTGAAACAATCATCAAACACTTTGGATTGCCTTTTTTCTTCTCTAAGGCATAAATTCCTATTAGAAACTTTGTCCCATGCATGCTATACGTAAATAATTAAACACCAGTGCTTCTTTCACAACAAAAGTTTATCAACTTTGTTTATTTTTCTCTTACTTATAAGACTCTAATTGTATGCATGTTTTGCATTTTTTTGTTTTCTTTGTACAGCTGACCAGCCTCCGTTACCTCCTCAAAGGGTAACTATGAGTTAATTGTTGTACTGTTGGAGAGATACTGTAAAAATTTGTACAAATTATCTTTCCATGTGGTTTCAATTTTTTCTGTTTGCTAAATGCCATAATGTTCTCTTACTGGATTAAAACCTACTGGTTTAACAACCAGATGTTTCCTCCTCCAAGGTCCAAACTATTAATGTTTAAAAAAATGCCATGGGCGTTTAATTGAGAAAATATGGTAGTTTGATTTTCATACGTACAGCCAAAATTGCTTAATGGCCTGTAGGCCTGTTCCATTGTGCCTGGCAACTTTCAAGCAATTTTAGGTGTTTGGAACAATTTTTGGCGATTCTGGCATCTTTGAGCAGCTTTTCACAAAATCTAGGTTTAGAGCACACATCAAATACGAAAAAGTCAACTATTTCATAAAGGACTCAATTTATGCAAATTTATTGAATGATTACCGACCTTTTGAACACATAACCTGTCAGTTGACAACGTCACGTTCTGTAAGACGCCACATGGTTCATGTGTTTTGTTCCGTTACGATTAATGAATCTCTAATTTTTGCCCATAATTACGACCGACTCCTCCAATTAACGTTTATATAAAAACATCAGGACATTTGGATAGCAACTTAAGACGTTTGGGTGGCACCTTTAGTAATTTTTAGGCAATTTTTTAAAGCAGCTTTTTAGCATTCTAGTGAGCAACTTTGCAGCATATTACGGGCACAATCGGGACATGCCTGGATGGATGCCATTTAACCTTCAGCTAATTTTTCATCCAACATTCGCAACCTTTGGTCTAATTTCAATATTTTGTCTTTCTTAGATTGGGCCCCCTGGCGATCCTGGACCGAAAGGAGATAAGGTAGCTGGATTTTAATTACCTGTGAATCTACTCCGCAGTGAATATATTTAGTCGCATCAACTCTCTGCGTCGGCGAATGCAGGCACATGTTCAGCAGCTTCAACTGATTTAGTACGCTGTATAAGACTACTTACAGTGTATCTAAATTGTGCAAGTTATGATGGTCGCTCAGGGATAGAGTCTAACTGGGCGAAATCTTTAGATTTAGCGGATTATTTTGCCATTCAGTTAGCTCCAAGGACTATTTTGTGTTAGCATGTTATATCCTTTACACATATGTAGTATCTAGCTGGTATAATAATCAACTTTGTGAGAATCAATTTCGCGTTTTTCAAAGATTAAAACTTTTCACGAGTGCACTTCAAAGATTCTCTAATCTTTGAATTGAAGGTATTTAATTGGTTAACCTTTACGGTTGAGCCATTTACGCCCTAACATCAGTATTCAAGTTCTCAGTACTCTTGTTTACACATTTCCGATGGTATTTACAAGGGGAATTTGTCTAATAATCAAGTGCTTCAATCTTGAGTTTGCAATAATTTCCTTTATTTTCATGAACTTAATGTTTGCTTTAACATACACCAAGCGACATTGTCTAAAGTAATACCAAATTCTCAGAGAAGAAATGAGAAAAAATCATCTGAGGAGTGAAGTGGTTAACTCAAGGCCTGAATCTGGAGTGTCCTTTTCATTCCCTGAATGGTTTCCTACTTGGGATTAATTGATTGACTTAGAAAATATGCAAGCTAATAATGTATGCACAAAATTAACAATGATTTATTTTGATTTTTTTAGGGAGATCAAGGACCTACTGGAGATGCAGGACCAGGAGGTCTGAGAGGGGATTCGGTATGGAGTGCTTCCCATGTATTATTTAAAAAGGATGAATAAGTAACTTAAAAATTTGTATGCCTGGAGAGTGGAAAGCTGTACAAGCAAAGATGACAAAGAGAGATTATTTGTAAAATTCAGGCTCTAAGCTTATAAAAATCTTTGCCAAAAATAATGATAAAGAGAACAATAATGTCAATGTCAGTATCAATTTTTTTAAGTTATGGTTTTTCTAAGGACCAAAATGTTATTTCTGGTAACCACTTTCCAACTTTTAGGAAGTCATATGACAACTTGGAAAAGTGATTTTGAGGGCATTTTGTCAAGTTTTCATTGAGCTTTTATCCTACCACATCCTGTTAATTAAGAAGGAAGGCAGAAGTGGGATAAGAGCTAATAGTTAAATCTCAACAAAATGGCTTGAAATCACTACCAGAGAACAAAAATAACAAAAGCTACCCTTTTTGAAGGTTAGAGTTTATTTGCTATATTATTTATGGAGTTACAGAGCAGAGCCTAAACTCCTTTACAAAGCTTTATAAAATTATCCTCTTATAGAGAGCTTAGGGACTTTGTGAGAACAGCATTCAATAAGAGAGTTGCAGTAGCCAGCAAAAATGGTTTGTCTGCCATCTTTAGCCTGCTCCTTTTCACCTAATTTTACTATAATTAATTGTGAAAAACCCTATAATGATTAAAATAGCATAATATTATCCTTGCATAGAAAGCTTGGGTACCAATTGAACCAATTACTTATTTATTACTTATTTGTCAGTTTTAATGCAACCATTTTTATGTGAGTAGGGTGCTGATGGACCAGATGGTCCTCAAGGTGTTCAGGGCCCTCCAGGACTTCAAGGACCTCCTGGACCTCCAGGGCCCATCATTACAGTCCCTCCTGGTGAACCTGGTGGTGGTCCAGATGAAGGTGGACCTGACCCAATTTCCCTTGGAGAGGTAATTATGTCAATCTGTGAATTACTGTGTAATCTGAAACTAGGTGTTTTTTTGTTTTTTTTTGTGGTGCTTAATTTCTAAAGTTTCAAATTGTGCAGTTCTCCTAATGATTAGTATTGAGCATTGGGGAAATGGGGTCTACAATCAATTTTGTCTATAAGCCAAACAATTTTTATACAAATTAAAATTAAAGTTGAGCAAAGTTTGAGACAATTAGTGGGGGTTTAACTTATGGTTGAGAGTTTTTGAAAAAATTTATATGAATAGGCATGTATTCACTCATTACCCAAGCTAAATTGAGAGTGTGACTGTACACAAGAAAAGAAGTAGCTGAGTGTGATTTTCCCCTTTTTGGTTATATTAAGGAACATGACAACTTGTAGGCGCATGCAAAGAAGGCAGAATAGATTAACAACTATGTGCCATTACTTTCCAAGAGCTGCATTCTTAAAAAAAAACACAAGGACTGACTATCTTTGGTTTGGTGCAACTCAACCCAGGCCGACCCAGTAGTTCGAGCAGAAAAAAAACTTGGTCTGCAACTTACATTACTGACATCATACTTGATTAGTCAGAGGTCTATAGAATCAGTTTTTTTTTCATGGTGATTTTATCTGAAGTTTTTAATTGTGGATGTAATTATGGTGAAAAAATTTCTTGACACAGTGGCTCTCTCCACCCTCAAGTTTAAATGGCAGCTGCTGGATTGTCAGAGGATCATGTTGAAATGGGGGGAGGGGAGAGTGGGGTAACCTTGCATCTCATGAAGTATTAACCACTTAGATAGTGCATGTTTATATGTATAGGTTTTCAACTGAAAGTGAAGTTAGGATAAATTATTCAATGTTGAACTCATTTTTGTCTTTTCAAACAAAAGTCACATGCAAAAATTTTGTAACCTTTGAATGCTTTCTGAAAAAATTTCTTGACACAGTGGCTCTCTCCACCCATGAGTTTAAACGGGAGCTGCTGGATTGTCAGAGGATCATGTTGAAATGGGGGGGGGGGGGGGGGTAGAGAAAGGAGAGTGGAGTAACCTTGCATCCCATTCAGGGGGAGTAGTAATGCTTAATTGCTTCATGCCATCGGTAAACTGCATGTGGCTGGATGGACTACTTGGTTTCAGTGCACCAGTGTGTCTTTTAGACACAGCCTGATGGGTAATATTATAATTAATGGGTTAATTTTTTTGTATCTTTTAAGATAAGTAATAACCAAGATGCCAAAGGACCAATAGGAATAATTCGAAGAGTTAAAGGAGAAAAAGGGGCAGATGTAAGTTATGGTGTCATGATTGTCATAGTGATTCTCCTCTCATGTTCAAATATGCAGCCTGGTAAAGTTGTTGAGAGAAGTCAATGTATTATCACAGCAACCAACTGCTGTATTGCTTTCCTATTCACTTGTGTTCTGGATAATATATAGATTTAGCCAAGCCTAAAAGTGGAGCTCGCATTTTTTTTTTCCTGCGCGTCTCAAGGTCACAATGCCTTGCCCCAGCCAGGACTAGAACCCGGGTCATCCGACTTGGAGCCCAGTGCACTGACCACTGGACTACTGAACAAAGCCGTGGCATTGATGTGCCCACAGTACAGTTGACCACGCATGTTAAAAGTAGCACCTTGTACGGTTGTAACACTTGAGGTGTAGCCAAGAGCAACTCTAGCTTCTTGAGTGCTTTCCAAACTTCCCAAGTGCTTCATATCTCAATGAACACACAGCTGACATATGAACCAATTGTTTTATAACATTTTTGACCCAATGGAAAATTTTTTTCTCAAGGGATTTTTTGCTGACGTCATGAGCGTGCACAATAGGAATATAAGGCACGCTTGTGCAATTGAATTTGATTACACAAATTTACTAGCTATGTTGTAATACCTGTTTGTTTGACAATATATGGATATTATAGGGATAAGTTAGATGCTAATCACTTCTGGCGGCTGAAGGCTTTAGAATGGTAAAGTGGTCTATGATCACTTACAATTTTTTAAGTTACTTTTTGGATTAATTTTCAGGGTCCCAGTGGTTCAATAGGACCTACTGGTATAGCAGGGCCAGAGGTAGGTTAAACCCTTTACACTCAGACATCAGTATAGTAAGATATTCTTGATACTGTTTTTAATCTCAGTGTATTATTTTTGCAGTGGGGGGATGGGAGGAGAAGAGCAGGGTATGGGGAAGTGGGGAATTTTTTATCCCCTTTTCCTCCCATTTGTTGAACCCGTTGTATCATGTATGATCATTTTACTTCCAAATTGCATGTTCACTGTGTATTTCAAAAGTTTTGAAACCTGGAATACCTTGTACAGAAATAAATGTTAGCCACATTTACTGCTCTTTCTTTTCAGGGAGAAATGGGAGCTCCTGGACAGATTGGTCCACCTGGAGTAAATGGCCAAGCAGTGAGTTTCACATGTGATCAATTCCTCTATTCTCCTGACCATAAATTTGATCTACTGTAACTGTGATGCTGTCAGGAGAAGTTAGTTGTTGAATGGTTAAGAAATGATGTTTTGACTGATTATAGTGTATGAATCTGTTGCCAATGAGTGATAAAGAAATGACCTGACCTGAGTGGGCAGCTTTATTGAATTGTACTTGTGCTGGAAAGATGACTTGTTGCAAAGGGACACACCCTTTTAGGGTTGGTCCAGGGGTATGCACCCCACCCTCCCACCTCCCAAAAAAAAAAATGGTATTTGAAATTCTCTGAGAGATGATTTCAAGCATTCTGAGGCACATTTGAATAGTGGTAACCTTTTTCAGCCTTACTTTGACTCAGTTCATAAAACACTTATTGTCTGTCTTTGATCACAATTAAAAAAGAAGCCATCTCAAAATGGTTTTACAGCTTGCTGGTTTTTGTGGCTAATTGGCTTGTAATGATAATCCTGACTACATATTGGTGATATATAGATAAAGAAATTAAACAGTTACTCTTAGGGGCTAAGGAACTATAGGCAACCTTGTCTGCTTGCAGTGTACTAGTGAAAGTTGGGCCTTGGTCATTTTTGGTCCATACTGCCACAATCTTGGGCCAATATTGCCCAGCATGGCCCCCAAGCTGGGTTAATAACTAAAGATGTTGTTATTTTGAATTAAATCTCAGGGAAAAGCAGGTAAAACAGGCAGCCCAGGTGAACCAGGAATGAATGGAGCAGATGTAAGTACTGTAACACAGTTTGTGTGAGTGATGAAACAGAAAATGCTTTGTGCACTAATGTGATTCAGGGGTAATATTGTACAAAGAAATTTGATGCTAGTCACTCTATGGGTCAAAAGGTTAAACTGTCCATGCATGCACAATAGGTATACCTACAAACAAAAAAAAAACAAACATCAACCACAGTCTTCTCAGTTGCAACGGTATATAATGGTTCACATGGCTAGTAAAAAAAAAAAAAAAAAAAGAAATTAGGCTACTAAATTTTAAGCACAAGACTGCAACTTGATGACCAGTCTTGGACAGTTGTGTAGTAGGCTGCAATGCTATTCACCTTTGTGGCTCACTCATTTCAAGTTCTGGAATGATATCATAGATGTTCGACTCCAGACTTATAGTTCACGTCACCAGGAGTTCCATCTTCAAGATATTTCTCTCTACTTGGTGCTGTATCCAGAAATTTGCTTTTAGATCATAATATCATTTGTGGAATAATTTCTAATGATTGCACCTTCAGATCATTTCATACTTTATTATTTCCCAAATTCCACCCCTTGAAATTGCTGATTCTGACTGTCCCATTCATGATAAAAATTAATCCTGCATCTCCTCTCTTTCTACTCTAAATTCCAGGATCTGGGCCTTCAAATGAGCCCAATCCAGAAGCCAGAAAAACCTATTGGGGATCCTCAATTTAAGTCTTACTGAAAACCATCATTTAATATCATTATTGGAATTCACTTTAATTAACATTTGTTATTTTAACAAACTACAGGGTGTACCAGGACCTCCGGGAAATGCTGGGGACCCTGGGGAACCGGGACTAAGTGTAAGATGAACCTTTGATAATGTTTCATTTTTAAAGTATAACTAACATGTCCTATGAGTGATCACTCTTGGTGTAGATTGCCTTCATATTGCAAGTCTTCTTCAGGAAATGCAGTGAAGTCCACTAGTTATCAGTTGACCCTTTAACTCCCAGGTCAAATTTTCAATCCTCCCTACTGTCAACCATACAATTCTTACAATGTTAGTTCAGAGAATTTAGTATTGGATCAAGCAATTATTCCCAAATTGATATTTTTCTTTATTCTCATCACTTATCTGGTTGATATTGTATTGATGTTGTGAGGAGAAATTCTGTCTTGGACACTCACAGGAGTTAAAGGGTTAACCTCAGTCTACAGTTTCACTTTTGGGGAAAATTTGTACCATTCAACAATTTTGTAAGGAACCTCCAAGGCTTTTTATAGGGACATGCTGTTCTTGTTTTATTAGGAATAATATAAGTCCACTCAGCACAAATGAGATAGGAATTAAACAATTTTGCGATAAAGATCAAACAAACAGGAGAAAACTCAACTTCATTGTGTTGCTGTTTAAAAACCACTCAGGTCTCTTCTAGGAGTGTGAATTTAGTACTGGGTTGTTTGTTGATTGAAATGTTTATTCAAAACAAAAGCTGTGCAATCTATACATTGTAATAATTATATCGTTGGAGTGAATGCTTTTCTTGAGTTCCTTGTAATGTGTGTAAGTGAGTTCTTAAATTGGTTTTCTGTTTGGGGAAGTCCCAAGATTTTGCAGATCTACTGTAGGCTATTATAACTAGAACCATCAATTAATAATTTTGTTGTCTTCATTTTTACATTCATATTTTATTTGCTACTTCTCCTCATATTCATGCAAATTTTTTACCAAAGATGATGATTCTACATTCCATGTTCTAAATGATGCATTATGCAATCTGCATTATGCATTGAGCAAGTATTGTTCCATACTTCACATGACATGCACACACACATCTTTGCTCTCCACCTTCCTCTGTCACTTCATTCATATACTCCATATTCCCCATGCTCAATCCACACTGCACCTTCCACCTTTTCTTACAGATATATTCCTCATTTCACTCTTTAATAACAGCTTCTTCTAGTCATTCAACTTTCTTCTTTAAACTTTTCCAGAGATATCATATTACTGTGTATACTTATGAATTTCATTGTAATCTTACCTAACTATCAGGGACCCCCAGGTGTTTCAGGCGTCCCTGGTCTTTCTGGTATAAAAGGAGATCGTGTAAGTTTCTGGAAGGGTTTTTTCTTAATCTATGTGCCTGAATATAATGCTCATTATTGTTTCTGATACGTATTTTTCAAGAAAAATAAGTTTGTATACATGTAGCTTGTTTGACCAATAGTTTCTTTCTGTGTAAATTACTAAAAAGAACATTGAAGTCAGGGTCTTCATCAGGAAATGTCATCACAGAAAAAATAAAGCAACTGGAAAATATTTTCCAAATTAAAACATCTCTGCCAACAAACCACTGAAATTTAGCCACAGAATTCTGGGTAGTAGGAGTAGAATTTTCTGACTTTTACACAAACATCCTTCACACTGAAACTCCTCTTTGTGGATTCAGGAAAAAATAATTCAAGCAGTCTGTAAGTTTACATAGAAGGAATTCCTTTTCCACATTCATCAGTTGCATTGACATTTTATATATTAAAGGGTTTTTTATGGGTCCTGGAAAACCTGGAAAGTTCTGGAATTTAATTTTCATTGACATTTTTGAAAGTCCTGGAGAGAGACTACAAGTTGTAGAAAATCCTGGAAATCTGCTTAACTCAAGCAATAAAGTTTTCAAAATTAAGGCTATAAGACATGTATGTAGACTATACAGTATGGAGAATTGATCTTGAAATATCTGGAATGAAAGGGTTTGAATTTGGTGCAATTTGAAGTCCTGGAAAAATGAATTTGAGTCCTGGAAGAGTCCTTGAAAAAGGGTACATTAATCTTGATACTATGATGACTTTTTTCCCAGGGAGCACAAGGAACTCAGGGAGACCCAGGTGAACAGGGTAGCCCTGGAGCAAGGGTAAATAAATTATGTTTAATTTGCATGATCTGTAAAGAGTTGTCAAGAGGTATTTAATGGAAAATGGTGTATTGTTACAGTATTGAATCAAAATGATGTAAGAAGTATTTTTGATGTTGCTCAGGTAGCAGAGAATCCAACTGTACACTGTATGGTTTAAGAGGAGTTTTTCATGACATTTTTATTTTCAAAGACTGCATGGTAGGGGGGGAAAGGAATGTAAGAGATGAGGAAGGGGGAGGGGTGGTTTGAAAGTCATTGGCCAAAGTTTGTCAAAGTGTAATAAATTCTTCTCATTATTTGTGGTATATCTAGACTTCCTGAAATTGTTATGTTTACTAAATTTCACTTTAATCTTTAAATTTCTCTATTGATGATTGATAATTTTGGTACTGTTGTAGGGATCTGGTGGTGAGAATGGCAGGCCTGGTGCTGATGGAGCACCTGTAAGTACCTGAAGAATGTCTGCAGCAAAAACAACTTTTTATTTTTACCCTACATTACTTTACATAATACTAAAAAAATATATTTCATGAAAAATGGAGAGAGTTGCTTGGCAGGATCCCGAGTACAATCCTGCCTGGGATATGATTTCCTAGGTGGGGAAACTATCTGAAATTTGAGGCAGGATCCCAAGAGGGATTGGTGGGATTCTAGGTTTAACCCTACCTGAAAAAGGCAGGATCCTACCTGGGACACACCTGGGATCCCAGGTGGGATTGGCAGGATCCCACCTTATCTTTTTACCTGGGTTCAGGCAGCCCGTAATAACCATTCGGGGCTAAAAAGATAGGGCAGCCTTACGTAGGTTATTAATAAATTATTATATTGAAGGGTGAGGTACCACACATGAGCACACATTACACACAAAAAAAAAGGGAAAAAACCAGCAGAAAAAGAAGACAAAAAACTGTAGGGATTAATTTCTGATGGTGTTTCCTAACTACTGTAAAATTCAGGAATTTCATTCAGGGTTGGGAAAGGGTAAATTGGTGGCTGCGAAGAGGAGTTTGCTTAGCAGATTACTTTCAAAATCTCAACCAAAAGAATAATGAATAGTATTTAAATCTCATATTTTCCTCAAGAATCCTCTTGAAAATTAATTAACTTTGAAGGTGTAAAATGAAGGTATTTTACAAGTAAAAGTATTTGTATTAGAGAACTTATAAATTATTATCTGTTGATTTATACATCAACTCATGTCTCAGTTATCTTAAAAATTGACAATTTTTTGGTAACTAAAGCAAGCCATGTTATTTTCAGCTCCAAAATATGTGAAAAAGCATGGAAGAATTTCAAAATTTTCTTATAGATATATATAATTATATATATTCTGGACTATCTGTGGGGAGAGGGCAAGGCTATTTGAGCCCTAGTTAGAGTATATCCAGGTACAAGCCTTAGTGAAATCGCTGCAGATTACCTAACTTCTAAGAATTCCTCAAGTGAGCACAAAATGTTCTATTATTTTCTTCACTAGGGTGCCCAAGGCCCCAGAGGACGACCAGGGGAGCCAGGGGAAACAGGAAATCAAGTAAGTCAAATTTTAATTTGTGTTTTTATCTTGTAGTTGTTTCAAAATCCTAGAGTTAATTATTTTTGTCCTAAATAAAGCCCCTTACTGTATGGAGTGGTCTGACTTCTTGTGTTAGCCCATGTGCTCACTTGTGGCTGTTCTGATAATGAGTCCAGTCCCTTGACCTACACTTTTTGACAGCCATGAAGATGTAATTTTTCCATAAGTCATAACTTGTTTAAAACTAATTTCATGATCCTAACTTGTCACTGATAACATCTGATAAGAGTCCTGGAGCAGTTTTAAATGAAAATCATGGGGCTAACACTTTACAGCCTTACATCTTACATTCTATTTATATTCTCCAAACCATTCTCTTTACATTTCCTGTGGTACTGACAAGGAGAATTTGTTGGACAATCAGGAGCTTCTTAAATTGGTGATCATTTATATCCTTCACTCTCTTGACCTTCACATTTGATTCACGGGTTACACTCTAAGGAGAAATTGGATGCCATTCACTTTAATGGATCAAAGGTTTAGTTAATTAGACTACAGTAATTAACTTCAACTTCCCCTGAATTGCTGCTAATGTGTATGTAGTTGTGGAAACAATCTTTCTCTTTTGTGTTGTTATAGGGACCAACTGGACCCGCAGGTACACCAGGCTTAGAGGGATCTGCTGTAAGTAAACTTCTTTCCTTTTTCCCGTCATTTACTATACTGCTTAGTTATAAACCATGTAATTATAATTAGGTTACACCTCTTCAATAATACTTTCTAAGTTGAAATCTCTTAATAGGAACTGATTTTGGCCGTTAAATCTCTAAAAGATGTGACCTTGTGGCATAATTGTGGCAAATAAACCAATTAATGTTTGTTTGATTCTCTTCAAAGGGTATTCCAGGAGAGACTGGAAGTGGGGGTAGTAGTGGAGCCCCTGGTGCTAAAGGTGACCAAGGTGTCCCAGGACAAGCTGGTCCAACTGGACGACCAGGTGCGCAAGGAGAGAATGGGGTGCAAGGACCTAAGGGAGATAGTGGAGCAGCAGGACTGCCTGGGGCAGAGGGAAGACCAGGCTACAAGGGTGATATGGTAATTAAAATACTGGTAGCTGTGGTTGTAAGATGTTTAAAATAATTAAGTACAGGCAAAACTTGGCTACAAGGATTTTTTTTTTTAATTTTAAAAAACTAGGGTGTTAAATTACACTTGGAGTGTGTTGTGAGTAAAAGTAGTGGTAATTAATGCCGTCACTAAATTGTCAGAAAATACTTGATTCAGGGATTGACAAACAGGAAGGCCGATGAGGAAAAAGGAATTGAAAGACCAGCACCAAACAGCAGATCTGAAGGATCAGTATTAATTGTGACTACTCTTTTGACAGGGAGTGGCAGGACCAATGGGACTGGTTGGTGAAATCGGACAAGAAGGAGCACCAGTATGTACTGATTAAATTGTTGATCTCCCTTCTGTCAGAATTTTTTATCATTTAGACTTGTTTTATTGCAAAACTTGGCTTCTTTTTCCTAGTGGGTGGCTGCTAAATGAAAACTGTATCTGTGGGTACCTCTCTTCATGTCATTAGAAGACACCACATGTGTGTGTGGTGTAATGGTTGCAGGGGTTTAAACAAAGGCCAGGGTTCAGTTTCGTTGTTACAGAAATTGAATGACTTTCATCTCTGGCCTAAAATAAATGGCAACATTAGATTTTTCTTGGAGTGCTTCTACAACATACTGATAATAACTTATAAGAATATGTATGGCATCTGTAAAAGTGTGATTATTTATAGCACAGTTAATATGTAACATTAACTGTGGACTTCTCATTGCTGTCTTTTTAGGGAACCCCTGGGTCAGCTGGACCACCTGGAAGAAGGGGAGACTCGGTAAGTTTTTTTTGAAAACTTTTCAAAGATTTTAATATTTTACAAATTTTTTGTTGCAGTCATCATCCTTTGTGCATTGTTTATATAGTACATGTAAGTCTTTGGCAAAGTGAATTGATGAAATATGAAATTTTCACAATTTGGATGAATTTCAAAAAAAGAAATGGTTTCTGCAGGTGAATTATGCAATGGAAATTTCCCTTGCTTCTAGCATGTGGCTTTTTGTAGCTTTGAAGTAGCACCAGCTAGTATCTGGGAGGTATGGTGTCTGTCAAGGCCTGAATTTGTTCAGGTTTCTTTTTGGTAATTGTTTCAACCGCAGTAGACCTGCAAGGATTATTTCTTTGCTTGATGTGGAATTTTCTCAGTAAGTTTTGGGGTATACTTCACCTTTAATTGATACAATATGAACCCCTCCCTTGGTAACTTGGTTTTTGAGGTACAAACTTTTTCTTCCACTTGTCCTTCAATATTTGTCTAGATTGGCTTAACTCATTCAAAAGTTACATTCAAGCTGGAGTCAGGACTCATCAATTCATTATAAAATGACTTACTTTCATGTTCAGAACAATTAGTTGGCTTAATAATCTGGATGTCAGATTATTTGTATTTGATCTATTGACAGGGAGCACCTGGTCCCCCTGGACCAAGAGGTTCACCAGGAGCTAAGGGTTCCGCAGTAAGTGTTGTTGGACCATATCTTTAATGTAAACACTCTTATAGGTCCTTCTCCTGAATAACCCCCATTATGATGAGCCACTTCCAATAATTGCCATGTATCTATGCTAAGAAGCCCCCCAATTCGAGAAAGGTTCCCTCTCTGACATACCCCCCTCCATAATCAGCCATGTGCGCCCTCTTTAAAAGCTCACTCCTATATACATGTATGCTGCCCTCTAATAAGCCTTGCTCTTTGATGATAAGTCTCTCAGATAAACCTTCTGTCTGGTAAACCCCCTCTCTACATAACCCTCTTTTCTATGACACTCCCTTTTCTATAACACCCCCTTTCTCTATCACTCCCTATTAATAAAACCTCCCTCCCTAATAAGCCTTGCTCTTGGATGATAAGTCTCTTAAATAAGCCTCCTGTATGGTAAACCCCCCTCCCTACATAACCCTCCTTTCAATAACACCCCCCTTTCGATGACACCCCTTCATTTAACACCCCCCTATTTATAAAATCTCCCTCTCTGATGAGCACTGCTCTTTGATGATAAGTCTCTTGAATAAGCCTCCTGTCTATTAAGCCCCTTTTTGGACACTTCCCTTTCTAAAACATCCCCTGTTTATAACACCTCTTTTTTGTAATATCTCCCTTCTTATAAAACCATCCTCTCTAATGAGCTGGTGCTCTTTGATGAGCTTCCCTCTTTGAAAAATCTTTTGTGTTGAACTTTTTAAGTCTCTACATGTAATCTTAATCTAATTGGAAGCTGTTTAATGTCTACATACCTGACTAAACTGCATGAAAAGACTGACAAATACTCAATTGCCTATAGGCATTTCATTGTTTCTTGGAAAAGTAAGAATTCATAGGATGATCTTTTTCATTTTTCTTTCCACAGGGAACTAAGGGAAATGTTGGCGCCATGGGTGTTAGAGGCCGTTCAGGCAGGAAGGTATGATCAATGCATATAAATTTAAGGATTTTAGTGTTTTGACAAGTCACTTCTGAGGTTAAAAATTTGTGATTTCATTCATTTAAGGGTAGACAAGGAAGGCCAGGAAAGCGAGGAAGTATGGGTGAAGCAGGAGCACAGGTTATATGAATCAAATAATTATTTGTATTAATTATTTATTGATATTAAAATAATAATAATAATAAATTCTGGCTTGGGGTGAAGCCAAATGGCTATTTGTTGCAATGTTTTGGAAGATCCTAATTGATCGATTAGACAAAGCTGATTGCTATAAAAGGGAAAAAGACCAAAAAAAAAACAAAAACAAAACAACAGATTTAAGGCCAACCTCAAGCTATGTAAATAAATTTATTTTCAGAACTTGTTGTGAAAGACATGTTTTGTAATTGCAGAACTTCTATTAAAAAAAAAGTTTGTTGAGAGAGATTTTTCTTTTTATCTAAAAAAGTTTCAATGAAGTTACTAAGTATGTAAATGAACCCCAAATACTTTTTTGAAAGGGGATCAAAGTAGGTTCATGTGACCCTCAAGAAGAGCCAATCAGAATTTTTAAATGGGACATAAAAAAATCAAGGGAATTAAAATATATTGTTTATTGATTCATTTATTTATGTCCTGCTGTGACACAGGGCAACCAAGGAGAAGCTGGTTACCGGGGAGCAGAAGGAAGAGCAGGTGAAAGGGTAAGAGATATTTTGTGAATCATAAATTTTCCTCAGATATCGCTTGGAGTTTGTTTTAATTTTTCCTTGTTTTCATGCTGTTCATCTGCATCTTTAAAATTAGCAACCTTATTATAAGCTGAGAAATTGTTTAAACACTGGCTAATTATTTATTAGATTTACAGTAGTTAATATCTTGTCTTATCATCACAGGGTGCCCAAGGTTCTCCAGGTGCTGATGGTTTGCCAGGAGCCAAAGGTGACCAGGTCTGTCAAATGACATTGATTTTGAAGGCATATTTATAATCTTGGAATTTTTTTGTATCATTAAAACATGTCATGAGGACACTTTTCCAGTATTTTCACAAAACACTTGAATGAAGACAATGTTTAGAAACAGTCAGTAGTAATTTAACTGGATGAATTTAACTTTCATTTTTGGGATGGTGATATTTATGAATTGAACAAGGTATCATCACCTAGTTCAGGAAAATCCTGATTTGCATTTACTCTTATAGATTTTGTTTTTGTTGCATGAATGGTAAGCAAACCTGATCATTCAGGGAAGTCTATTGTCAGTTGGAAGTGAAATTTTGTACACTATGGATTGAAAAGACCATTTCCACAAATTTTTGTTCTAGGAGGAAAATTCACCAATGAGAGTCCTTTTTCAAAAGAAATGTTGCATATGCATGTATACAAAACACATGGGAAAGGCATATGTTGTCTTACACAACCCAATATATATATATATATATAAAGTTCTGAGTTTCGAGTTCTGTCTGATGAGCGCTTAGGCGCAAAACTCAGATGGTCACATAGAATCAATGCAACCTCTTTACTTCTTTAACTTATGTATACTTAGCTCTGCTACCAGAGCATTGAGCACTTTATGCCTAGGTAGACTCTACCCCCACATTCATTTATAGATATATATATATATATATATATACACATATATGTATGTATGTATGTTAATATATATAAATATATCCACCTTTTCTTTATATATGTATATAGTTAAATATATCTATACCTATATCTATGTTCATTTTTGATTTACAGGGAAATGTAGGTGATTTTGGTGAAGAAGGAAGGGCAGGCATGAGGGTATGTTGCCTAAATGTAAAAAAATATATCTGTAATCTGGGTGCATGGAGAAGATTCTCTGGCATTGTTATCTTGCCTGTTCTATAACTTTTTTCGTCTTCACAGGGATCTCAAGGTCCAGCTGGCAAACCTGGAAGACCTGGTAATACTGGAGCACCGGTACGTTTTGTCAGGCATATTTGCTGATTAGAACGATTCTTAACATAATTACTAGTTAGTGAGGAATTTTGCTCTTCTTGAATCTATTTTGGTCTCTGTAGATCATTGATATCAAAGAGAAATGAGTTGCAGTAGTGTGCAAAAAAAGCTGAGACTTGCTGCACAAGTTTAACTTGGATGGTTAAAATGCTGACATGTATGGAATATGTAGTTTTTTAATTCCTTTGTTGATTTTTTCAGGGTCGACCTGGAGATGATGGCCGACCAGGCTCAGCAGGTTTCCCTGTGAGTATTAAAATAACTACATTTTTGAGAAACATCTTCTTAAGAGCTGCCCCATTGTTGTTTGAATTGAATGCATGCATCTCATTCTACTTCACCTTGGCAAGAGTAGGTTATGAGCAGTCCCTCCTTTGTGGCAAAGTTGAAAAAAAAAAAGGAAAAAAATTGATGTTAGTGCACATGTGTGCTGCACAGAACCCTGTAAATAGTGGCAGTTGGACCAAGTGGTCCAATTCAGTCTTAAATCATACAAGTGATTGCAAAATTGCATGAACTCAAGCAGGATTCTGATTTTTTGAAATTCCCCAGTCTTGTTGCTACAGTTATTATTATCAGCTCTGTGATTGGTGGATTGGGCTGAGTAGACTTAGTATGATTGGCTGTTCTAACTGTCCAATTACAGGTATTTGGTAAGATGTCTCAAATTACAGGTGTCTGTTAAACATGCAGTCAACTGTCTTATTAGTCTGATTACAACTCAACAGTTTAATAGGTGAAAATTAATTAGTGGATGTACAAATCACATTTGTGGAAATTGGAATGGATATGATTAAAGGAGTAATATTATAATCCAGTTGTTGCATGGTAATTCATTACTAATCTCAGCTGGCAGTTAGAAGGTAGCAGTAAGTAGTGGTATTGTTAAATATAGGGCATTAAATGTCTGAGTTTTGATTTTACATCATAAGTGTGTTAGATCAGTTCTTCATTTTACATGTGTTTTTCCTTTCTTCATTTCAGGGCCCTTCCGGTGCACAAGGTGCCCCAGGATTCAGTGGAGCCAAAGGATCCATGGTGAGTACTAGAAATACAACTCAAGATTTAAAGAAGATGCATTTCTTAAATGCAGTGGGCATTGTCGACCATTTATTTTGTGCTAGCTACTGTCCTCTGTTCTGAGTTGACTGTTTGTTAGCCTCTGTCTACTGTCCATCACGCATTTTCTTCTAGTTTTTGTCTACTATCCACTGTCCACTCTCTACTATCCACTGTCCACTGTCCATCATCCACTGTCCATTGTCAACTGTCCACTATCCACTACCCACTGTCCACATCCATTGTCCACTATCCACCATCCACTGTCCACCATCCACTACCCACTGTCCACCATCCACTACCGACCATCCACTCCATGGTCGTTTTTCAGTTTCTTTTAAAACAGGTATGGACTTTTCCACTATCCCCCGTTCACTATCCACTCCCCACCGTCCATTGTCCACTCTCCATCGTCCACTACCCACTGTCCACCATCCACCATCCACCATTTACTGTCCACTATCCACCATTTACTGTCCACTATCCACCATTTACTGTCCACTATCCACTCCACTATCCATCATCCGCCATCCACTGTCTATTGTCTACTGTCCACTATCCACGGTCCACCATCCACTGTCTACTGTTCGCTTTCCACTGATATGGTGTGTTTTTTTGTTGATAGGGCAATTCAGGTCGAGATGGTGCTCCTGGTAGCCCTGGCTCTAGAGGAATGAAGGTCAGATTAACTGTATAAAATGAAGTGCAATTAAATGCTTAAGTAAAACTCTGATATAATTTTTTAATTTTATCTTCATTTAGTTCTTAGTCCCCTCGCATTTTGTCTTATAGCTGACTCACTACTTAAGTTGAATACTTTTTTGTCACCAGGGTAACAGAGGTGCAAGAGGTCAACAAGGAAAGCCGGGAAACCCTGGAAGAGAGGTGGGTACTTTCTTGCAAAGTTGCCCTCTGATTTCCTCTAAGGGCCTCATCCTTATTTACGAGAGAGAATTTATTTGATAATAAAATACTGGCTCTTCTACCTTGGTTAATGGGTCAACTATTTTTAGGACTGACTGAGTAATGAATGTTTCACTTCAGGGTCGTCGTGGAGAAAGAGGAGAACCGGGTCTGCAAGGACCTCTGGGAGGACAGGTAAGCCACGAGCCATGGCACGTGAGCGTCACAAGGTCAAACCATAAGTGCATGAATCACATGGTTTGAATAACAGCTTGTAGTGGTTTATCTTCTCTTTTTAATGGGTTGGTTACCAGCTTGTAGCCTTTACACAACATTATTGTGCTCCTAACAAATATGTAGTTTACAGGAAAATAACAGGAAGTGACTTTTACCGTTTCTATTGTAGGGCCCCACAGGAAAAATAGGACCAACTGGTGTGCCTGGTAACACTGGAAATCCGGTGAGTTAGTGTATGTAATGGTTTGGGCCCGAGGGCAATTAAGGATAAATTCTCAAAGTTTTCTCAAAATTGCCTCGTCATTTCGCTTCGCGACTTGGGCAATTTTGGGAAGACTTTGGAAATACAAGTGAAATTAATCCTTAATTGCCCTCGGGCACTTGCGATTACTTGTTTATGACATAAACGACAAATTTTTTGAGGGAATTGCATTTGCGCACGATGTCCGCGCGATAAAGCCCTTTCAGTGCCGCCATTAATGTCAAAACAAACGTAACTGACCTGTAGATTCAATGAACATTTTATTCTCAAAATACAGTTGACAACGTCACACGGCTTCGTTTAGTTAAATTGCATTAAATAAATCGTTACCGCAAACAGCAAAAATGCTCAATCATCGTTAAGTAATCATGCCCTCTTGATTACCAAAAGTAACCTCGTGATTAAGAAAAAATGCCCTCTGTTTCCGCCAATCCGCATTCAGTAATTTTGCCCCGCATGGGACAGGTGTGTAGAACAATTGGGACATGTTTACAATTACTTGTTTAAAAAGTACATTCGGAGAGCAGAAACGTTTTTCAGAGAAGAATCTTAGGACTTAACTTCGAGCGTTGAAGGAGAGGCAAACTGAAGGAAATTGTACTTGATGTAAGAAAGGATTTTGAGGGGATGAGGAGAAAAATATTCTCCAATGAACACAATAAAGAGAAGGTTTTGTAGAGTAACGTTGAATTAGATAAAAAAGCTTGATCACAATTAAGGGCTGAAAAATTTTGCTATCCGTGACTTATGCCCTTCCCAACCTCTTAAGATGTCACAGACGTTTACTTTCTTGTAATATTCAACATTGCTGCAACGTCTCATCACTATTCTTTAAAATTTCTCTTTTATACAGGGTATGCGAGGTGAAAGAGGAAAAGATGGAAAGACAGGAGAAGCGGTGAGAGGAATTTTCTTTGAATCACAAATTACAGGCGCGTTTTTCTCAAACGCTTCTACTCTTCTGTACCGAGGAAAGACTGTTGCCTTAGGGTTTATTCCAGTTTATGTTTTAAAGCCACAATTTGCTTCAGATCGCTGAGCTTTCTAGAAAAATGCTGTGAAATTTCACTGTTATTTTAGTCAGTAGAAACTTCTCAAAGGTCACGGTACTATTATTTTGTAAAAATTACTTCTCGATTTGTACTTCCGGCGCTTGGATTGTTCTCACCGTAACAGTCTCTTTGAGGTGAAATTCCTCAATTTCTGCATCCGTTAGTGTGGTGACTAATTGTCCTAGGTTATGATTTATTTTGCAGGGTAACCGTGGAGAAGCTGGAGAGCCAGGCCCTGTTGGCGTACCGGTATAGTTTCTCGACTTATGACGCTTGTTTGTTTTTCGCTTTTTGTTTTGATGATCTGATGAGCCGAAACTATAAAGGTCTGTAAACGAAGACCTCTGTCATAATCATGTTTTGTTTTGGTGGTTTTCAGGGCCCAGTTGGAATGGCTGGAGACGATGGATTGAGTGGGGATGATGGCATACCGGTAAGGGGAAGTAATTCTTTTTACTAGGTGTGAGAAAAATCGAGGCAATTTAGTATCTGAACGCCGCAGTTCGATTTTGAATACATGACTCGCAACTGACACGCGACTCCTGCTCCGAAAGAAACTGGAACGTAATGCGTAGGAACGTTAGAACTTGCACTAATGCAACAGCATTGACAGTAATGTTTGTTCTTCAATGATTTAAGTTAAACGTCAATATTCAATTCTTCTAAGGGAGACAAAGGACCGGATGGGAAGCGAGGAGCGACAGGCGCTGCTGGATCACCGGTATGTTGTTATTGTAAACAGAGAGGTTATAAGAAGATAAAACGACTAAGGCAACACTATTTTTTTTTTTTTGCCATTTCTCAGAGCTAAATCATGACAATGTTTATCAGACAGAGAAGATAATTAATTTCGAGATCTCTCAGGTGAAAAAGATTTGGTGTTGTTTTTTTTTTCAATATTTATCGTTGAATAGAAAACTTTTTTACTGTTGAATCTGATTGGATTAGAGAATGGAGTCAGTTTTCTTGACCAATCACAAAGCGTCTTTAACCAAACTCAAAGCAAGCTTCTTTACCTCCGCTGTTTATTTTAAAATAGCAGATTAAACAGCATTAGTAGTAATTACCTGATATTCAGTGAAACCAAAAGACTATCAACATACTCTTTTTTTGTTAGAACACTTTTCGACTAAGTGTCGTTAAACCAAAACTACAGAAATGATAATAACCAATCAGAACAAAGGAACATATCATAAGGAGCCAATGAGAACTGGAAGGAAAAAAAGAAGATTGCCTGAAGCGCGGGAAAACGCGGTTTTAGTTTTGAATCTGATTGGTTGAAAGAAAGGCGCGAGTTTTTTCGACCAATCACATTACGAAGCAAAGCAAAACCTAAGCAATCCTGAATTATATTCGACACTCGATTCAAAGTTGCTCGAAATGTTTCTATATTAAAGATAATATTCTTTTATTTTTTTTGTTGTGTTAGGGTTTCCCAGGACTTCCTGGTAGAACTGGTACCTCCGGAAAGAAAGGAGAACCTGTAAGTGATTTTTGGCGATTTAAAATGATTATTTAACTAACTATGAGGAGTCTTCCAGTCGAGATACAATGTACTGATAAAACCCTCACTCAAAGAAAGATGTTATTTGTTTTTCACGGAAGTGAAACAACGAAACGAGGAATGAAACCTCAGGTTACAGTTGTTCGAAGCGTGGATAGCTTTATTCAAAGATAAAGTTCTATATCGTGGATAACGCAGTACTTTTTCTTAACACTATCCGGTGGATGGCGATTTATCCATTGGAAAGTGTTATCCGTTCTTTGACCAACCCAACCCAGATCTTTGATGGTTTACCAACGTGCAGCAGAGAGCTCGTTGAAGGACCACGCTATTTCCAGGTCGACTTATGGCAAGTGTTATGCGTACTTCAAGGATCAGCATTGTTAAAAGTGTCATATAAAAAAGCGGTGATAGACCGCTTTCATCTTGCAACAGTGGCCCTTGTTCAATTCTCGGACGGGCGTTGCATGTGGGTTGATTTTATTGTTGGTTCTCGTCCTTGCGCTGAGGATCTTTCTACTAGTCCTCCTGTTTTCCTCTCTGAAATGAATTTGACATTAAACTATCATTTCAAATTCCAGAATCATTGTACAAGAAGAGCCACTTAGTAGAATGTCCATTGCTTAATTCCCATTTCCTCCCTTCCAAGTTTGAGCTCGGCCGTTTAATGAGGAAAGATGTTATTTGTTTTGTCTTGAGCGTGGCACGAAGTGTCAGTGAGGGTTCTCTAAAAGGAATCGAAGCCCCTGCCTTGAGATTTTATACTGTACTAGTGAGCTGCGGAAAAATCGATGTTGCGTCAGGCCATATTGTAATTTCGTGTGCCAAATGTCCAGCTTCTAGGATCAGAAATGAAGATTTTAAGATTCTAAGATCAGCCTTGTGGTGGATGGAATGATAAAGCAAATGAATTTTGAGCTTGGTAGTCGAATAAAGAAAGATGTTTTTTCGTTTTTTCCCATGAGGTAAGACAAAGAAAACCATGAAGGTTCCCACACGAAATCAAACCTCAGACCTTCGGATTCCGCGCTCTGATGCTCTGCCAATGGGCCACAGAGAACCCAATGATGAACTCGGGCAATACCGTTTGGGTTAACAACATGTGGAAAAAAGGATACGAAATTGAATAATCTTTCTTTTTTTGTTTTGTTTAGGGATCTGCTGGACCTGGAGGTTCCCCTGGTTCTGACGGAAACGATGGTGCTCCGGTAGGAAAAATGCTCAATTGGTGTCTTATCTTTGAAATGCAATCTTGAATTGTGGAAAAAAAATCCTGATCAAGAGCGTTGTTTTATTTTTTGGTAGGGTTTGGATGGGGTTCCTGGAAGTGTTGGCCCGCCTGGGTTGCCTGGACCGAAGGTGCACTTTATTTTGAGAAGTTGCCTTTAAGATAGGATGATTTTCGGTTGATTTTTCTCTAGAAAACACAGAGTTGTCTTTGGCGGTCTTAAAATTTAAGTACTCTTGCTTGTTTAGCAAAACAAAATAGCGTTATGCATGTTTCCAGGTTTTTCTGCTTCTAGTGTTGCGTTTTCAGTATCTAATGTGAAAATGATTCTCCCAGGGACAAGATGGTTCTCCTGGAATTCCTGGACTTAGAGGAAAACGCGGAGATCAGGTGAGACACTTTGAGCCATTCTACTTACATCAGTCATTTAACTGAGAATGCTGTCCATTAGACTGAGCCCGCAGTTCGTTAGCTGCATGACGATAAAGAGTTTTTTTGAAGTTTGCATATTGGATATTGGATATTCTGGATATTGGATATTCTGCTGGTTCACTTGGAGAACAGCACTTACATCGATATTTTCTCGCCTGATCTGCAGTGAAGCTTAAATCTGATCTAATTCTGAGTTTAAGCAAAAATTTTACCTGTCTGAGTTGATCACCAACGCTCAGCTTTCAATGAAATAAAGCGATTGTACTTTGGGTCACACAGCGGTCAAACGTTGGGCATGCATAAATAGATAAATTTCCACCAGCGGCGTGCAAATTTTTTGCGAAAAATGAAAGAGAAATACCCAATTACCAATCTGTTACACCCAAGTTTTCGTTAAAAATCGAAACTATAACTCTGTTAAAGGGAACAAAAGTGGAGAAAGTGACAACTCGAGACTTTCAGAAGTCAAAGTTCAATAACTTTAGATATTTTGTTTTTAGCTTTAGAGAAAACGTTATGCGCTCCTAAAACAAAGTTAATTACTGGATTATGTGGTCGTTTTTAATCCTGCAGCACATCTTGAAGTCTCATCTGAGAGTCTTGAAGCACGATATCGAGTCGCTTCTCAGACTTTACAACGTTCAGACATGCGGAGGTGTCTGACTACTATGTTTCTTTTTTTCGTGCAGGGTTTACGAGGCCCAGTTGGCTCGCCAGGCACTCCTGGACAAGCTGGAATGTCGGTTTGTACCCAAACGTTTCTAATTTGTGCAGGATTCAGTTTTAATCGTAATTGTAAATGATGAGATGGTTTGAAGGCTCCGGAGCACCCCCCTCCCCCTCTATCCCATCAGATCTGTGAGCTTTGTTACAAGTTGTCTGATCAAACTTTTTTGCCACGACAGGGTCGCGTTTGCTTCTCAACTACCTGATTCGCGTGTGCGCGTGTGCGAGTACTTGTAAGTGTGCGCGTGCGTGATTGCGCGTGTGCGTGCGAGTGCAACTGCGAGTGAACAGAGGAACGGGTATAGGTTTGTCGGGTAGTATCAATGGACCCCCTCCACCCATCGTAAATTTCTGGATTCGCCCCTATGAACGACCTTTGGTACTGGACAAGTAGTGATTTCACTTTCAGTAGTATTCACTTTTAGGATTGATTTTTTTAATTTGATCTTTTAGGGACCCACTGGACCTCGGGGACCAATCGGGTTGAAAGGAAATTTTGGTGAGAAGGTATGTGGTATCAGAATACGGGATACGGGATTACGGGATACGGGATTACGGGATACGGGATTACGGATTACGGGATTACGGATTACGGGATACGGGTTTGGTCATAGTCAAATAATTGGCTGGAATTTTTTTTTTGCGATTTTGCCGTGTTTGTTTGCCATTTTTGTTTCTTTTTCCCACTCCTTCAGTTTTTTAATTTTTTCTACAAATCTTGGATGCTATATATTGAAAAACAACTAGAGCACATGATTATGTTTGCGTAATGCGTTAACATTATAGTCGAATTCTGACGTGCAAGTTTAAGGCCTTGATCGGTCGTTTCATCTCAAGGATTCTTGATTTCTAGGGAGCTTTTGATTTAAAATTTTTTTAAAATCAAATAATGTATCTTTTCTTTACAGGGACGTAAAGGAGACGAAGGACCATTTGGCTCCAAAGGACCACAAGGTGGCGCGGTAAGATTTGAAAGAAGCCGCTGAAATTGTGGGCAAGACATTGTGCTTACTCTCTGCGGATGGGAAGCTGTATAAAATGCTTTTCGAGTTTAAAGAGAAGTTTAGTCTAGAATCCGTGTAATTTTTACCTCTGCCTTTGAAACATAGAAACATTTACTATTTTATAACAGTTTGAATAACTGTTCGGAAAGTGTCCAACCATAATCGTCGCCATTTTGAGTAATTAGTAACCTGGCCGCACACGCAAAATGGCGGGAAAAGCAATGTGTATTTTACAAACAGCTGCTTGGTGAATTTCAATCCATCCTCCCCCCCCCCCCATCCTCCCCGTTCCGACTCAGCACTTAGTAATACGTTGTTTATATTCCTAGGGGGATTCCGGTCCCGAGGGAAACAAAGGAGACACGGGCGGACCCGGTTACCAGGTAAGTGAGGAGGACAAACGTGTTGGTAACTTTCTCTTTCGCTTTTTTGCTCAATTTTCCATAATTGGCTCAGGAATTGGCTCAGAAATAGATTGTAACGTAGCTCCCCTACGGAAAGTTTTCAGTCCCCTTCAAAGGTAGTTTTATGGGGTGTTAAGGAAAAATAATTGATGGAGCTCCTTTAAACTTACAGGAATTTTTTTTTTCTAAGAGCGCATGCGCAGTATTTTAGGTCCCTTCTTGGTCAAGACGATAGACGATAGTAATATAAATATAAACAAACTTGGTGCGAACTGGCTACTGGTTCTGTAACTGGCTGAGAAGTTGGGAGAATATGTACTTAACGACTTAAGGGTAGGCTGGAGGGGGGAGGAAAATATTTGGTTCGAGGTCATGATGCACGGGCGGAGCGTAGATTTTACTTTGAGGGTATTGTTGTTGTAGGGGCACTATTAGATTGTTGATATTTTTCTCCCTTCTAATGGTCAGTATATGGAAGAGGTTCCTTTTCTTATCCATCCGCATGTTATGCGATTTATTTTATAGGGAAACCGAGGTTCCGCTGGATCAACTGGTCAACCTGGATCTCAGGGGCCCCCTGTAAGTGGTCGCTTTTGTTTGTGTTACGAATGTGCGTTGCGTGAAGAGCAGTTTTGCGACGAAATCCTTACGAGATTAGACCAAGAATAGGTACGATGGAGGCCATAGCAGCACGAACTTGTGATGGACCGGAATAGCGCTTGGAGAACAAAGAGATTTTCTTGTTTTGTAAAACTTCCATATATTCACAACCGTTTTAAACTAAATTAGGAACTAACAGGTAGAATTTTTTTCAGTAAAAGTTTTTCTTATTTAAATAGCAAACAGATAGCTTCAGTTAATACTAACGTGCATTTTATTAATGATATACTAACAATAGTAAACCTCACAAAAACATACTCAACAGAGGTTTATTAAAGAGATGTGAACCTTTCCTGAACGATTTTTGGAGAAGTGCTATTTAACAGTACTTGGTTTACTGCTTACGATAAATCTCTTAAAATTTCCTCTTTTTCTTCCAGGGACCAGTTGGACCCTCAGGAATGTCGGGAAAACCAGGACTTTCCGGTGTTAAGGTAAAATTTCTACGTCTTTGCCTTACAGCAGCGAAAAGCTAAGATTGAGAGGAATTTTTGATCGTGGTATTAAGAAATACAGTTTTTCTCATGCCTTCTTCACCTGGTAAGTTCTATTGTCTCTACGCGTGTCGCACGTGATATTATGGCTGGTTGACTAGGTTTATTTGTGTTTCCTAGTTTTACGGAGTGTTCAAATTTTATCTGTTTTCGCCTAGGACGCACTTCGGCCAGTCGTTTGGAGTTGCAGATTTTGAGAGCTTTAGTGTTAGCTAAAATGCTTTATGCAATTCATTGAATTAATTTCTTTATTTTTTGTTTTTGTTTTCGTTTGAGTCCAAGACTGGAAATGTTTTGTTTCTCTTTCCCAACTGAACTACTTTTTTATGTTTTTGGAAAAGAACTGATTAGACAAACCAAATCCAGAGACACTAGCTGGTTGAAAATTTGAATATTTCTTTTTTTTTTTTTTTTTCCGCCGAGCAACCAAGCCTTTTTTAAGGAGAAAAAAAAGACGATTGGAATTGGAACATTTTATGGAGATGTTCTTTTTGGATTGGATTTCCTGAATAAGTGATTTTGAGCCAAAAGAAAAGGGATTCGCGAGTACATCACACTGCGAAGAACCAATCGGATTACCAAGATCGCCAGTGTTTTCAAAGTGGGTGTGGTTAATGTGAAAATTATTATTTGATTGATGTGACAGGGTGCGGTTGGACCTCTCGGAAGAAGCGGTTCGCCTGGGCTACCTGGACAACCGGTAATGCAGAAGTAGATTTGTAGTTTTTTCTTTTCTGTCGTTTCTTTTTGTTTCCAACTAAAGAAGGCGATTTATCATTTCGTTGCTTCTCTTATCAGTATAAGAATGCAACAAATGATACGCGGTTGTAGAAAGCTTGATTTTTCCGCCTCAAATATTAGTAATTTTGATCACGGCGCCTGTGGTCATGTGGCGTGTGTTCTGGTTCCCTCTTTAGCTAAATATAAAACATGTAGCTATCTATTAATTTGCAAGTTATATTTATACCAAGGGGTCCGATTTAGCTACGGCTGGTTTGAAGGGAGGCTTGTTTTCATTAACTAGTGAAATATTTCCACAATATTTATAACAAATGCAGTTATTAAAAAAAATTTAAAAGTTTGATCAATAAAGATCATCGTTTAGTTTCCTGGCGATCCTCCCAATTCTAATTAGAGAAAAGAAAGAACTAATTTAGATTTTTGGTTGAAGTTATGAAGTGATGTTTTGTCGCTTTAATTTGATGGTGAGGTATTCAACTCCACTTTATATCGTAAAAATCTTAATTGCCCCTTAAAATTCTTAAAAGAATTTTAAGTAAGGGCAAGATCATATTCACAGGTGTTGTAGGTGTGGAATTTGCGTGAATAAGAAAAATCCTAAAATCATGGTCAGTGTTACTTCTTAACCGTCTCTTTTTTACCTTTAGGGGTTGCCTGGTCGAGATGGAGCTCCCGGAGCCTCTGGTGGAGACGGGCGTGTAGTAAGTTTTCTGATTTGAACCTTAAGTGTAAATCTTAAAGATTGACAGAAGTCTGTTGCTAGTTCCCAAGGAGCGGTGGTGGTGGTGGTAGTTGTTGTAAACTTGTAAATTTGCTATTTGTTTCTCTTTGAGCTTCAATACTCAACATAGGTCAATCTGTACAAAAAGGTTAAAAATGACAACTGTTGGAACTTTATAACCAAAAGCAACCCTACATTCTTCTCGAGTGTCGCTAAGAGTCCCGGAAACGTTTTAAAATAGCTGCATTAATTTAATTGCCTGCGTTAGTGTGAGCTCGATTTATCAGAGCGTGAGCATCAGAGGGAGCTTTCTCTTGTGAGCTTTCTCTTGTGAGTCTGCTTTATTGTGCGCACGCTACCTACTTATACAGTCTTTAATAGAATTCTTTTGTATATTTATTCATTAGGGAAATATTGGACCAATAGGACCCGTCGGACCTAAGGGCGAAGTTGGGCGTGAGGTGGGTACATTGACCGTTGTAAACTAAATCGTGGAAAGCTTTGGAAATTTGAGCGTGGATCTTGGAACATTTATTTATTGATTAATAAATAATTAACGATTTACATTTTAGATAACTTTATAACCATTGCAGTGGTATTCTAGAGAAACAAATGTGTACTACTGATGTTTATCACCGTAGAATGTGCTCATTCAAAAATTGTCATCAACGTTTTGATGGCCTAAGAAGAAGGGTTTGCATGGTTAATTTTTCCTGAAATTGAATTTCGGGATCGTAACGACTTTTGATAAATTCCTATGTTAAACAATATGGAGGGAAATAACTGTTGCCTCGTTTCAAGTCAAAGGCTTTTAAATACTTTTTTAGATTTCAAAGGTGCGAAAGAGGCAAAGAGGGTTGATTGACATAAATATAAAAGAAGAGTATGTGAAATTTGTGAGCATTTTGGGATAACGTGAAAAGGCCCTAAATGCTGAAGTAACTTATGCTATTTTTTACGTTTAGGGTCCTCCAGGCCCACCCGGTCGCACCGGGGCTGAGGGTGAAATGGGTGAAGGGGTAAGATTTGCAAAAAATGTGTTTGTAAAAATGTACTATAAAGGTACGAAAAAGTTCTCTTTGTGAGGTTTAATTCTTCTCTTTACGAGCAACAAAATTTGCTTAGTTGTTGTTATCAGAAGTAATTGATCCCTTCCCAACAGAAAAACTTCAAAGCTGCTCATGGTTTTTACCACTGCGTTGTTTTCACGAAAACGTACCTGTCATGTTGACGAGCTGTTTCGCTTTTTACCCGCGGCTAAAATAATGCAGGGTTGCGCGTGCTTATTGTTTTACTGTCTCGAAAAACTCGATTTCGCAATTGTGCTTGTTGTGGAATTCAGATATCTCTCAGGAATTGCTCACGCACCGCTCTTTTCTTGCAGGGTGCCCCAGGTGTTCCAGGATTTCCCGGAAATCCTGGAGAAAGCGGTACACTGGTAAATATTTACTATACTGAATGAATGATTTTGTAAGGCAATCGGAAAAGGTTTAGTAATCTTCTATCGAGTTTGTCCGCATTCCTCCGAGTGTCGTGACACCAAAACGACGGCATCGAAAGTTCCAAGCGGAAAAATGGAAGTATGACAAAGAGGGAATCAGAAATTAAATTAAACACATGCAAACTGCCTCGGAGGTAGGAAAATGCGAAGGATTAAGCCGTTAAAAGTACTAAAAATCTTCGTATCTTACAGGTTGAAGAGGTAGCACAAGTTTTAACTGCCTCTTACAGAATGCAGTAGAGCAAAACCACTTTCCCTTTTAGATTACTTTCGACACTGAATTGAAAAATCATCTTTGAGTGAGAGCAAGCATAACCAAGAAAAAGAGATAGAATTTTATATTGTTCTTCCTGCTGAACAATTATAATTTTCCATAGGGTTACCCTGGTCCTCACGGAAGACCTGGCCAAGACGGAGCCAAAGGCCTACCAGTAAGTACCCTGCAATGTGTTTCAAGCCGTCACTGAGGCTTGTCAATGTCAAACTAGATAAAATAGATAAGACTCCTATCAATTTAGCAAGCCTACCTCCCTCTTAGGTGCAAAGTATCAAGTTTCTATGACGCTCTCCTCTGTCGTTTCAGTTTTAAATAGACTTATATTCTTATATTGTTACACTTTCTTTGGTCTCAGTTGAAAAAGAATTGTAGTTAACAAGATTTATCCTATGGAAAACTCATGTTACCCACGTGAAGTCTTTCCTGCTAGTAATGTGCTGTTGTTGTTGTTGTTGTTGTTGTTGTTGTTGTTGTCGTTGTTGTCTTTTTTTTGTTCACGAATTGTGATAATTGTTTTTGCTATACGTCAGGGTGAAAATGGGTTTGACGGAACTCCGGGAACTCCTGGGGAAAATGGAGGAGAGGTAAGAATAAAATAATACGAGGAAAGAGAGAAAGGCTTCTTACTTTTAATTGCTCTGATATGAAATTCGCAGCGACGATTTTAGTTGATTCTTGTGCTGTTTGGTGTGATACAGTCGAAATTTCTAGAGAGATCGCCTCCAGCAAAAGATCGCTTTCACCATCTTACAGCCCGCGCACGAAAGGTTAACCGAAGAGCGCGCCCGCCTTTTCTCCCGCTTATATATAGGATTGAATGTAGACAAATGATGCGGTGCTTGCTCCGTATAACTTTTTAAATTTTTTTTTATTATTATTCCACCGTTGCCCATTTTATTTGGGTATTGGACGCACAAAATATGCCCCAGTATTGCACTGTAGAACTGGACAAAAATACGGACGGAGAAAACGGAGCAACTGAATGGTGCACTAGACGATCCAAACTTTGAATTTTTTATTTTATTTTAGGCTTCTCTTTTCAAGCAACGATCTTAAAAGTCCACAATATTTTTTTTGTTGTCTACTTCTTTTGCGCATCGTGCATCTTTTGCGATCGATATGACGTCCCGGCTCTAGGATGTATTTCGAAAACTAAAAGCTTAAATACTGGTGGACATAATATAAATGGAATTATAAATCCCTTCTTCGATGGTTTGACATTTAAAACAAGCGGACATTTTGCTTATTGCCTGCAGTTTTACACAACTCGTAAAATATCCGCGTATTCCATGTTCAACCATAGATTAAGGAGTATGTATTTGACTAATTTTGTGTCTTGGGGAGCTTTTTTCTTTTGCCTATTTCTCGATGACTGATTCTTAGTAATGGTATTCTCTCTTGGTTGTGTTTCTGACCTGTTTGTGTTTGTATACGTTGTCAGGGCGACCAGGGCGAGAGAGGGCCACCAGGCCCCAACGGAGTCGCTGGAACTAGTGGACCGCCCGGATCAACTGGTGAAAAAGGAGAAGAGGGCCCGGAAGGGGAACCAGTGAGTAAAAACAAAACAACCCCAACCCCTCTATTTCTGGAGAGATACTTACTAGAAGCTCCGGTAATAGGACGGGTCATATCGGAAAGTTCCACAACCAATGACAATTAGGCAGGAAACATTATTAGCAACCCCTCTATCTCTGGAGAGATACTTACTAGAAGCTCCGGTAATAGGACGGGTCATATATGAAAGTTCCACAACCAATGACAATTAGGCAGGAAACATTATTAGCTAATGAGATTTTACTACTTCCGAGTGCGTAGCAATCAAAATTAAGGAAGTAACTTGTGTGAGAAGGTTCGTCTGCTTCAGCTTCAGTGTCAGAATCAAAAAACCGTAACTCCTCGAATAAGTGCCCGAGTACTTTTTTAAAATTTCGACTAAAGGGGTGATGAGAGGGGCGCTTATTCGAAATATATTTCACATAAAAATCGAGAGAGAATGACCTACTAGTGTTTGAATTTTGACAAGACAGGCTCATGCACATCGTCAGTCTTCTCGCTCTACTCACTCTATAGTACGACATAGATTTTGAAAAGCTTAGCCAATCAGATTGCAACATTTGCGTAAGAACGCCAGCAGATTTGTACCAATTTATAAAAGAATTTTCTTGCCGCATAAAAGAGGATAATCGAGTTCCTAATTTCATTTCAGCCTGATGCTGCACGGTGGTACTAATTTGCATTTCCTGCCAGATTATTTCCTGACTTATATCCTACTCAGACCTTTTAAATTTTCTTATTTGTTATTTTCCTTCAGGGCGACGAAGGTGTGAACGGAGATTTTGGTAAAGTTGGGGAACGAGGCCCAGATGTAAGAATTATCGACATCTTGTTTCTCTGTACGATACCATATCCATATCAACTGCACAATTATTTGAGAGTAGACACTCACCGGGTTGAAAAGGGGATCTGAAATGGTCTGAAGTCAAAACTGGCTTACGCTATTTGAATCTCGCCCGAACTGACCTGTCAATTTTCAAGACGTGAACTTTTAACACTCGACTTCCAGACAACTCCCTCTAGATTCCGATGACGACTTCCGCTCGGGTTGTCGTTACGAGTCTTCTCCCTCACCTGGCCAATCAAAAATGGTCAGCGACACCAACAACAATGAAGACTTAAAAGTCATAGAATATGATGATTATCATAAGAAATAATAACATTGTTTGTTGGTTTGTTTGTTTACATCCAGGGTGGGGAAGGTGGACCGGGAGACCCAGGAGACCCAGGAATATCAGGAGAAGGGGTAATTTTTTTTATTGTTTTGTTTGTTTTTTTTCCTTTTCTTTATTTATTGTTATTTCCCTGACATCTCACTTGCTTTCATCTTTGCCTTTGTCATGGCAATTTCTATTTCCATTTGCATTGCCAATACAATTGCCATTGCTATTGCCATTGCCACTGCCATCGCTAATGCAATTGCTATTGCCATTGCCAATTTCCATTTTCATTTCCATTGCCACTACAACTGCCATTGCCATTACCATTGCCATTACCATTACCAATGCAATAGGCCATTTTTGATGTATTAAAATTCTAACTTGGCTCCGAAGCTATGGGAAATAAAACGAAAGATATTCATTATTCATCCCTCAACCTCGTTGTGGTTTCTTTTGTATTATTCCCCCAAGCCTTGGAGCCAAGTTTGAACTTTGATATATCGAAAATGACCCATTGCCATTGCCACTACCATTACCAGTGCAATTGCGATTGCCATTGCCAAAACCAATAACATTATTGCCACTCTCACTACCCTTGACATAAACATTTTCATTGCCGTTACTATTGTCAATGCAATTGCCTTTGCCGTTGTCAGTGTAATTTCTTTTTTTTGATTGTCATTGTGATTGCTGATCACTTTAAACGTCACTCTTACAGGGAGATCCTGGATATACTGGAAAGCCTGGAAATATGGGACGCATGGGCCAGGAAGTAAGCACAGGAATAATTCCTTACATAAAGAACATAAAGAACATAAGGGTTGCAACATTTATGGGAACAAGCAGGTAATTTAGTGTTAACAACTGGGTTGAAAACGTAAATTAGCCACCGTAAAGGGTAAAAAAGCTGACGTTTCGAGCGTTAGCCCTTCGCCCATGACGAAGGGCTAACGCTCGAAACGTCAACTTTTTTACCCTTTACGGTGGCTAATTTACGTTTTCAACCCAGTTGTTAACACTAAATTACCTGCTATACTCTCCCACCGACGCAGCACCACAGTTTCTTTAAAAACTTACCCCTTTATTCATTTATGGGAACAAGTCAGGAAATCCTTGACAAAATATATATCTGCGCGATATTCTTTTGTCGCCGCAGTAAGAAGCACAAATTCAAAGTGTTGTATCACACACTACACGAGAAGTGGTGTGTCGCAGAGATCAGTTACAGCGGTTTGATTCCTCGTATGTAACGGCCATTTGTATTTCCTCTAGAATACCAAAAGTTACCACATACTTATGATGTTTTGTCACATTTTGACAGGGCGAGGAGGGTCCATCGGGAAGAAACGGGTCAGAAGGCCTCCCTGGTCCAAAGGTGAGAAGACTGGTATCCATGCGACTCTCATGAATAATCAGCAAATAAATCCTCGTTAAACATTTGATGCTTTCATCAGATTAGACACTGCCCTTGTTTGAGGCAAATCCAGGGAAGTGGCAAGGAGAGCGGGGGGTTGGGCAAAAATATCAATGCTGCATCGCAATCTCACTTCGTACCAACAACACATGAACGTCTTCTCAAAGACCCTGTTTGTTATGAACTGGAAAAAATAAACCATGATAAAGGTGGGGGAAAGGGAGCAGGAGGGGAGGGGGGGGGGTGGGATGAGCCCACCGCTCCCTCTTCCGAGTACCGCCTTTCTAATACATTCCTCTCAGAGTTCGGGGGGGTAGAGGTAGTGTGTGAGTATCTCGTTTGAAATTTTTGGATGTGAAAATAGAAAATAAAACGGATTTTCCACTCTATATCCTTACGATTGTTTTTTGTATTTGTAGGGTCCAGCGGGAGCACAAGGACCCCCTGGTGAAGATGGACCTATAGGAAATGAGGTTTGGATTTTTCTTTTGTTTGTTCTACGCCCGTTTTGCTTTTAGTGATGGAAGGGGGGTACCTTCCATGGACAAGCATCCCACTCACCCTCAAGCAATTTTATGATTTTATGCTCAAAATGGAGAAAGACACAGGAGGTTATGGGCCATTTGACCTTTAGGGCCTTACCCTCCCTCCCTCCCCCCCCCCCCACCCCACCCCGTTGACCCTTTTGTTGTCAATTTTGATAATACTTTCTTTTCAATATTTTAGGGCGCAACAGGAGCTCAAGGCAATCCTGGGCCACCGGTAAGTCATTTGATTTGGTTACTCAAATTTTATACTATCTCAGTGAAAGCTGCCTTCATTTTCAGCCATATGACTACCTAAAAATTAATTGGATCAGTATGTGCCCTCACTGTACACTTTCCACCCTGATATTAGCATTCATCTTCTCCACACTGTTCTCTTTACTTTTCCTGTTGTAGTGACAGGGAGAATTTGTTTGAAAATCAGGAGTTTCTTAGATAGTGATCACTTCCTTTTTTTTCATGGCCTCAGTCTTTGATTCATTGATGATACTGTATTGAGAAATTAGAAACCAGACACTCTTAGAGGTTAAACGGTTAAAGTGAAAAAAGACTGTGTGGAAGAACGAAGTGTTTGTAAATAGTTGAAATTTGTGATAAAATGTACAAAGTTTTTACCATTTATCAGCCAAAACTCTAACTCATCTATTGGTGGTTTAAAGCGTGATTCCCCCTAGACCCTGACAAAAGAAAACTTGTATAATTCCCCAGTACACGGAAACTCATAAATAAAGAACGAAATTTAGCCCTTTACACCCTAACATTAGTTATCAGATTCTTCATGCTCATCTTCATACATTTCCTGATCTTATGATTCAAGGTTGATAGTGTGGGGCGAATTTAGAAGCAAGTCGCTTTTAGAGGTCAGCGGATTACTGATTCCTGGTTTCTTCTTGCATTTAGGGTGGGCGTGGACCAACAGGCGAAGATGGAATGGATGTAAGAACAAAACTAGAGACGCTGCACGCTCGTTATTTACTGCTAGGAGGGGTTGAGGGAGTTTGAGAGGGAGCCAATGGGGAATTAGTCGTCGCCAGCAAAGTTTAAAAGGGGACTTAAAAAGATTGACTCCGAGCCAACTTAGGCGTTAAATGTCGGCCTGTCCCAAATCCGAAGTTGACATCAGAGCTGAAGCTCCAAATTTGGAAGATGGAGAGGAAGACAAAAATGCGTTATATTTTGGGCCGGTAACACATTTTTGTGAGAAAATCGGATTTCCAATTTTGTTTGAGTATTAAATTCCATTACCGTAAATCTTGTTGACAAAATTTTCTCAGGCAAAAAAGGGATTGTATTAATGTGACGTACAGCCAAACTAGGGTTTTTTTCAAACTTCTTCAATTGTGCAAAACGGTAGCTTTTCTTACGGGCGCTCTCAGAAGTCGATTGGTTTATTTGGGAGGAAGTACCGTATCTAAACACGGTTGTGGTGTTACGCTTTTTTGGGTTTCACAGCACACTCTGAAAACATTGCAAAGCTTTCGCAACACTCGGAAATTAAAAAAAAAAATGAAGTATAAATAGTAAGGCAATGGGAAAAAAGTTGCCATAATTTAATTCGAGGTTTGGCTACAAAGCAGTAATACACTAGAGAACGAGGTGCGTCCGCGTCTCGGCTTTGCATAACTTCTTTTCAATTCTCTCAACCTTTCTCGTGATTTGTTGAGACTATGTAAACACAGCAATAGTCCTACGTTGCTTAAGTAGAATTCATATCTGTGCGTTTGATGAAAGTATCTTTCCTAAGTGGCGCTCTCCGACAAGCAGACGTATTCAGTGATATTCGCACTTTAACGTAATCAACAAACAAACGTTGGAAACTATCCTTAGCTTCGTTCTTTTGTTCTTTCCTTCTTTTTTAGGGAAACCCAGGCCCTCCCGGTCCGCGAGGACCTATGGTAAGACCATCATCATTACTCACCATAGCAGACAGCTCTACTTTACCGATATCCTCTAAGATTACTCTTGGGATGGGTAATCCCTGTTCAGATCTGTTTAAATCTTCTATTCCGGGTTTTAGTTAAGGTTTTTTCGGGGACTTGAAAGTAAACTGGAGAGAGGAAGTGGACGATGATGAACTAGTTCCATCGAGTTTAGGATATGGGAGGGGAGGGGGGGGGGCAGTGATCGACTTCTCATCATTAGTGGTCGTGTTTCTGTTCTTGTTCCACTGATGTTTTCGCCGCTTTATTTTTTGTCGTTTGTTCGTTTTCTTGTCTGTCGTTTTTTCACTTTTTTCCCTTCATGCCTCCATTCTATAGGGCCCTCCTGGAATTAACCTCATCGGTCAAATTGTAAGTGGTTTTCTTTTTCTGTTATTCTTACAATTAGTGTCATGAGATTGTTTTCCCTTTAAAAGCTGCTTTAATTTTTAAGTAAACCTTTACAAGGTTTATCTATGTTATCCTCTACGAGGGCTACAGAAAACAACGAAAATGCGCTAGCTTTATTTAACCACAATTTTTATAGTCTTTCAATTATTTAATGTGCATATGTATTTGTATTACAGGTATCTGCTTACCATATAAGTAAACAGCCTTACTCACTAACCGCCTGGCTTTCGCTATTTTGCTATCTCAATAAAATCTTTCATCTGTAATCCGATCTTGATGCCATGAAATGAGATCACGACTACATTGAGTTTAGGAGATGAAACACTTTTTGCAACGTCATTCACAAGGATTAGATGTCCCAGTTACTGAATTTTTCACGAATTGGTTTTCCAACCATGGTATCTGGGTTCACTCGAAGAATACGCGCGGCCATGTTGCATCCTCTGTAATTATTGTATGTGAGGCAGAAAGCAAACTTTTCTCGCTTTGTTTACAGTTTACTGGAGCCGACAACAAGGGACCACCACCAAACTTTCGACTGTACTCGAGCTCAGAGGTAAAACTGTCTTTACACGAAGCACAGTATTGTATTGTTAACATCAGTGGGAACATATTGAGTGCCATCTTATGATTTACGAGTGCGCACAGAAAACACATTATTTCTGGCCCCTAGGGTAATGATAAACCTCCTTGAGAACGGGTACCCCTCGGAAATTTTGATTGGGGTGTGCCACCTATTTCTTTAATTTTGGCCCTATGTTCATAATGTCTGGGTCCGAAGGGAAAGGAGAGATCTCCATGGGTACAGGGTAACCCCGGAAATCTTTATAAGGGTGTGCCGGCTGTTTCATCAATGTTTTCCTTTTACTCTTTAGTTTTGGTCTAGAGGTAAACGATACAGGGGTTCATGATGTGTGAAGGTTTTTTTTTTTTTTTTTAATTCAAGATGTTATAGCTATCTTCTTTTCGGGTCAGCCACTCCTTTCACGCAATTCCTAACAACGTCATGTCACCGACTTTAGTCGCACTCTAATCATATACATCAGCCGATGTATTACGTGCACGAAGCTCTTGTCAAAAGTATACCGGGCAGGTCACATGATCTCTAATCAACCAATGGTAATCGAATTAAGAGAATAAAAGAAAGGAGAAAAGTGTTGTTTCTTATTGATTCATTTCCCAGGGGTACTGAGACTGAAGAACTACGAACAACTTTCATATAATCGCAATAAGAATTTACTTATGATTTATTTCTGCTGTTTTTAATCTTTGTCTAGTTTTTCTTGGGTTTGCTTCATATTTTGTTGGCCTGACTTTTTTCTTATTTGTTGTCTTTTGTACAGAGTACTTCATCTCGAGAAGAAAATCGTATGCTTGAGGTAAGCATACATTTGATCAACTACAATTACAATTTTATTGTTGTTCGACCGTTGTTACAAATTGCGAGATATACAAGTGGTGAGCGTGATGAGGGTCTTCAGCTTGAATAAAGAGTTTATTTTAGCATCACAAAATCATACCCAAAGAACGTTCCTGGGGGATTTTATCAAAAGCAGTTATTATTTTCGTCCTCGTTGTCGTCTTTATTATTTGCATCATTGCTATCGTCATCATCATCATTATCAGCTTCATCGTCATCATCATCATTGTTCTAATTGTTATTATTAATATTATATTTTGTACTATTATTATCACTATTATTGATTTCGGTGGCTGATGGCTGATTAACTCCCTTTTCTTCAGCACCCTGAAATGAAAAAGGTCTTGGATGGTCTCTCCCAACACACTGATCTGTTTAGACGACAAAAAGGCAGCAGATATCACCCAGCCCGCTCCTGTCGAGATTTGCAGCTTGATCTTGACAGTGACGATACTGTGCACAGCGGTAGGTATCGTGAGATCCAGTTAGAACAGTTTTCAATCGTGTGTGAAAAGCAATGCTGGATTGTACTGGTTTTGCCCACTTTGCTTTGTGGTCGGTACCGATATAGTGCGCAACTTTTTAGACCAATAAGATGAGTGTAAAACCAAAACCAATTACGACGAAGTCAACGACGTTTTCCCGCGCTGTCATAAAGTTTCATTCAGTTCCTATTGGCTCCCTGTGATCTCTCCTTCATCGTCATTGGTAGTTGAGAATTGGTTTTGATTTTGCATATTATGTCTGTCAATGGAAACAAACCCTCGTACAAAGCCATGTGAAAGTGAAGGGAGAAAAACAGAAAGTTATTTTTACCTATTCGTGTCTGAGAACTGGGGCCAGAATAATGGGAACTTAGGTCGTAGAATTCATGGCGCGGAAATCAAGGCTTGCTAAAAAGTTTTGCTTACGCGGTTTTCCAAATTTGTGTAACTCCAATGAGCGTTTGTTTCGTGTGTTAAGGTACTTCGTAGGTGTTAGTTCTCATTCAGCGCTTGTTCGCAATTTGAAAAATTGCAGTATACGAAGCGAATTGTCTCAAGATGAATGACTATAGATATGTGAAAATCATACATGTGAACTGCGGATTATGACAGACACAACAGAGTTCTAGGAAACACAGCCAAGCTTAGAAATGATAGGGACTGTACAAAAAATGAAATTTCTCATACCTTTTCGCCCCTTACCTTCTTAATACTGATCTTATTTCATCATGGTTTTATTCTCGCCTCCAGGCTTCTACTGGATCGATCCTAATGAAGGTTGCATCAGTGATGCTGAATACGTTTATTGCGACTTTGAAAACAACAGAGCTTGCGTACATCCGAAAAAAGAAAATGTGAGTTTACTTTGTACTCCCTTGCATCTCCAACTACCACAAATGCTCCTTTTACTCTGTTGTTTTACGTCTACTCTGTTTATGTTTTCAACAAAGAACTTTACTCTGACAAGTGGATTTGCCGAGGAAGACGTGCCACTGTGAATAAATTTTGCCTCTTGTTTTCCAGATTACCATAGATGATCCGAAGGCCAAGCAATGGATCAGCGAGGTTCACCCGGATGTAGAGCTTGTGAGAAGTATTTTAAGCTGGCCTTAGATTAAACAAGTCTTTTACCATGCGCATTTTTATGATCGTGACGTCACCATTCAGATACGTTATCATGTTTACATCCGACTCGTCTCAATTTTCAATCTACAGAGGCCGTGGAAAGAAGCAAAACTATTTCCAGGGGAGATTGGGTCGGGGAATTGATGGGAACCTCCAGAATAAAGAACCTGGAAAGCATGGACGATTAATCCCCAAGAATTTTTTAAAACTCTCATGTGACTCTTATAGTCACGAAAAAAAACTCTTCTTTTTTTCTTACAAAGCCACGGAATATAGTGGAATTTTCAAAGTCGAAAGAATTGTCAAGTAATTGTTAAAAGGCTACAATTTCTCGACTGAACCCTTTACTTTCATTTCAGATTTCATACAACATGGAACCTGCACAGATGAAGTTCTTGCGTCTTTTGAGCATGCGCATCACCCAGAATGTAACCTATCACTGCTACAACTCACGCGCATGGGAAGATGATAATGACCGCACCATTAAACTCCAAGGAGAAAACGAAATGGAACTAACATCATCTGATAAAACAAAGCCCAAAGTCGTCACCAACAGCTGTGATGTGAGTATTTACTTCATTGCTCATATTTCTTTCGAAAGAGCCACAAAACAAGTAGGTTTATTTTTCCTCTTTTCTGTTCGGTTGAAAATAACAAAACTTGGTCAGAAATCAAGTGCGTGATTTTAAAATCGACCGAGGGGTAGTGCCTGTGCACACAAGGTCGAATGGAAATCACAAGTATGAATTTGCTCGACACGATGTTCAACGGCCACTTTTCTTATATTCGTTTTGAAATCGCACAATTCAATTGCCTAAATTTAGCGTTATGGCCAACAACAATATTAACTTGATCTAGATGACGTTTGGCGTTCATCTTTCATAGAAATCTTAATAATTTTTGTTCGTCTTGTTATTGTCAGGATTTGTGAAATTGATACATTTGAATTCGCATAAACGAATTGATTCCAGATTTAATCCAATGAGAAACTTCCGATTTTGGTTGGTCAATTTGATAAAGTCGTAAACCCAGCTCATATGGTTGGCTTCCGGGGTTTCTCCTCTTCCCACCATTTCCTAGAGTCCCTTTCCTCCTCCTCCTTCGCACACGCATGCGCGTCACGGCATTTAACTTTCATTCGTCTTCTTTTGTAGAATAAAGACAGTTCTTGGCATCAAACTGTTCTCGAGATCGACACGACGCAAAAGAACGCTTTGCCTGTTGTGGACGTAGCAGCTTACGATGTGGGAGACATGCTTGTTGAGCAGAAATTCACTATTCAACTTGGACCTGTGTGTTTTGTGTATTAGCTGGAAGTTAACGTGTCAAGCAAACAAATTTAGTGTAAATTTCATCCGTGGAAAAGATTTTAGGATGGGTTTGAAGTTTGCTTAGTTATTTAGGTCAATCTATACGACTCTGAAGTTCCCTGTTATAGTCTTACTTCGCAAAAAAGATGTGGTTCTCGAGTATAGTTCTTGGGAAATAAACTAGAAACAATTTCCTTGTCAGTGAAACTGGCTTATCCGGCGATTCTTCTTCTTTTTCTTCATAGCTGTTGATGGAAATTCTTATCCTTTATAGAAGATTTCCGTAAACTGCAGAACGTTTCCGAAGTAGGACAATAAAGAGATCTAGCCAATTAGGTCACTCGAGTACCAGAATGAAAAAGTTGTTATTTAAATGTAATTTTTGATATAAATCATTTTAGTGGCAAGGCGTAATCCTGATATTGATATCTTTTGCGTTTCTGAAAAGATATTTGAAATACACTGTTCCTAACTCATATTCACCCCAAACCAATGCATAACGCTTGTTGAGGAGGTATCAAAATGGTAATTTTGAATAGCTGAACAGTGAAGAAATTACCATCGAAAATCGTTGGATGTTCCCTGTGGAGTGGCAGCTTGTGTGATAGATGCAAAAATAAAAACGATCCTTGATAAATCATTGCTTTATTAGGAGAAAGTAGCGGTGAACAACGCCACCCGCATCCCGCCAACCACACCTTATTGCACCCCCGTTTCAGTGCTGAGAGAAAACGGAACACTTGCTCGCATGCCCAAAGAACGATTGCTTTCATGACAAGCGTGGGTAAGGCACGTGCGCATGTAATTTCAGGAAGCATGTGATACTTATGAGCCGCACCAGGAATTAAAGCTCCTCACTCGCTCTCGCGCACAGGCAAGCTTCTCGTGCCAGGTTAGCATGGAGACTTTACTGTATGCTATACGGGGAAGATGTAAATAAGTACATGCGCCACGCGCTTGGCTCTTTGGCAAAGACAAAAGACGGGGTCGGTTGCGACTGTATGGCTTAAGTAATGAGGTGCTTCCCTTGGCGTGGGGGAAAATATGTAGTATGAAGCGAGTATCGGAATTACCAGACTTCGAAGAAAATTCTAAGAAGGAAAATAAAAAAAAAGGGATGGAGACGATTTGACAAGGATGTAAATTCCTAACTGAGAAATAATTTACGATATTTTCGGAATTGCGCAAACCGATAGGCGAGCAGTATTCTGTTGGCTGAAAACTTAGGAAAACGCTTTGGGGTGCAGCATAACTTTCTTCACATACGGCCTCTTCCTATGTTTGTGCACGGAAGAAAGTCATGCTTCGTCTTATGTTACTCGCCGCAGTTTGCGATTGTGTGTTGATAGCTTTAGAAACTTTATAGTGGATAGTCGAACCTAGATTGAGCGGCATCGTCTTGAGGTCACCCTGTAATTAATAAGTGGTCAGTCGTCAAAGTTGTCTCGTCTTTTACTTTAATTTTCACCTTTATAAAGCGGTCTTCACCAATCCATCACCCTTCACCAATCCTCAACAGCCTTTTTTTTGCTTTTTTCTTTGTTTTCCTCCATAATCTTTCAATTTTTAATCCTTGTTTATCTCCTAAAATCAAAGTAAGTGGGTTTCTTTTTTTAGTGAGATTCTGTGGTCAATGAAGGCATAAAGTAACGTTGTGTATCTTTTTTCATATTATCCCTAATCCGTGAAACCTAAATTAAGCTCACAACTTGTATTAAGCGGTCACTCCGGCCTTCCCTGCCCCGCTTAAGACAGGTTCGACTGAACCGGAGTTGCATGATTAGCCTCGAATTGATGTGCTCGACCAAATTTATCAAACGCGGGCTGTTTACTGTCGAAAGTATCTCAGAGCTGCAATGTTTCATTTTTTTGCTCTGTAATTGGTCTAAAAACTCGCACGCACATCCCTCTCATGCAACCAATCAGATGTAGAACTAAAGTCGACGGCGTGTTGCCATCTTCGTTTCCACGAAGTATGATTGTTTTGACTCTGAGTTTCCATAGGCTCCGTGTGATACATTCGTTTATTGTGATTGGTTTTGGTTATTGCATTGGTATTGGAATGGATAGCTGGTGGGGGTTTGTGCAAACAGGGAGAAGTAGCGTGGCTCTAAATTATACTCACAAGGAGGGTTCTCGTTTACAAAAGCGATGAAAGTGTGTACTGTCCCAAAGTGTTGGGGTGGGTGTAATTTAGGCATAGCTTAGCTGTAGTGTTGCATTATCACGCAACGATGCGCGAAAGGAAGAGAGATTTTGTCCAATAATGAATCTTCAGTGGATATGCAAATAGCATCTGCGTGGTTTACTGAACGAAACAGGGAGGCTATTTGGCCGTTTAGGCTGAAAGCGAGTACAGATTGAAACCTTTCAAAAAGTTTTGAATCGGGTATTGTTTTTCAAGGAACCTTTGGAGGGCTTCCACGTCTTTGTCTTTTCGTCTTTTTTACAAATAATTAGTAGCAAAGAAAGAGAAATGAAAAAATGCGGCATTTGAGCTGATTCTGCTGGGAAGAATTTTACCTTTTAACTACTTTCGAACTTGTGCGAATGTCAGTTGCGCGTCACACCAAGCCAGTGGGAAAATCTGCGACTATTAAGTTTATTTTCGGCTTTCAGGTTAGAAACTGGTTTGGATTTTAGAGGCCTGTTCTGTAATGCAAAAACCCCAAAACTGTACCCTGTATGCCGTCACATATCGTACCTGTACAAGTAGGGTTTTTCTTTACACCAAAAGTGAATCCCTTTCGTCAGACACCACTGTGGGATTCATGCCACTTGGGGAGGAGGGGAGAGGCTCTTCTCTAAACAATCCCTGACAGTTTTTTCATCCTGAATAGAGTGGCGAAATGAAAATATTTTGTCAAGAGTGCCCCCCTCTGGTCATACAAGTGTCTATATGACGAAGGTTTTATTCCTCGTTAGATACCTACCAGGTTGGCTTTTTAATTGAAAGGTCCAAATCTTATACGGTTCAATCGAAAGAAAGCGTGACGTTGCTTACGTTATAGTCTAGACATTTCCTGCAAGATTGCATGGCTAACCCTGAAAGCCCTGTTGTTATCAAATATCGTCTTTATTCATTGGTCGGTCAAACGACATTTGATACAACTCCACAACAGAGCAATCTTTGCACGATCTTAATTTTCCAGTCGCGCGGGGTTGTGTAGAATTCAGGTCTTGTGCCCGGTGTGTAGTGCTATTAGCATTTTGCACTGAAAAGGACCTTTGAAGGTGGCCTACAAGGATGGCCCGTTCCCGAGCGATTGTGCTATTTTCTTCCCTGCTTTTCTTGGTATTTCGCGTCCAAGCACAGCAATGTGAGTACCGCCTTTATTTCACGAATGGACAATAAGCGTTTCTTTGTGTTAGGCGTCGTCTATATCCCTCGCCTTCTCCGTTTCTCTTCTACTTTTCGCCCTTTTTTTCGAGGTTAGAAAACTCAAAGATATAAGCAGATCATTTTCAGAGATACATACTTGCCTGGCAGCGTGATTTTGAGATACATATTCTCTGTTTGGTGGGTTTGGTGGGAAATTCTTCAAAGAAATCCAAGACCGAAGCGTTTTTGTGAAGTCTACTGGTATTTCAGTTGGCGATCAGACTACTAATTCAGCTCCATGCATCACGCTTGACAAAAACGTTTGTAGCGCGTGTATCGTCTTAGGCGAAAAACAGGTATTTTCTTGAAGTACGTTTCTGTTCAAAGCGCCACACAGTTATCTTCTGGGTATTCGGATACTGTATAGTGAAGATAATCTTTTGTTGGCGATATCAGATAGAGGTCTGTACGGTTTTAGACTGGTTATATTTGGAAAGGAATACTTAACCACAGAAAGGCTCATCTTGGAAAGTAATTTTCATGTATTTGAATGATCTCCCGTCGAAAATTATACTTTATGTGGCAAGTCGTGACTTAGACAATAACTCTTTGTGACTTGTTAACTCTTGGCTCGTCACACTTTCAAGACGACAGATTTTGTATTTTATTCGAATGACCTTTCATTCGATTCAGTTTATTCTTTTAGAGTAAAGAAAACAACTCATGTAAAAGCCATGAATCTCCTCAAAATGAGTGGGTAAATTTGATTTTAAAGGATTCATGATGCATACCATAAATATCTCTGGATCTGGAACTATTGTTAAGCGGAGAAAGCGTGACATAACAAGAGCTTATTCATTTAGGATTTGATCGCAATGGAGACAAATTCCGCTCCGTAATTATTTTTGGAAAAAAAGCTGCTTCATCATTCAGTTTTATGAGTCGAACGGAAAATGTTTCTTTGTCAATTGTTAATTGTTAAGCTATGATAATGTAGTGATTCATTTTGAACTATGGAACCATGCGCATGCTTGTTTGCGCCTGTTGGAAACATATGACCTTCGGGTCAGCTGAGTTGTGTCAAAGAGTGTCTTGTGGCGAGAGGTAAAGAGTACTGCTGTGTTGTTTTTCGCGAGGCAGCTTACGCTCTTTTTTTTCATTTCCCTTCGTTAAAAAAATCGCCACACTCGTTAACGAAACTGTGTTCTTCAGACGCGCTTTATTGTGGGAATCGCTGTTCGAAATGCTCTTGTTAGGGTCGCCCCGTAACTTACTAAAAAGTCATTCATTTTTTTTATTAATCGTAACTGTCTGTAAGGATAATTTGAGCACTCAAAAAACGTTGTGAATTTTTCATTTTTCCGCCGATGTGCACGCGGTAATTAGATTTTTCTATAATTTTTTTAAAAAATGGATCATAATTGATTTAAGTGAAGAAAATTACAGTCCCATTTAGTAAGACTATTTTTACCCACGCGATCTCTCCGCAAAATATCGAGGTTAACGATGTGGATTCTATAACTGAACTGGGCTAGATTCAGTTTTGAACTGAGGAAAGTGGAGAATGTTTTTGTTTAGTCTGCCATCAGATATGGAGATGGCAGGGGTTTTCTGGAGAAATAATTAAAAATTTCTGAAAAAGTCCCACAGAGTACTGACAAAATGTCCTCTCACATGCTCTCTTATCTAGGTTTTGAGGAAATAAGATCATTTTCAAAGACTAAATTTTCTTAGTTTGGCTGTTCCTCATTGTTCCTAATTTCCTCCTCATTCGTAGTGAAAAATAGGCTGCTTTGAAAGACCTGGTGTGAGAATTGGGACACATTAACCTTTTAACTTCTAGAAGTGACTCACATGAAACTTCTCCCTAAAATATCCACACATATATCTAGCAAACAGGTAATGGGAACATTCAAACTTATCAGGTAAAGTTATTATCCTGATCTAACACCAATTTCTTATACCTGATTTGCAAGGACATGTGTAGCAGCTAGAGGGGAGAATTAACATTAACATTTTGATGGTTAAAGGGTTAAGGAATTGTGAGAATTTATTGGTATAATACATTCTATCATCCCTTACTAATGATCTACACCTCTTTGTACACAGTTACTTGTCCAGAATCTGAAGAACCTGCAGAATGTCCACCCGAGGAAGAAGAAGAGGACCCCCTCTGTCAAGGAGAAGGAGCTATGGGAAGTGACTCTGGATGCCCACCAAACATGATGTGTTGTAATGTTGGCTGTAATTTTTTGGATTGCGTGGGTAAGCGAAAAAAATTAACTGGAAAAGAATTTTTTTCATTTCAGGACCATTTTTCAAATGCAGAGGTTCTAATTAACCCTCCTTTTCTTAGGGAACATTTCTGCTTATTGTTCTCACCCCTTTCCAGATTCATGTTCCAGTTTACTACTTACAAACAAGGGCTGAGATCTCTTCCTACAGGGCTTTTCATGAACAGTATGAGTAAATGTGGCAATTCACAATGCAAATTTTGTGGCATTAGCATGGTCTTAGGAGTCTGGGGAGACCTGTATATGGTGAACTAATTGTTAAGTATGATGCATCAATTATAACAGCACAATTTTGTTTTTTTGGAATCATAGGGTCATTTCTTATACAGCCACAGTACATTCTTATAATATTCTGTACAGTGAATCCACAATTTGCACCATAGTGTCATTTTGAATTTAGTTTTAAATCTAACTGAGTGAGAGGGTGGTGTGAGTTTTCACGAGTCATAAAATAATTAAAAAACAATTTTGAACATGATTGTTTATCACGTACCTGATTTTAGCATGAAGAGGATAGTGTCCACGTCATTCAAATTGTAGTTGGATGGTGTGGTTGAACAGTATGTGTCGTGCATGCGCCGTTGTTGTGCATTTTACCAAGATGACTGTTGTTTACCTATAAAGAGGGAAAATAACCAATAGTCCAATAGTTTGTTTCTTAAATTTTGTCTTAGTTTGGATTAATTGGCAATAACAGGACTTTGTATTGTCTAATTCTGTTTATGATCATACTCATAATTAGCAAATTGGACTCTTCCAATTTTGTTGATCACTCAAATGTTTACAAACTGTAATAGACTATAATAGGACTCTGTTCAATCCTATTACCCACACTAACACTAAGAGGTAACACAAACAAAACAATCCTGGATAACTTTCAACACTTAATGTTAGGAGTACTCTGAATCATGCAATTCATGCTTTTGAAGTTGGTTCTAAGGAGTTGCAGAGGACTGGCCCTCTAGCTTCTGGTTTTCATTAATGCTAGGTAATAATTTTCAATTACTCTATAAACATGCACTGGATATGAGATGGTAAATAGCCAACAAGGCATGTAACTTTAACCAATTTTGAATCCAACCAGTACAATTGGATATTTAAAGCTTTTTTCAGCTCTGCAATAAATGCATTTCAAATTAAGGTGACTTGGAATATGAGCCTATACCTGAGTTGAGTGAACCAATAAGAACACCAGAAATGTATTATCTGGAGATAAGAATTTAATAAATAATATCTGATGTTATGAATTATTTTTTCCAATAGAACCTGAGAAACAACAAGTAGCATCACAGAAAGTAAGGCTTGAATTTTGAAGGAGAAGCTCATGGAATCATTTTAATTTTGTCACCATTAGTTAAAAAGTATAGATAAATCAAGGGAAATACCACACTTTCTATTGGTTTGATCATAGCAGCGTGGTTATCCATGTGGGAAGTTAGAAAAATATAGGAGAAGTTTGTGCATCATAAGGTTGAGGAAAGTAAAATACAAACTTCTCTTGTGTTCTCACAACATCTGAAGTGGGCCATTATGTCAAACTCAGTAATAGAAAGTGTGGTTTATTGCTTTGATTTAATAAACTGGAAATGCTAACACTTTTCTATGGGTCTACTGACGCAATGAAGGACAGGTTTTTGACTAGCCAGAGCACTTGCAGTTTGTCTGGTATTTTTAAATATTTTTGAAACTAGCACATTTAAGGAATGAAAGACCTCACCACAGGGTAAATTGATGAAATTTGTCTTTTAAAATGGCAAAAATTTGCCTTGGTTGCCACAATTTTGAATTTCTCATCTATGTTTTGTTTTAAAAATTCCAAGGAATGTGGCCAATTGGAAACCTGTTGGTGGCCTGTTGGTTATATGTTACCAACAGTAGCTGGTAGCTGATCTTCACACTTTATCAATGCTAAGCTTAAGAAATTAGTGTTGTTCATCAATTAAAATATTTTCACACCAGTTGTGATTTTTTTTTTATCAGATTGGACTACCAGGAGATCCTGGAGAGAAAGGAGACAGGGTAAGTTCACTTTTAACAGGAAAATGTTGAAATGATACTTGAAAAAATGGTTGGTAATTAACTAAAAGTTTCATTGCCAAGACAAGCCAAATGCTCACCTGGGTCGCATAGTAAATCATGCTGTTTTCTCAAAGTGTCCTGTCCCCTCTTTTTCCTGGTAACTAAAATTCTGTTTGAACTGGTGAACAGTTAATAATATTGGGGGTGCAAATTTGCAGGGTGCAAATTCAATTTCACTTTCAAAAGTGTCTGCATCTGCTTATGAGAGAGTGTCTACTTATGGGAATGTGTAAATACAGAGTTTGACAGAGTTTGGAGGTAAAAAGGGACTTAAAAAAGTGTCTGGAAGTAAAGCTGTCCATTAACAAGAGTAACTGTTAGCAAAGAGATGGCTGTAGTAAAGAATTTTGAGAGTGTATGTGCTGTTGTCAGTGACTGTTATTGACAAAATGTTTATCTTATTTCAAGGGTGATCAAGGAATTGCAGGACTTGCTGGACCTCGTGGAAACCGTGGAGAACCAGTAAGATGTTATCTTTAATAAAGTATGCCCCTGCCCATCAGAACATGGTGGCCTATAGCTTACAGTTTAAGTGTAAAAGCCTATGGTGGAGGAGGTCTGGGTTGGAGACCTGTATACATCTTGTTTTCTATTTTTGGGCAGGGTACTTTACCCTCACAAAGCCTCTCTTTCACCAAGGAGTATATAACTTTTACTAAGTGACTTTCAGGTCTGTACTGTAAGTTATGGACCAAGATTTCTTTTTGGTCAAATGTATGGCCCATTTTTGTGTGAAGAGGATTAAGGCCATAAATCTGAGTGAGAAAAAAAAAACAGTCCTGTAATGTATATTGCTTTTGAACTAAGAGAGAAATCTGATATATAGCTAGGGGTACATATAGGTAAGGAGGGTGATACCTTATCATTTAGTGCAGATTAGCAATATTCCTAATTCCTTCAAGTTGTTTTATTAAGGTAAAACCTAACTTAACACCAAATCCCCTTTATTAAAGAGAGAAGATCTAGATTTTAGTTTTATCAAGCATATAGCAAACGCACTGGCAAATTTCAACATGGTTACTCAAACCATACAATTTATTTTGATGGTTTCTGAAACATGATCAACTTAAATTACACTATGGCCAACTACTGACAACAATACTTATGGTCACAAAGCAATCCATCAAATGGCAAAGACAATGCAAAATGTACCTGATGGTTTGGATAGAAGGAGTACATGAGATGCAGCAAAGAAACGATCATAGCACGACAAACTGCATAACATTACCATCTTTTTCGCGCAAAAATTTCAATATTTGTATAGGGATGTGAGGGGACTGAAGCCTAATTTGCAGATAAATTGCTGACCCTTAAATTTGTTGTAACACAGCAATTAGACCTAGCAAACTGTATGGAAGAATTGCTCTCTATGCAGGAGACTAATGGAGAACTGGTGAGAGTTGACATGTGATGTGTGTTTCAGTGTTATATTGTTGTTCTTCTGTAGGGTGCGCCAGGTGCTGATGGACCAAAAGGAGAACCTGGTGTGACTGGACCACGTGGGCCGCCAGGTCCTCCTGGGCCTATAGTTGATGTTTCTCCTACGGGAGGTCCTGGACCAGATGCAGGTCCTATTGGACATGTGAGAAAAATCCTTTAAATGATGATGTTGCATGTTGTCACCTTTCTGCTTGTAAATGTATTGATTCTGTAAGGAGGAGTTTATTCTTGTTTAATCCTGGGAGTGAAATGGTTATTTTGTTACCAGCTTTATGCTTCTTGTTAGTGAATATGAATAATTTGTTCTACCAGGTCATCCTGTCTAGTGATTCAAAGGGCCCTGGAGCTACTAGGATCCAGGAAATCAGAGGAGACAAGGGTGCCCGCGTAAGTTATTCAATTTTTTTTTTGATCAGTACATATAATTATCTTGTGAGATGAGGTGTTGGAAAGTAAAAAGAGAGGTTAACCCTTTACAACCTAACATCAGTTTGCATGTTGTCCACACTGTATTCCAAGGGTTAATTTACAAGGAGAATTTTAATGTGTTAGTTTGGGGGGATATTGGAAAAATTAGATATTAATCACCCTTAAGGGTCAAAGGTTTAGGATTGGAACAAGGCTTGACAACAGGGATTGTACCAGACACAGTTGTTTAGGGTGGAAAAGCCTGGATGCGGAGAGGAAGAGGTAGTATCCTTAACAAGGAGAGGAAGGGTGAACTTAAATACATGTATGTCAGTAGCAGTAATAGGACTGAGTGAAGCTCTAACTGTTTGGAATGATACCAGTCATAAACAACATCAGGCAAGTGCGAAGCAAGGGTCTGAGGTAGTAATCAATGGTATAATTGCAGATGGAATTGAGTGTGTCAAAGCTCTTTGAGGAGAGGTGCTGGTGGAGCACACCCCCTTCAAGATGACCTGCAGCTTTCTTATATAATTAAGATCATGCAGAAAATTTGTTTATATCATTGGTCAGTCATGGTGACCAATTCTGAGCACACCTTTGCAACATAGAAGTGACAAGGATGCATCCAAACCAGTCACAAGATACTTTAATCTTCCTAATCATTCTATGCCACATATTGCAATATGTGGCCTTTTCCTACATCTAGAAAGTTCAGAAAGCCACAAAACTCATGAAAAAAAATTTATTTTTCAAATTGGCTCTCTTAATCCCCATGGTATCAACAAACACTTTTCATTCAACTAATTTACTCATGTTTTTCTTGTCACAACCAATAGCGTAACCCCAATTTTTCCGCCTATAAACATACACACTACCCACAATTCCTCCATTTCCTTTGACAAAGGGCCAACACTCAAAACGTCAGCTTTGAAACTCCTAACGGTGGCCAATTTATGTTATCAACTCAGTTGATAATACCATTCCTTAGTTGTGCAAAAAGAAAAATCCTCGATCAGCCTCTGTATCAGTAAAACACATCCAGAAATAGAAAAGTAAAACTTGATGTTATTCAGAAAAGAAGAGTGAACCTAGAGGTCTTGAATTCTGTGTGTGTGCTTGTTCTCATTTTGCTTTGCTTGTGTGTAAGATCAAGGCTGACATAACCAGCTCTTGAAATGTTTCCGTAGTTGTTTGTTTAGAATTGTTATGTAGTAATGACTGATTTGTGTGTTTTCTTTGTCTGTTTGTAGGGTGCTATTGGAGAGGCAGGAAATCCAGGACCTAGAGGACCTGATGTATGAGTAATAACCTAGTCTAATGAAAATTATTTAATTATACAGATGCTCTCTGTTAAGTGTAGGAAGTAATTCAGGATAGTATTAGTTTTGCTTCTTGAAGCTCTATGATAGGTTGTGGAGGCCCATGCCATCTTTAAAGGAGGAATTTTCATTTGCATTTTCCTGCATTTAACTGGTTAATTTTTTATTTGGAGTTCTGGTTGCCTCCTTGTGATGTTTATTCTTGTTCTGATTGGCTATCTTGAGAGTGCTTATTCTCAATTTCTTCCTGAAATCACTTCAAATAGTATAGTTGCTTCCTACAGGGTGCTACAAACATTTGAAAATGGAAGAAATATATTAGGATTTTCTGGTCAAAAGTGAAGGAAAGTAAAAGAATTCTCTTACTTCTCAGGAGAATTGAATCTCACAACTTTACCTTCTCTGAACTTTCATCTTCTACCACTGAGCTGTTTGGGGCCTGTCTCAATAAAAGCCAGTTACAGGTGTACCACAACCTGTAAGACTTCTCACTGCTGTCTATTCAGCCTGTGAAAAGGCTCTCATATTTGGGTTTTGCCTGAAGGCCCAGCTGCCTTTTATAACATTGGCTGCCACTTAAGGTTAAATTTATTGAATACTCTGGCTGTGAGGAATATGTTAGCAAGCTTGGCCACATCATAACTGGCTTTGTGAGTGACAAATGTAACTTGCAAGCTAGATAAGCAATGTCAAATGCATGGGGTGAATTTGAGCCTGGTTGTTGAATGATGAAAGATGCGATTCCTTTTGTCACAGGCCCCATTTTAAGTTGTCCATAAATTGTAAGTTAATTAATTGAAATTATTTTTCTTGCAGGGTGCACAAGGAGAACCAGGAGCAACAGGTGCCATTGGTTCTCCTGGAACAGCGGTATGCTTAACTGCTTTGATACTGCTGTGCCTATTCACCAATATCTTTTGTTGCATGCTTCCTCACATAAATGAAAGGTGGTTGGTAAGGGTATCTAGTGGTTTCCTTTGTGGCCAGCTAGCCAGCCCTGGTTATTATTACAATTCCAGAGGTACAGAAGCCTTAGTTTGTAACTTAGCTTGACCCATAAACCTGAGAAAATCATCACTGATGAAAAATAAGAGGCAAAACTGCTGCTGAACAATTGAAGACAACTGCTACTATACTACTGAAGAACATATGAAGACAACTGCAAAAAACTGCTTGTGAAAACTTGGAGACTGCTTCTTCAAGACTGTGAATTGTGGCAGTTGACTTTGTTAAATGTACCTTTTAATGACTTTTGATTGGCAAAGTTCAGTTGAATGGACACAATAGTCAGGCTTAAAATTGTTCAAAATGTTTGATTCCCTTTGCCACAGGGAAGCCAAGGATCTAATGGATCTCCTGGTGAACCTGGACAAGATGGCAGTGATGTAAGTAAATAGATAAAATTATGTCTAATTTGTTGAAATATATAGAGTACTATACAAAACTTCCTTTGTATCTTTCTCTCGAGCTCACCCACATACTGTGTTTGTTGCAGCCATCTTTCAGTGTATATTAGAATTGGAAAATAAGTAAATTTTAAGATGACAAGATAGCTAGTGACTGGAAACTTGAGAGAGACCATAATTGTTGAGTTAACTGGTGAGGAAAGCACAATGTTCAGCCATTGATCACTTGGAAGCAACATACAGATAGGAACTTCCCTTGAATTTATTCATTCACAATGTTCTACCACGAAAACAGAAGGTTGTGTATAGTCAGGGAACTCCCAATGAAATCTGCAGCACCCCTTTTTTTTACCTTTTACTAAATTGTACTCCTTTCATTAACTGTAATCAGATTCACCCTTGATTCAAATTTGCTTCTCTCTTCTTTCAACCTCATTACTGCATGAACATTACTTAATATGCCTAACATATTGGGAAAAATGGAATTATTGATTGAAATCAAGAATGAAATTGAATGGTAATGTATATATTTTGTTCTCATCAGGGTCAACCAGGACCACCAGGACAGTTAGGGGACATAGGGGACCCTGGAACATCTGTAAGACCCTTATTCTGATTGTAAAATGATGAGGCTTGCATTGATTTCCCACAAATATCCATTGTGTCATATCTCAATGAACCCCTTCCTCCTCTAGACCTCTCTAGTCCATTTACTATGCTTTTATTGTGCTTGTAGTCACAAATGCAATGCAGGTAGAGTGATACTGTCACTATTATTCAATTAGATATCATTCAACACCTTAATTAGCTTGGAATTAACTAATTGTTCTTCACAAACAACTGGACAAAATGTCTGGCAATCCAACAAGTTGACAATGTTTGAACAGACAGTGTCTGTTGACCATCTGTTATTTCAAGCATGGCAGTGATGATGTAGAACAGGTACAACAAATGCCTAACAAAAAACCTGGACTATTACAGCTTATTATAAACTAACTAATTTTCTATGAACAAAGTCTATGAACTTATTGTCAGTATTTTGTTACTATAGGGACAAAATGGTCTGCCTGGTGCACCAGGTCTTCGTGGTGTGAAGGGTGACATGGTAAGTGAAAGATGACATGCACTTAAGATATCCAGAGTGTGTCAGAATCTTGTCAAAGTAAAACTGTTCACAAATTTGTAGTTTCAAGTGGTAAGGTCACTCTCTGGAATCTCAAGATGCAGAGAGTGTTCTGTAGTTTTTAATGATATGATGGACACAGAACCATTGTGTTTTTTAGTATATTTCTCCTTTGAGGTAAGGCTACCTAACATAAAAGTGATTTTGCAGTCCAACTATGATTTCATTGCAGGGATCACAAGGAGAGCGTGGTGACAGAGGAGAAACTGGAGAGGGTGGAGAACAAGTAAGTAATGATGATTCATTTCATTTATGTCACTTAAGCTTGCTTTATGAAAGGTCCATTGTTTTTAAATATTTTGGTTCCAGGTTAGTTTTTTTCATTAAAGTGTTCTTTACTTTAAGAGATGGTGCAAAAGTAAGAGCACTTGCCTCCCACAGCCAGGGTGTAGTATTTTGACATCTTTTAGGCCTGTACCCTTAAAAAAGTTTAGTTTTTTGTTTCACAATTTGCAAGAGTTATCTATAAAAGCCAAGGGGGGAGTAAAATATTGTAGTCCCAGTTTGAAAGGATTTTAGACTGGTAGCTAGCACCTGAGTTCAATTCCTGGACCTAGCTGGTGTCACATGTGGGTTGAATTTGTTATTGGTTTTTCCTCTGCCTGTTTTCCTACCTCCACTAAAGTTGATGTTCCAAATTTCAATACTACCTGGAAACAGTGGACAAGAAGAGTGATCATGTGGAATGTCCACTATGAAATTCCCATGTTTCAAGAGTTTGACAAGAGTAATTTTTATAGAATTAAATAAACTCCTTAAAATGAACAGTACCTTGAAGCCACTGACAAATTAAGCAAGTCCCAAAAGTAATAGTCCCTTGAAAGAAGCACCTTGCTCTGAAAGCGGCAAGAAAATCCCAGATTTTAATAGATCCAGAAAGTAGTGACACTCTGAGAGTAACCACCTTGAAGGCAAATATCCAACCATAAATTTTATTTGCCTTGGGGGAGTTTCAAGCTGCTATTTTTTTAGGTTGCAATGGCAAGGAAAAACTAGTGTGGGGGTCACCAAATTCTATGGTTACCAATGACACATGTACATCTTTGATGGTTTTGTAGTAAGCTATAATACTATTACAACTGTACTTTATGTTTATGGGAAAAAACATTGGCTTGAAATGCAGTGTGATTGTGAAACAAAACTTGCCTTTCCATTTTCTATTGTAATATTTTTTTCTGACAACCATCATATGATTCTAGGGCACCAAATGATTGCTTTTCGAGAGTTTAAGCATGTACAGTAGCTCTTCTTAAATGTAGAAAACTTCTGAAAAAATAATAGAAACAGGGCTCCAAAAAGATATTACAAGGGCACGATGCTCTTAAAGACATAATGATGTGTCTCCATAGGGTCCATCAGGTGAAGTAGGAAGGGATGGACAAGACGGAGTAAAGGTGGGCATATGGTATTTGTTGGTCAGTGTTTTTTTTAAATAAACCACCTCCTCCTTTACATGAAACACCCATCTGTCAGGTTGTCATCGAGATATTTTTGATATGGGAGCTAACGTAGTAAATAAACCCTTTTCTGTGGCTGTGAGATTGTTCAAAAAATGAATAGTTGGCCAAGGTTATTGTGAGGTTATTTGCTAAGGTTATTGGGGGTTATTACGTGATAAGTGTGCGGTGATTTTGTACCATATGAAGTAAAGTAGCCAAATGAATATATATAGTCACGCAAAAATTATTGGGTGGGTTATGATGTCAGATAGTACATGAAATAATTATGATGACACTGCTTGCAAACCATTGACACAGATTGAGAATTGTTGTATCAGGCAACATCTTTTCTGCATATTTTTTTCAAAGTACATCAGTACATTCATTTATCCTATGGTTATATATTAAAATAATGCTTATCCTATTTCAGGGAGATCAAGGATCTCGAGGAAACCCAGGAGAACTGGGGGCACCTGGTGAAAGAGTAAGAAAATTAATAATTAGAATTAACCCTTTACACCCTAACATCTGTATGTATATTCTCTATTCTGTTCTTTATACAGTTCCTAAGGTGCTTAATGGAAGAATTTGTTTTGTAATCAACAGCTTCTTTAGTTGGTGATCATTTCCTTTATTCACACGACCTTAGTGTTTGATTCAGGGTTGATATTGTATGGAGAAAATAGATGCTAGTCACTCTTTAGGGTTAAAAGGATAAATCTAGTGGCTGTTCTGGATAAATTGTTTACTGGATTGAAAAAAGTAGATATTTTCTCGTGATGTTTAGAGAGGTGAAACTGTGCATTTTTCATTAAGGGTCCCACAGGACCAGTAGGAGCAAGTGGACCTGAGGGTGCTGCAGTAAGTGTTCATGATAACTTAGATGAAAGCAAGCTATACTTGTTAGCACAGTAGGAAGCTAAGGGGGAGGGGAAGGGGAAATAGGAGAAGAATTCCTTTGTTTGGCCTGGACAAGTATGTGCCATCCAACAAGCTGTTTTTTTTTCTTTTAGAGTCTTGACTCTTAATCTTGGCATGAATTTTCACCCTTCAAGATTTTGAATGGGGTACTGTTCAAGATCCACTATCTTGAACTGGGTGTGAATGTTGACTATGTGGATCATGCATGCGTGATACTAAACATTTTTCAAAACTAATGCTGAATATTATGTCTGAATTTACCAGATTTAGCAGAAAGTATTGGTAGTTCATGAGGTAGAGGTTCAAAATTGGGCCACACTGTGTGAAACAGAGGGTTCTCACCAGTTTTTGCCACCTGAATATTGCAGGTTGTCGGCTTTAAAAAGGCTTACAAAGGGGGGAAGGGGGTCACAGGCAACCAGGCCCCCCCATGGCTATGCCCTTGTCCCATAATTGTAACATCTTTATCTTCATTCACACTTGGGTAGCCAAATTACAGGTTTTTATCTTGTTGGGTCAGGGTTTGAAACCAGTGGAAGTACATCTCCACCCAGATTCAGCTTTAGTACCCTTCCCTCCTTCCACGGAGAGTGGCAAGTAGAGGGTGAAGTACCAAGCTAAGGCCTTATCTGCACTGCATTTGAGTACATGTACCTTGAAAATGCAACTTTATTGCTAAGGTTTGCGCTGCTAGTACTGTTCATGTCAATCTGGATAAATTGTCTATGGAGGATGGAGCTTTCCAAAAATGCAGATTACACAGCTCATAGTATAATATTGAAGGGATGAGCTGACCCATAGTATGTGTATACTGTACTTCAGAATGCTGTAGATAAACATCCATTTTGTGGATATGCCACCATTCAAATCCTACCATTTTTGAATTGTGCTTGTTGACATCATCTACTGAAAATTCACCCTAAGCCTTATTTGCACCAAAGTTTTTATGAATCTTTATCACTTTCTTTTTGGTTTCATTGGGGTATTCTTTTAATTTCAGTGTTTTGGGAATACTTTCCTGTCTTAAAAGGGTCCTTAAAAAAATTGTGCATATGTTGTAGGGTTCTCCTGGTCCGAGTGGTAACAGTGGATCACCAGGTGCTTTAGGGGCTAAAGGAAATCGTGGCTTGATGGGCAGAGCAGGTCCCAGGGGAGGCAGAGGAAGTCCAGGAGCTGAGGGTGCGAAAGGACCAGGTGGAGAGCCAGGAAATCCAGGCAAAAATGGTGCCCCAGGAGAGCCAGGTTTTAAAGGAGAACAGGTACTTTGTGTGTGATTTCTCTATCTTTTTTCTTTACTTCTACACATCGATGGTAGTATTGTGAAACAGAGTTTTAGTGCCCCAGATGTTCAAATTTGTCATTCCTTGACTCTCACAGACTAACCAACTTCGTAGTTCTGTTGGGGTGTGTGTGAAAGATTAAATTATCAATGCTTGTTGGAAAAAATTATTTTCCCTTTTTTTTTTTTTTTTTGTTGTCTCTATAAAGCTCCCCTTTCTTTTATTAGCCCCTTATGTATGGTTTCAAGATTCTGATGAACTGTCTTTGTTTCTTCCTTCTGTTTTGAAGTATATACTACATTCGGTATTTATCAAAGCTGGATAACCATGGAGAAAAAAAGTGACTCACATTTGGTTCACAATTAGTGAAAACATCTTAAACATCTTTTTTAATATGTTCTTGTCTGAATTTCTTCTAAAATTATTATTTTTTTATCAGAGCTGTTATAATAGATGGACTTATAGTGGGCGGGGGAGGGGTGGAAGGGTGGGAGTGAAAGGGGGGAAAAAAGTCCATTCAGGTCTACCAATCACTAGCTACAGGTGAAAAAGGTGTTACAATAATGAACTACATCACTCATAATTTGTAACAACTGTAAAGAGGGTGACATGTATGCATTTAGATGTGTTCGTGTAATTTTATGTGTTTCACCTGCTCCCTTCTTGTCTTGTTAATATGCTGTAGCTGAATTGTGAATGAAGATAAATGTATACCTTTACCTTTTCATACACATATCTTCTTTTGGATAATCTTATTTTACTGAAATTTATTTTTCACTGGTTAGGGTGCAATGGGTCCTACAGGACCTGTTGGCCCTATTGGAAATGCTGGACCAGATGTAAGTAATAACACCATAATTTATCATTATTTTAATATATTTTTTTAATATTTATACCACAAGAAGGCTTTGTTGCTCTTCTGTTTTCGACCACTTTTGTGTCCAAACTGTCATACAGGTTTTGTTACATCATGTTAAGTTTGTAATGCACATGTTCAACCCAGGGGTCAGGAGTAAAAAGGAATTGTGTGTTACCCTGTATGCCAATTCTTTTGACTTGCAGTCATTATTATAACATGGATGCAACACAAACAAAGAGGTTTTCTTAATTGATTAAGTCTGTGAACTCTCCCAGAGAAGAGTCTGTCTTTACAGTGTGCACAACAATGTGCCACATAAATTTTCAATTTTAGTGATAGCACTTCTGTTAATAGTTATATTTTTATATTACTGTTTGTTATGTTGCAATGCCCTTGTCTCACCTTCAGTTTGCTTTTTCAGGGGCTTACTGGCATTCCCGGTGAACGTGGTAGGCGTGGAGAACAGGTCTGGAAATAAACTTTTCAAACTCATTAATAATTCAAGAGATCAACTACCAACCACATCATGTGCATGTGTTTGGATATCCAATGAAAAACAGTATACCACTCTCCAGTGAGAGTGGTATATACCACTAAAATATGCATAATGACAACTTGCACAAAATCAATGAATATTTATTACTCACAAGTAACCTTACTTTTACAATGCTTCATTTTCTTATTTAGCCCCTTTACAAAAACTCAACCCGCAGCCTAGTGCTTTCATTTGTTTCTTGGTGTTTGGATACCCCGATGAAACACTTGCTCTCGTTTTGGAAATAGTACTTCTCAACCTGCATTGGAGATGTTGGGTTGTTCTAATTTTTATCAGCCTTGTATCTAGGATTATAAAAAGTGTTTGTTCATTTCATCTTTAGGGAGCTCCTGGAGTACCTGGAAGAAGAGGACTGGAAGGAGCCAAAGGACAATTGGTTTGTTGATGGACTCATAACTTCATACACTTATTAAGGTTCATGCTGTAAGAGCAAGCAAAATTTTGAGTTAAAATTAAAGATTCACTAATTGTTGGCATTGTGTTTTCCTTGGTTGGTCATGAAGAACCTTGTTTAATGGTTAAAACTACTGAGCAATTCATATCTCTTGTTAAGTAAGTTAAGATTGCAGAATCTTAAAGGGAAACCATTCACACTGCAGTTTATGCTTCTTGAAAAAGCCTTGCATCTTAACTTCAAGATAGTTCTCTAGTAGCCAAGTTCTTTTGTCTTGCATTTTAATTGCCAAGATAGAAGATGTGGCTTTCATAATTGAACAACAGTTTTATGGGAATTATTTCCTTTCCAAAAGATAACCAAAGAAATTAATCCACCAAGTAAACTGAAATTAATTGTGGTTTGGATAGAGAACTTTTATCTAAGTAAGGAAAAAAAATTGGGTTCAAAGAGGGAAGAATGTAAAGTAGCCACAACAATCTATTTCCTTTTTACCTGACAATATCAGGCAATTCTGAGCTTTTTGCCTGTTTAGCTTACCAATCAGAACACAGGATCCACTTCTTGCTCTGCTAAATGCAAATGTACAGAACAGTTAGACTTGCAGAAGGATTGTATGAATGCAAAGTCTGCAATGAAACCCTTTTTTTGGGGGGAGTTGACTTTTGTATTCCTAGAAGTGAGGAAAGGAAATTTCTATCCAAATTCTCAATTAATTTTATTGGAAACAAGTGATGAGAATTGACCAAAATATTAGTAAGGGGGAGATTGGTTCTTGGAAGTTATATTATCAAGTGTGCATGTTTGTTGTTTTTTCATTCTGATGTTACCTGCATGTATTGTTTGTTTCTTTATGTCTAGGGTAGCGCTGGAACTGCAGGTCCACCTGGACAACCTGGGCCTCAAGGAAAACGGGTAATGCCTGAATCATGAAAAGATGAACATAAATCAATAAGTACTATTTTTAACTCACTACCTGAAATACGTTACAATAAGAGCACTAAATGAATATAGAATGATCGATCCTCGAAGTTATGAACACTACTGAACTAGTTGTTGAAATAAGACCTGAAAAAAATTCTGGTCCACATGGTGTTTGAACCCATGACCTCTGCGATACTGATGCAGTGCTCTACCAACTGAGCTAACAAGCCAACTGGGAGCGGGTCATTATGTTGGATCCAAACGAACCTTCAAAGGGGTGAATAATGGCTGTAAACATATGAAAATCATGTGAGCACTGTGGTTGAAAAAACAAATATAGAATCGATCCTCACAGTTACGAACACTACTGAACTAGTAGTTGAAATAAGGCCTGAAAAAAATTCAGGCCCATACAGGATTTGAACCCATGACCTCTGTGATACTGGTGCAGTGCTCTACCAACTGAGCTAACAAGCCAACTGGAGCTGGTTATTATGTTGGTTACAAACAAACCTTTGAAATGGTGAATAATGGCTGTAAACATATGAAAATCATATGTATGCACTGCAGTTGAAGAAACAAATATAGAGTCAATCCTCGCAACATTAGTTCACATCCCTCCTGTGTGGAGCCATATCATTCTCATCTTGACTTGAAACCACTTAATTATCATCTTTTGAGAATTATTGAGGGGATTAGATCTCTTCAAGGTTGACATAAGTTCACCAGTCCTCTCTTTTGGTTCACTAGGGATCACCAGGAAAAACAGGACTACCAGGAGGACTTGGTTCCCCAGGTCCAATAGTATGTTGACCAAGATGACATCTTAATAGAGCTTTGTATTTTCCAGGAGAGTTACATCAAGAATAATCTTCAAATGAGATATAACTTTACAAGCCCATGCTGTTTTAACCATCTAATATTCTCTTTAATATTCTTTATATTCTTTTATTAACTTCATTAGATTATAGAGTTCTGTTTTTCATTTCTATCCCCCAGAGTAGTTTCACCAATCTTTAAATATTTGTTAGTACTAAAGGTGCTTATATTCTTTGGAACTAAGTTTAGTATCAGCATTTTGTCTTTTTCATAGTGGATATAAAAATATGTACAGTTTATACCTATTCCTTGCTCGAATGTTTAACACCCATGGATATATGTTTTTTGAGGGGCCAGACATTTTTCTGAGCCCCAAAGGGGTGGAAACATGCGACAAATGAGCGGTTTATTATGGTCCTATATTTTACATGTTTTCTTGACCTTAAATGTACAATATGATAGCTATACATGGAATATGTGTAGAAAGTGGTGTAATTTTTGACTTGACTGAACTCGCATGAATTTGTTTTTAGGGTCCTTCTGGAAATCGAGGCTATTCTGGTGCAGAGGGAAGGCAAGGAGTGAAGGTAAGCAGACCTTGTAAAAGGGCAAAGGATACAAGTTTCTAAAGAAACTGTGGTTCGGCATGGGTGGAAGAGTGATACATGCTAACTTAGTATTATCAACTGAGTTGATAATGTAAATTGGTCGTGGTAAAGAGTTTGAGGACATGAAAGGGCAGGCAGACAAACAAATAGAAAATATCATGCATAGAACATTTGAAATAATTCTACCATTGCTGTTCACCAATAGGAGTCTGAACGACAAGTATACTAGAACAGCAGTAATATTGTTTTACAAAATTGACTTTGTACTGTCTACAATGAGGTTCTCTCTTTACAGTTTTCTCTTTGCTTCAATAATTTTTAGGGTGACAGTGGTAGAAATGGAGAGAATGGACGGGATGGAGGAAAAGGAGAACAGGTAATATTAATGTCATGTGTGGTTAATGACGTGATTTAGGACATTTAACTCTATATAACCTATATAACGATGGACTCTTGCAAAAACAAGTAAAGATATTTTACTTGCAGCTGTAGTATTGGCTTGCTCAGGTGCATTTTAAAAATGAAGGTATTTTTTGCTTGTTTATTAAGGGATCGCAAGGGGAACCTGGTAATCCAGGCCGATCAGGACCTCGGGTAAGTATTAAAGTTATCAATACAGTTAAATGTGCTCAGAAAGAATTACTGGTGGAATGCCCATTTCTGAATTTTTTTTGAAGGGCAGATAATACTATCTAATAGGTAAATTGCAATTCTCTAGATGTTTCAACAAAACCTTCTCTTTTATCCACTGGGTAGAGAATTATCGAGTGCATTGTGTTATCTACCCTTCAAACAAGTAGGCCATATATGCCTAGTGGGCAGCAGTCTGTTTGAAAGGGCATGCACAATAGTCCCTCGCAGTGTGCTGGTTATGTTTCAGCTAGTGTGTTACTCTAAGAGTTGTTTCTTAGCCTCATTCTCCTCTCCCTTTCTTTCTTTCCCTGATTGTCTGGAATATTAGATTCAGTTCCCTTCTGAAGGGATTTGTAGCTTGTTTGCCAGCTTTTACCAGTCATAAGCACTGGCTGTTTGAAGTGGACACTATACATGTAGGCACTCAAAGTAGTTAAGAACTGTGCAGTTGTTGATTTTAGTGAAGTTACTTTGAGCATGAACTCAACTACATCTATTCTCACTACACATACTATTGGTTCATTTCCTCCTTAATTGTTTTTGCCTGTTTATACTTGTTAAGTTTACTGTTTAGTTTGTTGTCAAGTGTTGTTTTCTAAGTTTTATCAGATTAACCATTCCATCTATTGCTACAAGACCTTTGTGTTAGGTTAAAATATGGTAAGTTCACAATGAATAATAGTATTTTTAACATCAATAATTTGGTTAAAATTCTGGAACTTGGTGGTTTCATTATATTTAGGGAGACACAGGTGCTGCAGGAAAACCAGGAAAGTCAGGCTCTCAAGGAATTCCGGTGGGTCAATAAAAGCAATAGTAATGCAGTTGTAGCATTGAGTGAAAGGAAATTCAAAGAGTAATTGGATTAGTGATCAATGTACAAAGTGAGAGAGCAACCAGTGTCACCTTTTGGTAGATTTGGGATTCTGTCTAGCACCCTGACAACTTATACTAACAACTTTATAGTGAGATGCAAGATTAACTAAAAGTAAGTGGTGTCAACGACACATTTCCAGGGAAACATCTTAAAGAAAATTTGTCAAAATTTTTAAAAGTTTTAAAATGTAATCGGTGTTACAAACACAGACATCTGCATACTGATACAGTGTAAGAAGCTTTTATGTATACATACCTTTAAGCTTAATATTTTGCAAGTCTGCATTTTGCATGAAAACAAACGCAAACAGGAAATAGAGTCAGTTGTGAATCACACCAAATTTTCAGCTCAGCTTAGTTCTTTGGTGAGTGTACTAATGTTGTGACTGCAGATTTCATAATGTATGAAATTAGTTAAATGACAGGCAATATTTGGGCTTGCGTTTGTTTTCTTTGTATTTTAGAGTTTGTGAAATGTTGCAGTCCTTTATCGCAAGAACAGTATTTGGAAATTAACTCAAAATATTTTTATTTTTCTTAGGGTGTTGATGGAGAGGATGGTACCCCTGGAATACCTGGGGTCCCTGTATGTTACCTTTCACTTTATTGTAAATTGTGTGTTTTTTGAACCAGGTAGAACTTAGGTTCTTCCACCTTTAAATTAGTTGACTATTGCACCCAACAATTAGATACCTCACAAAGCTCAAATCTTGATTATTCAATGGTTTGGGTTTGTGAGTTTGCGTGCTGCTGGTAAAAATTACTTTCTTTTGGGAATGGGCTCTTCTTGTTTGAAATTCCAGCCAGAGTTTTGGACTCTACTACCTATATTTCTGGAAGGATCCATCAGATCACATTAAGTATCCTGACTGTGCTACATAAGATCCTGTAAATTTCAAGTACCAGCAGGGCTGTAACCATTCTTTTTCTGGTGGGATCAAAGCACATTCTGTTTTTGATCCTGAAAGGTCCCTGCTTGGAATATATATCCCTCACAGATCTGCATTCCCTTAATATATCCATAGTGGGATTTCTGGAATTCCTGTGGGAACTTGCAGAGGTTTTGTGTTTCATCCCAGGTGTTGTTGTAGAATATTCTAATAAATTTCAAGGGGTGCATGGGGAGGGGGGTGTGTGTGGATATCCTGACCGTGTTGCTTTACATGTAGATTCTGTGTAGTCCTGCTGGGAATCTGGAATGTCAATATGGGATACTACCAAACATCAGTCTGTAGTGGGATTGGTGGAATTTCAGACACAGTTTTGGTGGGATTTTGTGTCCCATCACAGATGGGATGTTGGAATTTCACTTAGTTAGTTATTGCAGCTGCAGCAAAGGCAGTCATTTGTTAATGCTAAGCTTATGCCTCTGATCAATAAGTCAAGTGATGTTCATTGATAATGTAAATCATGCTGATTACTGAGTCAAGAGATTTCACTTTGTGATTGTTTATCCTTCTGGACTTAATTTTTTCTTTCAGGGCCCTCAAGGAGCACCAGGAACACCAGGTTTCTCTGGTCCTAAAGGAGCAGTGGTGTGTTTCATGTTATTGATAATGTGGATAGTTTTCAGTATATGTGCATGGACATTTTGTCTATCATTTACTTATAACTTGGTGTAGGGCTGATATTGCTCTCAGTTAAGAATGTTCACAATGTTGCTACATCAGAGTTTGTGCTGACATAAAAGAAGAAATGGAGTAGTAGCCATAAGCCCAATTAAAAATTTGAAATCATCAAACAGTTATCAATTTTCAAGAGGAGATGGCAAGAATGTCAGTAAGAGATCTTCTGAAAATACACTGTAGGGGTTCATTGTGTCTTTGGTTGTAAATTTTGCCTAAAGAGGTGGCATTGTATTCAATATTCTAATTAAGGTGTGAATAGAGGATCCAGTTAGGGGATTTTGATTGGTTCGGCCATCATAGAATATGATTTAATATACCAAATGGACTATAAGTCACTAAACGGATCAAGAAAGATGGTCAATTTTGAGCTTGGTTGTCATTTCAGACATGTTTGTTAGACATGACATGTTTCATATATAGCTTGGTGTGGGTGCCACATGCCCCATTGGCTATCAGCCATCTCATATCCATTGCATGCTTCAAGATTAATTGATAACAAGTGTTGAGGCAACCTTCAAGCAACGTAATTGAAATTCGTTTATTTTCAGGGTAATGCTGGAAGAGATGGAAGCATAGGAGAACGAGGAGCAGATGGTCTTAAGGTAAAGGAGTGCTCCAATTAAGAGCTTTCCTCTTGAGGCTGTTTACAGGTGTTAGTTATTCATGGAAGATTAACCTCTTCTTCCTTTTTAAGATCTGTCTCAGTGTTGGCTTTTGACAAATTGATTCGTTGTTCGTTGGTTCATAATCACGTCCTCCATTTTTGGGTGGTTCTCTTCTTTTCTCTCTATATCTCTGTATTATTCTTTAAAAAAATGATGTGACAATTTACGAAAATATCTTTCATCTGGTTGCAGTAATCAAAAGGATTTTACAATCCAGTTCAAGCAGTACTATTTTATTGATTTCTTAAGGAGTCGCCGACATGTAACCTATGGAGCTGTCAGTAGTGTCTCTTGACTGCAACAATTTCTTTCGACAGGGTGAACAAGGTGCCACAGGAGAGTTTGGTAAATCAGGCACACCAGGACTGGCGGTAATGAACAAGATATTGTACTCCACATATGTATAGTACACGCTAAATGATTGGGGGGGGGGGGGGGGTAAGGAGGTGGGGTAAAATAAGTAATGAAAAAATAATAAACTTGATCTTAACAACGGACCTTAAGTTTATGCTACAGCACAAGTTGAGTGGCAGATATTTGTTTATTTGTGTAAGTTACACAGTATGCAGAGGTGCTAGTTAGTGAGGCAATCGACCTACTGATCCAGGCAACTTTAACTTCGTTGTGCGATTTTAAGAAAAACCTTGAAAAGGCTTTTTTCAGTCAGTTTTTAAGCTTGGTGTCAGCAAGTGTCTATGGGCAATCTTTGATCAAACCTCTAAACAGGAATTTTTGCATTTTAAAGCAATTCCTGTGAATATCTGTCCAGTGGTAATTATGGTAGTTATGGTAGTTATGTAGTCCATCCATGGATTCATATGACTGTGTAGCGATTTTGTCTCTAGGGTCGACAAGGTTTCAGAGGAGACCCTGGTGCTCAAGGAAGCATGGGAGCAACGGTAAGAGAACACTAGGAATAGGTATGATTGTGGGGCAAGGTAAACCTGGGGCGGGCAGAAAATAGAGTGCTTAAAGAAGGCATGACTATCTGACTATACCTCCTCTAACCCAACAACAGTCAATTGATAACAAGTTAGGGTTAATGTTGGGTTAGGGGAGGGGTAGGTGGGCAGTTGCCCAGATACTGATATTGATCCCATAGGCACTGGTGAACCGTCAGAGTAGCATGCATAAATACTGGGGGTTAACTATGTTGGACCAGCATTCCATTCAATGGGTGGATATCAATACTCATAGTGTCGTCATAGGGTAAATACTTGGCTTGAGAGTTGACCTTTTTCAATGCCAGCCAACTCATCGTCAAGTCCTCGGGCATGTTGACCCTTATTGTGGTTTCTAATAACTTGCACCTTGCAAAAAGGTGGAAAAATTTGATACAAGCTTGTGGAAAAAAAAAATACGGGTTTCCACGAGGACACCGCAACAGATCTTCTTACTCTATAATCAAATTCTCAACCGACTTAGCTACAGAGAACTTTTAGAAAGTGCCCGTTTTTATAGTGAGATTAAGCAATGTTAGAAAAATCCCAAGTGGAGGATGGAAGATGTTGATTCTCTGCGAGGGGGGGGAAAAGGGTTGTTGCACTTACATTACATATTATTTCTTTAAGGGACCGCCTGGTATCCAAGGACTCCCCGGTGCATCTGGTAAACTAGGAAATCCAGTAAGTATCCAATCAGGTCGTTCTGGCTCTAAGCAAAGTAGATTTATGGAAGACTTCAGCACTGTACTTCATCTTAAAATTTATTTATTCATTTATTTTCGATATAAGACAGGCTGGCCCAGTTCAGCTTTCGGGCTGGTTGGAATGGGGCTTGTATAAACAAAAGGGCCAGGCCACCCAACCGGAAGCTACATTCCCTACACTTTGCGAGAAGTGCGTACGTTCTTTAACGTCCCCTGTTAACCAGTACAGAGAAGATGCAGAACATGAGGCCTACAGTTTATTGTCTTTATCCAAGAAGACTAGGATGTCTAACCATTTGCAGATGTCGTAGCAAGACAGAAAATTCTCCTCAGTTATTTTAAAACCCTGAGTGTTGACCCTGTATCTCCCGCACGGCAGTCCAGCGCTCCACACCATGACCTTACCTTAATATTCAGGGCGTGAAATTGCGCCTAATACAGGCGCCAATGCGACTAAATTTTTCACTTTGGCGACCAAATCCTGAAAGTTAGTCGCCAAATTGGCGACTAGAACGTTTCATCATAACCTTACCAAGAGATATAGTGAATTAAAAAGATTTGCAGAGATAAATCCGCGGCAAACTTCCTCATTAACTTTGTTTCTAAAACGTAGCACGTGCTTCTCGATCGATAACTAGACGCCATCTTGGATTTAGATGAGCCTGAACGTTGTATATCATCCATCCTAGTGTCCACTTTGTAGCACGTTAAAGATCTTTTCCCTAACTTAATTTTGAAGGTAATTTAGTGTTAACAACTGGGTTGAAAACGTAAATTAGCCACCGTAAAAGGTAAAAAAGCTGACGTTTCGAGCGTTAGCCCTTCGTCAATCGTTCTGACGAAGGGCTAACGCTCGAAACGTCAGCTTTTTTACCCTTTACGGTGGCTAATTTACGTTTTCAACCCAGTTGTTAACACTAAATTACCTGCTATACTCTCCCACCGACGCAGCACCACAGTTTCTTTAGAAACTTACCCATTATTAATTTTGGAGGGTCTATCTAGAACGCTGACAGCGTAAAGAAAGATTTTGTTTGTCTTTGAAAATGGCGACCAACTTTTTTTGAATTGGCTACCACTTTGAAGAATTTAGGAGCCAAGTGGCTATCAGAAAAAAAAGTTAATTTCACGCCCTGATATTATTAATAGCTATTGCCGTTGATATGAAATATAAACATCATTTATAGGAGTTTGACAGCTGGAACCACTTGCCTTGCCATCGTGCAGAACTCTAACTTGCAAGCTATCCAAATTGTCATACAGAACACAGATTAACGCTGTTTATTCCTCATTTTAGGGATTCCCTGGGACGCGAGGCAAAGATGGCTCACCAGGGTTACAGGTAAACTGTTTGTGCTCAGAGAATTAGAAGTATTTCTTAAAAAAAGAGTTGTGGAGTGAATAAGGAGGACTCTTGCAGAGATTGGAAGACATAAAGTCTGACATATACGTGAAGGTTACCTTCAAAAGTATACAAGATAATTTGGTCTTTAAACTGAGTTGATAATGTAAAGTGACCACTGTAGAAAGTTCCTAAAGCTGACGTGTTCAGCGTTCGCCCTTCGTCAGACATTATGAAGCACCATACAAGGTGGTTTTTTTGTTAAAGGTGTAACAGAGGTCTTCAAAACTTTCAGGGGATTTAATAGGCCATTTTCGACTTATTAAAATTTTAAACATAGCTCCGAGTCTAGGAGGAATAAAACAAAATTAATTAATTATTCATCCCTCAACCTCGATGTGATTTCCTTGGTTTTATTCCCCCAAGCCTCGGAGCCAAGTTTGAATTTTAATATATCGAAAATAGCCTGTTAGAATCTCAGTAAATTTATTCCAGATTAAATAGTCCAGCAAGTACATAGAACCAAAAAGAAATGTTTAGGAACCTCACGTAGGAGAAAGAAATCATTATGACATCTTGTGAGATGAAGATTTAAGTAATGTAGGACTTACAACCCTAAATTTTTTTTCATTTCGGGCTAGTTTTGAAAGAATAGAAATTAAAGTTAATCTAGTTGCTGGTGTTTTCTGCTTCTGTAGATAATTTAAGCTATTATAATTATGTTTTAATTTATCATTAATTGTCTCTTAGGGTGAACGTGGACCAAGGGGAGAGCAGGGTCCCATTGGAGCCCAGGTAATTACATTTAATGTTAGGGCCCTCTAGGATATCAATCAACTCTGGAAGAAATAAATTCACATTGTGGTATGTTGCTAATAAAAGCAAAAGAATAATAGAAGAGAGGTGAGGGCATTTTGGTATTTTTGTTTCATAAGAATCATACGTAAAGTATTTTCAGGTGCGCCTTAAATTCAATGACTAGGATGTTAGAAAGAGTTTTTGATGGTGATGATAGGTTGTAATAAACAGCTTAAGATGTACATTTTTCACGGATACCACGCCAGAAGTTCTCACATTTTGATAGAAGAGCGATATTTATCCTTGATGTTATACTTTTTTGGACATGTTTGACATGTCAGTCCTTGTAGCTCTCTCTTGTGGCCTTTTATTCCCTCTAGGGAGCTGCTGGCCGTGAAGGCGAGAATGGATTACCTGGATCGGATGGTCTGCCGGTAGGTTTGCATCACTTCTCCATAATTTGTATCTGACTGAATCTGGTGCAACATCGACGCCACCCACTACTTCCAACAGCATAATTTTTGCGAGGAATACCATCACCTCGACTAGACACTACACTATGTCCAAATTTTTTTTAGCTCCTCGTAATCCCAGTGTTATTAATCCTCAGAATTTGGAGCTTAATCTTTGAAATTTTGCTAAAACAAATATTTGTCCTCATGCACGGAAATTGTGTGAAGTTACGTAAAAAATGTTCCTTTTGTTCTCGACAGGGAGACAGAGGAGCCATAGGGGCCTCTGGTGGATCAGGTCCTGAAGGGGGACCGGTGAGGAGATAAGCGTAATGTTTGTGACTTTATGTGTTGATACAAGTTGCCTTGGTGCATTATTACAAAGTTTTCTGTTTTAAGCAAGATCTCAAGCACTGCCGGTGTTTTTAACCAAAGTTAACACCGTAGTGCTCTTTGTTTAGGATCCAGCAGTGATAAACCGGTCGAAATATGGTTTTTGTGAAATATCTAGGTGTCTGCAGTGCACTTTCACCGTAACTGGAGTAACACGTGCTCGTGATCTATTTGTTTCAGGGTTTGCCAGGTCTGCCCGGTCGAGCAGGATTTACTGGAACTAAGGGTGACTATGTGAGTGCCTCATTTGGTTGTTTGTTTCTTGAATGTAGAATAAAATTACTTTGTTCTTATCTCAAGATTGCACGGTTTTTTTTCGTCTTGTTCAGGGAGAGAAAGGCAACCAAGGTTCTGCTGGAGAACCTGGCAGAGATGGTGAACCGGTGAGTTATGCTTCCTGTTTGTGACTAGTCTATCATTGTTTTCAATGAAAATAAGTGGTCACAGCAATGGACCTAGGTCAATGGCCTGTCCATTGCAATGTTAAAAGGTCTACTGCAGGTTCACTGTAGGTCCATTGCAGGTCCACTGTAGGTCCACTGCGGGTCCACTACAGGTCCATTGCAGGTCCATTGTAGGTCCATTGCAGGTCCACTGCGGGTCCATTGCAGGTCCACTACAGGTCTATTGTTGGTTCACTGCAGGTTCATTGCAGGTCCACTGTAGGTCCATTGCAGGTCCATTGTGGGTCACTGCAGGTTTATTGCAGGTCCATTGCATTGAGTAAACTTCCAGTGTGTAGTTCTGGTCGACTCATTGTGTTGTGTGCTCCAGCGTCACTCTCCATCAGGAGTGACAACGGGTCGGTTCCAGTTAACTATCAGGGAAACCTGAACTGCTGGAATTAACTTTAAACAACTGAAATTCCTTAAGGGAGAAGTAGGGGTACTCCTTATCGCTTCATACTATTTAAACTGAGATACCTTGTGGAAAGATGGACTGTCTGGATAGTAATGTGTCTTAAGCTTTACCCTCAATCAGATTCAACAAGTGTCCCTGTCTGATGATCATTAACAAATTCTATAAAAAAAGAATAAAAATAGAGAGTGTTTCTTTTGGAGATTAGAAGCGAAACTCCTCCCCGGCAGTACGACGTTTGTAGTCTTAATGGTGAAATTATCTCTACCCATGTTTGCCTTTTTTAAGATAATCATCTTGGAAATTTTTTCATCATTTTGCTTCAATTTAGGGCGGTGATGGTGCCCCAGGAGCTGTTGGTCAACCAGGTTTGCCAGGACCTAAGGTGAGTTAGTTCAACTAATTTTTTGCAACTTAAATTCAAGGTAAATCTCTCCCACAATTAATGCGCTTTATGTGCCATAAAAAGAACACGACATCATTTTATTAAGGACCCAACAAAACACTTACAAACGGAACATATTGGTGACTTAGCCATAACCGAAAAAAAAAATCTTTGCGCAAACAAGAATCCTTTTGTTGGCAAGTCATTCATTGTTACTTGGTGACTCGTCTCTTTCCGCACATCAGACAGTTTGGCTCTGTGTGATATTTTCTTTGTTATGATTATCTGCCATGATTGCTTTGGGTTTGGTTTTTCTTCACCCCATAGAAATTTTCTATGGGGTGTGAAAATTATCCGGGATTGCATTGGTTTTTGCCCAAAGGTGCTCTGTGATTAGTCCAGAATACTCCGCCTATCTCTCAACTAATCAGATGCAAAACTAAAACCAATCACGACTTTTTTTCATCGGCTCTTCGGGGTGTTATTCCTTTCTTCTGATTGGCTGTTGCTATTACTTTGGTTTTAGTCTAACGACACACAATAAAAAAGCACTCTGTATGTGCTACATAAGTCACAATCCTAACTTTCTTACAGGGCACAGACGGAACACCAGGAGTCCCAGGAAGACGAGGAGATCGTGGAGCCACGGTAACCATTACACTGATTTTGAATTCGATTACGAAAGCAATACGTGATCACATACGTTTTCTTTGGATGCAGCGTTTGGCCTTTGTTAAGGTGTTTACGCTTGAATTTTTTCCCTTGTAGGGAGGCCGCGGATCAGTTGGTGCCCCTGGAAGTCCAGGAATTCCTGGATCCCCGGTACGTTCTGACCAAAGATTCCATTTTTAATTCCAGGAGCAATAAAACATACTACGATCACATATAAAAAATACTACCTTGTAAAACTCCTGGACCCCGTCCTTTATTCAGGAAGCTTCTTTTTGTTTCTACTCTGACTTGATTTAATTTGTAATTCTCAGGGACCAACTGGCCCTCAAGGACTTATTGGATTAAAAGGAAATGCAGGCGAAAAGGTAACGTGGCAAATCTTGAGGAGCTTTCTCACGGTATTTGGAATTATTGTAGGAAAACCTAATAAAACTGATCCAATCCTCTGGGTCTGTAAGAAACGTTTTGTGTTTAGTCTCGATAGTCTGTCGTAAACCACTACGTGGACATCTTTCATTAATATTCTTGAATTTATATGGTCGTATACAGAGGCGTCGATCCAGATAAAATCTATTTTTTGACTTGGGAAAAATCTTTTATGGAAATCCTGAAGACAATAGATAAATTTAACTCACAGAAATATCTCTTTTATATGGAAATGTGACGATCTCTTTTTCAGGGTTCGAAAGGCGAGTCAGGCTCATTTGGATCAAAAGGAGAACCAGGGGACTTGGTTTGTCCAAACTTATTTCATGGCCTTTTAAAACTTTTTCTGAAATTTCCCTGGCACCCAGGAAAATAATTTCGAACGAACACGGCTGAAAGTTCCATGTTTATCTTAGCGCACTAGAAAAAAAAAATACACGGCACATAAGTCAAATTCCTTAAGCACACGAGATCAATTTGCTGGGCACACGTGAGAAGATTTCTGTTGTACACGAATAAAGATCTCCTTGGCACACAAGAAAGATATTTTTGGAAAGGGTGGAAGAATTTCATAGACATAAAAATTTCACCAGCACGCTTGTAAAATTCGTATAGGTCACATCTTGTTAAACTAACTGAAAGGGACAAAGCGATCGTGCACAATACCTTCAAGTCCGTCCCTTGATATAGACATTTTGTCGTTGTCAAGACCAATTTTTTATTCTCCTTTACTCTGTTATCTCCCTAGTCATAACTTGTATTTATACTCACTTTTTTTTTAAGGGAACTGTGGGAATTCTTGGCGCCAAAGGAAATCCTGGATCTCCAGGAGCTTCTGTGAGTAGAGAATACTTTTATTTAAAGACATTAACAAAATCCTGACAACAAAGCAACCTGTCTTTTGTCATCGTCTTACTGCGAGAACGTTCTTGAAACAAAATGTTTTGAATTAAGAGTAAAATTTAGAAAGTGAAACTAATCATGTTATGAGAGCTTGAGAGAATGTTGAAAGAATACCGTAATTTCCAAGTGAGATTGGTATGCTGGTGTGGAGCCCAAGTATTTCATGAAGCTTTCATCTTCGATTAACCACAGAAGGGAAATCTTAGATGGAGGAAATTATCTATTAACGAATGCAGGCGTTTACGACTTTATGCTCTGTTTCTAACATTCTGTTCTAATTTAGGAGGTGAATTAAAACAAATGTTTCTTCTTTACAAAGGGTAACAGAGGAGCCACAGGGTCACAAGGGCGACCTGGATCGCAGGGCCCACCGGTAAGTTGCAATTTCCCTACTAATTTAGCCAAAATCACCTGTTAACCCGTAAACTCCCAGAAGTGATTAACAAGTAACTTTTCCCCACAATCATCCTACATTATGGAGCAAACGGGTAATAAGAATACTCAAACTTTTCGGGTAGAAGTGATTATCTTGATCTATCACAAAATTCTCATAACTAATTTACAAGGAAATTTGTAACAGGTAGAGGGGAGAGTTAAGCCTTAGAGGGTCAAAGTTTGCGTATTTAAGCCAGCATGCAGGCAAAAGTTCAGAGAGCAGCTGTAAAGTAGTGAATCCGCCCTGAAGCGTTTTGCGGCACAGATAATTTGAAAACAAGTAATAAACGGATCCCTGAAAGTGATCAGTAATCGAAGAAATTGCATGATTTTTCTTCCTTCGCCTGTGATAGACAATTTGCCAACTCAGTAAAAAAAAGTTAAAAAGAATTGTTTGTGCTTAGTTAGAAAAACACTTAAGAGAAAAAAAAACAAATCGTGGTGGTTAAGGATAAGGAGTATAAATTGATAATTATGTTATTCCTTTTAGCAGTCTATACGTCACTACAGTTTTTTTGGAAGATATTTGAAGTCTATTAAAAAATTTAAAGCTGTTTGTAAGTTTAAAGTGCAGAGGGCTTTTGAGGGTATCTTGTGTCACCCTTCACCTGCGTATATTTTGGATCAGTCTGGAAATTAACTCTTCCTTTATTTTTTCTTTTCTGGTTTGCTTGTGATAACTTATATATTTGGATCTTCTAGGGACCACCTGGCAATAGTGGTTTGACAGGACAACCAGGAATCCCAGGAACTAAGGTATGTCAGCGTCATCGAAGAAATAGTTGATGTGGCGGATTAAAGATTTATATTGCATGATTACAGGACATTTTGTAAAAAGGGAAGAATTTGAAGTTCAAGGCGCTGACACAACGTAGCGCTCGTGGCGTTTTTTAACTCTCAACAGAAGATATTTAAGCAGAAAACCAATTGCAAGCGGTAGTCAACCACTGCACTTCCTATCACTGAGAAATACATGAGGCAAACACTCGCAAATGATATGAATTGAGACATTTTCGCATCTTTGATGTTTCCTTGATGAAAGCTGGAAACGAGGAATTGACGGACAATCTATGCTGAACGAAGCCAGATATCCAAGTCACTTTCGCATAGATGAGTTTTGAGTTTCTTAAATCACTATTTGTACTAATTTTTCCAGAGATTGTTAAACGTCCCATATGCTTTTAATGCTAGGAGCTGATATATTAATTGTTTCTTTGGAATGGGGATCACCTACGGGAATGGGGTTGAAATTGCAAACAAAGTTGCCCCGTGCCTAAAACCTGCGCCAGTTTCTTCGGAACATTCTTGGCACATCGCACTATGATCTACAACCTCCTAAATTGCTGTAGACGCTCTATCTCCCTGTTTGGTATAAGGGAGAGGGGGCAATATGTCTTCCTCTCGCTCCCCGGGGGACGTAAAGATTAGACCTTGCGAACGCTTCTTACCAGGCTGTCGTATTGTAGTGTAGCATGACATAAATGCTCATTTGATTTTGCATCTCAAACGCTTGAATATTTGCAGGGCTCGCGTGGCGTTAGTGGTAAACCAGGAGTTCCAGGCTTACCAGGAAGACCGGTAAGTCATTCAAAACAAATAACTACATATTAATGGAGAACACAGCTCTGTTCCTTCGTCTTTCTGTTCACATATCGCTTGGCTTGCAAGAAAACTTCTCCGTTCTATTTCCGAAGGGAACTGTATGTGCCTTGTTTTCCAAAGTAGAAAAACTCCAAAGAAAACACACAGAGGATTATGGACGCTAAAAGATTGAAAAGATAAGCGCGGATGACGATTGACGAACCAGAAAAAACTTAAACCGGATATTCTGAAGAACGGGTCTTAAGTCTTATTGGGTGTCCCGCGAAACTTCCATGTTAAAGTGATAACCCCGTGCCGCAAGGGAGAGAGAGCTATACGTAGACTGAACCCCTGGTGGAAGTTTTCAAGCACAGTTGTAGCCTCCTTCCGACAAATTCAGATCAGTCACACGCTTTGCAAATATTCGGCGGATTTATTCTATCTGTCGCCTTATTCACACTACTATTTGTCTTATTCATAGGGAATACCTGGACGTGACGGCCTACGGGGATTATCTGGAACCGATGGAAGACCTGTAAGTAGAGCATTTGGTACTTTCAAGGGAAGAGTGGGAGTTGAAGAACATTTGATCCTTTGGTTGCGTTTTGGCCTTTTTTTTTATAATAGCAGGGTTTTTTCTTATTGCACGATCGATTTAGGCTGCCGTTGAATGAGATTTTGTTGTTGATTCAAGCTTACACAAGTGTATTTTAATGTACTCTATAATTAATTGGCCAATCTACCAATGGGTCTGTTCAGGTTTGGAAACATATTTCGTTATCCCAATTGGCAAGAGGCAGACCAGTTGGCTATACAATAACTAAATAATAATGCTATATGATCGGTTGAAGAAGAGATAAGAGTCCATATTTTTGAAGTTTCCTTAAATTCATGTAACAGTTAATCAATGTTTCTCGAAGCTTGGTTACATAGTATATATCAGACTCCTTAAAGATGAGGCTTTTTCCAATTATTTTTATTCCCAGGGTTCAGCCGGTCCAATTGGAGGGCGTGGGCCCAAGGGAGACGTAGGACCTCAGGTACATATATACTTTTAGTAAGCTGGTTGTAGAATACCGATATCTGCAAGTGTACCAGAGTACAAAGAACGTAATAAACATTTAGCTATTTTTTTATGAAAGTGAAATATTTATCCATTTAAAACTGAAGCTAAGGGAATCGTTTGATTTTCTGGCTTGAGAAACTCGATGTTACCCGAGTAGGAGCCGAGGTTTGTTATACAGAACAACAAAGATCGAAAGTTTCTTGTCGGGAAAAATAAGCTAAACGCGATGGGGTCGCCTGAAGACTGAGGAACGCGCTGACTGTCATACTCTGTCTCTTGCTACCTTCAGTCACGTGAAACGGCGGTCGTCAGTCAACATTCGCGGGTGACAATGCACTTTAACACACCTACGTAATGGATGTTGAAATATTGAACGCTCAATGAATACTGGCGGGAAACAGTTTTACTGATAGATGTCATGTAACTTCAAAGTAACCAAAAGAAGCCTTTGCTTTATAGCAACTCTCATTTATGCATGCTGGGAGTCTTAAGAAGTTTTTTATACAGATGTGCATCAGTGAAAATTGACAGAATTTATTCATTTATTGTTAGTTTGTTTTCATATTTCTATTACTTATAGGGCCTAGTTGGCATTCCAGGAAGGCGAGGAAGATTCGGTCCTCCTGGAGCAAAGGTTTGGAACTGTTTCTTTTTTTTTTTTTTAAGTTGTTTGTCTATTGTGTGTTCGGATACAGACTTTAAAGTGTAAAGCAATTTTTAAGTTAGTGTCGAAACGACATCGGAATATCACTGGTTTTGGTTCGTCGATATTTGGTTTAGCACTCTGATTGGCCTACGAAAGTTACGCTTCTCTTTGAGCCAAACAGGTTTAAATAAGGACCTATCAAAATTGCGCTATTTACAAGTTCCAGCGCTCCAGGCAACTTGCTTGTTTTTGCTTTGAGGTTTAATTGGCTCCTCGAGATATTTTTCGTTATTCTGATTGGCCATTGACTACTTTGATTTTTTTTTCTTCCTTTTTGATCGAAAAGCGCCATAAACAAATTTTGACGTTTACCCATTGCTGTTACATATTGAACGTGTTAGGAATTGTTAATTAAGCTCTGGCTTGACAGAAGTGAGACGAGAATCTCTCACCGAGTTATCATTCTTCAGAATGTTTCACTCAGCAAAAGCCTTTTGGATTAAGGTCTTTGTCTGGGTCAACAGCAGAGACTATATTATAGAGGATCTTTGTGCAATAAATGTGGTAGGAACATTTTTGTGAACAAGCTAATGTTCGTTCAGTGCAGGTTGCCGATTGGTATGGCGTCCATTTAACACAGGTTTCACTGTACCCTGCTAGCAACTGTGATGCGAACTGTAGTAGAAATAACGAAATAAGTGTCACTTGACTCCTTAGGGCGTAAAAGGAGAAGCCGGCTTTGATGGGAGCCCTGGCGAGGGTGGACGGGAAGTAAGTTATAGATTTTTTTACCGCAGTTAAAGGAGCACTTTCGTGGCTTGGCGTATCCTAAAGACGTTCCATTTTAGAATTCGTGTATCCATCCACGACAATATTTCCATACCCGTTTGTCTCTTGAATCACGCTGTTAAGTCAAATACAGGGAGAATATCGAACCCTTGGGATGTCAAACTCTGCCGTAATTTAGAGCCCCACCGATACGTAAACGCTTTTGGGATGTTGAAACCTGTGGTTATTTCAATCCCCGTTAGTATCTCGAAAACCATACAGTGTGTCTATTGTCTTCTGTTTGTTGAACCCGTTGGTTTGGCAAACCCCATTTGGTATCTTGAACCACTCCGGTGTATCAAACACCGTCAGTATTTTGAACCCTTCCGGTATTTCAAACGCCTTAGTGATTTTGTACTTAGCTGGTAGATCAAACCACGAGTCGTTATCTTGAATCATTTTTGCTGGTTAACGACAAGGCCGAGAATACTGGATTCTACTCACAGAGCTTCAAGACGCGTATTTCATTGGTCAGTCTTTTTACCACTGAAACGAGACAGGTATTTTCGTGGCGTGTTTGAAAAAAATTAAAATTTAGCATTAAAATTTTTTTTTTTTAGGGTTATCCTGGAGCTCGCGGACCCTCTGGAGAGAAAGGCGCAAATGGATCACCGGTAGGTCTAAGCTTTCAACTTTTTGTCGCGTGCGCATCAAACGTATATCGAGGTTGGAGAAAGCTCAAGAGACCACTGCCAGGTTGGCAAAGGTCATGGAAAACCTGGAAGGTCATAAAATTCCGCACAATCATTTTCCAGGCCTGGGCAGTCATGGAATGTGATCGTGGGTCTTGGAAAGCAACGGGTTTGACCGAATTTTTTAGCGAAAACGGCAAAGAAAAAGTGTCTCCTCTACATGATGGTTTACACTGATGTACTCTGGGATTAATTTCTCGATCGTAGGGTACGGGTCACATGTAAAATGTCAATTAAATGATTTTGAAAGTAGAAACCCTGAATATTTTAAACCAATAGAAGAAAAACAAAAGAATTAATGTACAAGAAAATAAGATGAACAAGAACCAAGACTCGTAGCTCTGACAATATGCGCTGTCAATCCTCTTAACATTATTACTTTTGCGTGTACTTCTATTTACGTCAATTAACAGCACCGCCAGCCACAGAGATTGATAAACGTTTTATTTGTCTATTGCAGGGTACACCGGGAGCAAACGGTGAAAATGGGCAGGATGGTATTGGGGGTACAGAGGTAGGAATCAATGATAACACAAGCCTGCTCTTTCGAAGGGCTGCTTGTGATTGTAATTAGTTAAATTTTTTTCAGCGGTATGAAAGAAGAATTATGGTCCAGGACTTATTGAAAAATTATCTTGGGTTCTCAGCAATTTCCAAACGGTTTTTTTTTTGCTTTGAAACCTTAAAACTCGGTCATGATCATAATTTTATTTCTACTTTTGAGTAGCGAAGATAAAAATCGTATAGTTTCTAAAACGTACTTCTCTACCAAGGACCAACAATTTGCAAGGTGATACCTAAAGCTGGAGTGAACAGTAAAAACCGAAGCAAACAACAAATCTCCTTTTCATGTTACAAACTGCATGAGAGATAAGTCTAGCTCTGAGTTAGTTTTTATGTGTTATGAGTAACACTATGAAGCAGGTTCAGCGGTAAAAATGATTGCCAGGAGATAAGATTACTCTCAAAGGTGACGACCAACTAGTACACTTTCCTCACAGTTTTAATTGTTGAGCTTACAGGCGACAACGGGTGAAAGGTGCACTTTTGGCACCAAAAATACACAAACGTGGGGTAGAATTGTCTTTCGGTGAAATCAATAACTTAAACTGGATTTGCAGTTTTTGTAGCACAAAGTATGAAATTTTCACCAATCCAATTTTATAAACTTCCAGCTCCACAGGAATGAAGAAAAGATAGTTAATGTTACCTTTTGATTTTTTTAGGGTGCTCCTGGTAACCGGGGATCCCCCGGCGTGGACGGAACTGTGGGAGTTCCTGGACCAATGGGATCTGCTGGTGCAAAGGGACCACAAGGTCCCCAAGGAGATAACGTGAGTAGAACCCCTTAACATTGCTAACTTTGATTTAAAATTAAGGTTTCCTTTTCGCAGCTGGTCAATTTTTTTAATTCTGTTCTTGTGTGGATTTTATTCATGCAGGGCGACCCTGGTAGAAACGGCAACTTCGGACAAGTTGGCAAACCAGGAAATAATGTAAGTTAATATTTAATCTCAGTATTACATATTTAAAGGTATCTAATCGTTTTCTCATTTCTTGGTGATTTCGTTACATTAAATCGCCATTTGTCCTCATCACATTAAAGTAACAGATGTAATCCTAGCAAGAATTGTTGAAACATTCCTCCTCTCCTCCTTCCCCCCCCTCCCTTTTCGGTGAAAAATTTAGTCGGCTGCAAAATAACCCGTGCTGTAGAGAGGATCATGTGGTCTCAGTAGAACACAACGAGGGTTGTTTTCAGAGTGAAGTTGTGTTAGTTTCAGCTGTCAGCTCCTCATTACAAATTGTAAAAAGATAAACTTATTGTCGCCCCACCAAGCCTAGGATAACAACTTGTTGCCGTTGTTTTTGCACTCCTTTTGGAAATTCTGTGACTAATGATCGTACATACGTAGACAAATTGTTCCGTGATGCAATGCTTACTGATTTAGACTGGAAAGCCGAGAGGGATTTTAATCCAACTCAGCGACTCTTTGATGGTCAATCAATTTATGTATCTGATTTTCTTATCTTGGTATCGGGGGAAAGACGTTTATCGAGGAATAAGACGGGGGAAATGTAGTCTTGTATTTTCCAAGCTTCACTTCAAGTTCTCAATTCCTCAGCGGTAGAGTGCCAAAGTGCTTAAAAAAATTTAGACTATCTTTCCTCGAGCGCAAGATTTGTCGTTTTTCTTAATCCAAGATAACGAGATTCCTTTCAATCTAAGGATCTACATGTGCATGCCATTAGTTTTCTTTCGATATGAGAAAAAATTGAAAATTTTTGTATTCTGATGGCAAAAGGGACCACGCGGTTACAGAGGTGACACGGGAGAAAACGGTCTAATTGGAACACAGGTAAGAAGCGTTAATGTCTTTTTTTCGGTATTAGTTCAGGATAGAGATTTAAATTTGTTGTGATTATTTTTTCTTTTAACGCAAATTGTACGACGAGTCGATGCCTAAACTCAACTTTTGACCTCGCCTGACCAAGACTGGCACTATAGCAATCGAAACGTCAGGATCAACACACGATTGATGAGCCTGACTCCGCATCGTGAGACTGATCATTGAAGGTTTATATATCTACAGAACCAAGATGGACAAAAACATGTCCTAAAACACGGGTTCCCTTCTATCCTTAAATTCGGCACAAAAGAAATGCTCAGTTATTTCTAAACAAGTTGCGGTTTTTGTTTTGTTTTGTTTTTAATGTTTTCAAAGGCAATTGTTTACTATAACCTATTAAAAGGGAACACTCCTAGTTCAAATAGTTCTGTAACTCGGAAACAAGATGGTTGACCCAGGTTTTTTTCTTTTTTTGCAATCATCGTATCAACGTTCATCTTTTGGCAAAGCTCAGAGCAAACATGATATATCGAAAAATTAAGGTGGCCCTGAACCGTTTCCACTGGTTCAGTAGTAGGAGCACTTTTGGTAAAACTTGTACTGAACTTTTACTCAAAATTCTTTTCTTATCATTTTGTCAGGGTGACCCAGGATATACCGGTGAAGTTGGCAGGACAGGTCCTCCCGGAATCGACGTAAGGAAAATGATTAATGTTTTAAATTATCCATTTGTGATTTAAGTAATTCCTTTTTATCGTTTTTTGGTTTTCATGAATACTATTTGCATTTTATTGTAACTAATTGCAATAACGTGACAACGTTATTGCAATTAGTTATAAATAGTGGAGGTTACCAATTAGTTATAAATAGTGGAGGTTACAAGATCAAGAAAACCCTCTTTCCCACTCCTCTCGCGGTTTCAAAACTGTACCACAACTGCTAGCTGTTTGACTTTTTACCTTGCCTCACTAATGTATTTGATCAGCGAATTAAGCGATAGAGATACAGTGGTTTTTTAGAATGCGTTGGTGTTTGCCCTTAACCACGCGTCAAGTATAAACCCGCTGATAATACTAATGCAATTAAATATGCATTTTAGGGAGAGGATGGCCTTGAAGGAAGGAACGGAAGTACGGGACCTGAAGGACCAAAGGTATTCCGAATTCCTATTTTTAAAGGAATAAGTCTGTAAACAGGCCGAGGGTCGGTTTTTCATTCTTTCAGAGCTCATGTTTCACGCGTAAGCTTTTTAAAACTCGTTACAGGGTACGTCGGTTTATTTACCTGTAAAGCAAATTTTTGATTGAGTGTCGTTAAGGTAAAACCAGCCAATGAGAGCCAAAGAAGATATCACAAGGAGCCAATGAGAACTCGAAATAAAAACAAGCAGACTTTGAAAGCGCGGGAAAATGCGGGTGACCAAGTCAGGATTGGTTGTAGTTTTGAATCTGATTGGTCGAGAGGATGTTGCAATTTTTCTTCACCAATCACCTCATGAAGTAAAGTAGAACCAAAACAATTTTTACAACTTTCGACACTCAATCGAAAATTGCTTTATTAACTCCCAAGTTGACACATCTGAATTCTGTCTATAGAAACCAGTAACCTATAGTTTGTCTTTCTGTCTGTTTGTTTATCTGTTTGTCTGTCTGTCTATCTGTCTATCTTTCTGTTTGTCAGTTTGTCTGTCTGTTTGTCCGCCCGTTTGTCTGTCGGTCTGTCTGTTTGTCTGTCGGTCTGTCTGTTTGTCTGTCTGTCTGTTGGTCTGTCTGTCTGTCAGTCTGTCCAACCGTCTACATGTCTGTTTTTGTCCGTCGAACTTCTGCCAATATATTTATATATCAGTCCATGTCTTTCTATTTTCTCTCTGTCTGTCTGTCTGTCGGTCGTCGCTCTCTAAGCGTGTCTTTGTGCTCAACATGATTGCTTCTCCCTAACACATTAGCTCTTTCAGCTTTCACGAAAACAGATGCTCATCACTTTGACTTTTACCAAAAGAGTTTCACTAATTGACCGCTCGACTCAATTCTTTCTTTGAGTATTTAGTATTTATTGTACCTATTTATTTATCTTTCGCATCCGAATGTGTACGCATTGCGTTTCTATCTACCTCTCGCTAGGGTGGCATGGGAGCCGCAGGCCCTCCTGGTCAACCGGGAGTTCAAGGACCAGAGGTATTTAAATGCTAGTTATTTGACACCTTTCGTGTCCGTACTGTATCGCATTTACGTGGAGATACTATTAAGTATAGACCAGATGATACTGAAAAAGTTTACCGGCTGAAGTAACTGATAGTGAACAAAACTCTTTACACGAAACACAAGCACAATCGGAAGGGTTATAAGTATCACACAAATCGTTGTCGATTCGTCCACAGTTAGTTTAGTGCTGTTGTTGAAATCCTGACAGTTTTTTTTAACGAACTGATCAAAACTTCTCAATTAATTATTCATCACAATCTGTGATCAAGTGAACATTTATCTGCGAACTCCTGACGAAAACTGTAACACCGTCGTTTACTGTTGATTTTTTCCTGCTTTCCGCACATTTTACCTCTCGCTCACAACGTTTCGACTCTAATTATCAGGATGAATTGTCTTCATTTTAGGGAACTGGTGGAGCTCAGGGAGATCCCGGCACACAGGTTTGAATGTGCATATTTGGCCATATGCGTTCATATTTCAATTTTAACTACCGTCCCGTTTTTTGTTATTATTTTAGTTTTTTGTTCCTGAAAAAGGAACATATGATTGAAACGAAATGTGTTTGCTGTGATAATCCCTCAAGCCATGAAACTAAGGCAATTATCGTAGAATAAATCTTTACTTTTCAACAAGTTCCCTTGTCAATTCTTTATTTTTACTTTTGATTTTTTGCTGAGAGTAAAAAAAAAAATTATGCGTGATAAACTTAACCCATATGTGTTTTTGTTTATTTTCAGGGTGAACGTGGAGAACCGGTATGTTGTCATCCAATTATCTGACTTCGATGAATAAATTTAGAGAACTGAGTTGTATACTATCTTAGAAACAATTAAGCTTCGCTCTGTCATTGGTGCAGAAATTCGTGATGTCTTCTTAACCAATCAGGAACTTATTGCAAACTAGGTTAGGCGCGGTTGAAGACAATTGCCGCAGTCACACCAACCAAGCACGTGAAGTGAGACCCCGTTGACCTGAATGAAATTTAGCCACAGAATACTGAAAAATGAATTTTATAGACGGTTCAAACATTCACTTGCTTTAATTTTAATTTGGGGAATTTTAAGTCGCCAAACTTCAGTGCAGGTAACTGTGTTGATGAAAACAATTCTAAACCCTGTTTAGATGATTTTTATGGGGAATTATGTGTTAAAATGGTGCTATAGATAAATTTTAAATTTCCTTCCTTAAGTAGCCTTATTTAGCTCTCTGTGGGCAGTTCTTCAAATTTTTTTTATAGTTTTACGTCTTAATTGTCTCTTATCCGTTATTTTCTTTTTCTCCCTCTCTGTTATTTTTAGGGCAGAGACGGTCTACCTGTAAGTATTGAAAGTAAAATTATGTTTAACCCTTTAAGTCCCAGATAAAATTTGTAATTCCCCTTACTGTCAACCATACAATTCTTAAAATGTTAGTTCAGAGAATTTAGTATTGGATCAACTAATTATCCCTAAATCGATCTTTTTCTTTATTCTTGTCACTTATCTGGTTGATATTGTAGAGATATTGTAGGGAGAAATTCTTTCTTGGTCACTCATGGGAGTTAAAGGGTTGAATGATTACTGTCTTCGTAATTACCTAGCAAGTGATCGGTTCATCTCAATTCATTAAAGGAAGTAGATACATGAGATTCTAACACACTGGTTTTTGTTTTATAGGTTAATTGCCAAAAATTTAGTTTAGTTTATCCAAAAATATCACTTATGGCTTAACTTTAAAGTAAAGTCTTCACGAATGACTCGCGTCAGTGTGGAATTGAAAAAGAAGTCTAGTGGAAGTGTTCCTCATCGATGGAAACATTTGAAAACTTCTCAAATACCACTCCGACATTTATCTATTTTCTCCTACACTGTAACTAGCTAGCTTGTAGAGAACTTGGGAACTTTTGAGAAAACAACTTAACAATATTATTTTCATAACAATACAATTGTGTGCGTTGTTTCCAGGGACCTCCAGGTATAGCCGGTCCCAGAGGGCCAATGGTATGTCTTTTTTTAATTGTCAACACTGTGTTTGTGTGTGTATGTGTGGGGGAGGGGCGGAGGGGCGGAGGGGGGGGAGCAGTGTACAGAAAAGAAAAGGATACCTAATTTTCTTTTACTGTTTCTACTTTCCACTGGGCAGTTTACTTCCCTACAAACACTAAAATGAAATCTTGACTGGCTGAAACGATTCACCGTGATATCTGAAAAACTGAACATAAATTGTTAAAATATTAATTTTGTATTCGAGACGCAAAGTTGTTTGAACCGACAAGCTTACTTTTGATTTGAAATCGGGTTGCGAATGGTCTTTCCGAAGATCGGAGACAATTCAACTTTTGCAAAGGTTAATTCGTTCGTATTGTATCCGTGAGACATCGTCACGAAGCGGTTTTTTTGCTAAAACTGCAATCGGGTTAAATCTATGCACACCCTGGAACGGTTGTATAACTTTTATCTTATTTACTTTTTATCAGGGACCACCAGGACAGAGTTTGGCAGAAGCGGTAGGTTGTTGTTATTGGGGACTTCGAGTCTCAGTTTATTCAAATGTCCATCGCAATGTTTTTTATATACTACTGCTAAGATGAATAGCTAAGTTAAACCGTGATGTGTAAAGCTATTAAGGTTCCATTGTAGGATTGCCTAGGAAAACGTCTTGCCCATTGTTGTGAGTTGCCCAAAAATTGTCGATTGTGACGAGTCTCAAAATTAAATTTTTACGTTGAGAAGTGACATCTCTGAATCAAGTGCCCTCCTTGAAAAGCATTTCAAGAATATTAGTTTGGGCTGTGTTTCGTAAGCCACAGACTCGTGCTCTTCGTCGAGAAAACGCATGAAAATGGCATGAACATTTGCAAGGAAACACAAACCTCTTTGTGGTGGCTATCAAATTTAAAATTCTGCTTGCCAAACTACAAGGAAATATATAATAACTGGAGGGAAGAGGATCTTAAGAATTCAACGCTGAACAGCACTGTAACCTTACAACAGATATCATCTTGTACTCAGTTAATTTTTATTTTATCTGTCACGTGCAGCTTTCTGAAATGAACACTGGTGAAAAAGGACCTCCCCCATACAGATTGTACTCCAGCCAAGTAAGAACCGTACTGTTTTAAAAATATTTGTGCAATTTGTTTGACCACAAAGCTTGGTCCAGCCAAAAAAAAATTTACACCTTTGATCGGCGCTTTTATATATCCGATATTCATGTTATCATTTACTACGTTTAGGGATCTGGAAAATCACAGGATTCAAATAATGACATTGGTGCCCAACTCTTCAAGGTATAAGTGATACTTCGTTCTGACGGTATCCCACTTGAGCTGCGCAGCCATAGTATGCTTTTAAGGAGAAGTAAAACGAGACGATTTTTAACGTCGGTTTGTTATCCATGTTTTACGGAACAACTTGAAACACAACTTTTTTGCGGCCGTGATCGGCAACGGTATAGTACACGAGACGATTTTTATCGCTGATTTGTGTGCTACGTTGGAGCCCGGGTTCCTCCCATTTGGTTTGTAAAATCTGACCTAACTTAGACCGAGAATGTAAATGGAATTCGAAATTCTTTTTCGTGTTAAAAGAAGAAGCTCTCTTGATACACCAAGCTAATTGTCGCCGCGATATTGCAGCGCAACAGGTCATGGGGACTTGTCGACAAGATTTTGTAGGTCTTAGACAATTTTTGCTCAACTATAGTCGTCTTTTTTTCCCCCTAGACAGTGGATATCGAATTCATGATATCGCTTCTGGACAGAAAAATTCAAACTTTCCGAGTACAGAATGGGGACCTGGAACATCCTGCCCGATCATGCCGAGAAATCAAACTAGATCATCCTGAATCTAAGAGCGGTTTGTTGTTGAAACGTTTATTGACAAGCTTCTTATGTATTTATGTCGCGCGGGCAATCATAAGATTTCTGCGTGAGGTCATAGAGTGGCTCTCTTGAGCATGCGTGGTAGATTGTTATCGAAAGATCAGTGCACATAAATAAGGGTGGCGATCTGTTGGTGATGGTTGACCTATAACACTGAATTGTCTGCGATAAGGGCGGCGATGAATTTTCTTTACCAGGAGGTTAAGATACACTTGTAATCTCGGTATCATGGCCTTTGTCGTATTATAGGTCAAAGTAGAGTCAGCCAAAACACTCAGGGAGCAACTTGAAGAAAATTTCTCTCCTTTGGATGTCTGTCAATCGCAGGGTTACCCTCCCCACACCCTCTCTCTTTCATTTCACAAGGTTTCTCATTCGGTTTTATACTCCTGGGTGGAGAGATGCACTGTGAGAGTAAAGTGTTGTATCAAAGAACAAACACAAGGCCAGTGTTTTAATCCGTATCTTTCTATCCGAAGTTTACCATTTCATTCTCTTCTTACAGTTTGTTGTAGCTTATTTTATTTTCAGCTCGCACTGCTTGATATTCAATCTTTCTTCGTTCGCTGTTTCATTTGTGCGTTTCTTCCATCTGGTAACTATTTTCTACATGCCACAAACTGGTAATATCAGACTAACTTTGTTTTGTTCTGTAGGTGAGTACACGATCGATCCCAACGAAGGCTGCAGTAGTGACGCTGTCAAAGTTTATTGCGATTTCGAGAAGAACGCTACCTGCGTTAACCCCAAAAAGACCAAGGTACAAGAGAACATTGAACTTAACGCTCTCAATACTACGAGAGGCCAAAACTGGAGGGATTTCTTTGCTTGGTACTATGCTATCATGCACGAATATTAGGTGATAACAGCAAAATCTCATTGCTCTCTTTTTTGCGTGATAGATTGTTGTCGACGCCAATGAAACCGGTCCAGGACAATGGACAAACGAGGATGAACCGGTATAACATTTTTCTTTTGCCTTTTAATTTTTTACTTTATTGCCAATGTGCTTGAGTACGATATTTCAGAAAATGAATAGTTTCTCTGAAACTGACTGAATGGAAGAGAGGGAAACAAAGGAAGCAGGTTGAGCAAAAAAAGTGCATAGTAATGCCACTGATAGCCTCTTTGGTACTCCCTACATCAGACCAGGATCCTCTTGGATCTTTCCAAAATCATGTTCGCCAATCATTTTAAGAAAAATATGGCAGTCTGCGGTCTTTTCCCACATCTAAACAGTACGGAAAGCCATAAAACTCTAGAGCAATGGTTTATCTTTCATAGCGCCACTCTTGATCACGGTATCAACGAATCCTATTCATTCAACTAATTTATTCTCGTGTTTTTTTTTACGTTACCATGTTCCTTCCCATAGCGAAGCTCCATTTTTCTGTCTATAAACTATACAAGGCCCACAATTCCACTATTCGCTCTGACGATGGGCCAAAGTTCGAAACGACAGCTTTAGAAATTCTTTAAGGAGGCCAGGTTACATCGTCAACTCAGTTGATAAAACCAAACTTCCTTGTAATACCTCCCCCCCCATCGATGCAACACCACAATTTCTTTAGAAACTTACCCCCTTTATTCAATTGAATTGCGCTGAATCTCCTATAACCTTTATTCCCTCTGTTCATAGATCGAATACAAACTAAACTCAGTGCAAATGACATACTTGCGACTTCTGAGCAAGAGCGCTTTCCAAGAGATGAGCTACAGTTGCGCAAACTCACACAAGAGCTGCATGGTGGATCTTAAAGGCGATAATGAAATGGTGGTCAATAACTTGGAGAAGATAGACCTTGATGTTACAGAGGTAGGCTGGTACAACTATAACGTTGACAATGTTTAGACACGTGTAGATCTTGAGTTCAACTGATGTTTTTAAATTTCCATTGCTAGATACACTGCTCATCACCATCTCGTGATTAGATGTAGATTTTTTTTCATGATGCCTCAATTTTTTTGTGGTAATCATTATTGAAGATCATGTTAAAAGAATTTAAATAGAGCACATTTCGATTAAGTGCGTTTGAGCAATTTTCAAATGATTGGCGAAAGTAATACGATATTTGATAGTTTTGGCTTCTCTTCGCTGTGTTTGGTCCAGAAAAGTTTGAATCATTGTTAAAGTCGAAAGATACACAGTGTGGTTACACTACTACAGTTGGTCATATTACAGTTGTGTGTTTAGTTGCCAAGCCTTTGATTTAGAGTGAGACTGAAGGTGACGTTGTTGTGATAGAGACCAGTATCTAGTTAGCATGATAACAAAGTAATTTTCATTTGAAAAGCAACAAGGTTAATATCATAACAAGGTCAACCTTAACCTCACTCCTGTTCAAAGGCTTGGAAACCAAGCAAGCAACTGTACAATGGACTATTGATCTTGAACTGTCGCCTTTGGGAAATCCGATTCATGGCACTCCTTGTTTCGCCCGCGCTCGTGAGGGAACGAAACCGAACGAATTGCTGGCATTGAAGGCAATGAGTTTCGTGTGAGAGCAAATTTTGTCGACGAACTATCTATCCCCTTTACAGATGCATAACCGCACCGTTGAAATGACAAATATTACAAATAATTAATTTTTGTTTCTCCATCCAGACGTCTGATAATGGAAATAAAAAAATGAAGATTGAAGTCTCGACCGCGCAGCAGAATAACCTGCCGATAGTGGACTGGGCACCACAAAGCAGCGTCGACTCCAAGCTCACTTTTGAAATAGGACCAGTTTGTTTTAAGTATTAGACATGTGCGGAGTCAAACAAGAGAAGAACACCATCTGTATTGTACATTGACAATTTTTCTGCCTAATATATTAGCTAAGGAACAATTGAAGATCGTGTGAAAGCTTGTAGGAGATCTGAATAAAGCACGCGGTTGACTGGACGTTACTGAAATGCTGTTGATTCTGTTTTGTTTGTTACAGTAGCTAGTCTTAAAAATTGTAATTTTGACATGGAGTTATTTTGTCTTACGCCGCGTTCAAAATATTTTATTATGAAAATAAACTGTAAGTTTATATTCTTTGGAAAGTCTGGTTTTGTAAAATCAGTCACATTTGACTTTTAACTGCAGGCAGCTGAAACAATAACATAAATTAAAGCTATAAATGAATTCAACCTCATACTTGAACCCTAAATTTTCTACAGTCCCCGTCATAATGTGGTTTCATTTCTTGTTGTTAGGGTAGAAGCGGCGCTCAACTTCTTACTGGAAGACCTGGGTTGAAGCCCAGTTGAAGCCTGCTGTTTTTCTATTTTTTTTTTCTTCAGACTAAGTTTTACGTTTTTCCCGCCAGTAAACGAGGTTTTTCAGTCACGCACGATTAAGGCATCAGTTCTTGAGTCATTTTCTAAGAAGTTGGCTTTTGTCTGTAGGTTGATATTTTGTTTTGTCTCGACTAAATAATTAGGGGAGGCGGGATTAATATACTTAGCTAGTATGCAACTTTTGTCCTACTTGTCTAATATCCATAGGAGTGTAACGCGAGACTTAAAACACAGTAATACCTCATTAACTCGAACCATAAGCTATATCTCTTTGAAGTACGTTTCGATCATTTAAAGTAAGAAATCTTGGACTCCTCGGTTTGACGGTCTTGAACGTGTCTCATTTCCCTTAACTTTTCAAGTCAGCAAGGTTTAAATTCGCGCGTTTTTTATGCGGCAAAAGTTTGCCAGTGAAACCATAATTAACAATGCCTTGCAAATCAGTTTTGAATATTTAAAGTCCCAATCTCGTGGGTATAGAACGGACAGAGGTGCAGACCCTCACTGTTTTAAATAGTCCATCATTGAAGCGTTCACAAGGCAGCCGACTTCAGATGAATACTATAGTGAAATCTGGCATTTTGGACAGAATATTTTGTTTCCAAGAAGGCTCTCCGATCCGCGATCCTCCTGAACTCACTCCTACCTCTCTCGTAGAGGTAGAGCTAGAGGAGAGCTATTGCATGCGAACTGATCAAATCTATTACAAACAAAAGAAAATAATTCAAAGGTACAAAAGCTTTAATTGTATGCGTTTATGATCGTGAATATGTTCCAACTCTTAATGTATTAGTTTATAATCTTGAATTATCCTAATTAATCCTCATTCGCTATCGTTCATCCGGTGCAATCAGACGTCAGCCGACTGCAACCTTCAACAACACACGCCGCAGAAAAAAAAAGAGGAAGATGAATGTTGCGTTACTGTCAATAACTTTGATGGCTTTGCTATGTAAAGGAGAAACTTTGCCAGGTATGTTTCTTTTAAAAACTTTTTTCTTTTTAAGTGCCTTGCCCCTAACGTGTGCCTTCGTAGCTCAGTTGATAGTGGCGCCAAACTAGTATCTAAGAGGCACAGTTTTGAATCCCATCAAAGCCTGGTTTTTTTTCGGGGTTTTTCTGCAATTGCTTAAATGGCATGGCAGTCCACTAGCAAAGATCATAGCTTGAATATGTTTTTGTTATAAGTCGAATAGTAGAGCTACTTCGAGCAGAAAATCAGCCGTAACCGTTTGATCAAAGAGTTAATGAAACATCAAATTAACGATGGACAAACGTTTAAAGACTAAAAGAAACAAATTGGTGGAGTGGGAAGAAGAAGAAGAAGAAGAAGAAGAGAAGATGAATTTGAGACGTATTTTTGTGTTCTAACTGTTCTTAGCCTCAATATTTGTGCGAAAGGGTCAACGCATTGTCGCTTATTTTACTAGCATGGTCATGCAAAGAAAATTTCTGCTAACTAGGCTTTGCGGTGGAGAGCGAAATATCTTGTTCGCCTTTTTAACTGTTGTTAGTTTTTGCAATAAATTGTATATCGGCTTCAATTATCTGAAATTACCAAGCCAGGTTATCCGAAATAATAGTGGTGTACGCATTTTGTTTGAGCGCCAAAAGGATATTATGGCGCCAAAAACTAACCATGCATAAGAAATGAGCAACGAATATTCAGTTTGAATCATGTGGCTGGACATGTCTTCTGTAATGTGTAATTTTTAACAAAATCCAAAGCAAAAACGGATACTCAAGGTTTTCTCTCGAGATCGCGAAAAAGTGGGTGGTATATCCTTGTGGGTTTCATGATGACAGCCGTTTGCCGTTTGAACGCGTATAGTCTTAAACAGAACTCAGACAGCCCTCCTCCGACTTCGCAAACCTCTCACAAAGAATTTCATAGGTAACTTCTCTCCTTCTTCATCGTCTTTCGTGCTGGGCAGCTTGGACCCACCCTTCTCTTAGGTCTTCTGGAAGCGACCATTTCTTTACAAAACCCAACAGAGCGTTCATTGAGCGGAAGACCCCACGGGATCATCAATGTTGGTGGGCAGAAGTTGTATCTTGCAATTTAAACTGCGTGGGTGGGGCTCGATGGGGTCAAACGTTGCATGTTTGAAAGCGTTTCTAGCAAACTTAAAAGAACGAACCCATTGTTCTCTCTGTACACTCTAAAATGGCGAATTACCAAAGGGGACTGAACTGGATTGCAAGAACGGTTGAAGGCGAAGTATTCTAGGTCCATTTCGCTTGTAATAGTCTGTGGCGCCTCAAACATGCCCAAAGGATTGATTCTGATCCAAACGTGGTGTAATTCTTAAAGAAGGGGACTGAAAACGTTATAAGATTTAAAAACCTGTGTACTTTCCCTAAAGGATCGCTCCCTCATGGTAGAACCACTTCTTGCGTCCGCTTATATACCTTTGGATCACAAAAGGCTCTATATTTTAGCGGTTTCATCAGGTTGTTATAGGTGCTATGTCAACTGAACGCAAGTTAGTTTTGCAATAAATGTAAGGAGACAAGGTCGGGACTTATCTTCTATTTTATCTCATTATCTATACTGTCCTCGCACAGTGTGTGAGATGATGCTTTGTTAAAATAGAGAAACTCAAAAGAGTGAATAACAAAGCGAGAATCAACGAGGAAAGCCACGAAAAGAGAAATTTAAAACGAAATACAAATAACGAAATGCATAGACTCTGGTCTTTCTCTGAGAGAAAACTAGACAAATTCGCCAATCTGCGATTCTTGAAAGCACTAAAACAAGGTTGCAACTTGTGAGCAAAACGAAATAAGAAAGATGGCAAATTTTGAGACTTGCTCACTAACATGTACAGCTCGCTGGTAGAGGATCAAAGTAAGAAATCCGCAGATTTGGGGTCGATTCTTCATTATACGCTCGTCACAAAACGAATGACATATCATATGTTTAAAGTTTAAACTCGGCCTGCCAAGAGCACAGTCATTACATGGGTGTAAGGGGGAATAAAATCTCCATGTTACGTGTTAGAAGATGTTTCTGGCAAGCCATATGAAAGAGTATTTTCGTTCGTTGTTGAAAGATATGGCGTGAGGCACCACACTTGGGGTGACCTTGAAACTTACGCAGGTAGACCTGTGGATTTGATATTCAGAGGGTCACGGCTGCGAAATCACAGAAAAATGTGTTGATATGTGTTGCAAGTTCTCTAGGTGCTAATTCATCAAAATATATGAAAATTCGGCGGAAAGGGACGTCGTAACGTAAGAAAGAAAATCATTAAGTGTACGCTTAGTTAGGTCGCATGCAGAAGGAGATCAAACAGGTGAAGATTAAGCAAGATAGGTAACGAGCATGCTTTCATTTCTTTCTTCTGTCATTGGTTCACTGCGATTTTTTTGTGTTTTACGATTGAACCAATCCATTAAGTAGACGATGCGTATATCTTGCTTTAAATCTGCCTCAGTTCTTAAGAAGTTGTCCGCTCAGGACCTGTAACAAAAAACCACCTTTTGATCGCACGTTACACCCTTCCTCATAAAATATGGTACGCCCATCAACGTGGGCCGGAAACTTTTACTAATAATACCTCCGAAAGTAAGAGGACTGAGATCACACATGAGAACTCAACCATTGTATCCTTATGTAATTTGAATAAGACTCATTAAGCCTAAGTACCTGTGATCAGGTGAAACAAAACAGCTCAAGCTGGAGAAACAAGAACAAAAAAGATTGGCTGAAAAGGTTTATTGGTTAAATTTAGGAGAATTTCAGGCGATACCTCTCTGTCCCCCAAAATATTATGCGCACTACGTTTCTCAGGATTCACACGGGGACATTTTTCCCAAACTTATCGTCCGGTGGCAAAGAAGATTTGCGTGCTCGTAGGCTAAGATTGAAGAAGTTGCACTGCTATATCTCACTTATCATTATTTTCATCTTAATTTGTCTCTAACAAATGTCTATCGCATTGGTGACGTAAGGATACTTCGGTAAAGATGGATTCAAGGTGGTAGGTTTAGATTTAGATGAGATTTAGAGTAAAACTGCGCGATGTGTGCGAGGTTCTTGAAACCATGACAAAGAACTACGTGAAAGAACTCAGTTCCATGCATTGTGTGTCATGCGTGTGTATGCTACTCATCAAGCACCACTTAAACAAGCTTAAACAAGTTTCCAATGTCGTGTATTTCTGAATGGAAATATTGCGTGCTAAGGGGGTTGCTAACAGATACGTTTTGAATTTTGGAATTATCCTTCTGAGTTCCACTAGACTGAAACGCGATCAACCTTCTAAAAATAAGTGATTTCTCACGAAAACGTGATTCTTCTCGAGCGAACGTGGCTAACGGAAATTTAAAACGTAAATGTTTGAGGAACACCCAATCACAAAGCTTTTTCTGTAAGAGTACACCGTTATTGCGTGGTTGAAAATCTAAGGAGCGAGTGGACCTATCATCGGGAAACAGAAGAAATACATTTTAGGGTAGAGGTGTGGTTATTTTGAAACTATTTTGACTTGAAATCGTTTCATGTCTTTCATAGGTTCAGTTGGCTCGGTGTAAGGAAATCTTACTTAAATTTTCAGGAGCCGAATCGAGTTTGTGAAAACAAAATCTTATAAGGAGGGCCATTTTTTACTCTCACCTTGGCCTTCGAAAATAACTCTTTCGCTAATGTAATATGTTTTGGTCTATTGCCTCCACTCTTCTGCTTTGATGGCTCATTCAGTTCAAAGATGCATTTACTCTTTCTTAATACTGGCGAATTAAACTAGTGCGACGAAATTTAGTCAAATCAAAGATACCTATGTTTATGCTTTCAGGATATAGAACCAAATAAGGTCTAAAACTTCATTATGTAGCGCGTGAAGTCATTGGTTTAAAAAGCGTGCTCCATCACAGTCCAAAACATAGAGCTGAGCTAGAGTTGTCACGCTATCTGCCAAATATCGACCATTATCGACCTTTTTTTTTGTTCCTGTGAAATTTCGGAACAAGCGAGCCGGCAAATAGCAACAGAAGAACCAAACAGAGATTTATAAACTGCCAAGCACCGTAATTTACGTTATTATAACGTGAGCAGAGACGAAAATCCTCGAAAAGAAAACGAATGGACAGTCCGAGTTTTGAAGGTTTTCACGCCCAGTTTAATAGATTGCAAGCTTGCGTAAGGTAATAAAAATCAAACACAGCTAACATTCATATAGTATATATAGTTTCGTGTTCAAGAAGTGGGGAAAAACGTGCTCTATCCGCTTCCTGTCTGCTTTTGCAACAGAACAGAGTACAGTCAAGGCTTCTCTATTTGTTAATTACGATCCGGAAACACCAATTTTTTTTCATGGACAACTAAACCCGAAATACCCTTAGCAAGGGTATCCAAGTTAAAATTAGTCAACTCTCTCATACTTGTGGCTATGCCAGCCTCTTGAGAGCACTGTTAGTCTGACGCTCCCTCCCCCCTTAACTGATTGTTTTGCATTTGAGAGTCATATCAAAGGTAACATCAGGTATTTTCGTCTGTAAGCGGTGCTTGCGTGCATGTTTTATCGTGTTTAAGTGTAGATGTCACCATATGCTGGGTTATTTGACAGATGAATGCCATTAGCTCTCGACATATGTCTGTAATTACAGCCAGCTCTCGTAAATGAACAGTATAAAGAGTGATGACCCTCAGCGCGTTTTTCCAGTCCATCCTATATGAGCGTTCAGAAGGCAGGCTTCAGTAAACAACAATAACACACGATAGAAAAGAAGCGAGGATTTTGTGTCAAGATGAATGCAATCACTTTGCTGTTTCTAACTTTGTTAGTTGTGCTGTGTCAAGGTATATCTCTTTTCCTTTCTTTTCTTGTCTTGAAAATCGAACTTGGTGAAATTGGAAGGCAGATGGCTACTTTACGATGCACATTCAGCGCTAACCGGTCGTTTGAAAAATTAACTAAGTTAAACAATGTTAAACTGAGGGGTGACAAAAAGTACAGAAACAGATCGGTTGGGTGATAAGAATTAGAGAAGTTTATACAGTGGTGAAATAGCCTGCATTTAGGAGACGCCTATTCGCCTTTCTCAGACTCAATTTTTATACCGTAGGTCAGACGCATCCTAATCTTGCATCCTAACGTTGTTTACGACTGAGTTGAAGTTTAGATACAATTAAGATAATAAAGAAAAGTGCCAAAACCGTCTTCGACATAACAACTTTGAATCTTGTTAGCTGTATGTGCTTAATTAAGTGGCATATCTAAGGCGTGTTTTTTCTAAGTACGATTACCTGAGTTGAACTATGTGCTTGAATGTCTACGGATTTTTAAGACAAATTTAGTGTTCTGTAGAATTGCGAGTTTATGGACGTAATTCGCTCGATCTGTAGCAATCAACGCAGTGATTACACAGCTTTGACAAAAAGGTTCTCGCAATTGACTGCAAAATGGACAAATTTAGTGTTTTGTAGAATTGCGACTGAGTTTATGGACGTCATTCGCTCGATCTCTAGCAATCAACGCAGCGATTACACAGCTTTGACAAAAAGGTTCTCGCAATCAGATTGACTGCAAAATATCAACTAAGCCATATTTTTGTGTGTAGAATATTGTACACCGATAAAATTTGTTTCTGCAATTCTGTTAGGTAGCAAAGAAAAGGCAACGTATCTTTCAAGATGTAATCTTGATAGAGGATATAGGAAAAACTGCAACCGCTAATACAATGATATGAATTGAATTTATCGGATCGCATTATAACTGAACATGAACTGTAGTAACAGATCGCATTATGACTAAACATCGATAGTAACAGATTTACTGAAACTGTTTACAGGAAAATGTAGTTTATGTCCTGCGTCATGCACGAATGAAAGTAAAAATTTCTTAAACCAGTTTGTGACTTTCCAACCATTTCTTAGAATAGATGGTAGTTTAGTATTTCTTTGGAAGTAGAAACGAGGATAGTAATTTGAAAAGTTGATAACTTCGCTTATCAAAGTTCACAGGAAACGAGTGTATCATTGTTTCTGACGACTAACGTTGTTTTTATCGAGGGCAGTTCTCGCAAGTGTGTGATTTTGCTTGAAATTTATATGTAGGACTAATCTGTAAAAATGTAACACAACAGGTGGAGGGCAGTAATTTGATGGCTTGAAAAGTGATGATATAAGAGCGAAGAGAAACGGAAAAGAAAATTGAAGAATGACTCAATAGAGATGAACAGGGGGAAATCACGATATCGTCGGAAAAGAAAATTTAGGTTGTAATTAAAACACATTTTTCTGCCGAATTTCAGTAAAAAAAAAACAAAACAAAACAAAAACAAAAACAAAAGGAGAAAGTGATATCTTTGAATATACTCAAGTGAGTTCATATCCACTTTTCATCACCTTTGGTAGGAAATACTTGAGATTAGCGTCTTTCAAAACCAGTTGAAAAACCAACGGGAAAAACATGCAACACTTGAGTAAAGGAAACAAACGCGTGTGGTTCAGACCGACAAACGCCAGAAGTAGTCGCACGCGCGAGCGAAGCTTCACCACGTCTGATCACTCGCGCGCGTATTACTCACGTTTCTGTCAGGCGACTGTCATGAAAGCTAACCTCAAATATGTACTTAATCCGTTCTCAATAAACAGCGAGTTAATCAAACTGCATAGAACACTCTAGAAAGAGTTATAGGCCACCTTATCGATCTAGGAATCTGGCTGGCAGCAGGGAACATACCAAGCAACACGTCAGAGTCTGCGTCAATGCAGTTAACTACTGGTGTGATAAAACACCTTGATGAAAGGTCAAGATGGTACTTACAGCTGGAATTAATTAAACCAACAATGATCATCTTTGTGGAAAAGAGCAATGATAAAAAAACAAGGGAAAAAATAAAACAGGGGAAAAAAGGATATGTAATTTCACTACTTATTAATTTTCTTCCGCTCGGTTTTTTTTTCCTATACCAGAGGTTTTTCGACGTTTTGGTGGATAGCAACACGTAGCCTTTTAATGAAAATACAATCAGTTTACCCTTTTTTGGCCTGATTTCGCTACTGGTAACTGGATGAGGTCGATATGCTACTATCTATAACATTTTCCGTCTTGAACTAGATATCAAGATGAAAAGATTCAACCCCACCCCCTTGAAACGTCCCTTCACACCCCTCCCCACCCCCCCTCCCTTCATATAGACTAAAAGCCGGAAAACTAGTCCACCACACCCTGTTCACTCGGCGAATCTGTCACAATTTGCAGGCAAACGCAGTAGTCCTGTTGGAGAATGCCCGTATGTGAGACCTCCAGTGGACTGTGCCGGTGAACTGGGATTGCTGGGAGGACTCTTCTCCTCTGGTGAAGACAAAGACGAGTGTTCCGCTGACGATGAATGCACGTCGTCGATGAAGTGCTGTATGATGGGATGTAACAATAAATGTGTACATCCAGTTACTCATTGTAAGTAAACTATATTTCCGTCAGTTTGACGGCAACTTGTTCAAGACGCTTGCGGTTTAAAAAACTAGAATTTTACTCACTTTTCCTGTAATCCTTGAATCGACGCTTGAAAATAGCAAAATACGTCTTGTCCACGTCCCTTTGGTGGAGAAATGACGGAAAGCGGACTGCGAGAAGTCCACTGTTTTTTCCTTTTATGTTTCCCTCAAAGCTTTCTCCTAATTGGCTCCTTGTGTTACTTTTCTTTTTTTTTCTGATTGGCTGCTTTGACTACATTGCGCTCTAATCCAACCTCCTTTGTTTGCCTTTAGGGTGTCAGGCTCCTGTCGATCTCGCCATCCTATTTGACGCGCAGATTTCCACATGGCCAAAAGTGAGGAAAATGGTCCTCAAAATTGTCCACAAAATGTCCATCGGAGAAGACAATACTCACATAGCGTTGGGAGCAATTTCAAAAAAGGGTCAGCCGCTGCTTGGATTTGATCAACTTAAGGGCCGAAATATCAGCCATGTTAATGTGTGGAAATTCATGAAGGCATTTACACCCACGAAAAAGAATGGAAAACTAACAACAGCCTTGAAGAATGCCAAACACATGTTTGATGAGAAGAAAGGGGCAAGAGAAAATGGCATGAAGGTAAACATACATATCAAATCTACACTCTTAATCCTCGCGGTATCAACCGGGCGACAAACGCTTTTCATTCAACTAAGTTATTCTCCAATAGCGAAACTCCATTCTTCTGTATATAAACACTTATTCAACACACAATTCTTCTCTTTGCTTTGAAGATGGGCTAACACTCGAAACTTCAGCTTTAGAAAGTCTTTATGGAAGCCAGTGCACATTATCACTGAACTAAGTTGATAAAACTAAATTACCTTGTTATACGCAGCACCTCTGTCAGTTTCTCTAGAAACGTATACCCACTTACTTCAAATATGGATTGCTTAAATTTTTGTGACACCATGGATTCATTTTTCACATCGAGAAATTTTTGGAAGTGGGATGTCAGTCAATCTACACTCACGCACTCCTGAGCACTGCATGACATCCCAGACTACATTTACAGCAACCTAAGTCGATGAAATATTATGAGCAACTGGAAAAACGTCTTTTGCTTTTTGTCATAGGTCCTCCTTGTTTTGTCCGACGCAAACATAGATTTTGAAGAAAGCGACGCCGTGGACGAAGTTGCGCAAGAATTTAGAGATTCTAACGTTCTGGTACAGACTGTAGGAATTACTGATGAAATGAGCCTGATGACTCTGGTGCAGATAGCTACGAGCGACATCTACGTTTGGCCTGACGTTGATGATGAGATGCTAAACGAACTGAAGAAGCTCGAGAAACAACCATGCAATTCTGATGCGCTTTGAATTATCAATGTTACTGTCTTAATTCAAATTTCTTTTGTAGAATCTTTTTTTCAACCCATGCCATAAATACAAACAGAAACAGGCATTCCGAATTTAAGAAAACCGTTGTAGGTACGGTGCCTATCGTGAGCTGCTATTTCATTTCCGCCGAATTATAAGGGACGTCACTTCCGGTTTCGTTCGACTGTCTTTAACATGCACTTTTTATCTTCCTTTCCATTTATTTTTACCAAGAAGCGTTTCAAGAGTTTTGAAAAACCTTGTTAAGATCGAGGAGATTACGAAGCCGGCTCAAAACCAGTATTTTTTATGACACGATTTAAAATAGTCATGGAGCGCTTTCTTGTGGTGGAACATTGGGTTTCGTAGTTGCTATTTGGATTTTCTTGTCACACGCACTTGCCTAAGAGACATGTACTATATGGGATACGCTATGGTGTAAAAGTCAAAAGTGTTGCATAATTGCTTGGTAGCCAGAAAGTTTTAAGATCTCTCTAGTATTCTAGCTTTATGCCTCCATATTGTTCATGTTAGTATTATAATGTTTTATTTTTGTACGCGCACTTTCGTTTTAAGTCACGATTTCGAAATGATGTTCAAGTGGGCGAGCAACTTTGCAATCATAAGTTGAGTCGCCTTTGAGGTATTATTCAAAGTCATTCAGTAGCCTAAGGTTATTTTATAAATACTCATTAGGTAGGTAAATATTTTTGTAGGACGTTTGTCACCCGTTTGTCTACCCTTTCTTTCTCTTTGAGCACGAGATAATCACAACAAAGAATTTTAAATAGCCTCTTTCGAGTATTTAGCTCAAGACTTGTTCCCAGGTCATACATCCGTCAATTATAAAAATGACGAGAGACTGGGAAGGAAGGAACTTTCCATGATTCAGCGGTCTTTCTTCTGAGGTTCTTCCTCTTTAGGGAGCAACTAGTAAACTAACCTTGTTCAAAGAAGGCTGAGCTGATAAGGGGTTTCATTTTGTAACTATGATAACTGAGGTAAGTAAGACTTAAATTGATCGATTGTAAGGTACCACAGATATTCGGCTCTATACTTTGGGAGGGCGTGTTCATACTTAGCAGAGTCGTGTTCATAGCTGTTAGTTTATTCCTTTGATGCCTAAGTGTGACTAGCATCCAATCTAGTTGGGTGGGGTTCGTACCTATTTGAAATAACTGCGAGTGTTCCTGTGTCAGTAAATGTCGACAGTAATCTCGTACCCAGATCCTACCGTGTAACTGTAACTGAAATGTAATGTACAGCCGCTTGGTCGTGGAAGGTCCGACACCCCGAGTATGTGAATACTCTAGGTTACCCCGACGGTGCTATACTTCAATGTCTCTAATGGTTTGCTAACGACTTAGAGTCGCTTCCAAACCTTGATGCTCTTGTGGAGCCATTTTAAGAATCAAAAGCCAAAGAAGATCCGGATTAATAGTTTTAAACAATACTAAACTTCGAGCCGGACCGAATTGAAATCCGAAGGTTTAAGCTAACGATACTAAGTACTCGTTACGTGTCTTACCTTGAGCGGGGTGCTGAGGTATGATAACACCTCCTTCATTGCGGTGGAAAGGGCAAAAATTTTCAGGCCGAGTTTTTCATTTAATCGCCTCTTGTCAAACCTAACCTATTCGTAATTAAAAAGTGACCATTTACTAACCTTATTAATTTTCCTGTTCTCGCCCCAATGACACACAATGCGCTTAGCACATTTCTCAGATGATTTGGGGAAAGCGAAAGTTCTTCACTGATATTTCACGTTCAAGATTTCTGACTTTCCGTTTGAATTACATACTCAAGTTTGTTACAACCGCGTGAGAACCATCGAAACTACGTGTAATAGCGACTGAGCCTATCTGTGATTGTCTGTTCAAATGCACGGGTTTTTTTTTTTAGCGCCACACTGTCAAACATCATTATTGACAACAATAGAAAACAATAGACGTAAATTACACTTTTGGTCGATTATTAAGGTAAAATTTATCCACGTAGCTGAGTGCATGGGAATTATGTACAAACAGAAATATTGTGAGCTCCGAACAAATATCGCATTATCTAAAATGTGTGGCAACAAAGATTTTCACACTTTTGTCGAACTCTTTTGAATATTTCATTATTTTTGTTTGTAATTTTCAACCAGTGCGTTGGGATTAAAAGACAAACTTGAAGGAATCACTTCCACAGCAAAAATGTTTTAAAATATTCTCGATGTATGAAAACCAATATATCCCTGAAATCAGTTTTTGCTTTGTGTCAAAATTATTACTCTAGAGATGTTTTCGTTTCAATTATTCATTACCACTGGAAATTATTCCGAAATCTCTCGCCATAGGCGCAATTTGTGACGGCAGTTCGTGTCCTCCGTAAATAAAACCGTTCGGGTATAGCATCAAATTTTCAAAACTACAACTCAAGGAAATGTAGAAGGGTCGCCATGGGGAATTTTTCGTCAGATCGTGGGTGTGAGGATTTAATTTCATTCTTTAACAAAATCTTCAAATCCTTAAATTGGTCGCGAGCAAAGCCATCATTATCAGCGCTTCAGTGCGAGCTTTTGTTCGCTCGCGGGGAAAATATGAGGCCTCGAGAAACGCGAGCGAGCGAGTAGCATTTTATTATTAGTGCCAGACTCCTGGCAAACATCTCCCCAATTGGTCTCAAATCTTCCCGCGGAAGGAGAAACGCACGTCCTTCAGGGCTAACAATGAGGGTCTGCTCATTGGCTAAACAAAGAGGAAGTACGTGTATTAACATTGGTTTTTGATTTAATTTCATTTCACTTTTTCATAACTTGGGTGCTATTTTTGACGGTTATCAACCCAGCCTTAATTGTGCGGTACTTCACTCTTTCTTGGTTAGTCCCCTCAGTCCATATTTCAGCAGCAAACGTTTCAGGGAACCTAAAAAGATCGTTTCAAAAGGTTTGTTAGATACGTGTGAGATTCACTGGAAAAAGCTACTTTTGCTCAGAAATGATTACCGGAGTACTGCTCATCATCTTTGGAAACTTTGTGTGAAGATAGAGGAAGCCGATTTTGGAAGATCTTTTTGGGAATACATTTTTTATATGAGCACCTATAGCCACAACTTACCAGAACAAGGCGCTTTTGAAATTTTCTTCAATTGTGCCAGGAGATTCCCAAAAAATTCTGCGTTGAAAAAGTTGTCCGGGCTGGATGTGATATCGAGAAGCGTTCTCATATTCAGTTCGTCGGCCCAGACTCCCACAGGATAAATCTGCACCCCGGCCATCATCAGGTCTTCTGCTTCGTTCCTAAGATTAAGCATTGTTGGATTCCACGTCTGTCCTCCGTCGCTAAAAACAAGAAGGATCTAAAAGACAAAGAGAAAGGTGTATGTAACTGATCAAGGGCCTAAAATCCCTTCCCCCTCAATCTAGCCTTACTAAGACAGCTCAAGCGAACTGGTCTCTCGAACACAGCACTTAAATGTAAGGCATACGCAAATGGGTCAATTATGACTTCCTGCACACAAAATTCACCCCAAAATTTTAGAGCAAGATTTAAGAAACAACCGTAGTCTCGCAAAATTTTTTAAAATAAAATGATTTGTTCATACAAATCTGCTCAGACACTTATGTTATTAATTGATATCCCAGAAGCTCACCTTCTGCGCGTGTTTCCTTCCACCTCCCAATTTCGAGAATACCTCTTTACGTGCCATGCGCAGAGCCAGATCAATCCTTGTCTGCCCGCTGATAAACTTGAGGTTGTCAACTACCTTAAAGACGTTATCACTTGTGATGTTGTCTCCTTTAAGGGTGTTGAGATTCAGCTCAATGTGTGGCACGCTGTCAATCATTATGATACTGACATGGGTTTTCTTCTCCGAGATGGTGAACTGGGTGAGGGTTCTGTCTACCATTTTTTTTATCTTTTTGAAGTTTTCAACACCAACACTCTCCGACGAGTCGATCATGAAAACGAGGTCCATGGGTTTTTCACACACTGCATAGATTTAAAAATGAGAAAAAAAAAAGTTAGATCAGAGGATTTTGGTCGTATCGCAATAAAATTTACCTGATCTTCCCATAAGGTTCTGTAATATACGTATGATTACCCCTCTTTGTCAGTTATTAACGGTTAAATTTCTACAGTCCCCTCCTTCCCCTCCTTATATATACTTTGTCGACTATGACTAATCCCCCCTCTATTCTCCTGAAAATAACGTGTTCCTCCAAAGATTCTCCGACCACCCCTTCCCCCCCTTCCGTCCCTTACTTGTATATCCTCGATGACGTTTCCCATGCTTGCGTTTGACAGCTGTTTGGCACGTTAGTTTACAGCCGTTGTAACAACACTTGTTTTTAGTCTCCCCGCAGTCCACATCCACCGCACATTCGTGAACGATTGGGAATGAACAGCGGTGATGCCACGTCAGTCGAGGACAATCGCCAGAATTTTGCACTACGAGAATAAATAAAACGTATGTCGACAAGACAATGCATATGTACTATTCGAAGAACGCTAGATTTCGTGTTTGGGTTAATTATCTAGTTGTGGGAAGCGATTATACGAAGAAAAAGAAAAACAACGGAAACCACATGAGCAGAGCGGGGAGTGGTTTGATTTTGTTTACAGACCTGTTTCCTATTTTTGATTAAACCCAGTCGATGTAAAAAAAAAAAAAATGTCGTGACATCAAATCATATTTTGATTTCTTAAATAGGATTACTCGATCTTAAATCTCATTTTAGTTTGTGTTTCCGTTTGCGTACAGATATACCACCCTTTTCGACTCTTTTTTGGCACCGATATTATTATATTGATAACCGCTTCATTCAAATTTCTGTTGCTTACAAGGTCAGCTTCGTTTCCCCTTTGGCATCTCAAGAAGCTGTTGATGGAATGAATCGTTCAGTTTGAAATAACAAACCAAATAATTAAAACACTTTCGTAAACCAGAAATTTAAACAAAACACCAAATACAGCTTTTCAAACAATCCCAGAAAAACCCCCCAAAAAGAAACCTTTCGTGAATAGGTAAGATGAGGACGTACACGAATTATTCCAACTTCGTAATAAGCTTATCACAAAAATTCGTGCAGATTACACACTTTTTTAACTGCTTCTTCACGAAATATTTGCGCCGTTTCCGTTATGCAGAAAAATTGAAAAATTAACGCACGGTTTGTGTCTAATTGATTCCTTTTGACCCGACTAGACTCAACTACAGCTGGAATGGCTAGCAAAGAAAAAGCGTATATTTCACTGCACAGATGCGTTAACTACTCTACGTGTTTTTAAGAACACTCTTGTTATTAATTTGCTTGCAGTAACAGAAGGGTTATTTCGCATTTCATCTTTGTAACAATGTGATATTTCATCAGAAACAACTATCCACGATGCTAAAAAAAACTAATTGCCGATTATAATTAGCGCGGTCTGCGCTAAGTTAAATTCCTTCCTGTTCCTACAATGGGTTAAATTTCATGTTAAAGTCCTTTCCTCCTTAAGATCCTTAAGAAAGCAAGCCAAATGTTTTCATATCAACGCAATGCAGCCATGATCTATCTATCTTACACGAATTCGAAGCACATAGATGGCTAAAACAAGAAAAATATGTGTGCAGTTCGAATCCTGGAATGAGTGGATAAATAAATAGCGTAGAAAGATGTAAACAAACTGTTAGTGCCTATTTTTTTTTCTTTTTAGGCCTTGGGCCTTTACGAGATTAAAGATCAGATCGTTTTGAAGAATCAGTGATAAAACCTGCATCTCTTAAACTTACACGCTTCTTCATCGCTGTCTTGGCAAACAGAAGACCCAAAGAAAGACACAGACACCATAACTGCCAAAGCTGTGAACAAGTGCATTTTGCCTTCCTTAATACAGTGGATAGAGATTCGCTGTAGCAAGGTTATACGTTCCTAAACTGACGGCGCTTCAAGTAAATTCTAAACCACTGTGTTCATATGACCTGGATATTATTTTTCTCGGAGTATAATGTCACTGATAATATTCTTGAAGGCTAATGTGATTGGCATAAGCTTCGCAATCTTGACTCGCACGTCATAAAATTGACCAATGAAATTAAGGTATGAAGGTGCCCTAATAAATGGCATCCGTGGTCGGGTTCAGAACATTAAGTACACGTCAATCAAAATTTCTAACAATAGACAAAATTAATATATTTTATAAAACCAAACTGGATAGACCCTACAAACCCTATAGCTTCTTCGAATTCTTCGTAACCTACCGCTGAGTCTCCATGTCGAAAGCCAGTTAGACATTAAAGAATCAAACTGGAGTTATAGCTGCGTTTGACTAATAATGGGTCCCTGTGACAATTATCTAGCGATCCAAATGTCAGCAGTAGGCACGATATCGATGTTCGTCACGTGAAACTGATTTTATGGATGAGTGACCAGTAATTGAAGTTCTCCAACCTGCTGCTAGTCTTTAAATTAATCCAGCCCGCGTTGCCACGGGAAAAACGTAGATTCAACTGCATTAATACAAAGGATATACGGAGGAATGGTCGGGGGATCCAGACCCCCTCCCTCCCGCCTCGTCAGAGTTGTGTTTATTTTTGTAACTGTTTGCCTGACCTTAAAATTCTTGCAATGACATGATCACGTATAACTACTAACCACAAGTGAAGGGGCGAGGTGGAGAGCGTGGGTTGGTGAAGAATTTTTTTTTACCCTTTTGCCATCAAATGTTTCTAGATCTTTCCTTTTGCACGAAACATTTATTTGTCGTCTCTCGCCGGGGGACTTCTTTTTTGGTTTGTACCAGACTAATGAACACAATCTTTCAACTGAATCATTGCAAAAGGTTGCATAAGACTTAAAACACACCATCTTCTTTCTATAATCGCGCAAATTAAGCGCTTTTCATAAGCCTTGAGAGGGAGAGCGGGTTACTCTCATCCGGACCCTCAAATTTTGATGACGAGCGAAAAAGGGGGGCGAGTGGAGGAAAATACATTTCAGGGGGTGGAGTAAGGAGAAAGGAGAACCTTTAACTGAACCCCAGGCGCCCCCCCCCCCCCCCACCCCAATTTCTTTGGCATGGAAGCGCAGCTTTATCTTTCGTCCCTGTTAACCGAGATCCTAACACAGGTTAGTTGCGCATATCTCGAAGTTTGGGTCTGCGCGACTTAAAGCCAGGCTCAGGTCGGTTATTTCATGTCTTTCGCTCATGGCTAACAAATGTTGTCTTCTTTCCCAGACCCAGTGTGATAACAGTAATTCTCAAGTGGTCTGCGGTCACTCTATCACGTCGCCAAAATGGTTGTTTTGTTTTCCAGATCATACTGAAAAAAAGGAACACAGACGGAATAATAAATTTGATGGCCAATACTTTGTCTGAGAGAAGTAAGAAACTACCAAGAGGTAAAAATTATTTTGTTCACTCACCGAGTAAACTTCCGTTGACAAAGTTTCTGGATATTATCAACCAAGGCTTCACCAAAGCTGTCAGAGCTAAACCTCAAAACTTGCAAAACACGCAATGTATAAAGGCAGATGAACGCAAATAAACAAATTAATTGTTCTTTGGGATTTTAGAATGATATATTGTTTTGCTTCACTACTGGCGACTTCTTGGTCGCCTTTAGTGAAGTCACGACCAGTAACGCGCATGTCAAATGAGACGAGTTACTGGATGTTGTGAGAGGCTGCCTTCCATATCAGATATTTATTACGAGGAACTCATCTGATGAATAATAGCTTACCTCCATAAGCTTTATTCCTACAGAAAGGGGAGGAAAAAAGTAAAAAAATAAAATTTAGGAGACGATCAGTAAAATATATAGAGAATCTGGTCGCAATTGAGGTGGTCCAGGGTTCGATCATTTTCGTACCTAGAGCTCACGACCGAGAGCGTCGTTCGATGGCTAGACGTTGCTATGGAGGTATTGGCAATCTTAGCTGATATTTGAAGCTTATATTTTCACAGGAAAATCGCAAATGTGCTCATACTCGACAAGACGTGTATTCTAAAGATTTTGTTGGCCTATAACGATTTTGATATCATTATGCTCAAGACGAACTCAATTTTCGTACCACAAGCAACTTTGGATATTTCCTCTGCCAAGTTTACAAGTTGGTCGTATGATTCCGCGGTAATAACATTTTCTCGAGCGCCTGCAATTTCTATCAGCTCATCTTCATCGATATCTTCCTTATTCCCAACTGCCACAACATAAATCTTGATTCCTTTGTTTCGCAGAGGCTCAGACGCCTCCTGTAATGACTTGACACTGCTTTGTTGGCCTGTTTGTTTACCAGTGGTTAACAGAATCATAATCTGTGAATAGAACAATAAAAAATATTAAAATGTTTCGCTTTAAAATAGCGCAGTAATTTTCATGATAACTTAAGAATTATCGTTAAAAGGAGATGGATAAACCTAACTTAAGTGACTAAAATGATCACAACGGCTAAAGTTTTCGCAACAGCAAACTCAGGAAAAATTTAGAGAGCCCATACAATAGCTCAAACCGGACATGCAAGGAAAACAGGATATAATTTATTGCATGTGATTGAGAGTTTTTAGCTCACTGACCCTGCTGACATCGCTAGTTAAGCGTACCAAAAGAAATATAGAGATATAGCTTTCAATACTCCTTGTGCAAAATTTGCCTTATTTTTCTGGTTCTGCTGTAAAATTATTGCGCCGTGAGACTTTCTTGACAGACCTTTTTAATGTCACTTTTATTCACCCTCATTCCCGCCTCTGCAGTAAACAGTCTTTCATTCGCCAGTTTTAGCGCCTTGTCAATGTAGCGGTTACCTCCGGTCGGCGCTACTTTTTCGATGAAGTCTTTCACATTTTCCGGAGTTAGGCGGTCACCTTCAAAAGTTTTGAAGTCCATAACCAATTGTGCATCTGTGCTGTAGGTGATTAAACCAACATGGCTTTTTAGGCGGCCTATGTTGAAAAAGTCCACCAAAGAAGTGGTGAAGTCGAGAACCTGACAATCGAAAGAAAACGTGCACGTAGATGACGTAAAGCAATTTATAAAGTGTCGATCGCGTGACTAGTGACCGCCCAGTCTTTCGTGAAATGCTCGACATAACACTTAGGCGCATCATTATTAGTTCCAGTCCTCTTGTACAAATTTTAAAAGGGAATAAATAAAAACAGAGCAGAAAATTTCTGAAAAAAAAAAGAAAATTCATAGCCGCTCAAAAAATAAGACGGAGATAACCAAAACAATTCTTACAATGTGATAATTTATATAAACCGTATTTGATTATCAATTTGGAGCGGGAATTTTTGGGTAAAGGCATTGTACTTTACAAACCTCTCGCCATTTGCTCCCAGCCGTATCGGATGAGTCTAAAATGATTCCAAGATCTGTTGGCTCCGCACAAAGAATTTCTAAAACAAAACAATTTGTTGACTTTGACACGAACTCGGAAGTTGTTATTAGAATTAAGATTGTTCGTCAAGAGTAAAAATATGAAGAAAACACAAGCATATGGCCTAATTTACATAGAGTAGTCGTTAAGTCAACAATAATGCAAAGCAATGCAAGCATCATGTAATGCAGTATTTCTTTTTTCATTCAGAAATCAGTTTTATATTTTTCTTAGCCTTGTTATGGTGATCTTGGACCGAACCTAGACTGAACAATGATTAGGAACTTTGCATGTAGTGCTTTCAGGAAGAGCAGTGTTGAGCAACTTATGCCCGTGGTAACTGTTAAACTTACTTGACAAGTGAACCAAAAGTTTGTAAGATAACATCACATCCCTTTCGAACGGAACCAGCTCCGGAGACGAAAAGTCACGCGATGTAAATCTGACGTGCTTTATGATCTAACAGACGGTCTAGCCATAACAATTTAAATGATCATTTAGGGGTTGGAAGCCAAGCGAAAAAGAAATTAATTGGTTGAAAACTCAGAAGAACGTAAAGGCCATGAAGAGAGATGAATTTCAAAGTGATTTTTGGCTCAAGTGAAGATCGATCACTGACTCAATCATTTAAACTGCTTTGTAAAACTGATCACATTTGCGCAAACACATAGATCCTAAGTCAGCTTACGTCACCGTTCATTTTGTCCTCAGTGTGAAGACAAACGTTCAGTACGGGTTACAGTTCATATGCTCTTAGAAGACATTGTTAATTTCTGTCCTTCAATTCCGGTGCAAGAAAAACAAACCTGCCCATGATAACATACCTTCTTGAGCAAGCGTTCCTGCTCTCGACGTGAACAAAACGCTGCAGATTAGAAGTAGTTTGGTGTAACGCATGATTTCTGATGCGGATTCACCGTGTACCACTTTGAACGACAAACATCTTTCGTTTGAGGTTATGCTTAGAGCGAACAGATTTGATAAAGTTTAATAACATTCCGTGACAAGTTGGTGACATCGACAATTTAACGCGTCATCGACTGTGAGAGAATTTCGCCGCCTAATAGCGGTTGATTTCATTAACAAACACATCGAACAAAAGTTGATTCAATTGAATGCTATAAGGGAGCACTTTTCGGCTCAGTCGGACGTATTGTTATCAGTGAACTGAAAGCCACATAAGGAGATAAACCCGAACCCCTTTAAAGCTTTAATTCAAGATAAAGTTTTAAATGTTCTTCTCCCCTTGTTTCAACGCCCGCCGACTCAGGCGCAGTTACATCGCGCTTCCCAGTAAATAAAACTTCTGATTGTGGAATGACTTCATTCTCAAATGGGCTTTTTATGGCAAATCTTCTCAACACTTGAATTGAATCAGTAGTAAAATAGACCACCAACTTGAACCATGTGGCCCGAGAAGACTCGCTTTTTTGCCGTTCTGCTTTCCTTTCCTTTTTTCCGCAAAACAGAGTTTCCCTGTCGCGTATTAATTATGTTTGCCGCGACGAATATTCCTGCAAGTAGCATGCATGTAAAAGGTGCACATTCAAGTACGTAATCTGTTCAAGGCTAGCAGGCCAAACTTCAGATCCTCTTTGGAACTTTAGGCAGTGGCAATTGCACACTCTGTTTACCGTTCAAGATATCGAAAACCATGCTCTGTTTAGTGGCACATACCAGTGTGTATGTGGGAGGTCGCTTAATTAATTAGTAATCCCATAATTGCTACTTTTCTTAATTCTCATCACTTGTCTGCATGATATCAGTATAGATATGGTAAGGAGAAATTCTGTCTTGGTCACTCACGGGAGTTAAAGAGTTCAGGGGTACTAGGGTGCAACTGATTCTCTCTTCGTCAAGTTGACTTATAGCCAATGACAAATGCTACAAAAAGCGCCTCCCTCTCTCTCCACCCATTGCTTCAGAGTTCAACCTATGACTTTCTCTAGTCTTCAGGACCAACTGGACGTTCCACGTTAATTTTCTAACGAGTATGTACAACTTGTAATAACCGTGAGCCTACATCCTCTTTTCAGACTCTGTGCTTCAGCTAAGAACAAGCTATATGATTCCCCGCTTACTCCTGCTCCTGGCCTGGTTTCTTGGCTATGCAAAACATGCCAAACCGATTTTTTTACGGCCTGTCGTAGACGTTTTATCTAATACAATCAATTGGCACTGTTTATGCGCGGTTGTCACAGTATTAACACGTCCTCACGCTAATTACTTAGTATATTTTTAAATTATAAATTAATCTATTTATTTATTTGTTTAATTTTTTTTGGAGGGGGGGGAGCTAAATGCCATTGATAATTTGGCTTTATTTTTTGATATTTGTTCAGCTTCATGTACCAAATATTTCAATTGGTCTTCGGAGTCAATTCATTTTAACGCAAATCTGACAGCTCCCTTAGAAAAATCCTTGATATCTCTCTCGGGACAGCTGTCATTTTAACTGACATCTTCGAGCTGTAGGAAGTATAATGCCCCTTGCTAGTCACACAGAAGCTGAAACCATCACAGAGAAACTAGAACGATAGAAACACCGCGGTGATCGAAGACCTGCAGACGGCTCCACTCCATGACTACAGATTCAGTCAGTCAAGTATCATGTTACCTCACAAAGACCACTATTCTACTCTCGCGGCCTTGCCTGGCCCCAGTAAAAGCGGGATGAATTTGACAACATCCTGACCAAACTTCAGCGCTTTGGTTTCTACAAAGATCCTGGAAACATGGCTCCATTGAAGGCATTAACGACGGTATTTGTCTTCGGATTGCTTCTCGCAAGAATACGCGCCCGTGAGTAATGAATATTCATGACTGAAAATAATAACGCTATCGTATAAATTTTAGCTCACGCGAGATGTGTTAGACTTTAATTTGTGCAAGGATAAAGAAAAGAGTTTTGTGCTTAACAGAGGGGAATTTCAGTTTCTATTAAGAAACTTCCATCGAAATGAGTCATTATAATTTACTAATCCACGGATTTAGCGAAGGGTTATGGGCAAAGATTACAAAATTAATCGAAATCTGACCATCTTGGCAATTCTCCATTTAATGAAACCTTGCCCGTTCAAACTTTGAAATTGTAAAATATGACGATATTTTACAATACTTTTCGTTAGCTGACGAATACTTACATCATTCTATTCGATTTCTATGTTTTTTTCCTCCTGAATACCGAGTAACATGGAGTGTAATCTTTTTTAAACAACGAATCGATTGTAGTCGTTGACTTGAGCTACGGAAACTTCGCTTCGCTGAGAAATTTTGCGACGGCGCCGATCGCTAGAGTTATCAGTGAAAGGCAGATCTCACATATGTTACGATTTCATCGAACGCTTTGAAAATAAGGCAAGCATGTTGAATATGCATTATTTTGTGCGACCGTTCGTGGAAGGCATGACGTTTTGTTGAAAACGATTGTGTGACATGGATTGTGTCACACAACACGCTATTTCGTAAATATTAATTTTCATCCGTCAGTTGTCATAAACAAAAGATATGTGTTAGGTAATGTTATTTGGCAAGGAATTAAGCATGATCCGCAAAATAAATAGGAATAGAAGAATTTCCCCCTCAAGACTTCAAATCCTGTTCCTTTCACGGAACTACCTTTTTGAATCCATGATGTATAACAAATTTAAAGGGAACCAACAGACATGATAGCGGCTGGAACTCGTACTAGGACTTCCATAAGAGCCTCAGTTGAGAAAATAAATAAAGTATTGCGATTTTTTTCGATTAATTTATTATAAAGCAGACTCTTCCACTTTAGGGAAGTTTAGTCGCAGGGGGGTGACCTTCACAACCCCGCTATCATACTCGATTCGTCTATTTGGTGCCACACTGGCCATATTTGGGACTGCTCCTCCTCCCTCCCCCCTCCCCTCCCCCGCTCCTCTAGAAGACTCGTTTAAAAGTTTTAGGTCTGCAATGAGCTATTTTTCTGTAAGCATTTCTTTTCACGAAGAACCATTATTAACATTGCAGAGTATGTCTGCCCGAAAGTCACCAAATATGGTGCAGAATGCCCACTGGACGTTGACAATGAATGTGAATCAGACCAGGCATGTTCCGCTGGCCTCAAATGCTGTCCTTCCATATTTGATGATGAAGCTTGTCAACTGCTCTGCTTAGAACCTGAACCTCAAAGTAAGATGTAACCTTTTTCATCTGTAGATTGGGTTTATTCTTTTATCTCGTACTCCGAAGGGAGTTTGTCACTGTTACCGCAGTTTGGTACTGTTTGGTCAATAAAGTAAACACTTAATCTCGCCTATGTGGGACAACTGAGCTCAATCCGAATATGCCCGCGCACGCTCGCTAGCATTGCTTTAAGGGGAAGGGAAAAAAACATTTAACTCCCACCTCGTTGGGTGCGATTCTTTGCATGATTAAGATAGAAATCTTAGAAATCTCAACTCAACGATGAAAATTGGCCGTAAAAGCTCCAGAAGAATCCCCTATGTGGGTGTAATCTTTTCCTCTTTCGTCCTTCAAGCCACTTGCCCTGTTTCTGTGGACTTCGCCTTCATTTTGGACGGCTCAGGAAGTATCTCCAAGAAAAACTGGGGTCGAATTAAGGAGTTTGTCAAACGCATAGTGGACGCGTTCGACGTTTCTCCAGACGGCACCCACTTTGCACTGCTCGAGTACAGTACAGACCCTAAAGTTTACCTCAGATTTAACGATTTCGCCGATGCACAGCTCAATGGTGTGAATGTCAAGCGAAAGGTGGAAGAAATCTTACAATCGAAAGGAAAAACATTCATTGATAAAGCTTTGGAGTTAGCAAATCAGGAAATTTTCACTACAGAAGGTGGCATGAGACCAGATGTCAAACAGGTTAGAGAAATTTACAGGAATCGTTTTAAGTTATAAGAATATGCTGGTAACAGCATTCCTCAAGTTAAATAATGTCCATATCATTTGAACTTTTAAGAGAGAAAAATAGGAAATTTTACGAGAAGTCCAACGTTATAAACGCGTGAAACGTCTTGTCTCGCGGAAAGTGCGAATCACCAAGTCACGCAAATCTTAAGAAGAGACGAGCGAAAGTGCAGTGGTTGCCTGACGACTCTCGCTGCTCTTTCATGCGTTTTCTTTTTCCCTTGCAGAGATCCTTGCACGGGTTGAATAATTCAATCAAAATCAATGGCTGACCAAATCGCAATTCTTTTCGATCAGATTAGTTTAGAGCGCGGTGCGAGTTTTCTTCGCCAATCACAGAGCGAGGCATAGCAACACCAGAAATCTTAACAAGTTTTTGATACATTTAAAAATTGCGCATTCTGTATCACGCTTTTCCTCCCTGATCTTGATACCTTACCATCATTTTATAGATTGCTCTGGTGGTCACAGACGGTACCCAGACCCCTGAGCCCAGTCCAGTAGCATCAGAAGAAAACCTTATTGCTGCAGCCGAGAAGTTGCATAAGAAAGGAATTGATGTAATTACGCTCGGCATCGGAAAGAACGTCAACCCCTTCCAGCTGCTAAACATAGCATCTGATGAAGACAACTTATACTCAGCAGAAGTCTTTGAAGAAATCTTGACTAATGTCGTAGGAGAACTGACCAGGCGAGAGTGCCTAGGTAAGTTAAAACATTGCGCTTCTACTTTTGTGTTCCTAATTGAACTGCTGTCAAAGATAACGCAGAGCTAGGAGGTGAAGGGTCTTCACCTCCTACTTCTATGACCAGAGATCGATTATTGAACTTGACAGGATCTTTCGTGAAACGGGCTCCATGAGTCCCGCCTCTCTGAAAGCCTGGTCGTTTCCGATCCCGAATTTCGCTTTTTCTTTTATTTAAGATTAAGTATTTTGGGGAATTTCAGTAGAGGCACTGATTCTTTCAAGGAGTTGGCCCGAGAAACTCGTAGAGAAACCCTTGGAGCAACCAAAGTGCACGCGCGTAGTATCTCGTATATTTTATATAATTTCATCATAGATGATTTTGCTATAAAGATAGCTGGATCTGGCATAAATATGCTAAACTAACAAAAATAAAATGCATTTTTGTTTCAGCTTGTTCTGAGCCGGTTGATGTAGTATTTGGAATCCCAACTTCCCGATCTATTCCTGCGGACCAGTTTGAGAATATGAAGTATTTCGTGAATCAAACGATCGATTCATTCGATGTGGGTCCCTTGAAAGTACATGTTGGTCTTATTACGTACAGTTCCTCCGCGCAGACAACCTTGGCCATCAACCAACTGAATTCAAAAGAGGTCCTTGAATCCTTTACGTCTAGTCTGAGTCAACAAGGGAATAGTGCCAACGTGGTCTCTGCACTGGATGAAGCCTACGGCAGTACCTTCACCATGTATGGCGGTGTAAGACAGTCCAAACCTAAGGTGTTTGTACTTATTGTCCCAGAGGGTTCAGTTGGTGGTCAACAGGAGGTACTACAAGGCGCAGCGAGGCTTAAGAGCCTTGGAGTAAGGTTGCTTACTGTTGGAGTCGGGCAAAACATTGACCAAAACCTTTATGCGCTTGCGTCAACTCAGCCCTCTTCAAAGTTCTTCTATGGCGTTCCAGATCACAAGGAACTGATCGGGAAAAGCAGGGATGTTGCTGATGTGCTTTGCAAAGGTAAAGGAATTTACTTCATTCTATGATTACTTTTTTTCCTCCTCGTGACTTGGTACTGGGTTGTTTTTAGGCAATAAATGAAAAAAATAGGACCAAGTTTATTCCACGGTCACTTTGTCATATACTCGTCGCTAGACTAAAGATTTCAGCTTTTAGAAAATCTTGTCGGAGTAAACCAAAGAATCAAACAAGATACACAGATAGATAGAAAGACAGGTAGAAAGGCACACACATACACACAAAAAAAAACAAAAAACAATCAGACAAACAAACAAGCAAGGAAGCAAACGAAAAACGAATCGTCTTTGAATAGAGTGAAATCGTGAAAAAATCGTTTGTTGAGGTAGAGAAACACCAGAGAGACAAGATAAACTCCTTGAGGGAACAAGGATGGTTTACAATGGACCAGATGAGTCCTTGAAAGAGTGAGTAAGACAGAATTTCTCCTCATAATAACAATACAATGTCGGGCACACATCTGACGCGGTACCGGTCGTTTCGCCTACGGGTCGTTTCGCCTACCGTCTGTTCGCCTACGTCTAGGGTCGGTTCGCCTTCGTCTAATATGTCAGTTCGCTTACGATTCAAATTTCAAAGCTTTAAAACTGAATTGTTTAAAAGTTCTTGTTGAACCTCGCAGAAAAACTGAGTATTTAAGATGAAATAAACCACCGTTTACGGTCTTTCTATTCACTTGTGACTCGAGCGAATGTTTTGACTGTTAGTTCGTGCACCTTCACGCGATCCGCAAACTTAGGTAGATGAAAAAAAAAAAAAAAGATACGGTGAGAATCGTATGGCAGACAGTAAGGAGAATTACTAATGAGATCTTAAAAGTGAAAGGATTTTAACAGTGATTGCAAGTGACGAACTCAGAGATTAAGCTGGCAAGATTTTATACAAATTGAAAAATCCTGACATCAACCATTAACTCTCAGAAGTGATGAACATGTAACCTCTCTCTATGACATCCATACATTATCTTTGAAAACAGGTTTTCGTTACTAATTTAAACTTTGAAGACAAGTTCTCGTTACTAATTTAAACTTTGAAAACAAGTTCTCGTTACTGATTTACAAGAAAATTTGTAGCAGTTAGAGGGGAGAATTGACAATCAGATCTTGGGAATTAGGGTTATTTCTATAACATTGCATTCACAACGCGACAGCTTTCTCAACCTTAGCCTTGCACCGTCATCAAGCAAGGTAAATTTGGTTAGGAAGGAAGTCGTGACAAAGGGGGGTCTTCAATGCTCTTGATGGTTTTGTATTTTGCAGGCAAAGTTGGCAAATGTCCCCTACCCCCTCTACTGCCTCCACTGGGCTGTCCAAGAACCCTCAAGGAAGAATGTGAAGTCGATGCAGATTGTAACTCGGGTGGGGGGTCCCCACTGTGTTGCCCGAACGGCTGTGGTGGACGGCAATGTCTGGGGCAAATCAGAAGTATGGATTTAACTTAACCAAAATTTCACATATCATAAGCATATCTACTTAGTTGTGTATCCTCCGGGAGCTAATCAAAGCTTCTATGGGATGAAGCGACTGGGATTAGTGTTACTCCTCTCTAGATGGGATATTACTTAGCCTGTTCCAGGCGTTCAGTCTCTAAAACGAAGCGCGATGGTCAACAATGTGAGTAGGAGTGAAGAGCCGAGGGAGGTCTGGGTTGGATTGCATAATAAACTTTGCAACTCGAACCAAACATCTCTCTTTTTCTCTCAGCTGCTATTGTTGGGCTGTTCGCTACTTCACTCCGTTTTACTCATTGAACGTCTGGAACACGCTATATCTTACTTCATCGGAGGGTCACTTCCCAGCGTTTTGTAAGATTTCCCTGACAGTTCGCAGATAGCCTTTTGTACTCCTGGGTTTTTTTTTTTGCGACAATTTTACAAGGAGCCTCTATTTGATGTACTCGACCCACTTTCTTTTGACTTACACTCGTACGACCCAGGTGACCATTGGAATGAATTAATTTAAATATTATTGTGGTGTCTAGGCTTCAGAATTAATTGTGTGTTTCATAAATGGTACTTTTAATTCCAACAGATTGCTTTGTTCCAATGGATGTTGCCATTGCGGTGGACAATTCCGACGCCACAACCAGCAGCGAATTCAACAACGTGAAACGATTTCTGAAGCAATTCATCAACCAACTTGCAAGTTCGGAGGTTCGGTTTTCCTTACTTGAATATGGCAACACTGCAAATGTAATTACAGATTTTCGCAGATTTCGCGACCAAATTTATCTGGAAAACCTCATAGACAATATAGCTAAACGCAATGACTCTGAACGCAGAGTGGACGCTGCTCTGAACACGACCAAAGAGGAGATTTTCAGCTTGGCAGGAGGAATTAGACATGGACATCCACGATACCTTGTCTTCGTAAGCTCCGGTGGCCCAACTGCGGAGTTCAAAGTTCTGGAGGGTGCTGGAAAAAAACTACGTGATTTGGGCGTGACCTTTGTTGCCATAGGAACAAATAGGGGCGTCCCAGGGGCTTTTATTCAAAAGCTAGCAGGCGACAGTCGTTTCATCTACAGAGCCGCGGAGCCGAGTCAATTGGGTGCCATAGTGTTAGAAGATTTGTCGCGAAAAATGTGTACAGGTTAGTGTAGGTATTAAATTTCCCCTGCGAGTCTTTATTCAGTAATTTTGCATCAATGCCTTCACGGAACTCTTCATGTGGCCAGAGATTTGTCTGTTTATCTGCTATTTGACATTTCCTCTCAGAGAAGCCTGGAAAATGTCCAGCAGTTGACGCGACCCCAGACCCACTTGCGTGCCAAGTGGAGCAGCCAGACCCGGAAGAGACCATAGTCTGTGGCTTGTCGGCAAACGGAAGTGGATTCTCGGAAAATTATGATTGGGACTGTCCTGGGGAGACGAAGTGCTGTTTGGATCCGCAAACCGGCTGCTTTCAAGTTTGCCTCGAGCCACAGAATGGTAAGTATTGATTTTAATGAAGAAAAAGGTTATTCAGTTATCACAAAAATGGGAGAAAGGATGAGTCTGAATCCCTCACGAGAGATCGAACTAAAGGCCTTTACTTTCTTTAATAATAAACCTGGCAAAATTCCGATTAATTCCGATTTGCTGTAAGAAATGCGGGTTTCACTATAAGCCATGCAGAGGAAAGGCAGTATAGCACGGAAAAGTGTTAATTCAGTGCGGAAAAGGTGACAAACGGTGTAAATACTTAACAGACAAGTGGAAATGTTGTTATTTAATCGAACTAGGTTTTTTGACGGAACACATAATGGTTGAGTAATTTTTGCAAGTGATTCGCGAGCTTTGTTTCTGCGTAGTTTTAGCTGAAATCTTAAACCTTTTCTTCCATATTTTAATTTGATTAAGAGCAGCTTATTATTGTAATAACTTATTGTAATATTATTGTAATAACTTATTGTGATATTATTGTAATTACTTATTATTGTCCATATTTGTTTAATTTGTTCATGCCAGTTTGCAGCAAACAATTTGATCTGACGATAGCGATAGAAAATTCAGCTCGAATTGGCGAAGAACAGTTTGAGCAAGTAAAAGACTTCAGCAAGCAGTTCATCAATGCTTTTGATATCCGCGAGGGAGGGACGCATGTGGCGATTGTTAGCTATGGAACCACGCCAGTTGTTCATACTCGGCTTGATTCCTACAGTGGCTCTGTGCTCAATAAACGAACAATCACGGATGAAATCGACAAGATTGCCTTGGAGAGTGGGAATGCTGTGATAACAAACACTGCATTGACAGAGGTGTTCAAGACAGTTTATGGTGACGGAAATGGGGCACGGAATGGAACCAATAAGGTGATATGCTCTGGTGTTTGTGTCCTGAGGGGGAGGTGGAGGGGATGTGACCCTTATTTAACATACTTCTTGGTGCCTAACTCATGCCATGAGTATGACTCCCTTAAAATTATTATGAACAAACGGCAGAGAAACAAATAAGTCCCTTGTCTACAGTTAGACAAGTGGTTGAGACGAAGAGAAAAAAAGTGGTTAGTTAGGAAATTCTAGATTCCTCCATCGCCACTAGTGTCCGATTTTGGACACAAGTGACCGATTTTAGACATGACTGTAGTGTCCGATTGTAGAGACTAGAGTCTGATTTTGGGCTTAAGTGTTCGATTTTGGAAACTAGTATCTGACGCAAGTGTCCGATGTTAGACACCAGTGTCAGATTTCAGACACTAGTGTCCGATTTCAGTTATAAATTTTGGGCTCTAGAGTTTGATTTTGGACACCAGAGTTTGACTTTAGATTTCAGACAATAGAGTGCGATGTTGGACACTAGTTTCCGATTTTAGACTCTAGTATCCGATTTTCGACAATAGTGCCCAATTTTGTAATACCTGTAATAGGATGGTGGCCAGGATGTCGCAGTTGTTAGAGCCCTTACTTCTCGCTGCAGTGGCGAGAGGACCTGGTATCAGATGTGGGTTGAGTTTGTTTTTGGTTCTCGTCCCAGTGCTGTGGGTCTTTTTTTCGGTTTCAACGGTTTTCCTTCCTCCACCAAAACCAACATTCCAAAATCCAATTCCACTTGGAAACTGTGGAGAAGAAGTGTCACCTCGTGGAATGTCCACCGCTAAATCCCACAGTTATTATAACTGTTAACATCTTGACTGCTATAATAACGGGAAAGTGACTGCAATACCCAACATGTTTGCCTAAAAATCCTACAAGGTGTCTCGTGAGTCTCCTAGCCAAAACGACACGCCGTGCCATACCAGCCAGGAACTATGTGTCGTTAGTATATGATAATTTTTGTTGGATAGTGAAGGGTTAATACTAAAATGATATCTCTCCTTAGACAGTCGTTCTTATAACTGCGGGAAATCTGTCGGACCCCATGGCGGCTGTCGATGCCGCTATCGATATCAGAGCCATGCCTGCTGACTTGTTTGTGATAGCGATCGGTGAAGACCCGGATTTGGACACTCTTGTTCAAATGGTGTCGCCACCAGCTGAAAACAACGTGTTTTTGGCGACCACCTCTGGCGGCTTACGACCCAGCTTGCGGGCAATTACGGACACAGTCTGTGAAGGAGGTAGGATAGAAATATTCCAAATGTTTAGAATAATTTTTCGTTTACCACTAAAAACAATCCTTCTTGGTATTCCCTTTGTTTCGCCACGATCTATCAGTTGCGTTGAAACTCGCTCCGTTTTTTCAACCGATCAGATGCAACACTGAGTCCGTTCGCGACACGGTTACAAGCGTTTTCCCGCGCTTCAAGCAATTCGTTTGTTCCTTTTCTCATTGGTTCATAATAGGTATTTTGTTTTTGCTGACTGGCAGCTTTGCTTACGATGGTTTTGCTCTTACAACACGCTTACTTGACGGAGGTTGAGTGCTCTAGTTGCCGTGTAAATTTTTTTCTCAGCGGTAGACAATAAAGGGAAGTGTACATCATCGTTTTTGTAAGGCTGTCATTCCGCATCAGTTACTTTGCGGTCTGTTCAGGTCCACTTTCGATGTTTAAAGGAGAATAATCAATTTTCTTTAACATAGACTTTTAATTTTCTCTCCTTCTGGTTTTCCTCTTTCAGCTGAGAAAATGTCAACGGTAAGTACACAGTGTGTATTTCTTCTGTCGAATCAATGTCTGCTGATTTTCATCTTTAATCTTTCGCCGGGAATTCGTGACAGACAGAGTGTCAATGTTACGTTTCAAAACGATAAGTAACGCTAACGCCTCTGTAATGCTCCTCACGATTGTTCACAGGTGAGTGCTTAATTCTGTTACAGTGGTATATAAATGTTTTTTTGGCTCTGAATTGACCGAAATATTTTAGCTATACTTTTAAAAGTGTACATGTTTGCACATGTATGCCGTTCTGAAAGGTCTCTCGATTCCCTGGCAAATTGCTGCCAGGAAATCAAGAAGTCGATAAATCCAGTATCACATAGTGTCAAAGGTGTAACTCTGTGATAAGGGTGCTGCCTTCCATGTCAAAAAAAAAGTGTATAATAGTTAAAATAAACAGGTTGAAAATTGGTTAGTTTTTTCTTGTTTTGCCTTTCTTCCTCCTTTAAATAAGCAGTAATATTTTATTTGCCGCCTAATTCTTTGCAAATTCTTTGTTTTTAAAGATCATTGGACCACCTGGTGATCCCGGACCCGCTGGTTCCCCTGTGAGCATAACTGTCTTGTATTATTTCTTAGAAGCACTTTACGACTGAGTGCATTCCACATATAGAAGAAGTTACATATTAACATCTTTCAATTTCTTTAGGGTCCAGAGGGACCAACCGGACCAAGAGGCGATCCAGGGGACCCCGGAGAGCCGGTGATTCTCATTGAGAAACTTATTGCTGTTTTAATCGTTATTTTTAAAGGGAAAATAAATATAATTTCGCGCTATCCCGTCTTTTCACTTCCTGATGCTTTGTCCGTTTCTAGGGAGAAGCCGGAGAATCAGGGCCTCCCGGACCTCCGGGACCACCGGGACCACCGGGTGGAGGAGGAGGGGGAAACATAGGTTCGCTGAGGCCCCAGGGGGAGAAAGGACCTGCAAATGTAAGGTTTGTTTGGTGTGCTGTGTGGTATAATCGTGTTGTGCGTGATTTCAATGAGTAAATCATTTTGAAGATTTTGCTAACTGTAAACAGGGGATGGTTTTTTGTACACGAACTACACGGCTAAAAGTTTCAAGCGTAATTGTACCTAAACAAGCAAATTATATCCTAGAAAAATATAAAAGCAATCAGAGTATCGCCTTAACCCTTTGATCCCGAAGAGTGATTAGCATCTAATTTCTCCTTACAATATCACCCCTGAATCAAACATTAAGGTCGTGAAAATAAAGAAAATGATCACCAACTTAAGGAGCTATTGATCGTTAAACAAATTCTCCTCGTCAGCGCCTCAGAAAATGTATGGCGATCAGAGAAGTAACTTAGTGCTGCAGAAAGCGAAAATAAACACAGACCCACATTGGCCACTTGATCTTATGAACAAATTTTGTTCTCTGTATAAATGGTGGATTCAAGACAAACTGTTTTTTCTTTTCTTAGAATGAGAAAGGTCCCGCTGTGCCGCCTGTGGTCCTTCCTAGACAACAACAACAAGCTAGACAGGTACCGCAATGTGATTTAATAAAGCTATTAGAATGCCTTTTGATCGTGGCAAAATTGGAATGGACGGGACGCTTTGATCTGAATCGAAGTGAATCGCTGCCGGGTTATGACCATGAACATTGACTTTCGGTTCATTTTTGTGGTCTTAGTTTTATTCCGTTGCGTCACTTACTCGAAAATGAAATGATGTTGATGATTTAATAATTTACCTTTCTTGGAAAAGCTTTGTTATTTCTCTTGATACAGGGACCCCCAGGTCGTCCTGGAATGCCTGGTCCGCGGGGACCTCGAGTAAGTTGTTTTTACTTTATGCTGGCCTTCAGAATTCGTCATATACCTGCCTGCAGAACGGGCTGGTATATGACGAATGTCTTACATATCTTCACGGAAGTTATGTAATTAAATGGTGGGTGCGCGAATTAGCCTTGAATCTTTCAAAAAACGTGGATTAATTTCTTGAATTTTTCTGCATTTCACTGAAGTGCATTTTTATTCGATGTGAATCGCGTCTCTCTGTATTTCTCAGGGTCCCCCAGGTATCCCAGGGAATCGAGGCCGCATAGGAGTCAGAGGATCTAAGGTAAGAAGTTATGAGGAAGAGAAAGGTTGATGAAAAGACGACTCCGAAAAACTGATGTCAATTATCTTTTTTCGTAGGGCCAAGTTGGTTTGATAGGACCAGTTGGTCGGCCGGGAAGACGTGGAAAAGAAGTAAGACCGAAAAACAGTTATTTACTTTTCTCATACTCGTAACTTTCACTGTTTCCACTGGGTTTCAGTGAAACACCCCCCTCGTTCTTTTAAAATTTATGCTCTTTACTCCACAAACATATCCTGTGTCAAGTCATCAGTTAGGGGTACCAATTTAAAAGAGGTGGCATGGGCAGGCGAAAAATGGCGGAATGTTGCCAGTCGTCACTGGCGCCCTATTTCAGTCGTGTCCATTGATTGAGAGCCTGGAGCAGATTAAGGCAAACCCTGAGTGGAATTCATCTTCTGTTACAATAACTATTTTTCCGCTCTCTAAGGATGGTTTTTTAGTTTTGTTTTTCGGAGTAGTACGAGCGCTCATGATCTTGTGATTACTAAATAGTCGAAGTTGCATGCAGAAACTCCAGAAGAGGCAACCAGTCACACTGTTTATTCTCAGTTTCTTTGAGTCTCCGTGCAAATACAATAATCTAGTTTTCATTCGATCATAGGCGACGAAGTCAGGGGTGGTATGAGTCTATCTTTTTTATTTTCACCGGATCGTATCACTCTGCACTTCTAATAACAACCCTGACGTCATCACTATAGAGAAACAATCTTTGGCGAGTGTCACCTTACTTTATTTGCGTTTTATTGTTCAGGGGGCACCAGGAAAAAGAGGAAATCCCGGCATTCTTGGAGAGCCTGGAGAGAAAGTAAGAGGCTGTTAAGAAAATTTCTGTACAAGTATCATTATGATTCAGCCTCGTCGTTATTCTGCTGTTTAAAGCATTCATGTACAGTGCATCCAAATTTTTAAACAAATTTTATTACAAAGGAGAGTTGTCGAGTGAAAACAGAGTGTTGTATAGAAAGCGTTAACCAATAAAGATTCACGAGTACTTCACTTTAAATTCGACACTTTGTACAACAGTGCAATGAGTTTAATGTCACGAATTGACGGACATGATTCGAATTATCTAAGATAGAAATGTAAAGAAAATTATCTTTAGGGGAACGACAACTGCTTTGAGTTTGCTGAATGTTCGTGTCATCATCGGTTTGGGTTTAACCGAGGACATTAAGATCGATATATGAAGGCAATCCGTGTAAAGATGCGAGCTTCAAGTTAGCGGGAGTGCGGGTTTTGAAATTCGACTTTGAAATTAAATTTGCTTATTTCTTACTTTGCATGTAAATTTTATCAGGGCCAGTCAGGTGACTCTGGAGAGGAGGGGCACTCAGGCCTCAAAGGACATAAAGGTCGTCGCGGTCGAACTGGTCCGAGAGGAGAACGGGGAGAGGAAGGAGAGTCGGTAAGCGCTTGGTTACGAAAAGGGGAAAGGAAAAATGCTAATTCATATAAGCAACCGTTTAGTTGAAATTAATCTACGAAAGCGAGCAGAAGTCCAAGGTAATTCTCTAATTTTGACCTGAGGAAATGGGCTTACGTTGATTCATTCTCTTTTAGATAGTTTTTCCAGACTTAGTCATTCACTGCACTCTCCTTTGTTTGCTGTATTTGCTTTCGTTCTTTCTCTAGTTTTAGCAGAGCTCGCAGAGCGTAGCCCCATAATTATACAAAATAGTAGTAACTCATCAAGCCGAAAAAAATTTGGATGTACGACCGTACGACCGTACAAGGTGCTACTTTTAACATGCGTGGACAACTGTACCGCGGGCTAGTAGTCCAGTGGTCAGTGCAAAAAAAAATGCAAGCTCCACTTTTAGGCTTGGTTAAATCTATATATTAAAAACCGTATCAGTGCATCCATCAGCGTAATTTTGTATCTCTGTAAATTGTAAACCGAATCAACCTAAACGTATCATCGCTTATACCTTCAACCATAAACTGCATCATTGTGGCGAGTCTTCTGAAGTATGTTTAGAATCAAGTTTATGTGAATTGGTTTTATTTCGATCTCCACTTTGACTTACGTTGTAATGCACCCATAAGGCAATAACATTGATGAGGGAAGTGGCGTCAGCGCTTTGGACGAGTCGCTAAAAATATTTAATCATTTTTAAAAATAATTGATGGGAAACCAGTTTATGGAGTGATCGTCTGTGGACTGGAAATACAGGTCAGTGAAATAAGTTAGGTCTAATCATCAGCTTTTTTCGTCCTCAAGGGAATGCGAGGTCTAAATGGCGCTCCAGGAACCAACGGGAAACCCGTGAGTTTAGGAAAATCTGCTTCCCTATACTTCTAATCACTTAAAGAGAAACGTTTGCACGTGCTAAGAGTTATTGTTACTTGGTCTTTTTAGGGAAACAAGGGGCCTCATGGAATTATGGGAAAACAAGGAAGCACGGGATCTCCTGTAAGTAAAACATGATGTACTTATTGATTGTGTGGGAAGGCTGGACGGGAAGGCTACTACATTCCTGTAGTAGTTGTTGCTAAAAAACAAACTTTTTCATAATTAAAACTTGTTCTTTAGTTCTCTAAGTCTGAACAAGAAAATCACAAATCATCGTAAAGCGTGACTTCTTTCCTCATTTCTGTTCTGTTGTTAGTGTACGTCCTATGATAATTTTAGTTTATGGAAAATGCAACAGAGCCGTGTGAGTGCGGGGCCAAACGGCTTCTTCCGGATCGGCTCACGTCAACCCGTCCGGCCCTTTACCGGTCTTATATGCGTTGTCTTTGATTTGACTTTGCACACACTCAAACATCACGAAACAGGTTATAAAAATCACCTTAATCGTTACACTGGCATTTCAAACGCTTAATTGACATAAGCGTTGAAAATGATAGGCAATCCTCATCAGAAATAAAGACGACCTTTGGAAATTCTCTGCTGTTTACTTGCGATTTGTTCATATCCAAGTTCAATGTTTTTGGAAGATTCTATGCACTGAGATTTCAATTTTTTTTGGACTTAGGGTTCTTCTGGAGCTAAAGGTGTGGAAGGCGAGGAAGGTGACCAGGTAAGCGGATATCAGTATTTAACGATTTCCAAAACTGAGAGGGGTATGAGACCCCCTCTATTCCCACCCCTCTTTCACACCCTTCCCCCTCGGACTCCCGGCACAATTTGCAGTCTTATGTTCCATTCTTCATTTGAATGCTTTTGTTAAGGGCGCCGCTGGTAAGCCAGGCTCTCCGGGTATTCCAGGAGTTGTGGGACAGAAAGGAGAAAGCGGGACGCCTGGTTTGGTCGGATATACGGGCTACCAAGGCGACAGCGGTGATACAGGACCTATGGGGCTGAAGGGGACGGCGGGAAGTGATGGAGAGATTGGAGAACAGGGACCAATTGGAGGAAAAGGTTCCATCGTGAGTAAGACTATGTTCTTGTATTGCTTAGTTAATGTTTTTCGTAAGTATTCGTATGATAATGTTCCTTTGATTTCTACGGGTTATTTGATAGACATTTCACTCGTGTGTATTGCAAATGATATGGCAGATACCATGTAATATGATGACGCGAAAGCTTTAGGGCGGGTTATCTCAGAAATTTCAGTCATCTCGAGCTGCAAAAATTTGTTCTCGCTAAATGAAAAATCGACAAGCCGTCAAAAAACTCCCGCATGCGGCTCTATCGCCAACAAGTGGTTTAGCGTCGAAATGAAGAGAACCATGTACCATCTTTGTTATTCTATCTTCATACAAGAGAACGTGTTACAGAGTTTGAGCTCTGCCTCAAGGTGATACCTCACAAAAGAAAGTTATCAAACAATTTTTTTTAAAACTTTCCATTAATGTTCCTTACCAATGTATGTTTCGAAACATACAATAATGAGATATGATGGCCAAACTTATCCCAGTTATGCCTGTAATGGCACATATCACGCGCGTTATTCATACTCACGAAAGTGTCGATTGTAATAGCTTAAATTAAACTAATTACGCCGACGGTGCTGGTGATATTTTTATCAGGGCGATAACGGATCTCCCGGAGAAATGGGCGCACAAGGACTCGAAGGTCGGGGAGTAAGTATGAATTTCATTTGTTTTAGATCACTACAGTTTGGATGTTCGAAGATCATAAGAGGGAACATGAATATCTAATCTAGTGTCAACTCTGGCTAAGAAATACTTTGTTAGAAAGGATGCGTTTGTTCGTTTGCCTCATTATTTATTGTAAATCGGGACGTTTTGATAGCTATAGTGCAGTCTTCATATGTGTTTGCTTCAGGGTAGCACTGGTACCGAGGGACCCATCGGATACCAAGGATCCACGGTATGTAATTGGATGGTCATAGTAGATCACAAGACCTGGGTGGACTTAGATTTACTGAAATATAAGAGAGAAAATCAGCGGAAATAAAGATTATAGCATTCATTAAGTATAAGTCTTACAAATACTACTATCTGGTAGCTTAAACGAAGTTCAATTTAAGCCGTGGTTTCAGACAGTTACTGGGTCTTGAGACTTATTTAAGTGCAGGTTGTTTTAAGAAAAAAGATGGTTGTTCTGTTGTCACTATAAAGCCTTCGCGTCAAGGCTCAGAAAATCAACGTTTACATTAAATATTAGACTAAATTAAGGGTGGTTTGGAACGCCGTTTTGTTAAATCAAGCAAAGGGAGAGGAGCAACTCAAGGAACCGCTTTTCAGATAGTTGTCAATAAAAAGAACCAAGATTTACCAATGGAAGCAAGTGACCAGTTTAATGTCGGCTTCTTTTATCGTATTTTATTTTTAGGGAAATCCAGGGATTCCAGGCAAGAGAGGAGAAATTGGTGCAAAAGGAAAACCGGTAAAACCTTGACAATAAGCAAAGATCTCCCTGGCTAATTTTCAATTTGTACTCTTATCATTAGAAAATAATTACAACTTCCGGTTTCAGGGTAACAATGGGACACGTGGATCACGTGGAAGGCCTGGACCTCGAGGGAAAAGGGTAAGAACCAGTTATTCTAACAAAGTTTAGCTGTTTTTTAACAAAATTGCGTACTAGACTATCTTGAATTTAGCTCAATTCTTTAATCTAAACGTTTATTTATGTAAATAGCATGCCATTTTTGTGGGTAAAAACACTTTTGTTTGCCGTTTATGTCGATTGCGTTTGGTGTTCAAGTATGCCTCCAGATTGTCTCTACTTAAAGGAAAAACTTCGCTGTTTTTTTTGCATTTTGAAAAATTCAATGTAATTTTGACAAGTTGGTCATTTGCAATATGTGTTAAATTAATCTTGCCCGTCCTGAGCATCTCTTCCTCTTAAAGAAACTTTCTTCTCGTTGAAAACTTCCAAACATATAGAGACGTAGGTCAGCAGAAACAACGCCAGCTCCTGTAAATTACTATGTTAACTTTGCAGGGAGCTCACGGTGACACTGGCCCCAAAGGCACCATGGGTATTATCGGTTCAAGGGTAAGTATACTTCATCATTGTGTCTCTCAAAGTATTTTGATTTTTAAAAAAAATTAGAGCGCTGACTATCCTACAGGGACCAGCTGGATCGCAAGGGCTCCTGGGATCACCTGGGGAACGTGGTGTAAAGGTAAGACTTCTCAGTATTATATCTCTCTCTCAGCACGTGCGGTATGATTACTCAATTTAGTCGTTCATATTTCACCATACGGCCCGCTGAGTTAAAGAAATTTGTTCGAATTGAGATCTTCTCTCTCCATTTGAATCCAGAGATATGATGAATATCTTTAGCTCTTCTTGTTATTGGTCCGTGCCGTAAGTTACGAAAATTGGTTTTTCGCCTCGAATTTATATATACATAAATCCGATCAGGAAAAACTCGGTCCATAACTTACAGTACGGACCTCGAACGCGGTTTTTAAGTACGTATTTACCTTTGTAGCGTCGCTATTTTTTATTTTAGGGAGTGCCTGGAATAAATGGACCACCAGGTTATTCGGGAAGACAAGGTGAAAGGGTATGTATAAATGTTGCAGAGGGGATGTTAAGAGTCCTGTATACTCAGCTGTGAATTATGACAGAAACGAATGAAACAACCCTTAACATTCAACACTTTTTTTTAACCATTTAGAAAATAGGTTCCATGTTGTTGTGCGTCTATTCAGTAGTAAATCACGGATGACATCAAAATGTGGTGAGAACCGTGGAAAAAAGAGGCGCACGAGGCGCAGCCGAATGTGTCACTGATGTGTTCCCACCAAATTTTTATGTCCTCCATGATTTAATACCCAGTTGAGCATAAGTAAGAACACATCAAAATGCGTCATAACCAGCAGGTAAATAACTTCAACATAATTTAACGTAGCCTTTACATGTCTGCTCAGTCATGCTGAACACAATTTATTTGCCTGCTAGGGAGACATGGGAGATTATGGACCTCGTGGTGTTAAGGGAGAACAGGTAGGCAACCCATAACAACAAAACAACAACAGCAATAGCATGAACTTTGTGAACTTGTCTAGCGTTTAAAACAATAATAGGAGTTCTTCCCTGAGCTATCGCAGGAAGTTCTTTACTAATTGGGTTGTTAAAACGTAAGCTGAGTCAAATTCTTCGCGTCTTTACTTCAAATGAAAGGGAAAAAATATCTTTCCAAATGCGTGAATTTTTTCTCCGGAGTCTATAACAATGTTTTCTTTTTTGTTAAATCTTTTTTTCCTTTAGGGGCCGCAAGGGTTGGCTGGAAGAACGGGTCGATCTGGTTCACCCGGTTTACATGTAAGAGAAACAGGTTACTCTGGTTTTTGTTTACTTTAATTTAACGTTCGTTAATTGGAGAGGAAAAGAGTTGGTCATCGAATGACAAATCATTTATATTATACCTGGATATTTTTTTAGGGCGAGGAAGGAGATTCTGGCAAACTTGGTGAAGACGGTCCTATGGTATTTATCAATTAGTTTAGATAATTTGTTCGGTTAATCTGAACGCTTTGCAAAAAGGAATGGAATAGATTGTATATGGAAATAGATCAGATCAGTGATAGAAAGATAGAATTATTGTGTGGTTGTTGGAGAATGGGGACCCCGTTTGTGAACTGAATGTTTATTTGTTTTTTCTTCTACAGCACTTAAAAAAGAAACGTTATTTTCCTGAGTTCAGAAGTCCATTCGCTAGCAACAAATTCAGTCGTTGCCAAAAAATTAACTTTAGGAGGCACAAACCTTGTCTCCACATAACTTGAGCCTAAAATTTCGCGTGTCAGTGATGTGTGCAGCACCTGATCGTAAACGTGTGCAGCACCTGATCGTAAACGTGTGCAGCACCTGATCGTAAACGTGTGCAGCACCTGATCGTAAACGTGTGCAGCACCTGATCGTAAACGTGTGCATCATTTCTTCTTCTTCTTTTTGCCTTTCAGGGAGCCCCTGGAAGCGCAGGTACACCGGGTCCAGTTGGAACCGAAGGCGAGAAGGTGCGAGTTTACATCACTTTTGTGTTGATTAACAGGAGCCTTTCAATAGGACGGAATTGATTTGCTTACCTTGTAGGGAAAACCTGGAGATGCTGGAGAACAGGGAGAGACAGGACCCGAGGGACCGAAGGTTTGTTTGAATAAATTTTATAAGTACAAAAACAACAGCTGTAATGCGGTGAAGTTTGCCTCCACCATTTTTGTTCGAAGCCACTGACCAAGGACAACTCTGCATAGAGAACGATCATGAATTGAAAAAGTGACATTGTTGTTCTCCGTTTGTTGCTGCAGGGAGCTCTAGGGCTAAGTGGAACAGTAGGCGCACCTGGAGTAGCTGGTCAGCAGGTAACTGGAAACAAAACCCTTAGATTGAATTGTCGATGTGAATATATCATGTACATTGTATATATTTCAGATGAGCCAACGGTTCAGTTTAAAGGGTTGTTGTTGTTGTTTTTTTTTCCGCAGGGGTCCAGTGGTCCAGTTGGTGAGGCAGGTGACACTGGATCACCCGGGGAAGAGGTAAGGAGTATTTTCTGCATGTACCTAATAAACATTCTGTAGGTTAGGTACCCTCCATCGTTGTGTTGCTTTATTTCGAATTTCAAGGAAAGAAGTACGAACTTCTTCAAAAAATGAGAACGAAGGCTGTAAACTAAAACATTTTTTGTGTATCGTGGCCGTGATGATAAATGAACTGAATTTTATTTCGTCATTCATTCTGCTCTTGTTTACTTGAAAAATTTCTTTTGAGATGAGACAATTCAGTTTTTGAGTTGCACCATATTTGCTCTTTCAGGGGTTACCAGGCTTCCCCGGGTCAAAAGGAGAAGACGGAAGTCTTGGGGCAAAGGTAAGTGTATGACAAAACAGATGAAGTTGAACTTAGCAAACTGCTATCAGAAAATGTTAACAGTAAAGAAAATACAAACTTTATTAATAATGTATTCCCAGAAAGTTGTCATTGTTGTATCAATCTTTTTATCTCTGACCCGTGGTACTGCGTCGGTGAAGTGGGGGGGGGGGGGAGGGGGAGGACGGGGGCTTTTTAACAAGTTTTCCACGAGCGAGCGTTGGATATGAGATACAGACCGAGTTGGTCATAATCATCTCCTTTCCAACAAGTGCGAGTGGAATAATTGAGATGTGAAAAACGCCCCAAAATATAGATAAATCTTCCCAACTATTAACGTACTAAAACACTTCCGGTTTCACTCGTCCTCATTCGCGCGCATGTTATAATGGCTCATAACACATTATGGCTGAGCCAATAAAAACTCTTGAATTACATTATCCAATGATCAAGGTTTTGATAATACAAGATAATTTGGCCTTATCAATTTAGTTGTTAATGTGAATTGGCCACCGTAAAGAGATGAAAGGAAACGTCTGCTTAAGAATGGCGAATTACAATTACCACCTGTTTGATAGAACCAATGCGATGGTTTACGGCTGGAGTTGAACCAATGATATATCCATATGATATTGATAGTGACTCATGAGACAAACGAAAAAATTTACCTATCAAAATTTTTCCTTTTTATTTAGGGTTCTAAAGGTGACGATGGCTTGAATGGTGTTCCGGGAAGTCAGGTCAGAGAGAACTCAATGTCTTAATCTGAGACTTTGTCTACACTATTTCCAGATGGAAATCAAACTAATATATTAGCTTGACCATACCAAATGAGCCATTTCATTTCAAATGAGCCAAATTCATTTTTAAACCAAGGCTATGTGGTCTCTTGAGAATAATATTATAGATTGCCCACGTATTGCTGGGATAATTGATTAGAGAATGAACAGAAGCAGGGACTTCAATAACGTTTTCCTTCAGCACAGCCGATGATGTAATAGGCGGCGAAGCTTAAGCACAAATGTCTCGCAGGCTCAACAGACAGCGGTCAGAGGTCTTATAGGCGACGGAAGATTGCCGGTCAACGGCATTTAATGAAACTCCCGCAGAAGCCGTGAGGTTTATGGCCCCTGCAGTACCAAGATCTAGAAAAACATCACTCCTGCTCATACGTATTACTGTTAATTTCGAATGAGGGTAGCTGCGCATTTTTTAAACACTGCCCATATGCAAAATTTTCAAAATCAATTCCGCCACAAAGTTCTCTCGTTTTGGACGTTGCACTGCAGGGACCAATGGGAAAATCTGGAGTCAAAGGAACAAATGGAAAAGTTGTAAGTTTTTTTGGTCTTTGCGAGATTTATGTCATCATAATGTTCACTGGTGCTGCTCTCTATACGTCACTTATTTATTTTAGGGTGTACCCGGGGCCTCGGGTGAACGCGGTGACCAGGGAAAATCTGGACGAATCGTAAGTTACAACTCTCTTTTTGCGAGGGCGCGTCGCGAAACGAGACCGAACAAAGATACTTCATAAACTCTAGCCTTATGTAAAATGTTATTTTCAAAAGAAAAAACTTTTCACATTTAATGTTTTTGTTATATTTGCAAACATATGTTTCCTTTTCTCTTAAACAGGGAGTGCCTGGTCTGATGGGTCAGCCTGGAATTCTGGGTCCTATAGGACGTGTAGTAAGTGATTCCTTACCTCGCTTTAAACATTTTATTTTTCCTATGTCTCTTCGCACCATGAAAAGGATCTATGACGATAAAGTGTACCGCAGTGTAGCAAGGCGGAAGGTAAATAACTGGGTTTTTCATTGTTATGCGGTCCGTCGTGAACAACTGAGCAAATTCCGCAAAAATTCAGTAGTTCGAGTACTATTCGAAGCGTCAATTATTTTAATCATGTTTACTTCAAATATTTTCCTTTTCAGGGTTCCAGAGGTCCTCCTGGTCATTCAGGCGACGGAGGCTCCAAGGGTGAAATGGTAATATTCTTATTATGTTTCATAAAATTACTGTAAATCCCAATGTTATTTCTTGATGAAAATTATTCTCTTCGGTGAATCGCAACTTAATACGCGGATGGTCATTCATTGGTTTGTAGCTATGAAGGGTGACCTCATTCCACCGCATATTAACGGTAACAAATTGATTCATTCTTTGTTTTTTGTGGAATTTAGGGTATCAGAGGCCCCCATGGCAAGCGAGGGAAACGAGGATCAAACGGACGATCAGTAAGTTTAGGTTTTTCTTTCGTTTGAAACGGCGAAAAAGTGAAAGGGCATCGGAGCACAGAATCTGAAGGTCTTAAGTTTAATTCGTCCCACGCTCGTGACAAGTCGGGAAAACACCTTTCTTTGCGATTTTGTTTGTAGCAAGCTTAATCATAAGACATAACTAATTAAAAACTTTCTCTATTTAACGACCAGGTACGGTATTCTTCTTTTTCTAATGTATCTCGCTGGATGTTATCTTTAGGGAGAGGATGGTTTTCCGGGATCACGTGGCGACAGAGGAAGCAGAGGAGAAAAAGTATGGAAATGAAACAAACTGTTTACATTTATTAACCGGGTAAAAGAGGCTCGATGTCCATTACTCTTCGAGTCCGGTCTCTATTTTTCCTCATCAAGTTCTTATCACATTGGTGTAAATTTGTGCCAACGAGAGGAGGATCCTTCCATATTTTCAGTGGACTCTTAATTACCCTTTCCACTTGAAATAAATGAATGCCACCAGATCAGGAACTTTTCATAATTGTGTACTTTTTTTTATAAGGGAGTGACCGGTGAAGGTGGTTTGCCAGGATTGCCAGGGAGTAATGGCAACTTGGTGAGTAAATGGTAGTTTTGATAAAGAGTAAAACTTGGTTTTCTGCTTAGGGCTTACTTTCACATGAAAGACCTGACAACAATTTGGCCTCTTTCGCTTTCAATTATCCTAGATGAAACTCTTAATGCATAGATCATTTCTTTAGTTCCTGATGTCGCCCGTACAGCATTGATCTTTAACAAACTTTTGTTTCTTTTCTCAGGGTCCGCGTGGGGATAGTGGGGACCAAGGTGGTCCCGGATTTGAAGGACCCGAGGTGAGTGCGCCAACTTGTTTACATGGCCTGCCCCGTAAGCGTGTAAGATGGAACAAATCTTATGTCCTGATTGGCTACCTGAGCCTATCTTATCTGCTCAGGATTGCCCAATCTGATCCCAGAGAAAAACATTTTCTTCCTTGAAACCGGTTTACATATTCCGAAACTTCTGAGAAACCTTTTCTCAGAAGTTTCGGAATATGTATTTCTATATTTCTGCAGTTTTTACAACATTCAAATCACAAACACGCCTCGAGGAAAGCGATAACGAAGAAATTGAAACCACAAGGATTGTTTTGAATTCATTTTGAAATCTTTTTGTGTGAACTCATCTTTGGTTTCTAATTCATGGTTGTTCCAAAATCCAAATTTACAATTCCTTTTAGCAATACGAGGGTTGAAAACTTGAAAGGCTGACCATATCCGGTGCGAGACATATTTTTCAAACAAACGTTTCCTTATGTTCCATTACATTCATTAATTGTCATCCTTTTTCTTGCCTATTTATTGTTCATTGCAGGGAAATGCTGGACCTGTTGGTAATCAAGGACGACTGGGGAATCCAGGAATAAAAGTATGCGCACAGAATGTTCGGTCATTACCTATATCATTGATTGCCATTAAAGTTCTAAATTGAAGGTCAAGTCTGTCACATACTTGTATGTACAAAGCTTGCTCCAAAATATGCTTATGACAAACCATAGATAGGCGAGGATCCATTTTGCGTCGATGAGAGACCGCAGGGGGGTTTACCAGAGAGGCCGTGGGCAGGGGGAGGGGGAGGGGGAGGGGGGGAACTCAAAGAAATATTTCAGAGTGCAAAGGCCTCCCTCCCCCTGCTTAGTCCCACTACGAAAACTACACTAAGTCTGTTTTTTTTTTTTTAACACCGTAGGGATCGCTAGGCGAGGAAGGACTAACGGGACCTGCAGGTGAACAAGGCACCCAGGTAAGGTGACAAAATAAGTTCGACAGAGAGGTTGATGATCAACTGACTTTTGAATAAACTTCTTCGATCAGGGGACTAGGAGTAACTTAACGAAAATGCCATTATTTACTTCCCATTTAAAAATTTATTATGAGAAAAGCAACGGAACAATAGCCTGACCCTCACCGATTTTCGCACACATTGCTCATCTTCTCTGACTAAGACCCTTGCACAGGTTACGTTTGCCGTTAAAAAAAGTAGAGCATAATCTTTACTTTCGTGCCTCTCTCGATTACAGGGCGCTCCTGGTTATCAGGGTACAAATGGAGCATTGGGAGACCGAGGGCCACCGGTAAGGAGATGGTATTCTGACACCTTTTTTATAGGGAACACTGGTGGAAGTAGAAAAAATGTCCCATGAATGAACGAGTGTCTTTTGTTTCTACGATTCTCAGGGAGACACCGGAGCGCCAGGTGGTATGGGGTCTCCAGGGGCCACAGGACCATCGGTTGGTGAACTGACTTCTTCTAATTAACAAATAGATTCCATGTTGCCGTGGGTTTGTTCCGTAATAGATTACAAATGACTTCAAATGTGGTAAGATGATAGAGGTTGCCACTGATGTTCTTACCACAATTTAGCGTCTTCTGTGATCTATAACTGTACAGACACACGGCAACATGGAATCTATTTGTGTTATGTAAAATAGAAGAAAACATTTTGTTAACAGTAACTTTATCTATTCGTCTGCCTTCTAAGTGAACATAAGTAAGAACCAATCAAACTGTGTGTGTAATTCAGCTTCTTATATAAATAATTATTGATCATCACGAACTGTTCAGAGTCCATTTAGGATACTCGAGACCAACTTCCCTTCATGAGTTACCTTGGCCAAGCCAGCTAACTTTTTGTCTTATTTCTTTTAAAACTTCAACCAACTACTTCTGATTGGCTGTTATTATAACTTTAGTTTTGGTGTTCACGATACTCGCACTTGAGAGCGTTTTTCGATTGATACAAATTATAGGGCGTGTTTTAAATTGTTTCTGCGGAAAAACATCATTGACTCTTAATTCATCATCCATTTTTAATCCTTTTAGGGAGAGTTAGGAGGTGCAGGAATACCAGGACTGAATGGTAAACCAGGACAAGCGGTAGGTGGTCCAAAGGTGGAGGAGGGGAGAAGGGGAAGGGGGTCTTTAGTCCCCCCAGTCCCCCCACGATTTGGTGCTTGGTGTGGAACATGTTGCTACTTCTAGTCTCGTGATTTTTTTTACAAACAGTTTCATCAAGATTGCACCAGACAAAACGATAACTTGTGAGACTTGTGAACAAGATAGTTTGATTTTTTCAACTGAGCTGAAAAATCGATAACTTGTGAGACTTGTGAACAAGATACTGTTAAGATTGATTTATTCGTGTCGACGAAATATGTAATTCATGGGTGGGAACTCTTTTTCGGAATGTGGGCTTGATTTGATGTGTAATGAACCCCTCTCATCTCAAAACGTTGCGTCGCCTCCGCAGATGTCGTTTACCGTTTTCGACCGATCATCATCGTCATCATTGTTGTCTGATCATTAATTGCTTTTGGTTTATTGTACTTACATCTTTTCAGGGGTCATTTGGTAACCAAGGGATGCCAGGAAGCAGCGGAGAAGATGGAATCCCGGTAAGAAACGAAACAATGAATTCAAAATTACCTACGTGTATTTTTCTAAATGCTTATGGGCCGCTTTATTTTATCAAATGACAGGGTCTTCTCGGACGTGATGGTGTACCAGGAAGTACAGGAGACGGCGGTCCTCAGGTGAAGCTACGGTGCTATGGAATCAATGACAGCGTCTGAGCAACAGCGAACTTACCCCTCCCCTAACCTAACAACAATCAACTGATAACAAGTCAGGGTTACTTTTGGGTTAGGGAAGGGGAGGATGCGCAGATTCTCAGATACACTTACTAATACTGATTCGTGCTATCTTGCTTTACTATTGCTGGATTTCTTTACAACGGCAAAAGTACAATTCAAACCTCGAGGAACTTTATATTTTTGGAATTTATTTATGACAGGGTAAACAAGGCGAAAGTGGGCCTAACGGACCACCTGGGCGGACAGGGCAAATGGTGAGTATTGAAAGCGGCCGTGCAGCTACGGTTAGGCTAGGTGTCCATAACAAGATTGGCTATTGCTGCCGGAACTCAATCTTGTTTCCGTACCCTGAAACGACCAGGAGTACTGTTACTTTCTTTGGATAGGATGCTTGTCTATCACCGGCTTCCTCAACCTGCCACTTCCTAGGATTTCATCAGGTTTGCAGTCACCCATTTTTAGCTTAAGTTGGGGAGAGGCAACTGACGACCTTAAAGTCTCACCCAAGAAATTAAAACGACGACCCTCTTCCCTAACCATTGCTAAAACCTGGACCTTTTCATTCGTGGAGCAGAGCGATAAACTTCCAGCCTCTGCGTTTCCCTCTGCTGTTCCTCTTCCTCCATTGAAATAACAACTTGGTCCACACTGACAACAGGTCCCTCACTTTTGATTTGTTTTGCACGTCATCAGGGCCTACATGGATTGATGGGCCTCAAGGGAATCATTGGTGAGGTTGGCTCTAAGGTGAGATGAACAAATGCACCTTTTGGATCTCTGTTCCCCCACGGGTAACCTTTGCCGGGTAACCTTGTATAAGCCATACAGGTAATCACCCTTCCCTACAGATTTGGATTGAGCTACTGCGGCTGAAAACGGGTATCGATTTTAACCTTTATGGTCTCATCAAGGGAACTACGAGAGCGTGACAATGTGTTTTTATTTATTTATTTTTAACTCCAAATGAATGATAGCGAAAGAGGAGTAACCGAGATATATCATCTGAGCTGAATCTTTGGTTGGAAGATACCACTTCTTGAGTTTGGTATCGATGCCTGGTCGAAAAATTGGCTATAACCGTTAGAGGCCAGGTTGAAGAACGAGTGTGGAAAATATTATCTTCATCTTAAATCATGGATTCCTTCTTGGATTCCATATCATTTTTCCATTATCTCGACTTAATAATAGATAAAATCATCCCACTTATGATTGTTTCGTTTTTTTTTAACGTCGTATGATTAAGAAACCCTCATTCCAAAGCTGAAAAGACTCAATTTGAAATTTTTAATAGGGTGACTCGGGAGATCCTGGTGCAAGCGGAAAAGATGGAGCCACAGGGAAGCAGGTTTTAATCAAATTTTCTTCTTTTTTTGTTTTATCTTACTGAGATTTGTTTGCTGCATGAACCACTGTTAGGTATCAGTAAGACGCGTAAACTGTTTTGTTTTCTTCGTGATTTAGGGGGAGGCTGGAAGGCCAGGTCAAAGAGGTTCACCCGGAGACAGAGGAAGAGAAGTGAGTTTAAAGCGGATGTGTTTAATAATTTCTGTGTTGATCGAAGCGATAAAGCAAATCGCGGCGACTTGTTCCAGGAACAGTCACGGTGCAATAAGCGGTTTGTTGAAGAGACGTGTCGCAGCGAATTTTTACATCCTGTTCCCTGTAGTTTTGGAAATTTGCTTCTCCCTGTAAAAACTGGAACATCATCAGTTGCATCTAACGCCTTAAGATAACTTAATAACACATATTGTTTGAAACCAAATCTAAAATTGCACGTTTTAGGGAACCATAGGATCTGCAGGACCCGTCGGAAACCCTGGACGTGATGGATTCAAGGTAGGATAAAGTGCATCATCGAGCCATTTTTAATTGAAGGTAAAAAAAAAAATCTGGATTGCATTGGTTTTACCTTATCTCGATCTGTGATCGGTCGAGAAAACTCAACCAACCACGGTTCCAATTCGTTTTTCCCCACCTTTGTTTGTTTGTTTTTTCAAATACATTTTGTGCAACAGGTTATAATTTTCGTTTACAATGTGTGTTTGAAACTGTTCAATTATTCAATCGATCCAACACTAATTTGAATTTGGAATGTTGGTTTATGTTGAGGGGGGAAACCGAAAGACCTGGAGAAAAACCGTTGGAGCAAAGATGAGAACGAATAGCAAATTCAACCCGCATGTGACACCATGTTTGGGAATCGAACCCGGGCCACATCGGTGAGCGGCGAGCGCTCTCATCTCTGTGCAATCCCCTCTCCCAACCCGAGATAGGGTTATTAAACTGAAAAACTGAAAATGGTGGCTCATGAAAAGGTCTCTCCAATATTTGATTCCTCATAAGCTGTTTGCTCTTTAATAAGCACCTGGTCGTAATGCTGCAAATGTGGTCTTCCATATACAGGGTGTGGCGGGAGAAGCAGGTGCTCAGGGAACAACTGGGCAGCCTGGCCTTCCTGGCATTTCCGGGTCCACAGGGACGAGGGGAGTCCCTGGACCGAGTGGCGTGGACGTAAGTACATCAGAGCGACGGTGTTATTTCTGATATGGACCTGATACGTTCTGAATCGAATAGCTGGAATGTATCCCGAACTCAGTGGCAAAATGCGACTAAAGATTGTATATTTTGCCGACTTCGCACCACATTTTTGGAACATAGGCTACCTCCTTGACCTCTACTGCACAAAACCTTTTTGATCCAAATGTTGTTTAGTGCCCATAACTATGCTCCTAAGTGGAGATAGGGTGCTTTGTCCAAAAGCGCAACACAATTACCTGGTTTTCACAAAAAACAGACTTTTCGAATGAGGGAAAGCTTGTTGTTGGTAACAAACACAAAAGCGGTTATAATTGAAGTAAAGTAGACAAGGTATAAACATTTATAGGCTCCTTTTTGACAAGACCAAAACGACATCATAATCCGTTTTTCTCAAAAAACAGGAATCGATGTTTCGATAGATTAAAAACACTTGATAGTTTTAATTATTTTATTTTTATTTAGTAATTTTCAAAATTTTACACTCACTAGGGAGGAAGAGGAGAGTCAGGCGGTTCGGGACTCGAGGGATTAGCCGGTGAAGCAGTAAGTGCCAGGTCTTGTATTATGGAGGGAAAACATCATGATATCGTTAAAGGATTGTGGTTATGACAAAGCACAATCGTTTACCTCAAGATGTAGTCTTTTTGGTGTAGATTGCGATAATGCTACTCTCCTTCCGGCGATGAATTGCGCTGGTCAGTTTTAACCTTCTTAAACATTATGCTCCGCTGTGATTTATTGATCCGTTTGAAACAGCTGTTGGTGATGCAATTCGATGAAGTGTTCGCTCAATGAACACAATCGAGCAAAAGTCCTTAAATGAGGTTTTCATTTAAGAGGCCGACTAAGAAGTCGCTCGGCTACGACTCATGCAACGAGCCCACGATGCGAATTATATCGCATAAGCCAACAATAAAGCTTTTTTACCATCGAGTCATGCACGACAGTGGCACAGTTAAAGCCCTTTTATGAAGCATTGTCTGTCCCTACGACTTACACGAGGTCTTATTGCATGCCTACTTTTTCTGTCCAGGGAGATGCCGGTGAACCTGGAGAAAATGGAGAAACTGGAGCACTTGGAAATAAGGTAAAATAATTAGCAGTAATTGGTAACTTTAACAGGCGACTTCTTGTTCATCAAACTAGTTCTTCATGTTCTTCGTTGCTTTATTTCCAGGGAGAGCGCGGTGTTCCTGGTCAGCAGGGTCCCTCAGGGAAACCAGGCTTGAAGGTAACAAACTGTTATCCATCGATGTTTTCAAACTTTTTTGGGGAGGGTGTCTTGTTTACCAAGCGTCATTCTACATTTCGTTCCTCTTGTTACTCTGTTATTCTCTTTCTAGACACTTAGAAAAATTGAAATATGCCATGTATTCAAGTCCTTTCTTTTTCCTTAGGGACCAGAAGGGTCTGTTGGGCAGAAAGGAGGACTGGGTCGAACCGGTCCAAGGGTATGTATGAAGATGATTAAAGACACTAAAATTTTAAGCAATCACTTTTCGAGAAATATTAAATTTCTGTAAGAGGGATTTTTACTTATTTGAGAGAATATCGGGAAAAAGAGCTTGAAGGGAATCTGTAACAAATCAACAAGAATGATTAACATAAAAGGGCCAGGTATGAATCTGCAAAACGTCTATTTATGTCAGTAGCGACAGCCACTTGGTAGAGAGCTTTGTGTTCCTTACGCGCGAGCCAGAACTCTAGGAGCTTTCAAAACTAAACATCTTTATCGGGAGCAAAATTTATGAATTCAATTTGGCCGAAGCCTGGCTGTGTCAGGCCAGTTTCAGCGGTTGGAGTTTCAGAAACGCAATTTTTATATTTTGCAGGGTGAAGATGGAGCACAGGGACGAGCTGGTATACAAGGCTCTCAAGGTTCACTGGTGAGTTGCCGTCGTTCACAGTATTCCAATTAAGCTTCTCTAACTCGACATCGATGTAATTACTAAAACAAAAGGAGAAAGCCAGAAGGAGGAGCTAGTGAGCTCTGAATCTGAATTGAGCGCGTCACTTGCATAACGCGCGGGTAAACGGGAAACCCATTCGACCAAATCGTGGTCGATGCAACTGGTGTAACCTCGTTCCCAGGATCCTCTCCCTTCCTCCCTCGTGGAAGAGAGAGTACCTTGTTAACGGTTTTGTGTTTTATGTGGGACTGGAGAAGATTTTTAAATTTTCGTGAAATGTGAACAGGTTACATTTTCCTCAAGAAAGTCATTTGACTGCTGTAGCCATGAACTATTGAACAATATTGGTATTCTGAACCCCCTCACAGCCAACTTTTTTGATTGGTTGAGTTTCGCACGAGATTCTATAAATTTCGACCGATCAGAGTGCGCACATGATTGCCTAAGTAAGAAGATATTCTATCGTAAGTTATCTAAAATCTTAGTTAGCGAACACCTCCACAATTCTGGATTTCTTTGGATACTAAACTGGAAACCATCAAAGTAAAACGATCTGGATAGTACATTTGCTCTCATTCACGATGGTCGCGGTTGTTCAAATATGGACATTACACTTAAGGTATGCTTTTCTGTCGATTTTAGGGAATTGACGGTCTGAAAGGTTTTCAAGGAGAAAGGGTATGATAAAATTTTTCTTCCATTTTTTTTTTGGCATGAACTATTGCGCGGTTCAGAGGCCCAATTTTTCAAGAGGCGAGGGTACTTCGAGTCCTAGGAACACAAAAAGTTACATTCAGTGATTACAAGCATTCTGTGTGAGGATAGTTTGTCGTCACTTTGGTACTGAAGAGTTCTTACCCCAATTGAATGTGGGGAAATAAGTGAAGTGAACTGTGCTCTTGTAGCAAAAATAGGTATCGTTGTTTTGTCATTTGTAATTGTATCTTTGGGTCTAACACCCTGCATTTAAGAAAGCGTGTTAATGGAATAATGTTTATCCCATAGTGATCAATTCGGTATGAAATTTGGCCTGCGATAGAGGGTTCTGGTGAGGGAGTGTTTAACCCTTTACGCCTTTAAATCAGTATGCATATTCTCCATAACGTTCTCTATACATTTCAAAAGTTTCTGATAAGGAGAATTTGAATAACAATCAAGAACTTCTTAAATTGGTGATCATTTCCTTCATTCTCGTGACCTTAATGTGTGATTCAGGGGTGATATTGTATGGAGAAATTAGATGTTATTTGACATTTGTTGATAAATTTTCTTTTTATCAACAGGGAGATGTTGGCCACAGGGTAAGCAACGATAATAAGTGGCTAAGTTTATCGTTTAAGCGTTGTAATGATAATTACATAGTGATATTTCTTTCTCAAAACATCGTTTATTCATTTCTTTCCTTTGCTATAGGGACCTGAAGGAGAACGGGTATGAATTTCTTTTCTTGTATTGTGTTCAAGAAGTATTTTATTACATTGACGTTGATTAAACCATACCGGAGCGGTGACTCAGTGACGTAATGCTACTGTGTACATTTTGGTCACAGGGTATGTCTGGACCTCCTGGACCCCCGGGACCCCCGGTGAGTAATGTTTTGTACTTCAACTGTGGGTGAGTGGGAAAACATAGTGGTCAATGGTCGGGCATTTGTACTAACTTCCCGCGCAAAATTTCACCGAAAAGCATAAGAGACAACCGTTGTCACGCAAAATATGCGGGAAAAAAGATGATATGCCAACAACTTATGCGAAAAAGAAGTGAAGCGATCATAGAAATCTGTAAAAGGAAACGAAACTGGTGAAAGGAAAACCTGATACTTTTCGCACGCAAAGCTATCTTAATTAAGGGTATCTTGTCGATTTACCATCTTGTTTTGAGCTTCACTAAAACAATTATACCCTTTTGATTTTAAACACCGAGACTTAATGGCTAGTGTGGTATATAACTCTTGTAAAACAACTTAGTTCTGACGACCTGGAAGCGAGCCAGTTAGCGTTTGCACATGCGTAAGCGTCTGACCGCTGTGTTGAGTTTTAGAAAAATAATACAACTCATATTCACAGTGGATCGTTTTTCTTTTTAGGCAGACATAAGATCTCTCAGTGGCTATGTTCAGGTAAATATGTGATGACGAGCTGCAACTACCTTTGCAACGATATTTTGTAAATCGGATCAGACTGTATTATGTGGTGGGAAAGTCTCTGCTTAATTTGCGTCAAAAATCGTACGAAAGTGCCAGAAATAGGACAAAAGCGTCCTTAATAGGTCGTAATCGGAAATCGGACAGGAAGTTCGACATCGTACGAAAGTGCCCGAATTCAGACGGAACTGTTCAAAATTGGAAGGAAGTTGAACAAAAACCGGACTCGAGAGTAGCGCAAATTGAAGCTAATGACACATGATATTTTCGCTTCTTCAACTTTTGTTTGATCAGCTTTTTTTGTTTCTTTGTCAGCGCTTGAATAACAGAGGCACTGGCTCTCTCAACGTTGAAAACGAAAAAGCAAAGCTGTATAGAGGCTCTAAAGATCAGGTGAGCCTAGAGAACGGATGTTGTGATTTAGGTTAATAGTTTAATTAAGGGTTGAATGCGATTTCGGCTTATTGAGGATTTTCAAAGCTGATATGCATGTATTTTTTTAGTGCAGTAAATGGACTAGAGACTACCTGATCACACGTTCTGTTATTGTTGTTTATTGCATGATATCACTCTTATTTCTTGAGGAGAAGGTTTCAACAGTTAAAAAAGGCTTGGATCTGTTCTTAATTTTGATTTTTGCTTTCGTTTGCAGAGCGGGGAGGCTTTAATAGATCCAGTAAGTGAAAAGTAACAGGGTTTTTTAGTAAACTATAAAAACCTTACCAGACTCATAATTGTTCGGAAAGGCCTCAAGAGCTTTTTTTTTTTTATCTCTGTAAAGCTGCATGAGACACGATGCGATCAAATAATTGGTAAATGATGAACTAGCATTTCTCAGTGTTATGCAGACACTTTTGCCATGTGTTACACTTTTGTTATCGATGTAAACCTGGCTGGAGATAAAACACATATTTTTGGACTCTGCATGGTGTCCAAGTTTTCATATATTATTAGGAGTGACATATTTTTCTTTACTCCTTTTCAGGTTAAACTTACTTTAGCTTTGATGCATTACGAAGTTAAACTTTACAAGCAGCCTAATGGCACCAAAGAATTTCCAGCCCGAACGTGTAGAGACCTCGTCACGTGGTATCCAGGTCTTATCAGCGGCAAGTATTTTCAACAGTTAAAAATTATTTCTCGATTAAATGTCGTGGAGCCAAATTAAAGGAAATCACCTCGACCAATCAATTGAGAGGAAAACATTACAAGCAAACTGCATGATTTTAAGCGCGGGGAAACGCGGGTTACTCCTATATCATTGCATCTGATTGGTTGAGAGATTGGCGGGAGTCTTCTCGACCAATATCAGAGTCAAGAAAGTAAAACCAATGCAAACTAAGATTAATTTCGTCACTCGACTGGTAATTTCTCCTAGAGGTTCCCATTTTGCCTCTTTTCGTTACACTGACATCTTCCTTCTTCCCCCCCTTCCCCCCTTCCTCCCGTGTTGTTTAAAATCTATGACGTTTTCAATTTCCCTGATATACTTTAGAAAGTTAATGTTAATGAGAGGAATGTTGAACATTGGGCTAAAAAGATTCTCGAAAGATGTGCACTACTAGCTTTTACGTTTCTTGTGGATAAATGTGAAGCTATGTAGGAAAGTTAAAAAAGTTTACTCAGTGATACCACATTCCAACAGGTGACTTTTGGATTGACCCAAACGATGGCGTGCCTGATGATGCTGTAAAAGTTCACTGTGACTTCTCCTTCAACGCAACCTGTTTGTACGCCAACAATGAAAAAAAGGTATATATGTTAAACATAACAGAGCTCCCATTATTTTGGAAAAAACAAACTCATGATTTTTTTAGTCTTTCTATGGTTTGTATTTAGAAATTGTTTCTCGATAGCGGCATTTTGTCGCTTTCTTCTCTTTTTCAAGCAATTTTTTGCTGTTGACTTCTTTTCTGCGAACTACGCGTCTCCTTTGTTGACGTTTTGAGCTAAATAATATTGTTAACTTGTGAAAATATCAATAATTTGTAATTATTATGCTGATCAGATGGGACCTTGTGTTGAACAATTTTTACGTTTGTACACATATGTAGGTTTTAGGTGCTATTTATTCTAACACGACCCCACAAGCTAGTAACGTCATAACATAATCCACATCGCGTTCAAATTAAAGGTTTTACCTACTTACTTACTTACTTACTGACTTCCAGCCGGCCTGAAAAATTATGACTTTCCCAGTTACTTTGCGACACAAACTGTATCATTCCTTTGATGGGAATGTTGTTGGTGTTATAAGGCAAACTCTGGTACAATTAAGGGAAAGTCCCTCTTCACTGTTAGTCTTTGCTCGCTCGTGTTTATTTAGAATGTACCCTTATAAAATATATCAACGTATTTTCCTTTCCTTGTAATGTTCATTCTGTATTCTGTTACAGCCATTCACGATCAGAAAAAAGAAATGGTTCTCAGGAACTGATGAATACAAATGGCTTGGAGAAGATCTTGGCGCCTTTAACAAGGTTATAGCAAACAATCTAATTCCTCTTAGCTAAGAAAATTAACTCACTCTCAACACAAGCTTTGAAAGATAAAAGCCCTCTTACAAAACAAATGCTTTTCAAAAGCAAACTTTATTTATCCATTTTCTCACTATGTACCTCAAACGAAGCATTATATTTATTTACGTGTTAGTGACTGATAAGAAAAATCACTTTTCATAAATCAGCGATTAATCATTTGTAAATAAAAGAGCTCTTTTCGATTGAGTGTCGTAAAACCAAAATACCTTAAAGAACCAATGAGAACTCAGGGAAAAGACAAGCAAACCGCATAAATCAGCCAAAAAATTGTGGGCAACCAAGTCGAAATTTTTGTTAGTTTTGCATCTGATTGGTTGAGAGAGAAGCGGAAGTTTTCTGGACCAATCACAGATAGGATAGAAATGGTATATTGTCTGAAATGGATATGTTCATCTTGTTTATTACAGAGTTGTACCCTACTTTTTTCGATTAAATTTCTCTTTTCTGTTTGCCTGCAGATCAAGTACGTCAAGTACTCCAGTCAACTCTCATTTCTCCGCCTGCTAAGTGACCGCGCCCGCCAGAATATCACCTACCATTGCAAAGACTCTGTAGCCTGGTATGACCAAGAGCTTGATGACGTCACAAAGTCATTGAAAATCAAGACTGATAATGGCGTGATTATACACTCAAGTTCGTCTAACAAGTTCAAGCCCAGTGTACTCGCGGACAATTGTCGAGTAAGTGAAAATAAGGGAAGAATGGGGTAGGAATGATACAGCTAGATCGACCGAAATAAAATATTTAATCTAAAATATTAAAAAACACAGTTTTCATAGTTGATGCTTGACGAATTTCCCTTCAACTTTACCAGGTTTAGAATTTGCACTATGTCTGGGACCTTAAGCTGTCTGGACGGCAACGTTGAGGAAGACATCAATTAAAAAGTTTTTTAAATTGATTTTTTAGTTAGAATTTAACCAATCGATGTGATTACCGTCTGTTACGGCACCGCGCCTCAGCCTCAGCTTAACGTTTGTGAACAGCGTTGAGTTCCAAATGGACACTTAACTTATTTGCCGTCGGGGTTACCGGTTTTAGACCACACAAATTTTGATGATTTCATGTTTTTCTTTTACAGAGGACGACTGAGAAATGTACAAAGTTTTAAAACGCGCATGTTTAGCTAGGCCCCTTTGATCAATTGACTCGCGCGATTAACTACAGCTCCTTGAGGCGATTTTTTTTCCGTTCTAGGTTAAGAACGGCACGTGGCTTTACACCATTATTCAAGTGGACACGCCCAAACCAAACCGACTTCCAATACGAGATGTAGCTGCCTACGACATCGGAGACGAAAACGAAGAATTTGGACTCGAAATTGGACCTGTTTGCTTTTATTAGTCTTCTTATTCTCTCTTTTATCTTCTTTTATCGTCCCGCTCAAGTAAACCCAAGGAATTTGTACCATATGTTTTAACTTATTGTTTGGACTGCTTAAATAATAGTTGTATTTGCTAATTATAATTGAGTTAATTCTTCACCTGTTGTTTGAGTCATTACAAGTCTATTTAAGCAGTAGACCGCACTTTCTGTTGGTTTACCGGCGTTATAACTCAGGCAAGACGTTGGGAGAACACGAGCAAAGTTTGTAAATTAAGAGCCGGAGCCGAGTGATTTACAAACTCTTCGAGTATTACGCCGGTAAACCAAAAGGAAGTGCGGCCAAACGCTTTTACGAAATAACCTTCAATTTCCTATGGGTTTACCAGTGTAATAAACGATAGGTTTTAACCAGTCAGGGCGCTCCCTTGTTTCTCAGTTATTTTGTAAAACGCATTAATACTTTTTCCGTGGCAAACCCTACTATTACAATACATGTTTCATCGGTTCTATCCATGTCAGTGCTTCGAAAACGACTAGCTTTGAAAAGATTTGATGTTCAAAGTTATGTATTTAAATCTCAGTGAGAAAAGTGCTAGACTTTGCCTCGCGTTCCGGAGGTAATTTTCACCCCAGTGACATTAATGAGCAAAGTGTCTAGGGAAGTTTTGGAATTGATCAAAGAACACTGGTGTGGTTACAATGCAAATATTTCGAACCCCATTCACAGGTTAGTGATTTTCAGACCCTGCTGTAACGTCAATCACAAATAAGCTAACTCTTTGATCCCTCTGAGTAACTGGAATTACACAGGAATTACACAAGTAAAGTCAAAGGAATTAAGGAAATGATCACTGACTTAACAAGCTCTTGATTTTTAAGCGAATTTTTCGTGTCAGCACCTTTGAAAAGTTATAGAGAACAGTGTGGATAATATGCATAATGATGTTTAATTGTAACGGGTTACAGCAGTGCTCTCACAAGAGCAAGTGGTTGTTTTCAAATTGTGCCTGTAATAAAGATGCGCTTTTTTAATTTTCTCATCTCACGAAAGGCCAAGCTCATGGCTCTTATAAAATTACCCCTTTGTGTAGTCTACTACCACAAGCAAACCTCTTTGCAATGTTAACAGTGTGAAGTGTAGTTTTAATGTTATTGTTGCAATGACGAGTAAGCTATTGCAAGCACTCTGTTGCGCATAATCCTAGAAAAGCAACAAATAAAAAATAAAAAATAAAAAAATACTAAATGTGTTACTGGGCCACTTTTCTGCCCAACCCTAAGCCATATTTTCTGAGCTGAAACGAGCATGGCATGCCCCCTTCCCCAAATGTGTTTTTTAGGGGTGTTACAGTGATGTATAGCAGGTTAAATGCAATACAATAATAAAATTAACTGATTGCACCAACAATAACCAGTTTTCCTTTCAATGTTGGCTTCTTTGTAACTAATGACTATTCACAAACGTGGAGTTGAATAGTGGTAGATATTTACTGAGCTGTGAAGCAGTGAAGTCAATATCTGCCACTTTTGCAGACACCGAGGTGAAAAATTGTTTTAGTATATACCACACAAATACCAAAAAATTGGTTCAATTCTTTCAAGATACTAAAAAATTGTTGGAAATGAAACTCTTAACATGTAAGTTTGTCTCTTTGGCAGCTTGAAGGTAAACAGTACTTGTTATTCACTTCTGCAACTGAGACATGAAGGATTTCAGTGTGTAAAAAGCACTATTCCCTTGTGTAGCATATATTAATGCCTGACATTATTGCATTAAGACAACAATCCTTCCCAGAGTAATTCTAGTGTTCCAAGGTTTCAGCAACTTTGCAAACCCTACAAATAACTTATTAAGAGTGTTAATAGTACATCTGCTATATATTTTGCCAGGCCTAAAACTAATAAAACAAAAACTTTCCTCAAATATCATCTAAGGTAGATAATTTAATGTACAACAGAACTCGTGTGAGTACAACAGGGCACCACTTAAACAAGCATATTAGAAAAACTTAGTAACAACATTACATTTCATTTTCCTCCTGGGTGGAGAGAGGCAATGTGACAGTAAAGAATTTTGCCCAAGCACTCAACACAATGATCTTGGGCCTGTTTTCCAGTAATTTATCAGACCCTGAAGCCAATCAAAATTTAAATAATAGAGAAGCTAGTTGTGTCACTCTAGATTGTCCATTTTGTTTCTGTGGCTGATAGTTTTGGTAAGAACAATTATGGACAACAACCAACTACAAGGATTTACTAATAATAATTTATTCTAAAAAATAAAGATAAAACGAGACCCGGGTCTTGAGCCTGAACCTCTCAACCTGAGGTCCATTTCTACCTCTGCCACTTTCACACAGGACTCATACCAACCAAATATCGGAGTCTTTCAAAGACAAAAAAAGTAACAATAGTATGAGGGCCTATTCGCATCCAGTTTGGTATAAATCCCTTATACAATCCTAATAATCCTTCATGTCTAACAATTTTCCCTATACAATGGATGGTATTTCTGTATACCAATGGCTTTCCACTGGCATCTTTTTTCTGGTTCATCATGCGTGTTTTCACCACATCAAATGGTGACGTACTAAGAGCTGTCACAAATCCAGCAATGACAGATGATACACCATGTAAGGCTGGCCCTTCTTCCATCAACTGCGCATTTAATAAAGTATGTTTTGTATGGTCATATGATGGAATTTGTGCCGCTGTCAAAATAGCTGCACGCTGAACTGTTGGGCCCACGCCTGTCCATAATCCTCTTACTCCTTCCTTTTGTGCTATTTTCAAAAATGCATGGAAAGTGTGTCGATACTCTGATTTTTTTCCAGGTCCCAAGGCTTGGAAGCGAACCTTGACTAAGTCTGTGGGCGTAGCAATTGCACTACCTATTGTTCCTGACATTGCACCAGCCACAATTTTCTTCCACAGAGGAGTGTGAGCGATATCAGTAGCTCCTAACTTAACTTTTAATGGCTCATATGCTCCTAGCCTAATGGTACTGTATGATCCTTCCCTCATCATTGATGGCAGCAACCTTAAACAAGCAAACACATTATTAATGCTTTGTTCATGAGGACAGAACCATGCGACTGGTTTTGTGCTTTTGAAGTCAGGTGCTTCATTCAACCTCAGTTCAGCAGGACTATATTGCCAAGTCATGCCAAACAGAGAAGTTGTAGCATATTTCATTATGCATAAAAAAAACAGTGCACAATGACTTGAATCCTTTAACCCTATCAATGATTAGAAGCTAAATTCCCCTTCCATTATCACTGCTAAATCAAGCATTAAGGTCATGAGAATAAAAGAAATGATCACCAAACATAAGAGCTCTTTAGGTTACAAACAAATTCTCCTTACCAACACAAAAAGAAATGTATAAGAAAAAGTATGGAGAATATGTATACTCATGTAAGGGTGTAAAAAGTTAATGCTTGTCAGTCCAGAAAAATGTGTTTGGACCCAGGTTAGCAACAACCTTCTCCATCTTATCAAATTCACTTTCCCTTGGTCTTCCAAAGCCAAACAATCCAAGAGAGGATACCATCCATCTAAAGAACACAAGATGTGCATCCTCTATAAAACCAAACAAACCTCAAAAAAGTTTAGGCTTTGTAACTTACCCTTTATAAAGACCCCTCAAGCCCTCCTCAGAGAAAATTCTAATTCCACCTCTTATAAAACCCTTATAATAACGGTCTTTGAAAATATTCTTGCTGCTATGTTTTGAGCCCAATTCATTCTCAAGTTGCATGCGAATCTTGATGACATCTATGGGGTTTGTTACTGCAAAATAAATGAAGCAAAAGATTTTAACTCTGAACAGCCATGTACTAGCTCCTAAGTCGAAAGATGGAGGTATAGCCCAGGGGGGATGGGGGGGGGGCACTTCCTAATAAAAGGTAAGAAGAGATTAAAAAATAAGGTTTCACGATTAAAAAGTTATTACTGTAATACCAAAATGCTTATAAGATGGGGTCCATAGTTGGCCACAGAATAGACTGTAATGGGCTAGGGGTCTCACAGGCCAGTAGCACACATCCAGCAAAAATAAAACAAAGTACCTCCTCCTTTGGTTGTCTTGTGACACAAGAGGAAAATCATATTGTACTGGTTGTTAATCTGATCGCCACAAAAAGGTTAATATTTTTTCTTTAGAAACGGGTTAATTTTTTTTTGTTTTAAACTTTATGAACTGTGCAAGGAGGATGTTCCATCATCCCAGAGATCTTCCTTATTAACAACCAAGAACGAATCAAAACAAGGACCGATGTGTATAACCGAAGGTGCCTGATCGCGTATTTCCGTGAAAGTTCCGAAGATTAAGTATTTTTTCGAAACTGAGGCAATAAATGCTGCAAAAACTTTCACCAATTTTTTTTCACACGGCTCGACGTTTGGTTGGCAAAGGTCAAGGAGTTCTGGCGTTACTAGATTGCAGTTTCAGGTTTAGGCTAGGTTCACACGATATCGGACGAATTTCGACCGGACATTCTGTTGACGTGTAACTGTGTGAAAGTTTCGTTCTGTTCAGATAAAGTTGATAACCGGCTGAAGTTTGTGACCCTCGTCTGTGCTTTTACCGCCTCCTAATGCACAGAACGCTTCCTAACCCACACACCGTGGCGGTCAAATTATTGACTGCACCGGCTAAAAATTCGGTCTCGATTTTCACGTTCAAATTTTTGAACGCTTGGGCGTTCAAATTTTCGTACGTTTGGCGTGGTTCCATGTGAACGAAACGCCTAAACGCACGAATTTTCGAAAATTCGTCTGGTACCGCGTGAACGTAGCCTTATAGTTAAAATAGCGTGTCAAATGCTAGCAAGTGGTATTTGTCGAGCGATAGAGCTTTCAAGCTGTCACTTCAATGTCATTATCTAAGCTTGCTTCATTGATCATAAGCATAGAGCTACAGACTTAAATCGAGCATGGCTGAATTAAAATGAATTCAGGACACTACCATAACCTACCTGCTCCACCACACATGTTAGAGATTCCGCTTAGCGCAAATCTAGTTAAATTCTCCGATGATTGTGTAGACATTTTTAAGGTTCAACGCGGTTCCTAGCCGAATTAGTTGAGGTCGACAACAGTCAAATGTTTCAAAAGGACATGAGCACTCAATATTTTTTCCTCAGGCCATGTGAAGCACCCGGCAATGTTTCATTTACAATTTAATGTATCGACAATTTTTTTCTCTCCCGGTGGTGGTGATTGGTTTCTGTCAACAGACTGGGGCTTAAATGACGTTGTCAAATTGAGAGAATTTTGTCATTTCGACAAGATTTTTGATAAATTTTTTAATTTGTCCGCATAATTTAGCTTGACCGTCTGTTGGCAAAGACACTGCTCGAAATTAAGCATTAAAAATGAATGGTAAGCGGAGAAAACTCGGTAAAGTCAACTTATTTACCAACAGGTATTCTCAAATCTGAAATCAAACGGTTATAAACAAGGGGACACAAGGGATAATTATGTTATTTTTATCCTACACCCGGCCAGTTGTCAATCACCCCCGTACTGTCCAATGAGATTTTTTTCACGCGGGTAGGGTGGACACATTTCCCAAATAATTAGCCAATCAGAAACGAGTAAGTGAATTTTTCTGGGGTGGCCTCCGCCCTGCTTGTTTGAAGCTTCGCCGCCATCGCTGCCGTCTACACGCTTGTAGGGTGGGGAAAGTAGCGACAAAATGGCAACTCCAGGACAGAAGGAGAGAGAGGCAGAGCTTCACTCAGTCCTCAGAGCGGCAAACCTGTTAGACTACTACCCTAGCTTCCTCGAACAAGGAGGAGACGATGTACAACAGTTTTGCGATGCGAGCGAAGATGAGTTTAAAGAAATCGTCGCGTTGGTTGGCATGTCGACGAAGCCACTTCACACTCGAAGGCTGCAGAAAGCTTTGGTGGAATGGAAAAGCAAACGAGGCAATTCTCCGGAGCGAATCAGTCCCGGATCTTGGATGGACAAGTGGACTTCTTCGCCTCAAGTCAATCGAACTCCTCAGTCAAGCAATTCATCGCCTGTTACTACTGCAACAACGTCGACAAGTGCTGGAAGAAAGCGGCGAAGCAGCTCGGGTGCCGGCAAAGGCGGTCCAGAGAAACGAGTTGTGGAGCTGAAGCTCCCGCCGATGGAGGTCATTATCGACTGGGAAAAACTCGATCCTGAACGACAGCAGTTGATCCGAGATCATTCGCGAATTTACGGTCGAGATATCAAGAAGCGCAAGACTAATACTCTGAACTCACACGAACAAATGATCAATGAAGCCGCAGCACAGCTTTGTCTTCGAGATCCGACACTTCTAGTTCGACGTGATGAATTGTTTACAATGGCCAGGCGAGTTGTTCGTGACAGTGGTTTCACCTTTGTGCATGGTCACTCAAGATCCAAGTTTGTCTCCGAATCAGACGACGAAATGGATGGTTAGTGATTCACGATAATTTAGTCTGCAAAATGTGCAAAATCGTTTTTGTCAACATCTTGAGGTTAGTTACCTTTGATGTTGGATGAAATCTGATATGACAAGTGGCTGTTGACATCCTATAAGGTTTTCCTTCTTTTTAATCATTCAGAAGCATATAGTCATATGCCTCTGCTTCATTTTATCATCATAATTATTATTTTACTATTACTATCACTATTGTTATGATCAGAATATACCACACAGGTGTGCTTTTTACTTGCACTGATTGGCCAGATTATTAGTTGATAAGGAAATACTATTTACCGCTGCACAGCCAAAGAGACAAAATCACACATGAGCGATTTATTTTCGACCATTTATGTTATATCAACAGGAATAAACTAATTTTTTTGGTTTCTGTGTGGTATATATAGGTCAATTATTCACCTCATCCAATCACCTCATAGCTTGGCAAATAGCTAAATAATTTTTTATTGGGTTATTGTTTATGTTTGTGTCAATAAATGTTATTTCACTTTCTTGATATGTTATTAACCCTTTCAATCCTGAGAGTAATTTATCTTTACAATATCACCCCAGAGACACACATTAGGTCTCAAGAGTAAAGGGAAACATCACCCACCAAAGAAGCTCTTGAATTTGTTTTTAACACTCCTTGTCAGCTTGATGTTGTATTGATATTGTATGGAGAAATTTTGTCTTTTTGATTACTCGTGGGGTTGAAGGGTCAAAGTACCATGTTGGTTATTGTGTTTGCTTAGGATAAAGTGTCCTCTCCTCCCCCATCCTCCCCCCTCTTCCCAATAGCTGAAACAGGGTACCTACAGATGTTTGGTTTTTGAGGTGTGTTTCCTGTATCTGTTTGTTTCAATAATACTGGTGAATTTTCATTGATACTCATAACATCTAGGGATGTAATTTGTTTTTTTCAGGCCACCAATTTACATTTGTATTGGTCTTATTGTTTCCAACAGGTGCAAAAAAGACTCAAGTATCTCAGGCAAACAAACTCAAAAGAGAGGAGCGATTGACTGAAATTGATGATCTTATGCAGAACAACAAAGAATTACAAGAGCAAATAATGCAGAAACTGGATGAAGCAAGATCATTGAATGCAACTGCAGAGGTTAGGTATTTCTTTTATTCACTTCTACTTGTAAGGTGTGGTATGTACACAAGCCTCACTACTGGCCCACCCAGCCAGAGCTTAAACTGGTTTCCTCATCATGTAGTGACCAAGAGTTTCATTCCCCTTCTCCTGCCACTTTGCCAGTCTTTCCTAAGGTCTCCCCCCCCCCCCCCCCCCCGGCATTTCACCAGACTTCACCAACAACTTGCTGGTACCAATTTTTAATTCTGGGTGGAGAGAAGCATTGTGGAAGTAAAGTGTTTTACCCACCTCTCGACCTGGAGTCTAGCACACTAGCCATCAGGTTACTATGTCTCCTCTTAGTCACTCTTTCATGCATAAGCCTACCATTGCACCAACAACCTTTCATGGAATAAAATACTTGGGTAATAATAATGTGGTCTTGGCAACTTGTGGTTGATGTAGTTTACATTTTTGTCAGGATTCATCATCTGTTGTATATCTTTTATCTCAGATAAATGAGCTTCAGTCTGACCTCAATAAGCTGCAGAGCCAACAAATTTCACTACAGATGGAACACAAAGAGTTGAAGAAAAAACAGCGACGATCAGAAAGATATTACACAAACAAACAGACCAAGGACTCTGGATCACAGGGCAACAGTGTTCAGGAAGAGGATGTGGACATGGTTGGTGATGTATCATTACAGGGTGACCTTTCAGCAGATGACCCCTCTGAAGAAGGTATTTGAAGTAAACCAAGAATACTGTATTTCCTCAAATAAGCACCCAGGTGCTTTTAAGGAGAGATGCCCCTAATCTAGGGGGTGTGCTTGTTAAGAGATTGTTAAATTGAAGCTCGAAAAGTTATAACGAGTGATTGAAGAAATGTATTTATAATCATCTGCTAGGAGAATTAGGTTTAAGATCTTAAGATTTTAAGTGTAAGTCTTTGATTTGTCAGGTCTTCATCCTGAGAATACAGAGGAGGAGACACAGGTTACAACGGTTGAACAGTCCAGGACAGTGACAGTACCAGAAGCTGTGGTCACCCAGATATTACCACCAGCTACAGGTAGAACTAATGAGCAGTTTTTTGTGAAATTGCATTTGTAATCTTGAAGAAAATGTGCTCTGATTGGCCAAGGATGGTGTCGAATGTACCATTGTCACCAATGGAGAGGTCATTCTAATGCATAAAAAAATGGTCCCAGATCAAAGTAGACCAATAATCTGAGTCACCTTCACAATCTTGGAAAGCAACAAACATTGTAGCATAGGACATGTATGTTCTTCTGCCTGCATACAACTATCATGGTACTCATTGATTTTTCTTGTGGAAGGTATCCCAACAACATCAAGCAGTGCTACAATCAATCTTCCTCAGCGTCAAGAAGCACTGAACCCAGAGGAGGAGTCGTCAGTAAGGGCTTTGTACACTGCTTTTATGCCACAGCACCTACAGGTAAAAACCCATGTAAGGCGTGTTGTGATTGAAATAATTTTCTTCTGTTTGATTATTTCAAACAGATCAAATTTTCTTTTCAATGTTTCAAATCAGTTATCATAATTCAACCTTGGATAAATTAGTGAGAAAAATTTTAGGGTTCATGTAAATAAAATCTTGAAGCTCAACACTCTAGCTTATTAAAGTTAGTTTTTGATTATTGTTAAAATTGCTGATGCTTGGACTACTCCACTCCTTGGACTACATGGGAAAATGAAAGGAGTTTGATATACCATAATCAAGATAGCTGGTAGTTAACGACTGAAAAAATGGGGTCTAATCAAGGGAAATTTGATTTTGTCTATGGAGTTCAAGTTAGTCAAGTTAATGGGGTTTTCTGTAGTCTGAATCAGTAAAGAAAACAAAGATAACAAAGAATTTACCAGTAGAATTTTTATTGTTTTTTTGCCATTTTGTAATTACATTACATCAGTAGAAATAAAAGGAATTACCGGTATGTATATTTTAATATGATGAAACTGAAAATTAAACATGCGGTAAGGGAACTGGTAGAGGAACTAAGATGTCTATGTGGGCTACAGGCACCTCATATTTTGCAAAGTGAGCTGTAAGTTCTGTGGGAAAATAAAGGTAGAATAATGTACCAAAAAGATAAACTTAATATGCAGGTACACTGTATTTAAGGCATTCCTCCCCAAATGTTTGTTCCTCAGACTGAAGTTGTCCAGCAAGTTCAACAGCAAGGGGAAGGAGGCCACATAATACCTGCATATCCATCTGCACTTGTCAGTGCTGCTGTGTCATCAGATCCCACGATCAATGCTTTACTGAGTCTTGGTGCTAAGGATAAGGTTCTGCTGCCAGGGATGTTGCCACCTGGTGTGTCTGTGGCTACAGTTCCAGTGACCACAGGTGTGGCTGTTGCAACAACAAGCATGACACCTAATATCACTGTGGTGATGCCTGGTCAGCCAATGACAGGCAATGTTCCTTGGTCCTAACCTGGCTGTGGCTAACAAGCTCTTCCAGCAAGGAGCTTAAAATGTATTTACAGCACTGGCTGTAAATGTATCTTAAAATAGTGACTTGAAAAGTGACTAAATAACCAGCATGTGATTTTGTAAGTAGTGTGCAACATGTTTCAGTACCCCCTAACATGGGGTGGGAGAAGTCAAACATTTCTTTTTCTGGGCAGTTGTTTTTAATCAAGTGTAGGGAGGATTTGTTGCCTCCAGCCTCCTTGTTAAGACTTAGAAATCTAATATGTCATTACTTCAGCAGTTTCTCCCTGCCTACTCCTTAAAGGCAGGAGACTAATCCTCATTAAGGTACCCTTAGTTTTTGCCCAGGTACCCATGACAGTTACAATCAGCAGGTTATGGAACAGAACGGTATCTGTTCAATTTATATGCACTGTACTCACAGGAAACTGTGCAGCTCTAGATAATAGGTTGATGATAAGATGTTGAATGGTGTAGTGTTTTGTTTGTTTGTTTGTTTTTTTTACCAGCCGGTTACCTTTGTACAGTTTAGTGTTAGTGGTCAGGTTGGAAAAATTCTAAAAAAATTGATGGTTGACAAAAAGGGGGCCAGTTCCAGGTACAAGTAGTTAGTGAGATGGTGATTAGATATAGGTGTTTTGACAAGAAAACATATTCTGAAGTAACTTTGACAATGTCATTTGATTTATGGCAAATAAAAGTTGTGATGGACCTAGTCTTTAATGTTATCTTTATTAATTGATTGTTTAGGTTGATTTTCTTGGAAAGAGCAGAGAGAGATTTCCATGTTCTTCCATACTTAATTATGCAAACAGTTTTTTGAGAAACAAAACAATGGCAAAAACAATTTAATACATTTTGGACTAATGCCTTACAATAAGGTTATACTTACTAATGAGGTTATACGGAAAGTTTTCCGAGAACAGTCCTCTAAAGAGTGGCTGGCATCTACATTGTGATTTCCCCTTACAATATCGCTTACCATATTAAGGTCACAAGAAAGAAGGAAAACATCACCAAATAAAGAAGTTCTTGATTATTAAACAAATTCTCCTTGTAGGATCTGAGCAAATGTATAGAGAACTGTATGGAGAATATGCATACTGATGTTAGGGTGTCAAGGGTGAAAGGATTGTCAGTTGTGATAGACATTACGACAACCTCGTGAATATATATATTCAGGGTCAGCCAGAGCATTGTGTCTGTTGAAGTTCAGTCTACTGTTTGTCTGTAGAAGTCTGGGTCACTTTTGTTATGAATATTTTTAAGAGGCAAGGGCCCATTTCAATCAACAATTACTTACTCGACACTTAATTTACTAATCTTTTAATGTGAAGAAGCTGAAAATTTCTTAGAAAGCAGAGATAAAGGCCTTTATGAGCAAGACAGGAAGAATAGTTACAAAGATACGACGAGACAAAAACTTACCAAAGGTTGCGGGAAATACACAAACACATGCCGGGAGGGGATTTGGATTGAAGCAAAAATAAATTAAAGCACTCAGCGTGATACAGGAAATACATAATAGGGCGGTATAATTTAAATAAAGCGCGAAAGTAAAAAAATATGTGAAAAAAAACAACAAAAAAACCGGAATTAACCATTAAAAAACGTTACCTGTGTTATCGACGTGACTTAACTTCCAAAGCTTGGTCGCCCAGATTCCCCCAGGTCGTTCAGTCCGGGTCGCTCGCGGTCACTTCTTTCTGGGTGCCTGCTTGTGATTTAAGGGAGTTCGTTCGACTTCGGGTGGTTCCTTTGCTGCACCGCCTGTAATATAAGCTTCACTTCAGTGCCCAAGTTAAAAAATTCATCCCGAAATTCAGCTTAAAAGATAAATTTTGAATACTAGTCGTTCTCCAAATTCTGTGGTTATTCAGCCATGACATGTAAAGGAAGATCAGTCGAATGTAAAAAGCGCGCTGCTTCCACGAAGACTTTTTTTGGCCCTCAATTCTGAAGGAACATCGAACCTTTTCCATTCTTTTGTTTATCTAACATTCAAACGAACTAAACTGTCTCAAAACTAGCTTCTTCAAGAGAAGTTCAGAAGGCCCAGAGGGACATGATTTAATGAGGCTATGTTACCCAAATGCAGTGAACAAGAGTGTTAACGTGACAATTAAATTATGGTTAAAAAAGAAGAAAAATACTAAAATTATACAAGCAGTAACTGACACAACTCAAACATTAGAAAATTCAGACAAAAACGAAGTGAAATATAATAAACGAGCGAACAAACAGAATTCAGCTGCGCAGTATAAAAGTGAACTCCCTTGAAAAATTTTTGTGGGGAAAACTATAACTTGCCACCTCTCTTGATAAATTTAAAAAAGTCTTTCTTTGTAAATGATTTGCCAGGATTGCCTGTGTAATTTTTTTTTTTAATATTTTAACTTATTGATAAGATTTATTGAGGTCATTGAGTTCTTTTTTCCAAAAGAAACGTCATCGGGACATAATTTCTGTAGCTTGAAATATATCAACTAATTCTTTTGGCGTATGGTACAAAATATGACAACAAACAATACATCTTTTTCAAAGTTTAAATGTAAACCGCTTTTCAAATATCAGCACATAAGCACGTTGCTTGCTCTAGACACGCATTGATAGCGTGCGTTGAGCTGATATAAAATTGTAGCGTCACTCACGTCCAGGGTAAAAAGGTCAGCTGGGAGGAACTTCGATGATCCACAATTTCTTGCAAAACAACTTATTACGGTTATTAGAAGCATCAAAAACCAGACAGATGTTTTAGATTGAATTCCGCAGATGAAATTAAAAATAGTTTTTTGACAAAGTGGGAACGCCGGTACTGCAAAATTAAAATTGAATCATTCTTTAGAATTGACGAACTCAACTGGTCTGTTTGCACAGTTGTGGATTTATAAGGTGTGTCTGGGAATGATATAGAGAACCGAATATCTCAGCATTCCTGTATTTGCTTATCGCGAAATTTTGATGTTAATGATACACCTTTGTAACCTTCATAACACTGCAGATGGATGTATTTAAATGCTATACTTTAATATATCAAGTTTCACTCAAAATGAGGGCATTTCAAAGATTCCGTATCCTGAGAAAGGGTTACCGCAATTGTGCATAATTCAGTGGAAAGCTTGAATGTCATGTTTTGCAATAGCTTGCCATTGAGGGTAAGCTATAATAAGGCTCATAACTGTCTCATGAAGTAAAAGTATGGTCTATTTCATACGGTTGGATCATAACAACAAGACTGATTTATAATACCTTTAAGCCACTATAATGCACAGAGGCTATTGAAAAAAGATAATCTCCCTCAGTGATATCTTAAACACGAAGTTGTTACGTCATCAGAGGTATGATAAACCCAAATTTCCGAATTTCACAATTCTGTGACACCAATGAGTGGTTAAAAATAGGTTAAAATTAATTATCTATTTTAAGTTCATTAATACAATAATTTTCATACCAAAGCCTTCATTCTATAGAATTTCCTCCTCACTTTTCATTGATATTTTTCAAAAAAATTAACATCAGTTGGTGAAGGTAATCTTTGCAATCTGTTCACCCTATACCCAGTATGGTGATCAAAAGCCGCAAATATAATGAACAGCTTTGTGGAGGGTGGGTTCAAGACAAGTCACGTCGGTACCTCAAATTAATTCCTTCAGTTGATGAGCCATCCGCCCATACTCTAATCTTACCTTTTTGGATCATTTCTCACTTATCAAATGAATTATACTTTTCGTACGGTTGCGGTTAAAATAAATCCGTGGGCTAACAGACCCATTTCCCATTCGCAAATGGTTCAAAAACAAGAACAGACCCTTTGCAAAACGTAATTAAAAGTATTCATAACATTTTAAAATTCATGGTCATGTTATTCTACATAAGCACTGTAATAACACCTGCAATATCAAAGCTCAGTTGTTAATTTACTTTCGTTTTCACGAAGTTTCTGATTTTGCTATGTGAAAACGTGTCGTGTTTTGGTGTGATTTTTAACATGCGGCCAAAATAGTAAGCTCATGAAGACACTGATGTGAACATTTTTTGCGTAGGACATGATCGTACTAATTTTATTCATACACGCAGTTTGAGACTTTTGACCTGATACTTTAAAGATAGACGACCCACAACAGTGGGATAGTGTATATTTTTTCCTTTAAATAAGCCCACATCGAGATCGTGCACGTCAGAAAAAGGACAAAGTTTACCATGATTATCTATCTACGAAAGCTGGGCGAGCTTCAATTTGTGGAAATAAGATACAACTTGGGGTATGCAAATTCAATTTCCCGTAGGTAAATGAAAAGTAGACGATAAAGCATTTAATTAAACTGCATGTTTAAGAACTGCTAAAAAAAGTTACCCACACATAGAATGGTATTTGACGGGCACAACAATTCCTGCGTTCATAAACCCCCTGATTAAAAACAAACGAGCGGAAATAAGGCACTGCGTAAATATTCCCAGCCACAAAAATATGTTTCCCCGGTGAATATTTTTTTCTTACGGGCACATGTGCAGAATTGGATTATCAAGTAGAAAAAGGGACCATGCTCTCTTGCCTGGAACTTTTCAATCACTGAAAGAAGAAAAAAAATACATCTTTCCCTCAGGACTATAATTTCGTCTGAGAATGTGAAAAATCCATCTTGTAATGACTCGAATTCCTTTTTAAGTCCAAAAACCTTCTTACGTGTTGTTATGACTTAAAATTCCATCAAGTAATTTGATGTTGAAAAATTGCCAAGGCCCTCTTCAATTGTTATTGAGACGGTAGGTGAGGTGCATCACTCACTCCTTGAACAAACATTGGTAATATGTAACGCCATCGCCGATATCCTATTACCGCTCAAAACTCTTCGTGTCCCCTTACAAATTGTTTTTTAACAATACGTCCTTGTAACTAAACATTTGTTATTCAATGATCATGGTATGCTTTTATTGTGGCGGCCCATTCTATAGTCTGAATTATTTTGGAGAAGTGGAAGTGAAACGTGGTCCCTAAACTTCAAATGTGGGCTGCAGCCTTGTAGACTTTCAGACCATGCAAGGAATCTTGCCTTGTATCAATGAACTTTTGACCGCTAAGTGGTTGGCGGATTACGTTATACATTATTACGCCCACCTAAGCCGGACAGTTAGTCAATTAAGTACGAAAACTGATCTCCACGATTTGTCTTTAAAAAGAGATCCCTTGTTCATTGACCACTCAGTGTTGGAAGAGGAACTCAACACGCGAGAGACTCAAGGTAACTTGCTCCGGAGGGATCCAAGATTGAAGACATGGCCAACTTTCAAGTTTTGCTTCTGACTATTGTGGCGTGCACTGTGATACTCCAGGCTAAAGGCCTTGATCTGTACCGCAGAAGATTTTATGGTGAGTTCAGTTGTTATACCTATAGTTGTTAAAGTGACGCGAAAAAAATGGTCGTCAGTTTCTGCAGCTGGAGTTTAGAGTCATTTGCTTGTATCGGAAAATCTACTGTCATGTAAAGGTGATGTGATCAGTTGGTCAATTGCTGTCATCTGTTAGCTTGGTAATGTATTGATTATCCCTTTCATTGATTCTCCTCGCGTTCTTTGTCGTTCACAGACGTGCCAGTGAGAAGGTATAATGCGCGCGATCTTTATGGTAAGTACGCTGGTGGCTTATGTATCTACAAGAAGTTGTTCAGTGAGACTGGTTAACTCCTGTCATCTGTTATCGCATAAAATGTATCTCATAGCATCTTGTTCTCTCATAACCAACATGTTCTCTGTCGTTTTCAGATGTGCCTTTGAGAACAGATGATGCGATAGACCTTTATGGTGAGTGGCTGTGTTTATTTATTCGTTCAGGGAGTTTTAACAGCACTGGGAAACAGAAAATTCAGAGACAACTCTTCTGTTGTCTACTCCGCATTCTCGATATCTTCTACAGTTTTTTGTCCTTTAATTCGCACTGTTGATCAAAAAGAAATTTCTCTGAGATTTCGATGCATTCTTATGCCAAAAAGGAACGAGAACAGCGAAAATCATAAACTAGGGAATATTTTTAGATTTGTTAGCAAAGTCTCAATGCTAAAATTGGCAGACAGGGCTGAAAATTGATGTTAAGACCTTAGGAGTGCAAGGATCGTTGAACCAAAAACCATCTAGTATACAAGTTTGCATACTTCTTAAATGTTTAACTGAATTTGAATTCTTTCATCGGCTAATTATAACAAAGAACGCCTCCTTTAGTATAAAAGTTCGCGTATAGATTGAAAACAAACTCTAAGCCTTGTCCGCCACTTGTTTTGATCACGTTTTAGTGTGATACATGATCTGTAACTGCACGATTTCTATAAAATATGCAATGCGTTCCCGACATACATTGCACTCGTTTTGACGGTAAAGAACTAGGACACGAAAGTTTAAAGCATTTTTGCATGATGTAATCACTACAAATTGAACTTTGGGTGAAGTTCGTTTTAAGTGTTGTAACTCCAAACCCAGCGTGAGCAAAACAACCGACCAGAACAAAGGAGAATGACACAAAACCCAATCGGAACTCAAAAGAAGAACAAAAAAAACTGCCTTAAGCGCGAGAATTCGTTCTGATTGGTTGCTAGTTTGGCGCGAGTTTCCAGAGCAATTGGCGGGGCTGATTCGGGAAATGACCCGCCAACGTCCCTCTCGGGAGGAGCGGAAATCGAGAACCTCAGTGCAATTGCAGACAAACTTCCTATTCGTGGCACTTATACCACATAAATACCATTACGGGATATGTTATTCCTTCCTCAAAATACTACTAATATTACCTTTTGTTCATTGATAATTTGGTAATGTATAGTCAAGTTACATGTTCAACTTTTTCAGAGAGCAAACCTTCTAAGCTAAGAATCCCCTCTTTAGTTAGATAACGCTAACAAGATGCAAAAAATGTGGTCTTTTTCGGAGTCTTGTTCGCGGCATCCCACCAAACGGCTGCAAAGAAGGCCACACCAACGGGGCTTAAGGCGCGACTCTGGTTGTTAGAACAATACCCTTCGCAGATAGAGCACTTGATAACAAATCTTTCATAATTATCTACAGAGAGAGAGACTACGCCATGTGTGGATGAGAACCCTGGCTATTGCGGAATGTTTCGTAGAATGTGCATAATAACCAACAATGATAAATTTGTGAACGTGAAAAATCGCGAAAGATTCGTGTACGATGTATGCCCGCGAACTTGTGGAGTGTGTGGGAAGAAATAAAAGGGTGAGTAGAAGATCTCATTTCACAATTCATCCCTTTACAACCTGACATCAGTATGCATATTCTCCATACTTTTCTTTCTACATTTCTCAAGGTGCTGCTAAGGGGAATCTCCTTAACAATCCAGAGCTTCTTTAGTCCAAATTTAGATCTTTATTCTCATGACCTTAATGTTTGATTCCTGAGTGATACTGTTGCGAGAAATTCGATGCTTATCACTCTTGGGGATTTTGCGTGTTACATGGTATTCTCTGGGGTTTTGCCGTCGGTTTTTAACTATGTCTGAGAATAAAACCCGTAAGCATGATTGCAAACCAAAAGTGCAATAAGCGATAGTTGCGTACTCGTGACCTAATATGGTGACAGAGTGTTAACTTGAGGATCGTGCATGTGTGCCAAACAGAATTGGTGGCATCAAATTGGGGGATCAAGTTTCTGAAGACAATATGGTTTCATCAACTGAGTTGATAATGTAAATTGGCCAAAATGAAGAGTTCCAAAGGTGACATTTTGAACATTAACCCATCGTCAGAGATGGATAATGCTCGAAACGTCAGCTTTGGACACTTTGGCCAACTTATATTATCCACTCAGTTGATAAAACTAATTTATTTGACATACATATTTGCTAGTAAACTAATTGGTAATTACCATCACTTTCTTCCTCCTCTGACTGTTATCATTTGCTTCACTGTATGCATATTAGCTAATTTTGTGATTGCTACACTAAGTTGTTTTGTTGCCCCTTTCCTTCTTCTCGACTCCCAGCTCTTATTTTTTTTTCTTTTGTTTTTTGAACAGAATACATGAAGAGTGGACAGATCGAGATAACGCTAGCTTTTATTCGCTATTTGAAACATAGAATTAAACTTTGTATCACTTATTAAATCTGTGACAATTTTTTTGACATCACACTACTAATAAACCAAACTATAAGAAAATTGAATATACTCGTTCTATGAAAGTTCTACTAATGGCTGGAAATTGTATAGCGTTTTTATATACACATAGACTGCGGGTTTGTGGATATTTTAAGGCAACATCAACGTATTTTTTCAAGAGAAAAACTCAACCGGTATGCCAGTGACCTCTATGTAATATTCTGGTGTGCTAAGTTCTGGAGCAACAAGGTAGCTCTAGACAGCGAATCGTTAATTCTTTTGATGCATCATCACCCTTTCAGTTTCTGATTACTAAAAATGATTCAATTCCTTAGACCCAGGTTCTTTTTGTCTTCGACAAAAAATCAATACGAGGAACTTCAAAAAAAGATGTAATATACTTAGGTTTTAATGATTTTTAGAATTTCCTCTGTTCCATAAACGTAATATTGTGACCTCGCAGAGGTAGGAACCATTTTAAAAGAGAAAACAAGGATGTTGTCATGGTACCCAGATAATTCAACATGGCGCCTTTACTTTTCATGAGACCAAACTCAACTTTCCTCTCAGATAAAAGTATTTTTTATAGAGAACTCGTTTTTATTTTATGCTGGAAGTTTAAAAATTAGTTTTACGAAGCTTACTTTACATGCGAGTGATAGCTGCATTCGGTACGGTTTTGTTGAAAGGTGTGTCGTCAAATCTTTCTTTCGTTTCAGCATCCTACTACTATACATAACAAACAGAACGTTAATTATCTCCTTGTGCAAACGATTTATCTTCTCGTGAGAGATAACATCGACTTCTCAGAAAAAGCTTTCTATACATGCACAGCCACTTCGTATCTTCTGTTTTTCAAATCATCGGCATTGATGAGTCAGTGTAACTTCCAAAACCTGTGCCTGATACCAGCAGAACTCACCGAGTTAGACTAAGAAAATTTCCTTGTCCGAAAATTTTGCTAAATAGCCGTTGGAAAACCATTAGCTGGTAACAACTTCCAAAAATAAACCAAATGATAATAATAATAATAAAAATAATAATAATAATAATAACGATAATAAAATAATTAAAAGTTCAATTTACTACCGCTGACAAAAAAGAAATAGGGCGTCTAATAAAAGTAACTCGAGCTCAACTTTATATATATTTTTTCATTTACAATGTTCAGAAAAAAACTCCACGATGGAAATATAGCATTTTAAATACATCTTTGTTTGCACTATTAAATCAGTCTAGCTGACTTCATTGTTACATTAAACGACAAGACAGTTGTTTTGTTTCGTTCGATGGCAATGGACACACCCTAAAGTTTACGTTCGTTAGTGCTGTTCCAAATGTTAGCGTTATAAAACTCTTCCCGTGAGGGAAACCGCACCTCTCTAATTGTATATCTGAGACCGAAGAACGACACATTATGTCAAGGAATTATTTAATTATGGCAATAAAAAGATCATGTTTGGTCTGACCATACTGCAATGATGTTGAACTTTCTTCGAATCGATCTGGAGGAATGTACATACAAAACATCGGGAATTCTTGCCATAACTCTTTCGCACTCTGACCATTACAGCAACAATATGTCGGCCAAGAACACTCTTTTCTTCTTCCATTAGCTCCTGACCGTAGCCCTGCTAAATGATTGTCTTGGCATGCCCATGATTGAAATTAATGCAGCTTTACTTGAAATAACTGCCACGCGAAACAAGTGGCAAGAAATCCTAAAAGAAGTGTCAATCTTTATTGTTGAACATCAGATTCAGGAAGAAAAACAACCATTTTAAGAACTTGCAGAATAACTTATTTCTATCGGCTTACATAAGCTTACCCTTGGGTATAAGCGCAACATTTTTGATGTTTCTAAATGAATCGAAAAGCATCTTCGTTTCGCGGAAGCTTCTGCAGTCACATAAACATTAATGAGATATTTGTCAACGAAAAATGGCCATATTTTTTCTATCTTCCCTGCAAAGGAGAACTTTTTACAAGACAAAAAAATCACTGTAAAGTGAAATCTTCTGGGAGAAAACTTACACTCGTAGTTGCAGTGGCTTGGAGCATTTTCCAAGAGAGTATCGTGAATGATCCTGGACTACTTTGGGTTTGCTTTACTTCGCCTTTTGATTGGTCCAGAAAACTTGTCCCACCCTCTCAACCAATTAAATGCAAAAGTAAAACAAATCCAAACTTTGTCACTGGTGTTTTCCCACGCATAAAGCAGGTCGCTGAGTTCTCATTGGTTAATGATGATGCTGCTCTTTTTTTATTGGTAGTTGTGATCACCTTGGTTTTGGTTTTATGACTCTCAATTGAAAACGGCTTTAAATGGAGTTGTTTTGACCAATAGTGATACCTCGCAGATGCAAATTCTTTCTAATAGAGCGAAACAAACTCACAGCAGCGAGATACGATAAAAAGTTATTCTCATGTTCTATACTCTAAGTGACTTCAAATAAATTCTAGGAGGGAGAAAACCAATCGTTTGAATTGTAGTAATAAACACAAATAGATTTCTATAAATGAAATATTTTAAGACTCTTTACATTTTGTTAAGTGAAGCACAGTCTTTCAATCTCTATTCCAAACTCTTCACCGCTGTCTCCAATGTCGTAAGCTGCTATGTCCACAATGGGAAGGCGGTGTGGTTTGGGGGTGTCCACTTCTAGTACCGTGTGGTGCCACTTTCCATCTTTGACCTGAAAATATCCTCATAAACGAGCAAAAAAAATCAATAACCTACAAATTAAGCAAAATATTTATCACTGCTCCGAGTGATGGGATTTGTAAGATCGTGATTTGCTATTTGGTATTGAGATCTGTGTCCTAGTGAACAGCTCTCAGGTCTAATAAATTAACCATCTCCTGGGGCTGTGAACGAGATATCTTGTGACAGGATCTGACGAAGGATTATAGAGAAGTGAAAAGGACCAAGGACCCAAGGTTCCTTTTTTTTCGTTGCCATTAACGATATTTTAAGCCCCAACAATGAAGCGCTCGATGAAGTCATTGAAACTGATTTCATAGTTTACATGTAAGCGCAATGAGACTTGAAACGCGCACATAAAAACATTATTATTATTATTGTTGCTATTACTATCATTATTACTATTATTACTATTATCATTGCTATTATTATTATAATCGTTATTTTTGTCAATCTAGCTGCTTACCGCACAATCATCCAGGATGACCTTGGGCTTAAACTTTTTTGAAGACTCTGCATGCATTTCAACTCCATTGTCAGCCTTAATCTTGACAGATTTGGAAAATTCGTTTTTCTCATCGCTCCAGGCCACCGAGTCTTTACAATTGTATACGATCCTCTGCCTGGCGCGGTCACTCAGCAAGCGGAGAAATTCTAGTTGGCTTGGTTCGCTGACATATTCAATCTACAGCAAAATTAAATCAGGAGTTTCAGTGTTAATGAAGACTGTAATAAAATTCTAGAACGTGATCGGCTATCACCATACTCGCGATTTACTAAAAAACTCAAGTTTCACAATCATCCGATTTTGTTAATCACTCGAATGTTTTCAGACCGAATTGGACGCCATTTGGTCCTATTGCTGTTTAAAAAAAGCACTTTTTAATATTTAATCATAAAGATATTTTTAAAATCATTATTTGTTTTCGTAACATAAACAAAAAGTAGCATGGCTTTTGCAGAAATCTATGTACAGGTTCGTCTAAAAAGTTGAGGCTTACAGCTTAAGTTACCGTTAATTATAAAATCATTATTATCTCCCATAACATTCAATCAAAGTAGAATAATAATCTCGTACCCAGATCTTACCGTATAACTGTAACCGCTTGGCCGTGAAAGGTCTGGGTACGAGACAAGGAGAATAATTGTGTTGTATGATCCTCTCCGGGTGAGAATAGACATGAGAAAGACTGTTGTCTGTGGTAATAGTTTGCTCTAGGCGTTCAGTTAGAAAAACGAAGCTCGATTGTAACCTGAAGGGCGCGATATTTGCAGAGGAAGCTTGGGACGAGTCGGTCACTACGAACTAACCGAACGCCTTTAACAGGTCACTGTAGTCGTGACTGACGTTTCGAAAACCAAAAGGAATGCTATTAGCAGAGTCAAGCGAAAACGTCAAAAAATGAATCGTAAAGCTCTGGCTCTGGCACATAGGAGTTAGCAATATTGTGATTAAGAACAAAATATCATAGGAAAAGAAAAACGAGTTTTCTTTCCTCTTTGCAGCTCTCTCAGACTGCAAAACACTACCTACATTTTTAAGCATGCGCAGATCCTTTCCTAACCATTTGTAACCATCAGCACCAGTGAACCATTTCTTTTTTTCAGTTGTGAAGGTCTAAATAAAACACAGCAGTATAGTAAAGTAGCCAATTAGGAAAGAGGAACCTAGGGCCACGTGACAACTTGCAGCCAATCAGACTGTATATTGCTTCAAAAACAGTGAGTCAAGTACTATTATGCTCCGAAACTGACCCATCGTTAATTACGTTTTCTAATTTTAACACCGAGTGTTAGATCCGATATGGCTTATTGGAATTTCTAACACGAAGTTGTAAAATTAACTTTTTTACAAACTTTCTCTTATCCTCAGCACCCCCCACCTACCCCCCCCCCCCCCCCCCCCCCCAACTACCCCAACACCCGTCCCTATAAGAAGCAACCCTCGGAATCCAGCGCCATAACCGTTAAGCAAAAGCGTCTTTCATAAGATCTCTTTAACCCTTTCAACCCCGCGCAGGAAAGATCAAGGTGCAATTTCTCATCGCAAAGTCAATACAATATCAAGCAGTGAGGTAAGAAATTAAAATATCAACCGAGGTAGTATAAATAGAATAACAGAAATGGTAAGCTCGGTAACAAAATATAGAAATATGTTTTTCATCTTGTCACAAACGTGGGACAAAGAAAAAATTCTGAGTCCCCATGAGAAATCGAACCTCAAATCTTCGGATTCCGCTCTCCGATGTTCTACCACTGAGCCACAGAGACTCAATGGTCAGTGAGGTCTATTACGAAGTTTATATGACACGCGTCCTGCATACTGCTAGGACCAGCGTCGATAGCGTCATGTTTGTGAATAGAATAAGAAGGATGGAAAGTTTTAAGCTCAGTAAATAAATAGAGAAAGATGTTTTCTCGAAAAACATCTTTCCTTAAGGTAGTATACTAGGTAGAATACCCTCTTTTACTCTTCCCCCCCCCCTCAAGCAGGTTAAAGTTCAACCGTAAAGTAGCGTTCCTCATTCTGTTCTATGTATTTACATATCAATAAAGTTGCAAAAAAGCAAATTAAACCCGATGAAATTCGTACCTCACTATCACTCATGGGGTAGAGACAAGTTGAATAAGAGGGCTGTTCGCATCGAACCCTTATGGCATCGTTAGGTAGACCATCATTAGGGTCGATCCAATAAAAACCTTCGAAGGAAAAGTAAATAATCTTAGTTTCAATCAAAATTGAAGCTATTCGATCAACTTAGAGAACATCTCAATTTTGTACTGTTCAACCAAACCCAAAGTTATCAGGTAAGCAATGGGAGAAAGAAAAATAGCGCTAGTAATCAAAGGGAACAGAAGCCATTACCCGGAACTTCCGTCTTCCATACTTGCCCTCTGAGTCAACCTTGTACCGTTTCATTTTATTTTTAGAAGCACTTCCCACGGGGTTTTTCGCGGGTGTTTACAAAAGAGCCAATCATAAGAGAGCTGTGGTCCTTTATTGTTTAGGTCACATGCAGGTCGCACGAAAGTATTACAATAATGGCGAAAAGCGCGGAAAGTCAGCGTGTTTTCGCAGGAACTTAAAGAACCCCCCGCAAATCTCAGTTCTAAAAATAAAAAGATACGGGACAAGGTTGACTCAAGGGTACAATTGATATGGAGGCTCCGGGTAATAGGCTCCTGAAGGGAACTAAATGTAAAAACACTCAAACTGCCTGATGCACAGCAAAACGAGAATATCCAATTCACGATTGGTTTTGAAGCAAAAAAAAAAAACTTATGCTGAATTACCTTCGACTCTCATTCTTATTCTTTATTAAACCCCGTAAAAATATCTTATGATATCATACCGCTTGGGAGGTCAGGATATGACATGTACAAGTCTTTACAGGTCCTCGCGGGAAATATACTTGTGCCGTTTGGCTTTTTCATCATCGTAAGTTTCTTCTTTACTAGAGTGACAAAGTTTGATAGCTGGAATGAAAAATCAGGTATAAGATGTATATTAGTAAATAACAAACTGAAAGAAAAGAGTAACAAGAAGACTATCACAGTACTTAACCTTAAACCTTAAGTATGACTGCCGTTTTATTTCTTCCTACAGGCATCACCGCTGAATCGACCCTCAAATTCATGAGAATAATGGAAACGATCGCTAACTAGAGAAGTTATTTATCATTTGACAAGGAGATGAGTAAAGAAAAGCGAGGAGAGTCAAGGGTATAACGAACAAACCCTCCAACTCCCAAGATCTCATTAGTAATTCTCCTTACTGTCTGCCACATAATTCTTGTGAGGTTTGTTTAGAGAATTTGCTATTGGATCAACTAATAATCCCCTAGTTAATATTTTTCTTTATTCTCATCACTTGTCTGGTTGATATTGTATTGATTTTGCAAGGAGAAATTCTATCTTGGTCACTCATGGAAGTTAAAGGGTTAACCCAAACTTACCGGATCAATCTCCGGATCGTCAACCTTTAAACAAATGAATGACGCCATTAACATTAGATCACGTGGAAGATCAATAAAGCATGCAGAGGTCGAAAATAATTACAGACCTGGTTCTCTTATGTTTTTTCTTAAATACATTATTGTTATTTTTCATCGCCGATGGCTGGCGGCTTACAAAGTCATTTTTGTTGAGGTTTCATGAAACGAGATACGAGCAAGACGAGCAGGAAAAGCGATTCCATCCAACCCGTTTGTGTAGCCAATCATAACACAGCATTGGCACCATCTTGCCGAATAAGGAAACACGTTGTTCGCCCGAAATGATTTACTTGCAAAGCATTGGTGGTTTTCGAAAATCCGTGCAATTTTTTCTCTCTTTTTTTTCCATGAAATAATTAGTTAGGGACGAGGCAATTTCAATTACAACCAAGTACCATTAAGTGAAACAATCCTCACCAATTTTTGACTTCTATAAAGATTTACTGTCCCCGCTTTTTCGGCCGTAAGGGGTGGATCTTGCGGTGCCTCCGTCAATGATCCAAAGCCAGTGTACCCTGACGATGTCTGATAAAAAATAACAATAAATAAAGACAAAGTTAAAAAAGTTTCATGATCTTCATAACCAGCCAGCCATGCCATCAGAGGATTTATCCTCTCTTGGCAAAACGCAGAAGTCTGAAATTCAAAAAAGAAGTTTTTTGTAATGAATACTTACCACAAGATCGCTGAGGGCAATCTGAAATTCAGAGAAAACGAAGAAACGTTAAATATGAATTCTGGGTTAAGGACAATTGCTGTTGTTAACAACTAGATTACAGGAACAGCGCCCTAACTTCTCGGTCCCACTGCCTTAAAAGCGCCGATCAATTCGAAGCTTCAACATCCGCCTCGGGCGACCCACGGGCATTTGACCGTCGTCTATGCCCGCATTGAATCGACGCATTAAACCATAAATATTTCTTATATTGTATATGTCTCTCTTCCCGGCTAGAATAAGCTTTTTCAAGAAGCACAAAAAATAAAAAAATAAAAAATAGCAAGTGATCGTCATTGATCCTAACTTACAATCAAGGGTATCATTCTATAAAATATCCTTGTACTGGACTTAACGATTGGACGAAAGAAAACTCACCGATGGACCAGGTGATCCAGGCTCTCCAGGATCACCCTATGAACATGGAGACAGAAAATAACCAAAGAAAACAAAATGAATAAATAAATAGCAACCTTTACCTCTTACATATAATGACCCTGAATCACAATGCACAAGGCCAATAAGTTATTTTTTATTTATTGAAATAAAAATTTCAGGATAAGTCGGCACAATCAATGTTCAAACATGTTGCTCTCCAGATCGTAATGATCTTCCTAAAAGTGGTACATCAGCAAAACAGTTCACCAATATTTTACACATGATTTGTGCTGAAAAATTAAATTATATCAAGCTGCTCAATTATCGAAAAGAAGAGTGATGGAAATGTGCTACACTAAATCAGATGCTGTCAATACGTGGAAAGCAATTTATTTTATACAAGACACAATCACCAATCGAATTAATAGCAGCGGAAAATGTGGTGTATAAAAAAAAATTGGTTTATGCCCTTTCGATGAAAAAACGATTACTTTTGAAGATGACGAAATTACTTACCCGTTGACCTTCCGTTCCCTGAGTAAATCAATGGCAATAAAAAGCATTTGTTAGCAGTGTATTGAATAAATACAACCACATGTAGAAATATTAAAATCATATCATAAAACCGAATGCAGGAATTCTAAATGTAAGAGGAAGCAGCGAAGAAGTTACTCAAATCCTGATATTTTAAAATCTGCACGAGGGTTTCATTAGCAACGGGGTGGATATTGCCTGGCTACCCTTTGCAACCTTTGTGCAAACGTCACTGAGCTGTTCACATGCATGTAACTCCCTCCAAATTGTTTAAACTGGTTGACCTCAAGGAATAACAAAGCAACATAGATTTGTTTAGACCTCAAACTGGAACTGAAAGAGCATAGGACTTCAAACAATAAGTTCCCCAGGTCGTCACAACCACCCGCTTACAATTCAATTATAAGGTACGCATTCATTTGCACCTTTCTTTATGGAAACCAGCGTCTAATGCATAGTATAATGAACTGAAGAACGCAAATTGGGCAAAAGATACTTCTTAAGAACTGTCATTTTACCTGTATTCCACGATCACCCTGAAAAAAGAAGAGGTAAAAAAGTATCGTTGTCCTCTCAAGTTGTTAATAAATATTCCATCCCTTGCCTCGTTTGACACCCCGCTTGCCCGTATAGACTATAAAAGAAAAGGGGGAGAGACTGGAACTGGGCTTGACCCAGCTGGTTTGATTATAATTTTTATTTGGGGGAAATCAAGGACAATAAGAACACTGCATTCACTGCAGCGAAAGTGACTCTATAGATATTGGCATGCATGGCAACAGGTCAAAAGGTGAAGGCAAAATCAGAGGTTAAGTCAGCTAATGAGCCTGTTGGCCTCTGTGGCCTCAGCCTCAGGTTTCCGAACCTTGAGGCGAAAAAGGGTATTCTCATAGCCCTTAGATGAGATGCTAGTCTATCGAAGTTACCCCCCTTCCCCCCTGATATTCTTTAGGTTTCCCTGTAGTTTTCGGGGGTGAGAGACAATGCGAGATTAAATTCATTTTCCTTATGACCCGGCCAGAGTTCGAGGAGTAAAGCAAACCAAAGGGTGGTAGGGTGCGCCTTGAGAACAAAGTTTTATCTGAAGTATAGATTTATAGATAAAATGAAAAATGCTTCTTATTTCATCTTAAGCTTCCGTAATGCCTTAATTCTAACGATTTCACTGGAAGTGCTAAAAATCAATCGTTTCACTTACTTTGACTCCTGATGGACCAGATGGGCCTATGGAGCCCTACAACATACGAGGAAAAGTCAATAAATGACCAGTCCACTTCCAGATATATTGCTACATTCTGTTCGTATCTCGATTAACTTTCACAACGTACTATTCACTCATTGATACCTTAAACACCTTGGCCTAATTTTCATGTTTCCATTGGAATTTTTTTGCGTGGGATATCAGAGCGCGGCTGGCCAGAATTGATCTCTTCGCACACGCTCAAAGTTTGTTCGTTGTGTTCTTGAGCCATCGCGCACGGCCCTCATAAGGGGATCTTCTGTTTTACGTCTTTCAGTAAAAGCGCAAGCGGATGCTTACAGGTAATAATAATGAATCCAAGCTTTTTGATCCTAGGAGTTTAAAGTTGAACGTCAAGTATCACGTACCACTTCTCCTTGTTCGCCCGATATTCCAGGGATTCCCCGGTCCCCGTCAGTTCCCTGAAGAAATATTAGAAAATAACAAGCACGTACTAAAATAAAAATAAGACAAACAACAGCAATTACCGGAAAATATCGGTCTTGAAGGCTAATATTTTAATGTAAAAAATTGTTCCAAACTTCGCCGGGCTCGGCCCTTTATGGTCAAATGAACAACATGCAAGACCATTTTTTGGGCATTTGAAAACAGCCTTTGCTTTTCGGTAAAGATACGCCATTTGAATAATGTAGGGTCGACTGAGAGCAAAGTTGGTGGACCTGTGATATTTATCATTACCTAAGCTTCACGGTGGCCTACCTGTGGTCCTTCATTTCCAGTGCTCCCCGGAGGGCCGATGTCGCCTTGAGCGCCCTGTCATAGAAAAAAGCTATTTATTTTTGGAATGATGGAAGGAAGAAAAGAAACCAAAGAGCCAAAAAAGAAAAAATTTAAGCCAGCGAATATGTTTGCGGACTGAGGGAAAAAAATTGTTCTTGCACTGAACTTCCCTTAGAGGATACGACTTTGCTGTCAGTGGTTTGCGAAGATAACCCATCCGTAATTGGTTACTGTATCTGACACGTTTCATTACAGATGGACTTTACAGAATTTCCTTTTTCGTAGCATCCTGAGGAATCTCCTCCAATAAGTAAAACAAATGATAGTGGTCACCTTACCTTAGATCCTGGACTTCCCTCTGGGCCTGGATCCCCTAGTTCGCCTCTTTCTCCCTAGATATATGTATAGGTAATAACATCATTTCGAGTGCAATTTGGTGTTAATAAGCACGAGTTAATTTTTTCAAAGAGAACAAAACTGCTCTAGCCCGTAATAAAGTACATGAAAAAAGATCACACACAGTCCAGACAGAAGTAAATTTTGACAGCGCGCGCGCTATTTGTAATTTGTATTCGTGTCACATGAAATCAGCCAATCAGACGTGCGTAATTTTTTCATGAACATTATTATTGAAGTTATGTAAATTCTCCCTGAATTCCACGTGCATTTTGGTTGTTTCTTATCGAGTGAATTCTCCTTTTCTTCCTTATGATTTATTGGAAGGCAGACGCATAGATGACGTCACCATTTGCTTTTTTTGACATTCAAAAAAGAATACAGTCTATGTTGCCGTGGGTTTTTCAGTAATAGGTTACAGAAGACATTAAAATGTAGTAGGAACAGTGGTGACGCACGCTATCGGCAGCACCTCGTGTGCCACTTTTATGTTAAATATAGTACAGGTATAAAAACGATGTCATGATGGGTGGAGAGGGAAGGGGTAAATGAAGCGGCGGGGAAAGGGAGGAAGGGGGGGGGGTAGAACTCCAATCCAAATTTCACCAGGTCACAATTTCAAATCATATTGCCATAATTTCGCTTATGATTCTCAGTTCCAGTGATTCAACGAATGGGAAGGTTTCTGTTTTACGCCTTTCAATCCCTTTAAAAAATTTATCATTTTAATGAAAACTGTAGGTGCTACATCCAAACATTCAAGCACCAAAGTAAGGCCTTAAACAATGCACGTATAATAACTCAGTATCGTTCAAAAGTCTGGAGCAAGGGGCACCACGAAACAAAGAGTTGTGCATGGGGCGAGCATGGTCACTTCTGTTTGTATTCAAAAATAAAAGAAATGAAAGTGAAAAAGAGGTCATTTTTACCATTGGAGGTTTTTGAAAGGAGAAAAAAATCAACAAGAATATTTACTTTTTCTCCTCTCTGGCCTTCACTTCCTTCTTCTCCAGGTCCACCCTGGTCTCCCTGAACGAAAAGATAAAAAATTTTTTCATTTAAATATTGTTTTCGTTTATAGTAATAGGCATGAATACTGGAGTACTAGCCAACAATTCCTGATTTTCTTTCTTTTATACAGAGACCGCTGTACGCCTCAGTACTAAAAGCAATGATTTATTAAAATAAGATATGTCGTAAACTTCGACCAATCAGAGTGCGTGCATTTCTATAATCACCTGGGCCGTGCTGATCAAGACCCGCTTAATTTCAATAACGGGCTGTGTGCAAAAGCTGTGCGTTGCTATATCAGTTAATTCTGTATTAGCGTCAATTATGCCTCGAACAATTCAGCCCTTAAAGAGCCTTACATGATCTCATGATACTGCCAATGCATTAGTCTCTTCAGTGGAACCTTCTACCAAGTGACATAGCACTAATTATGAGCCAAATATTTCAATGGTTTCACTCACTTGATCTCCGTCTTCTCCCGTAGTTCCTCTTGGCCCTTCTGGTCCAGGGTTTCCCTATGAACAGTATAAAAAAATTCTAACTTGATATAAATAGTTCTTTTAGAATGATGAGGCGCAAACGTATCAGTAAAATACACGTGTAGCTACTCGTGATTAAGCGACAGAAACACGACCACTAGGTGCATTTCAATCGCGTCCGTTCATTACTATCTTTCATGCAATCACTTGGAGACTCTGTTGACCATATACTGGTTTTCTATTTCTGAATAAAATAAGAATAAATACTTAAATTAAATCAGCATTACATATGTCTTAAATTCATTCGAAGACCAAATACAGGAGTTCCGGCAAAAGAAGTGCCTCAGAGTAACCCCATGTTTGCAAGATTTTCCTCGAGTTACCCTTGATATCGCGATTGAACCGCGTATCGCGCGCGTCTTTCTGATCACGCCAGTATAGTGTCGTGTTTTATTGTGGATGATTCGAAACCTGCGTACTTTGAACCATTTATGCTGATCCTCAAATAGCGAGACTTTAAGTTGAAACAATGTTGTATATTAACACAAAGAGTAAATGATCTTTCTATGAGCGAATGTGTCTACTTGTAAACCATTTTACGTGAAACACTACTTCTATCTGGATAGGTACTACGAAAAGGATAATTTTCGGTGCAAAGCGCATGTATTCGAGAATAAGGGTTTAAAAGCGGTGAAATATGACATAAATTTTGCATCAAGTTGGAACTACTCTCTGCAAATAAATGCTACTTACGTCATCACCACTGGTTCCGTCTCTGCCCTGTTCACCTTGAGACCCATCAAGACCTGGCTCTCCCTGGGCTCCCTGATCACCTTGTACGCCCATTTGACCCTGATCTCCCTGTGGTTTAAAACAAGATTTATGCTTCATTTTAAGCAGTGACATACACAAATACCATATGAGATGACATCATTAATTAAAAATTAATGATGTCACCAGATTTACTACATCATTAACTTGATAACGTCACCATTTAAACTTGACTAATTTTACGAAATCATTTAAAAAAGAACGTCATTAACTGAAGGACGCTGTCAGCTGAACGAAGCCATTTACTTAAAGACGTCATAAACTTAACAGGATCTTAAACTTAACAGGGTCTTTAACTTTACGATGTCAGTAACTGAATGAATTCTGAATGTAACTCTTGACTCATCTGTCATTTTTTTTTGTACAAAGACCCTGTATCTGAATAGGGTTAAAAATTTGTCCCTCGTCGAGCTGCTGATACTTGTCCATGAGTATTTTTGCATACCTTGGGCCCTTGAAGTCCCGGTGTACCCAGCTCTCCTCTTGCACCTGCCTCACCCTATGAGAATAAATGGGTGATTGGATCAGTGAAATAACGAAAGAACAAATAAATCTATGTGTAAATCAACTGGTCGACCATACGACCCATTACTTGATCAATTAACCATCAATCAGTCGGTTTGTCAGACGGAGAGTCAGTCAATCAGCTAGCCAGTTGGTCCGCTGATCTACGAGTTGGTAAGTCATTTTAACTTGTTTGTAAGTCATTCACTAAGTCGGTCAATTGTTCAGTTGGTTTGAAATTCATCAACCACAATAAATATGTCAGTAAACATGTCACCTCAGTTATAACGTGTGAGTGAGTATCACACACTTTCGAGCTCGCCAGTTAGTTAGAAAAGAAACCATCTCATTGAAGACACATACTTCGTTTCCAAGTCGACCTGTTGCACCTTGCATTCCATCTTGTCCTGCCATTCCCTAGAAGAAGAATACACTCACATTTAGGTGGGGCCTCCACTGGTGGAGCAACTGTGCGTTGAGTTGTCAAAAATAATCAAGTTAAAATCTGTTGGCACGTGGGGTAATAGAGAATTGAACGTGAGGAAAACTCGGAACAGGTATGGGCTGCTTTGAAACTGGAGTTTTATACAAGCCGCCATAGTGGTTCGTATGACGAACGTGTACAACATTAATGGAGCGCTTTTCGACCGAGTGCCGTAATACCAAAAAACAACCAGTCTGCCTAAAGCGCGGGAAAACGCGGGCGACCAAGTAGTGATTGGTTGTAGTTTTGCATCTGATCGGTTAAGAGAGTGGTGCGAGTTTTCTGGACCAATCATAGAACGAAGTAAAGCAGAACCAATGAAATCCTTTTCGACTCTCAATCGAAAATTGCTTTATTGCTTGGTTCTTGTTTCTCGCTTCTCTTTTGAGGTAGCGTCATCATACAAAGCATCTTCGTCATTTTGATGGCCTCTTGTTCCACCAGTAAAGGTTTCATTTGCTGATGAGAATTTGTGCGCACAACAAAAGTTGAATAATGGTAACTCACGAGAGATCCACGGTCTCCATCTTTGCCGTCACTTCCAGGTTCTCCTAACTCGCCCTGAAAGAAGCCGACGTACATGTAGTTGCACAAATCACCTCGTAAGTGCATGTTATAAAAAAATCCTTTTCAAAAAAATAGTCAGAGCCCAGCTACGTGATAAAGATATAATTAACTTATTAGATTAAACATAATATTTGGTCTGAATAAAATATCGAAACTTCTAATATTCCAAGACAAACGAGAAACAAATTTTCACTGAAAGAAAGATCAAAAATTTTAAACTTTGAAAAAAAACAACAACAGAACACGAAAGTATCCCCACCAATTTCGAATGCCAAAGTCTGTGGACGTAATTGGCTCCTGTTGTGAGATCACTGCGGCGCGCGTGAATGCAAAAAATATATATTAGGGGAGGGAAGGGGGAGAAAAACTGTAGTTTGAAATATAAAAACTTAAGAAATTTTCAACACTTGATGAGAAAATCAGTGAGCAAACGAACAAAGAGGCAAGCGAACACAGTGTATCGTGTGTTCTTCTACACACCTTGGTGCTACTTTTAATGAGTTGAAGTAAAGTCAACCTCCTAAAAAATCCTATATCAGTGTTTTTGAATTTCAAATTCTGGTAAAGAATGATATAACGCCCGCTCACCTTTGCTCCCTCGCTGCCAACAGCTCCTCTTGATCCAGATGGACCAACGCTTCCCTGTAAAAATCAAACCACAAGAATCGTCCGATCCTTCTTTTTCTATTTAAGGACACAAAGAGATAACAATAGCAATTAGATTACGAATCGTGTCATACCCGCATTCCCACAGCCCCTTGTGGTCCGGATGGTCCCGCGGGTCCTGCTGTTCCCTGAAAAAAAATTATAATAGTAACAAGTTCCTGTTGCCTTTGACCCCCACGAGTGACTTGCATAATATTTTCCTTACAATTCCACCCCTGTGACATCCATTAAGGTCATGAGAATAAAGGAAATGATCCCCAACTAAAGAAGCGCTTGATTGTTAAACAGACTCCACTTGTCAGAACCTAAGAAAGGGTATAGGGAACAGTCTAGAGAATATCAATATTGATGGTCGGGTGAAAATGGTTAACACCTACCTTGTGACGCTATCATTAAAGAATAAATGATGATAAAAAAGTGAATTTACTACTCACACTTGGTCCACCGGAGCCCGGGTCTCCAGGTGGTCCATCTTGTCCAGGGCGACCCTGGGTCGATGAAAATTTGAGTTATAATCAGAATGAATGAGAAATTTAATTCATTAACGCGACGTCAGAAAGGAAAGTCAACTTTTCTTGAACATGAGCATGGTAAGTTTGATCGAACCATGTACATGCAGATTTATAATTTCAGTTGAACTCAAGCTCGTGACCTCCTCCAGAAGTTCAGTTGGTATAAGAGAACGAAATAGTAAACAGCGTAATAGAAGCGGGAGAGCGACAACGAAAGAGGTTTGGGTCGGGTCGCGTAATTTATTACGTGACCCAAACCGTTGTTTTTTTACTCCTCCGCTCCTAACGCACATCGGTTAGTTAGCTGAACGCCTACATAGGACCCTTGCGAAAAGTACCCAGTTTTCCTATCCTCACTTTTGTGTCCTTTTACAGATTTTTAGAGACATTTTCATCCCTCCCCCCCCCCCTTCCATATTTTAAGCGACAGCAGTTGCTTCTTATGATTTCCTTGAAAACTTTGGGGAAAATAATTTAAATGGCGAACGGATCTCTTCGAAGTTTGACCGCTGAATCAGGAAACATCTGTATAAACTCTGAACTGGCTACAACAATACAAAAGCGAAAATGTGTACCATGGCTCCTGAGGGTCCTCCATCTCCAGGCCCTCCGAAATTACCTGCCTCACCCTAGTTTCCATGAAAACGAGAAAGAGGAAACAATGTAAGAATGCTGTGTTAGTGCCCAGCGGTCAAATGAACCAGTAAATTGAAAGTGTTGTGACTTCATTTGAACTTTGTGGATCATAAACACAAAACATAAATTGTTAAACAACAAGAACTAAGAAAGAATTTATAGTAGGTTTTCCATGTATAAGTGTTTTACTAAAATTTAAGTGCTTGCCGGGTACTTAGATAATCAGAAATTCTGATTTTGTTTCACAAAGAAACTTGTTTGCCACGAAAAATAAAATAAAAAATTGAAGAAATCGGTACAAGCAAATCAAAATGAAAAGAAGAAAACCAACAGGGAAGGACTAGCCCTCTCCCCCATGTCCACTCAGTCAAATAACTTTGTCTGAAGGGAAAAAACAAACTGGTAATAGAGGAAATACAAATACCTTTCTACCAGGTTGACCATTAGTGCCTGCCACTCCCTCACTCCCCATTGCCCCCTAAAAAATAACAAAGAAAAAATTCACAGAATTAATTTACTTCTCTTATTCTGCCTGATTATCTTGTATACCATGCAAGTGGTCCAGTGCCAGGTTAGGGTAAGTCCTAGCATCCTATTGGCTCTTTCCTAATGAGGGTATTTACGCTGTTCATGTGTATTGCTAGTCCTTTAGGATGGGATACTAGTCCATAGCTAGTGGCCCCCATTCCATTCCCTCAAGCAGATATACACCTAGCCAGTCACTGCGTTTGACATAACAAGAGTGCCTTGCCTAGGAACAAAAGAAAATTACCTCACCCAATGATATAATCCAGTTTCCTTGTCATGATGCCTTCGTTTCTCCCAAATTCTCTTTGGAATGTCAAGCACTGAATGTCTTGAATTCCATTATTCTTCTTGATGGCGGAAATACGAATATAATGCTTTCTGAAGCATACTTTTCTCTGAAAATCATCACCTAGAAATGTCATCTTTTACATACCGCTGCTCCCGAAGGTCCAGGTAATCCCATGGGTCCTCGTTGGCCTTCTCCACCCTAAACAAGGTAAAGAAATAAACAATTTTTCATTTACACTAAACACAGGAGACATATCAAGAAAAAATTATGGTCAGTCGGTCAATACCTCTTCTCCACTGTCACCACGATATCCTTTGGGTCCCATGTCACCCATCGCACCCTAAAGAGCACAAATAAGTTTACAAAATTGACTGTTTATCGCTTTATCCCTTTCAAAATAACTTATTTATATCATTTTATAGAACGTGCGAAAGAATGTATGAATACGTAGACTGATTCTCACAGTTTGGCGTACTATATGAATCTAGAGGTTTCTGGAAACATAATCGTCAACGCTACCTCAGTTCCACTTGACCCTGGTCCACCAGCCGGCCCAGTCTCCCCAGAGGAGCCCTAAAAAGGGGACAGAGTCCACTCAGTAAACATTGAAGAAAAAACACGATGTACTACTTGTACTAACAGTTTATTCTACAACTTCTGAATTTCACCCAACTAGATATGACGCCCCATAGATTTGATGCAACCTTACGGACAGAGTGCATTCAGAAATAACCCAAATGCTTTTCCCTAACAAATCAAAAATAGAATATCTAATTTTGCCTTGCACATTTTAGCTCATATTAGGTTAGATATGCCATTTGATTGATTCGTTCCTTTTTGTATTATTGAGGAAATTGGCTGTATGTAAGTGAACGTAAATTAAACTAACTAATTTTCACTCACCTTTTCCCCATTCGGCCCAGTGACTCCTGTGTTCCCTGCTGGACCTGGTGGTCCCTAGAAAAACATAACGAGGAAAAACTTGGATTGTCAAAACTTCTTACGGAGGTTTTCTTTCTCATGGAGACTTAATCAAGGTTGAAATTTCACTTATTTTGCATTAGCCGTTGATTACTTTGATTGTCGTTAGTTTTCCAACAATCAATAAATTGAGCTCTAATACTCTGTTGCCACAAAAAGAAAATCTGATTGTCACATACTTACAGGACTACCCGGGTAACCTGCTGATCCGCTGGTTCCTGGGTCGCCACGTGGGCCCTGGATCATAAAAAAGTAAAACTGGCGTATTTAATCGTCTTTTTTAGTGAGTTATTTACCTCGGTGGTCTGTGAAAACACAAGGGACTATATGATGGAAAAAAACTCTTAACTTAAGTTTCTCCTCAGTAAGGAACCTCTCGTAAACAATGTTTTTTCACTAATTCCTTTTTTTTTAGCAAAAGTAACAACACCAAAAATTTTTACCTTTAGTCACACGAGTTTCAATACTAATAAGTGTGCAATACTATGAACTTATTGACCGAGTGAAAGGGCCGCAAGAGGAAACATTGCGCGATAGAAATGTCGAGAGTATAATCTATTTCTTTAATACAAACTGAGAGGAAGTGGTTCTAAATATAGCATTCGAAAGAGCGTACAGGAATCTTCTTCATATAGCTGTAATTTCAGGGAAAACTTACTGAGCCTCCACTAGCGCCGATTTGTCCACTTATTCCATCGTCCCCAGGAATTCCCTTTCAAAAAACACAATAAGTTAACTTAAGTGAGGCAGTATTAACCTACATTTCAGTTGAGTTCTACCAATTCATGCCGATCGTATCGCCAGAAAGTAAATCCTACGCACCCAAACACAATTCTTTACTTCATCTGGTCTTACATTTCCTCATCATCTATCAGTTTCACTAAAATCATGGTTGGCTGCATGTGAGCAGGTATACATCCTGCATAATCCTTGTAACCGGTATACATACTGAAAAACTGTTTTAAACTTCTTTCAGCTGCAATGAATATTTTGATTCAAAAAATTCATTTTTGGTCCTGTTTTTGGCGTAACCGATTTGCCACGTAATAAATCAAGTTTGTTCGGTTAAGATGACTCGATACTTTCTGTTGTATGGACCTCCGCTTTCTTTCGACATTTATACTTAATTTCGTCTCGAGCCATAAAAACCAGTAGCAATATTTTCCGATATCCAGGTTCTTGGTCAATAAACACAATGCAACATTGAACCTTGACGCCCATATCGCCCGTCATTCCTTGTTCTCCTAGTTCGCCACTGACACCCTGGGTGTATTTAAAACAATAGAAGCAAATATTGCTCGCCATTACAAAGCCTAAAAGTGCAACATCTCTACGTTTGCTGTTTTGCATCGGGAACACTGGAGTATCAGTCAATCGTGCTATGAAATCGCCTGCTTGAGGTTGCCCTTAGGAGGATTTATCAAACTCGTCTCTACTGTTATCAATCTCAATTTACAAACTGCAAAAGTATAAAGCATTAAAACCCGACATTCTAAGGAAAAATAGTTCTCACATACCGCTTGACCAGTAGCACCATTCTCGCCGCGTCGACCAACTGGTCCTGCATCACCCTACACCGAGAAAAAGAATTTAAGAATTTCAAGCATGAACATGAACATGGCAAGAACATTTATTCGGTTGCACAGAGACAAGGAGCGAAAGTTTAACCATCATAAACCTATTGGCTCATTATTAGTGAAGTTAATTTAAGTGTTTTTTTTTTCAAAGAATGAGTTCTATTAGTCCTCTAAAATAGGGGCTGCTAGTCCATCGCACATTACCTCCAGCTTGTCGTCAAGTTTCCCTGACAGTTTATTGGTGTCCATATAATTAAAAGATACACTCCCTTATTTGGCCTGAATAAGTGTGTACCACCGAACAGGGTATGGTTTTAAAAGCCTTCACATTTTCAGTGAGTCCGCATTTTTTCTTTTGCTTCTCCTCTTTCTGAGCCTGAACACAGGTAGCAGATGAATTAAATATGACTGTAGTTCCAGTTAAAAAAACTGGACAATTGTAGCAATATTCGATCCTGTTGTTTTGCCGTTGATACATGTTAATGCAAGCGAAGAGCTTCTTGAAATCTTGTTCACGTGCAAAATCCCCTAGCAGTATTAACTGTGGGCTCATAATTGGCCCGTCTCTCGAGCACTCGTGCCTCGTAAGTAAGAATTCTTTCGTCTACCATTGTCACGACGTTTTACCTCTCCTCCTCTTGCTCCAGGGGGTCCTGTAGGTCCTGGTGATCCGAGACCTCCCTGTCACATAAATGGAAAATGAAAAAAGATAGAAATGATGACAAAACCTTTTTGAATTATTACGTGTTGCATTTTACCGAGAATTTCAATATCATGCGAACTCTGAGGTTCAGAACCAAACTTGTGAAAATGTTCCGTGCTGCTTCAATAACAGTCGAGACGGAACTCGAAATGCAGAAGGAATGCTTCACATCTCCAACTTCATAGATCGCATGCTTCTGATGATTGCAATAAAATAGAAAACTAATGCTGTCAATTATATCCCGTGAAGTTATCACACAATTTTTCTCATTCGTGTGTTGATTTTATGGTTTATGCACCTTGGAAGCATGCATACCGTACGCAATTCAACAAGTGTTCCCCCCTCGTTTGACACCAGCTTAGATTTCTTATCTGACTCCCTACATATTAGGTCGCCTTCCACTGAAAAATAAAACCTCAGAAATGAAAGTAGATATTTTCGTCTTTTTCTTTGAGCGATTTATCCTTTCTATGACTTGGTATGTTCTATTTACTGCTCATGGAACAGCAATATCGACAAACAACGTCAAGCGTCTTTCGTTCCTTACCGTCTGTCCTTGACTTCCAACATCACCGACTTCGCCGATAGGCCCTGGTGGTCCCTTAAAGTTAAACAGAACCGCTAAAAGTTAAAATCGTCAAAGGAGAAATTTAGAAGCGTATTTTCCTAATTTTTATGGGAAATGAGGGCGTAATACGGTATCGATTTTAATAAAAATTCAGTGGCTTACATCGTAAAAAGTGTGATTATATACTTTATGAATATAAATATTTCCTTCAGAAGTGTTAACTTCTGGCCTCAAAGGAAACAAGTGTGTTTTCTAAAACAGACTCCAGACTTCCCAAGGGGAAGTCGGGGAGAGCAGCGGTACTGGAGGTCAGTAATGTACCACGGGCAGGATATATTTTGTTTTAAGAACGGCCAGGAGACAGTTATCGGACAGTTACAATTGTATTTATACCAAGGGAAAGTAAATGTAGCGGTATTATTTATCCAATAAATGCATTCGGATACAGAATCGAATAATCGATATGGTAGATGATCACAGATCACAATGGAGCTTAACATAAAAAGGACCGTAAGAAACAGTTTTTGTGAATCTTCTTAACTTGCGATTATTTCCAATGCATGTAATTGTTACTCACCGCTGGGCCGCTTTTGCCCTCATCGCCTCGTTCCCCCACTCGTCCATCAGGTCCCTAGAACAAAAACGTTCTTCTTGGTAATTAATCCGTTCTAAAATTTATTTCCATGCACCAAGCCGCGTGTGAACATTACTTACTTGTTCTCCAGATAATCCTGGTGACCCAAACGACCCAGGCGCTCCCTGAAAACATAGACATATTAACCCTTTGACGCCTTCGTAACTTCTCCCTAAAATATCCATGCAAGTGCAAATTGGTGGTCCAAAGGCTTGTAGAAGCATCGAAGATAAACACTTGCATGCAGGAATCCGCTGAATCGAGACGATGGCATTCATTTGGCACACGAGGAAAAGACTTAATCATCATAACAATTGCTCAAATTTACATTACATTTGAACTGCAAATACAATCGTTTTTATTTTTTTGGAAATTTTTTCACATCACTCTCCCGTGATTAGGGCTAGAGTTCTCATTCAAAATAATGCATCAGATTTTAAGATATTTTCTGAATATGTCTTGAACTTTTTACTAGCGTTTTAAATTCATATGATAAAGATCATATTGTATTCTGCAACATGCTTCTTTGCGGATATAACAAAAGGATGCTAGTTCTTAATTAGAGGTACCGTTCTTCCAGTCAGGCCACTTGTTCCAGCATTTCCCTTTGCACCCTAGTGATTAAGAAGAAACAGGTTTAATATTTGCGAATTTCTTTTGATGTTAATAATACCAATTTCACTAATTAAAGTAAAACTCAGTCTGTATTCATACGAACGATTAACAAAATCGGTGACGACTGTGAAGCAAGAATCCGACCGGTTAACCACCAGTATGATTACAGACAGAACGTTCTGTTGACATATGTTAGCCATATATGTAAAGTGACTCCCAGGCCATTCAGGAAATATCCAAAACCAGTACTAACCTCCGATCCAGAAGAACCAGCTTTTCCAACATCTCCTGGAGTCCCCGTGGGTCCCTTACATTCAGAAAGAGAGGATGGTTTAAACAAGAAGAAAGAATCAAATCGATATTCCATTATTTGAAATTTCAAGGTTTCGCCATTTTACTGGTCGAATCGACAGTTTTTAAATTAGTAATGACTCAATAATGTTACAGTTATGGTACATATGATAGTAAAAAAAAAAAAAACAAACAAGAGCACTTCTGGAGACCAGGCACTTATTAACAACTTTGGTTGAAATGACTGATTTTCGAGGCATCAAGGAAAAAAATTAGGGTCAAAACGTCAAGCTTACACCAGCTGGCTGAATTGTTTACGAGCGGTTATAGATTTACAGGCATAAACATGTAGATGACAATTTTTAAGATTTCAACATATTTCATAAACATGGGCACGCGTAGAGATGGAATTTGTCTTCGAGTTGAATACGAGAGGGCGAATTCCATTTCCACAAGCAATCATGTATTACTTTGTTTGTTACATAAACACCAAAGGCCTTAACTAGAAAGAAGAGAAAGAATTTCGACAAACAACCTTGGATTGAGAATGGTGAACGCTTTGCCATTCATTCGTCAACCTGACCAGAATGGCAAAAAGGCGAGCGATGTGTCAGCAGCTGATTGGCAATATCAAATACATGTTAAAAATTATCGTTACTTTACACGTGTGCAGTTCGACTTTTCTCTGGGCTGGAAATCCTTGTAAAATATAGCAGTTTAGATAATTATTATTATTATTATTTTTTTTGCACAAAGTGGAGGTCCCCAAATATTTTATCTATTTCCATAGGAGCTAACCTGATCACCATCTTCTCCAGTTGATCCACTTTCTCCAGCAGGGCCTTCAATTCCCTAAAGGAAACCAACAAAAAAAGAAGAAAAATCCAAATCAGTGAATTCCAGAACATGGCTATTATTATATTTTGCTTTTATTTTCTAGCACCAGGAGGTCGAGAATATTTGGTCTTTGCACAATACAAAAACATGTCTGTTCGTTTATTGTCTGCTTTCCCAGCGATCATCATATGGAGCACAGCTGAAATAAGAGCATAGGACAGACTATAACCAAACAGTAGAATTGTATTCGTAAATTAAAAAAACTATCCTGCTGTTTTCCTTTCGTGTCGAGTTTAATACTTAGTTCTACAAATTTTGCACCTTGCAGAGGGATTCTGCGCAGGAATACCATGACAAAATTCATTTTTTGTGAGGAGGTTAAAATGGATTTCTAAGGGTCAACCAAAATAAATTATCAAATAAACAAACAAACCTGCTCTCCCATCGATCCACGTGAGCCTTGGTTCCCAGTTGGTCCTGACTCACCCTATAAGACAAAGTTTTCATCTGTTTAAATTTAATCTATCTCTATATCATAATTCAAATTTGTCTCTGGCTTAATGCACTGGTAAATATCAATTATTGTGGAAAGTTGCCATAGTGTGTTGCAATTCTCGATTTTTTTTCACGGCTGACGGGCCCTGATGGCTGAGCTCGTGAGCCATGGACCACAAAATATGATGAGTGGACATGTGCATGTGTGGCATATACAACTAACACTCTATGCAATGTCTGCAGCAGTTTTTGAGATAAATGTATTTTATAAGATGTTTCAAGAGATTTGGGGTGTTGTTTTTGTTGTTGTTGCTTTTCAAAACAATATCAGCTTCAGCGCTTCATGGATGTAAGATAGTTGAAGCTAACATTTTCCAATTATATCATATATAACATAGGCTCCCAAAGTAATTGGTTGATTATTACCTTTGCCCCAATTGGTCCTGCCTCACCACGAGTTCCTTGGGGACCTTCCTCACCCTAAAGCGAAAAAAGGGAAAAAAAGAGAATAAAAAATAATTGTAACATGTATCAGTCCATATTCCATTATTGTTTTCAAGATTGGACATGCAAGGTCCAAAGGCGAACTGCTACGCGGAAAATTTGGAGGAACAAGAAATGCAGGACTGGAAGGAACGGTGGATATTCAACTGACACAGTTACAAGGTCAATTCACTTGCCTGAGCTCCTTTTTCTCCAGGCATTCCAGTAGGTCCAGAAACTCCTGAAGGGCCCTGAATACAATAAGAATTACTTTTAACACGAAAATAATCAAGAGCACGAAAAAAATTGAACTAGTAACTCTTCTTATAAATACCATCTGGCCTGATGTTCCCGGTGTGCCATTTTCGCCAAGCGCTCCCTGAGGAAATTAAAATATTACCTGATTACTATCATTTATTTCAGTGACAAGTTTGATAGCGAACAGGTAAATTCATGATTTCAAAATTCTCTATAAATTACGGGAATGGCAGAATTATCTACGAAGTAAAGAGGGTTAAAAAAAATACAACAATTACATCACCTCCTAATGCCATAAAGCAATTTCAAAAACATAAACCTATTGAAATGATGTGAACAAACCAAGCTAGCCAACATTAGGGTTGCATACTAACAGGAGTTCCAGGTTTTCCCGCCTTTCCTTGCGATCCTCTTCGACCTCTACTTCCCTGCATAATGTATGAAATGAGACCAATGACTTTCACAGAACAAAAAAAAAAAAACAAAAAACAAAAAAACAACAAAAAAAGCAAACGAGATATAATTATTACTGTAACACCGGAGCAAAAAAGGAAAGAGAAAACACGGGTGGGGTTTAGTGAAGGATCACAAGCTATTTATAACGTAATTTTATCCTTTAAATAAAGACAGACTAATTTAATTTATGTACAAATCACCTGGTAGGTATATTACACAAAATTATGAAATATTAAATAACTTTGCATCTCACCAAGAAAAATTTTGTTCAATTTAGGCCGTAAACGTTTTCCAATTGTCTTAGAAGTAATTTAGAGGCAGCTATAACTACCATGCATAACCTCTTATTTAAAAGAAAACATTTGATTGTTCATTCAATTTTTGAGGAAAAGATGAATCTTCTACCCGCTCTCCTTGTGATCCTGTAAGGCCTTGTGTTCCTGGTACCCCCTGAAAAGCAATTTTATTCATTGTTGATTATTTTCCATTTTTGTGCTAAAGGAAATACATACCATGTGACATCATTTTTTCATGATACCGATCTACAAGGAAAGGATATTACTCGTATTGTGTGCACCGGATGTGCTTTAAAAAATTTTCAAAATTTGATTATCCAAAAAAAAAAAAAAAAGAAAACTGAGAATAGCCCTTAGGTACACCTGCATGCCCGCTTGACCTCGAGATCCTCTTGAGCCTCGATTTCCAACAATTCCCTGAAAAGATGATGGCAAAGTAAACATATCAATTTAATATGCCATGATAATTAATTCTATACCTCAAATTGCCGCATTTAAGCAAGCCAGGGTCTCAACTTGAAAATCAGGTTCGGAATGTCCCTATCAAATGACAATACCTGCAATCCTTTCTCGCCGATTGACCCTCTTTCACCTTGAGCGCCTGCTTCTCCCTGAAAAATGCAATGGACCTTAAATACCATGTAGAGTTTTGTTGCGTAGATTGCCAATTCCATGTTGTGTAGAAACAGAATTGTGGGCTCAAAATGATTGAGATCTGCTTCAAAAGTCTATATTTTTTACGCCAGAGGAACAAACAAATTAGTTGTTCATCGTCATTATTGTGCAGAAGCACTACATATCGACATTCCTATCCTTTGCCATGCCGTATGAGGTAAGTTTGTGACTATGGATCTAGTTAAACGGCTTAGTCTGCCATGAGTCTCCTTTGGCTCAGTGGCAGAGCAACCGAAGAAGTTATTAAAAGGTCGTGGATTCAGCACCTATAGGGACCAATCTGAGTTCTTTTTCTCCAAGTATGGTTGCGCTATTCGCAAACTAACATTATCTTTCACAGCTTGTCTTACCATTGATCCTGTGTAACCTGAAGTACCAGGGGAACCAAGCCCACCCGGGCTACCCTGCAATAAAACAACAACAAAATAATCAATCAATGGTCAGCGAGTTAGTGAGCCATATCAACAGAGGCACCAACACAGATGAATTAAAAAACACAAATATGTTAGACCCAAACAGTGATGAAGGACTGATCTAGTATCCACTATTTGTTCATTGTCACTATAGACTCATCAGATTGCGCCCTTTAAGGTTAAAAATAGAATAAAAGTTTCTTACGAGAAATAAACGTACAAAAACAGAAACACCTACTCACATTTTTACCGGCAGAACCTGGCGACCCTGTGCCTCCTTGGACACCTGTTTCACCCTAGAATTGCAAATTTTCGTCGTTAAAAATCGTCTGAAAACGGACGGAAAGTGTCCGAATTCGGGCGGAAGTGTGGACGGAACCTTCCGAAAGTGGACGGAAGTTTCCAAAAACTTAAAACACTTTAAGGCTGGGCAAACCTGTTTTCCTTTGGCTCCCTGGGATCCAGCTTTACCGGGAAGTCCTTCTGAACCCTTTCAAAGGATGGAGAGTTATTTACAAACGGCCATTTTGATAGTAGATTCAAGTGTTTCACTTGACAGTACAATTTAAGCATTAAGAATATACATGAAAAACTATACGCCTCTGATTGGCCGAAAACGAGTGCATTTATTATGTTACGTGTTACGTATTATTGTGAGTTACGTGATAGTGTTGTGAGTAAGCTAAGTTTTTATTGGTTGTAGGAATAATTTTGATCGTAAGTAAAGCTTAAGTAACGCCAGTTGTTCGGTACGACAATTCTGCCGGCCAACGATTGACGTATGGAAATAAAACACGAGTCGTTGTCGTAAATCCAATATAAGAAATATCCATTTGCACTTACAAGGCCTCCCTGTGGTCCTGTCGGCCCAGTATCCCCTGGGGCACCCTGTAAAGTCATAAAATTATCAGGAGATAAAACGATCCAGGCAAAAATAAAACTTCCCTTTACCGTTGACAAAGCAATTTAACTGTACTGCTAAATTCAACCACTAAACGGTAAAAGTGACGACATATAGAAATCTTCATTGTTCTATAAACTTATGCCCCATTCACATCACAAAACATGTTTAGTTAAGCCGTATTTAACTGAATAAAAATTAAATACAGAGAACTGAAAAACTGAATTTTCGATAGCATTCAATAAGTCACTAACTTGTGTTTTCGATATGCTAAAATTGGAGTGAACTTATATATTTATCTGAGCAGCTTCGTTGAGGAAAACAGTTTTAAAGCGTGTTCAACAAAATATCTTCAAAACATGTTTAAGTTTTGGCTTGAATGGCTACGAGTTTGTCGGGCGGATTTGGCCCGTTGAAGATTGATACTTGATTTTTGTTAAATCACACAATTTTGGAAAATGTTCGAGATCTGAATTTGGTTTAAACTTTACTGTCCTATAATCAAAAAACACAATCTCTAGTTTATCGCTTTACCTGCTCTCCAGGGGGGCCTTGCTCTCCTTGTTCTCCCGGTGGTCCGAAGTCACCCTAAGTCGTCAACCGAGAGGGGAGGTATGTTACAGAGACCATATAATTTTGTTTATCTCTGCCGCTAACAAGTACGAACACATATTAAAAGTTTTACCGAGTTTTGATATTCCACAGAGTAAATTTGTTTTTAACTTGCTTTGCAGCTCCTTGATATCAAAACCAATTTCGGAACATTGACGAAGAGAGGAATGAGGCCAGGTTGCTAAACACGATTCAAAATGGTGGGCTCCATGAATGAATTTCATGGTACACTTGAATAAATCCTTCAAAAGGTTGTGGAAGCTTTAAAACCTCAAAAAGTGAAAAGTGTCATAACTTCATGTTTGTATTTTGATGGTAGGGGTTAAATTCATTTTCGTTTCTGAAGCATACTTCTCCTTGAATAATTACGCTGAAAGCAAAAGACTTTAAAGTTATAGCAGTCTATTTCATCTCTTACCCCTGCACCCTCGGCTCCTTTTTCACCCCCTGGTCCTTGTTCTCCCAGTTCTCCGTTTTTTCCTTGGGGTCCCTGAGGACCCGTATCCCCAGTAGCACCAGTGTAGCCAACGTCACCGGAAGAGCCCGGATTGCCATTAGAGCCTTTTTGTCCCGCAATACCGGGTGCCCCCGGGGAACCTGTTTGACCGGTAACACCCTGTCAATCAAAATAAAGGCCTATTGGTATCGTTGGTAATGGTTGAAAAGATGGTGGAGCGTTTTAAAACGTTAAGAAAAAGGGGTTCATCGCATACGAGGCGAAGAGCAATGCTCCTTCCAAATCTCTTAAAATGTCCTCTACATAGTTCGTAGGCTGAAGAAATTATCTAAACAATTTTACGACAAAAATTTCTCCGAGCTCGATCCTGATGAACGGTTTATGGAGAAAATCATACGACTGAATTTTTTACACGGCGAAATTTGTGCTGCTCTTACGGTTATTTCCGCAAGTATACATAAAGTGCTTTGCCCCGTCACCCAACCCCACCCACGGTGTCGTTGGGGGGTAAGGGGTGAGGTTAGAGCTCTGTCACCTGTGGAAATGGTCCAAAACAACAACAATAGTGAGAACAGAGATACACAGTTACAACGATCTTTAACCGTATTAACACTCACCTGTGCACCCACATCTCCCGGCGTACCTTGCTCACCTGGCATACCCTAAATGACGTGGTAAACAAAATTAATGAAACGATGAATGCTTTAAGTGTAAATACGAACTGAAACGAGTTATGCGAAGAAGAATGGTGCTTCTAAATTCCATAAAACGTATTTAAGGGAAGATACATAATGGTATTTATGAATTCATCCATTTTTAAGGGAACGTACAAGGTTGTATACATGGTTAAAATTTTGGTCAATTTACGGCTAACGGTTAATATCTTTCCATTGTAGTCACTAGAATTTCTTTTTTACAGCTAACCCTTTTTTTACGGCTAAAGGTTAAAATTTGTCAATTTTTACGCCTAACCGCTAAAATTTTTTCGGCCGTTTACGGCTATAGGTTAACCCCATTGACACTCTCACGTAAGCGCTCCAAAGTGAATTAAATTTTCAAGCAAGAATTCCTTTGGTCTCACTTGTTGTCCTCGATTTCCGACTGTTCCAGAAAATCCGCTCTTGCCTTGCTGACCCTGAAAATTAAATAAACGAAGACTTTCTTTCAACCTTGCGGCATTGAGAAAAATTTCTAGTTTAGTGTAGAGGTTCAACACATACCCCATTCGTTAAAAAAAAAAAAGAAAAAAAAGAAAAAAAAGAAAAAAAGCGTAAGTACACATTTGGTAAGCCTGTGCACACGCCCTCATTATTAGTGCTGCAGGAAACCGGTTTTTCCGCGGCTGTCAGCGGGAAGATTTGAGACGTCTGGCACTTATTTTCAGTGCTAGACCCTTTGCAGATATCTCGCCGGTTCGCGTTACCTAACCCTTTAACCACTAGGAGTGACTAGCGTCTAAGTTCTCCATACATAATCACCACTGAATCACACATTAATGTCATGAGAATAAAGGAATTGATCACCACCTAACGAAACTCTTGATTGTTAAACAAATTCTCCTTGTCAACACCTCAGTAAATGTACAGAAAACAGTATGGAGAATATGAATATTGATTTCAGGGTGTTAAGGGTTAGGGCGTTATTCTTTCCCGCAGGTGAAGAAATCCTCGTGTCAAATCGCTAATAATGAGGCTTTCTCAGGCTGAAAACAGGTATATTACTTTCACCAAACTCATCAGTTATCGAGATGTTTTCGAAAAACCAGTTCCACTAAACATTTAAGTACTACACAAAAACATTGAAGTCTTGGCCTCATCCGATAGAAACAAGGGAATTCTAACCGGGAAATTAGCAAGCGAACAGGAAACAAGGTAGGCTCGATTTTCAACCGCTGTTTAGGAATTGAGCTGGTGCTCTTCCTCTTGTCGGGAGGATGGAGGCCAGACCCAAGAAATCGACGGAAAATCAAGCTAAGAAACTAAGCAAGTAGAGTAACAAGCAAATGATATCGTACCATTTCGCCATCCTTCCCTGGTCGACCCACTGTTCCCATTTGACCCTGCAATAAATGAACCGTCGTGGTCAGTTAATTTTTTATACTTCTGCTTAAGTAAATGAGTCCCTTCCTTTATTTCTTTTTTAACTGTACACTAATATTAAGTTAAACCTTTTAAATAACGGTTAGGATAAGCTTTACCAGGGAAGAAATTCCAGCGTCAGCTGGGTCTTTTATGGAAAGGACTACAAGGGAAGGAGAGGGCGGGGGGGAGGGGGTGGGTGCTTATTCGAGGTTGAGCGCTTTATCGAATAAATACCGTGCCCTTTGTTGACAAAATGGCATGTGACATGAAAGGAGATTTTTTGGTTTTGATAAGAGCATGGGACAAATAATATGTTCCCAAGAGAAATGGAGACACAGACCTCGGAGGGCCAGGGCCGAGCATAAAAAATTACCATCTTTTTTATTCACTATGAATCATGACACATGAACGTTACAACTAAATGTCAAGTGCATTGTGTGACGTTGCAATATCATGGCGTGATCGTTCGATCAGTCTCCTTTGCAGCCTTTGTTTGGTGGCGTCACACAACGCGTGGCTCCCCCTTACGTGAAGAAGCCATTTGACAGCAGCGAAGGAGGGTATTAGGCAACGAGAGTAAATTACATGTAACTATCATCGGACAACTAAGGCTTTACTGACCACATCACCATCTTCTCCTCTCTCTCCCTCAGCTCCAGTCCTTCCGCTTCGACCTTTTGGACCTCTTGATCCTTGGGCACCTGTTCCACCGACATCACCTATACCCCCCTGGGAAATTGAATTGAATTAGCAAGTAAGTAACAGTGACTACCTTTGATCTGAGCGAGAAATTCGATATAATTAACTTTTGCAATTTCTTTTATTTTTTTTTGTAATTATTTGAAATAGAACCTACGTTCACTTATTTCCAAAACTGTAGGGAGTGTATTTTTGGGTTGATTGTGACTCACCGTACTTCCTGGGTAGCCTGGGGGCCCAGTTTGTCCTTTAGGTCCAGGGTCTCCCTGTTAAGTAGGATTAAAAAGGAAAATATTTTTGAAACTTGGTAATAATACAACTTAGTGACCGGGCCAAAATTTGAACCAGGACCTCTCGGAGGCTGTGACAAATGGTAGAAAAAGATGTTCACATTTAGGTACCAACCAAATGAATAAAGGAATATCTAAGCAATCGAAGGAAGTTGTGTTGATGATTAGTAACACTCACGTCAATCCCAGGGAATCCAGCATCTCCTCTGGCTCCAAGCGGTCCAACAGCTCCCTGATAACAAACAGCATAGGGTATTTGAAAAGGCGTTACTTGAATGAAACATTTGCCTTTTGAAATTGAGGTGATGGAAAATTTAACTCACCGGAATTCCTGGTTCTCCATCCGGTCCAGTTATTCCAGCAACCCCAATAGCACCCTGGAAAAGCCGATTATCAGATATTTGAAAGAAACTACAGCGCGTATATCGTCAAAATTGAGATAACTTGTTCGATTATTTGGAGTTCGTAACAACGCTCTCGTGTTTTTTCCTGTCTAAATCCTTTGACACCTAGTAGCGACTAGCATCTAATTTCTCCTCACAACGTCACTCCTAAATTAAACATTAAGGTTACGAGAATAAAAGAAATGATCACCAACTAAAAATGCTCATGATTGTTAAACAAATTCTCCTCGTCAGCTTTTTACAAAATCTATGGAGAACAGTATGGAGAATATGCTTTCTGATGCTAGGGCGTTGAAGGTGAAGCTAGGCATACTAAGAAAACTTAGGCAGTGGTGCACGTGGCATCTGAGAAAACAAAAAACAAGAAAAAAACCAGGACAAACAAACAAAACAAAACAAAACAAAAAAAATGAATAAAACAACACCAGTGTCTGCTCAAAGTTACTTTGGTGATATTATATAAGAAAGGCCAGTAGAGCTTTAAAACTCCATGAATTAAGCTTTAGGGATAATCGCTGTTTGATGATATTTGATTTCATAAATGTAATTCGGTTAAAGTATTTCCAGTACTATTAATATCGCAACTGTAAGTTCAAAATCATTCTTACAATTGATCCTCTTTGACCCTGACGTCCTTGCAATCCAATCTATTAACCATAGAATAAAAAGCTATTTTATGTTGAGTTATAGATATGCGTCTATAGATTGTTCCACAGTGAATACAGATTCAAGATGGGGACATTTCCCTAGTGTTACTGTTTTTCAGTAGGTCTAAACTCTTCAAAATGATAATTCTGTTGGCATGCTAGTTCTTGTGGAAATGAAGGTGGTCATGATTTGGCTAATAACAGCTCACATATTTACGGCGAAGACATTCGCAATGAAAAACAACACAATCGGAATGAAAAGTCTATGATGAACATGACAGTGATCATAATAGGACTGTTGTCAACCCGAATACTTAGTGGTAGTTTGCTGGGAAGTTTATGTCAACTGATCATTTCTGATCTAGTTTCCGGTCTGGACAGCTTAGGTAGAGATTCAACAACTTACTTGTTACTAAGTTATGGTAAGTAAGAGCCTTTAAAAAGAACGATTGAAAAAGCTCAGCAAGTTCAACTTACAGGAGAAGGAATGATAGATCCTGCAGAGATTATGGTGGGCACCATGTATGGCCCTTTGAGGCCATTAAGAGTCTGCAAAGATCAAATAATATGTTTTATTATTACAAAGAACATGGGTTTTTCGTTTGTCTTGAACTTTATCAACATCAAATAAATTGTTTTTTTTGTATTAGTCCTTGAGTATATGATCGTTGTCGGCAACACTCAAAAATTATTGGCTTGTTAGCTCAGTTGGTAGAGCGCTGCACCGGTATCGCAGAGGTCATGGTCCGGCTCCCAGCTGGTCCAGCTCCCAGTTGGCTTATTAGCTCAGTTGCTAGAGCGCTGCACCGGTATCGCAAAGGTCATGGGTTCAAATCCCGTACAGGCCTGAATTTTTTTCAGGCCTTATTTTCACTACTGCCTAAGTAGTGCACATTACTGCGAGGTTCACTTTCATTCACGTCTTTATCCGCAGTTCAAATATATGACTTTCATATATTCTTAACCAACAATTAACTAAGAGAAAAATCTGACGATGAGCTAAAGAGAATCAAGCAAAAGGCGGGAAAACTCCGCTTGAGAAGTCGCGATTGTGTAATTGTTTGAGGAAGTGACAGGAATTTTCCTGACCCACCCGGCACTAATCAAGCGAAAGCAGAGACAACGCAGTCAAATTCCTTATACCCTTTTTCTAATCACTTATCAGGCCTGAGTTAAGCTTTGCTAGTTTGCAAAGCCGGGATCGTGCTGAACAAGTAACACTTACAGCTGTTATTGAACCTGGGGCAGCTGGTAGCCCTGGTGGTCCAGGAGGTCCTGAAGGCCCAGTTGGTCCTCTTATACCAACAGGTCCCTAAGAACAGAAAAACAATCCGCGTTAGTGGTTTTTTGTAGGAACTCTCTAAATCTTCTGAAGACCCAGGTGGTCATTAACCAAGCGAGATTTTGACTGTAACATGCAGTTCTTTTCTGTGAAATTTCAGATAATTCTCTATCACTGAGACTACCTTCGCTTGAGTATCATCTGAAACAACTCAAAAAACTATACATGATGGAAGTGGACTAGGAAATCCGATTTGTTTGAACAGACCTCGACTATGATTACGCCCTCCATTTCAGAAAAAATAATGTGTGCGGATTACAGTGATACTGAGCCAATGTACAGCTATGGGTGAAATACCCATGTCATGGAGTTGTACCTGCACAATTCAGCGCCTTCTGCGTACTACTCGACAGTTTGAATTTGAATAATGGGGGCTAGTCTCTAACGAAACTTTGGTATGCGTCGGTGCGAAAATACAACAAGATAATTTGTTTTTATCAACCGAGTTGATGTTGTAAATATTCCGAGATTGTTTCGAATGAAGAGCGGATGGTCCCTCTATTGTTTTGAATATATTCCGAAGAAGTCCTGTTGACATGAAATATTTGTAGTGCTCCCTCTTTCACAACAGAAGATTGCACGATCTTCACGGTGTTTATCACGGATTCGATTTAGTTTTACGCTTAACTTTTTTTTCATGTACGTATAACTAATGGTTGTGTTGACCGAGTCAAGGAAGTTCGTCAGCAGGCGTGGTCTACCATGATAACGCATTAAGTTCATGAGAATAAAGGAAATGATCACCAACTAAAGAAGCTCTTGACTGTTAATTAAATTCTACCAATCAACACCATAGGAAATGTATGAAAAACAGTGTGGAGAGCAATCACACTTATGCCGGGATGTAAACGGTTAAGCCCTAGAGTTGGCATTTATCCAACTAAACAAGCCTAATTCCAGTATAGCCATGATAACGCGGTATCAGGTAGAATTCTACACCCAAGCAATAATAACAATCCCGAAGGCAACTCACCGGGGGTCCACTTGGTCCTGTCTCGCCACGGAATCCACGAGATCCCGGAAAACCCTTATTTAGAAAATAATAACCATAACATTACTTCATACAGTGGATAAAGAAATGGATAAGTGCATAGAACAAATGGAAGAGTGGGAGACAGACAAACAGACAAACAGGCAAACATACAAACAGACAAACAGACGAACAAACGGACAGACGAACAGACGAAAGGCTGACAGACAAACAAACAAACAGACAGACAAACAGACAAACAGGCAGACGGGCAAACAGACAAACAGACGAGCAGACAAACAGACAAACAGAAAAACAGAAAAACAGACAAACAGGCAAACAGAAAAGCAAACAAACAGACAATTAGACGAGCAGAAAAAGAGACAAACAGCAGACAGACAAAGTGACGAATAGACGAGCAGACAAAGAGACATATAAGTAGGCAGACAAACAGGCAGACAGACAGACAGAGAAGGAAAGAAGAAAGCGAGATAGAAAGAACGAAAAAGAAATCATAAGTATGGGAATAGATGGATAATGGTATGATATAAACTTGTTTAATGTATTAGTAAGAAAATTTTGCATAATTGATAATGAAGAATTTTCCGCTGACCCTTTCTCCTGTTCCTCCGGGTGCACCTTTTGGTCCATACACCTGTAGGTTAAAAAATCTCTTAGTACCAATTAATCAGCTTATTATCTTGACAATTTATTTGAATCAAGTCGAGATCAACCCTTGAAAATAACACCAAAATGTAAGAGATGATTAATGGTATTAAATATCAAATCCAAGAGGCTGGCGTCACGCAGCCTTGAAGTCCTTCAATCTAAGACGCAAATCTAGTCACCGACCAAAACTAAACACGGATCGAGTAAAGAACTCCTATGTTAATCGCCTAAGTTTTAAATGTGACCCAGCTTTATAAATGGTATTCTGTAAACATTTAAAAATAATAAGCTCTTTAATCAGTACGTACTATGTAACTTACTTCTAAATGGGAAGTTTTGCAACATAAGATATGTAGTTTTTATCTTATGAACTTATAAAGACTATTATTATTATTATCCTTGAGTAAATCGAATCGACGAGTGTTCTGCTATGAAAAAAAAACAGTCTGCCGTCTCAAACTCTCCCGCATGAAAAAAAAAGTGCGTCCTGTAGCGCTGATGATAAGGGCCTTCTCGCGAGTTAACCTTGAACTCATAGAATCGTCAACCTGTGCCTAGCCTCTGTGCTTTAGCACAATTCAAGACTTACCGTAACTTCAACTTGGCACAACTGGTTGATAATGGGAGGAACGGCTTTTGTAGGATCCCTTAAGTCCAACCGTACAACAAAGGGATATCCAGAGGACATTTCATACAGTTCGATCGGATCAGGAGTACCAGCACCAACAGAGAAAACCGTTACATTCTTGTCTTTGAGAACCTTTGTGTTATCTTTTGGATTTATGGGTTGCCTTTCATTTATCTGTGTCTGCTTACCATCCGTGAAAATGATCAGCACCTGAAGAAAACAAAGTGAGCAGATGAAACAACATCTTTTATTTTACAAGCTAAATCATACATACAGGTTGATTGGTTCTTACTTATGATCTATTGAAGGTATTGATGCATACATGACGTCACCATTAACGACAATTTGCTTTGTTATCATATCAAACAAATAGATTCCATGTTGGCTTGTGCCATTACAGTAATAGTTCACATAAGACGAAAAAATATGGTAAGACCATTAGTAACACACTCGGCTGCGCTTTCGTGTACCACTTTTTTGTTCTTACAACATTTTGATGTCATCTGTGATCTATTATTTGACAGACGTACGGAAACACGGAATCTATTTTTTTCACTAGTTTGCAAAATGCGTTTGGACATTTCTTTTTTTATTTAGTTGAAAAGGCTCTTTGAACAATTAAGTACTCATTGATAGATACGTCATTAAATTACACCATGAAATTTAATATACTAAACAACTCGTAAACAATTTTAATGAAATCCAAAGGAAGAACAGAAAAGCAGTAACTGACAACTATTTACCAAAGAACAAAGCGGCGATATCCTCATCGATTCCCGCTACAAATACAATACTTTCGGGCTCAAGTCTCGGGTTGCTCGAAGATGACCGTGCGTTTCTCGGAGATGACTAGCCAAGAATTTTCGGAGTTTGAGTCACCAATCAGAGTGCGCCCTCAACGCTTTTCACTGTTTCGTATGTACTAATTGTATGCACCATAAAATACCTGAGGAAAAGCTAAACGAAAACAAAAGGGATAAATCTAGATGTTTAAACCATTGGTTTAGAGTTGGATTCACCCATATAATATGTAAAGTGTCTTTTACATTGGAAAATTTAAGTGGCAGAATCCAAAATGATTAAAGATTTTGCAGGGCATTAATCAAGACAAACCTTCAGATAACTGCAAAAACCTTCTAACTTGAACTAACAGAGGCTAAAGTCCCGATGAACAGAGCGTGGAATATTACAATTACATGAAGACCACAATCACGTATAAATCGGAGTGAACATATGCTCAAATTTTTATCCGGGACATTATCTGTTCCTCGGAGTTCCTAGATTGCCGTTTGAGAATCGATTCCCCGCGGAAGAATCAGATTTTTTCAATGGTCTACGTTCATGACTAGGTTAATAACATTTTTCATTGGGGCCCCTAAGTTTGTTTTGTTTGTATGTTGGTTTTCCAACTCTTCACACTGAGTCATTGAATATGTTGTTACAAAAGCAACAACAAAAACAAAACAAAACATTTGAGCGATAAAAACAAACTTTAAACTGAACGAGATTTTTAAGGGAGTTCAGCTCGCCATAACTCCAACCCGTGGCTAATCAATGCACGTGTTCTGGCTGCCATGGCGGCACGGTGGCTAAGGGAATCTTAAGTCGAGGTTTGGATAATTCAGCAAATGGGCCGTTTGACAATGGTACACGTGGGATTATAGTCCTGGCCCCGGTTGTTCTAAGGGTGGATAACGCTATCCAAAGGATAAATCTCTATCCAGTGCATAGCACAGTTATCCACCATTTGAACAACTGGGCCCTGAATTATGACCAAGCACCTTTATGGGCCCGTCACAGATGAAGTAAATCAAAAGTAAACTTGGAATGGACCGGCTTTCCTTACCTTTTTATATTCGGGTCCTCTCATTCCCTCTGATGTTTGAAAAAGTTCCTTATTACACGTATTAATGCCTCTATTAAGCATTGTACTTCCATCTCCAATTTTGTATGACTCTATTGCAGCTTCCACAGCAGCAGGAGTTTGAGTTTGAGTAAATTTATACAGCAACTTTGGTGAGCTGTCAAACTGGACTATCCCAACGTGAGTTCCATTTATACCAGGGTTAATATCGAAATTACCAACAAGTTCCTTCACGAACGTCTCTATGCTTCCTTCGTTGTCGTACCCAGGCAGATCAAGACTTCCTGAACTATCCAACAATATTCCAAGATCGATGGGGGGGCAACCTAAGAGTTCTGCCAAATAGTAACGGATGGAAATTAAAATTACTGTCCAGTACTAAATCGAAGTGACAAAATGGTGAACTTGTGGACATATTGTCCTGAACGTAATTTAAGAAGTCCTTAGTTGGAAAAGTAAACTTGGTATTCAATACCTACTCTCCTAAAATGAGTAAGTTCCTAAGAGGTTGGGTAATTAGTTTAAATTTTGGTTAACAATTGGTCCACCATATCTGATAAGATGCATGCCCTCTCCAGACTTCTCAGGCGGTGCCACAAAATTTGCATATCGAATCCCTAAATCACTAATTCCTATGCTTCTCATATCCGCTAGTAAAACGAAAGAAAACGTTATTCGTCCCGTTAGGAGCCTTGTCTAGTTATCATAAATCAATTTTACACCATCATAATATCACACGAAAGCATACGTCAGCGTTTGGTCATTAATATTTGAAATATTTATAACAGAAGTTCTTAAAAGCCTTTGAGTTTCTCCTTATCTCGTGTGCTTTTTAAACGGCATTATTCAAATACTTTTACACATACTCCGACTGAAATAGAAGCATCTTTAACATGGTAACACAAAATGGCCTGACTGAAAAATCACAAATTTTAAAATTTACGATTACAATTTTTATTAATTCTCCTGGAATTCTGTCAAAGAAGTAGAAACCAAGAAATCAATTGATATGCAGGCATTGAAATGCATGGCTTGTGCGTAAGAAGAGGGGGTAACGGTCTCATTTGTCTACAGCTCCTTCACTACGTAACGTTATCCAATATATCGTTTTGCATAAGTATTATAACCACCTTAAACACTATATAGACTAAATGGATCCTCGGCAAAAATATCACATCCTCTACCTCTTTTGGCAAGTATGAATCGTAATGAACGAAGATGAAACAAGTGTGGCTAGGGATGGATAAAATTAAAGCGGACTACAGATGACGAGTCTCAGACATTTCGAAAAATTTTGCAACCGTGACTTAGCTCTTGAAATTCTGACACAGAAATATTTTTGGTTAACTATTCTCTCTCTTACCATATTTAATGAGACAGAAAATGACGCTTTTTCAACGAGCAGCTGCACGCCAAAGCGACACAAATGTGGGACTCGTTTAAAATACATCAAGAAGAAAAGAAGCACTCGTTAAAGCTGCGTTAAAATTAAACAGGTGAACGTCACGCTAGACGATAACAATGCTTAACTGTCTGAATAAACAGTGGGATCATTATCTGATACAAAAGGGACGTTTGTGGTTAGCTTAATCGACTGTCACATCATTGCTATGATAAATATGTCTTTCCAAAGTGAGCCTTTTTGAAAAATTGTTTGGAGAGTCCCAAGCATCGTGTAATCAGTTTTACTTTTGAGAAAGATCGGCGGAGTTTAGTTTTACAATCCTCCGATATTGGGTGTTATGGGTGTTGATAATCCTTGATTTCTCTGACAATAATCAAGAGAGGATCCTCTCTAGCAACAACTCAGTGTTAATTCATAAAAAGCATTTGTCGCTTCTTAGCTGTACCCTTTGCTACATACCCTGCGGAGTTCCGTTCAAAATTCAAGTATACTTTTAAGGTAAAGATGATTTTTAAAAAGAATTTTCAAGCCTGAAATTGTTACTTAAACGAATGAAGTGTAATTCCATAAAGAAACGAACTGAAGATTCTGCGAGACAAAGGTTGGAGGATACTTAATGATAGGAATAACGTAATGACATGGCGTAATAGTAACGCTTGCATGAATGTGTAAAAACAAAGCGCCTCTGTCCTCACGCAGTGGCTTTCTTGAAGTATCATAATATAACCGGGGGAGCAGGAAATTTATGAAGTTTAAGGCTTGAAGGCGAGAGTTGTTTGGTTGGAAAATGCGTTTTTAAAATGCCTAAGCGTGATCAACTTGGAAGATTAATTTCACATCATAAAAATTTAAGGCATTCCTGAGACTGTGTATTGTAGACTTGATGATGAAGTAACGTAAAAACTAGTCCAGTCGTTTCCGAATGAAAAGAAACTTAGGCATCAACACGGTAACGCATGCTGCTTCACAATAACAGCAGGGTAATGTAGGCGAAGGCCATAAGAGTCGTAAAAACACGGCGGGGAAGTCATTTATGTAATATTACAAATAAAAATTACTTACGTGCTTCAGACTCCAAAGACCACGCGATCAGCAAGCTGAACAGAGCTAGCAAGCTACGGCTGCCCATGCCGACCAACAAAGAAATCTCAGTCTAGCAGACAACAGCAAGCTATTCCTTTGACATTAACCCCCAATCTCTCAGCTCCCTCGATCGATTATTGAATAAAGACTTGGCTGGTAGTCAGTGATAATAGTCTTTTATTCCTGAGCCATTCTTTGTGACATGGATGGGAAAGATTTGCAATTCGAAACCTAGACGTAATATAATATCACAGGCAAGATTGCACCCTTTTTTTTTCGTCTCACGTGCACGCTTGTATATCCTTTTGCTTCGTTTATGTCATCGACATTTGGGATTTCCTTGAGAAAGAAAGCTCTGCTCAAGGAGAAAAATTTCGTGAACACATTTCTCGCCAGGATCTCTAAAATGGAGGACTTGAAATAGTGGCCAAGTATCAAAGGTCTTTGATAAAGCTATTTTCGGAGGGAAACTGCGCCTAGTCGTGGCTGGTTGAATATATTTTCAGTCTTTCTGAGTGTTTAAAAGTAGGTCTTTTTTCCCATCTTTTGTTTCACAAAAGGCCCGTTTACATATAACAGAGGAATGATGATTGAAAAAAATGTTGTAACGCAGATTCAATAATGTAAACAGTGGAGATATTTTGAAACATCATTGGCTGAGAGCTTCTTCGGATTGATAACCACATTGTAATGTTTAAGTATCCAATTCTGTTGATTTTGTCAGGTCGATTAACAATGATGACAGTTAATCTTTCAATTTAGTAATAGACTAGCACGTAAACGAAGACATTTATCGTGATGGAAACACAGGTCCTTTCTCTTCAAATCGATGAAATACTACGGACCAGCAAAAATATCCCCATCAGTAAGACTCGATGTAGAAAATAAAGGTTCATACAGGAGGTCGCTGTCCAAGAATGTATTCTAGTTGCGGCCGACTGAAGTAGTTCGCACCTAATATTCATAATACAATTCAAAAGGCTTTGATTGGGTGTAACGTTCATCAACAGCGTAATCTAGTAATATCAACTAAGTTGATATCGTAAGAGTTAAGAGTTTGAAAGCTAGCTTAACTTTCAACTCTTTACGACGGCCAATTTATGTGTCAACTCAGTTGATAACACCGAATTACCCCGTTATACTCTCCCAGTGACGCAGCACTTCAGGTTCTTTAGAAACTTACCCCCTGGTAACATTCAGAGTATTGCGTTACAATTTTATACCATTCTCTCTTTTGCCTTTGGAAATTTTGCCCACTATTTTGTCATCCTCCTCAACGCTCCACTGAGCGATCGAGATAAAGAAAAAAAAACGTGTCTGTAATGGGTTTCTTTTCCCGGGAAATCTTGATCCATCGACATTGACGTCATGGGGTCCCGTCGTCCCATTGGTTTGCGGTTTCAGGAGGCGAGATAATCTCCTGGCGTGGCGCGAGTTGTTTGCGAACCTTTATGAGCTAAAATCTCGCACTTTGGGGCGAATACACCGCTTTCCGTCCCATGGCATCCATTTACGCAAAACGCCTCACATATTTTTAGGTACTCCGACTTTAGATGCCGATATCTAGAAAAGCCTGACACCTTTCTGTTGATTGATGCCCAGTGAATAAGAATGTTCAGCCATTTTGCTCATGCTGCGTTATTCAATACCCGATAAATCGAATAGAAGAACCGTCGTTCGTTTCACACCTTAGCGGCTCCTGACACTTCCTAAAAGGAAAACTCGCTTAAATTATATTTTTATCGTAAACTGCAGTATAGTTTGTTAGGATTTTAGTGAAACTAGCGCGTTGCCCACGTTCAATGTGCGGATCTAGTTGTACCGATAAACGTTCATCGACTTTTCCGATTTTAGCTTACGAGCAGGCCTCTTTATTAATGCCTCAGCATGACCATTTCCTTGTCCGCGGGATAGTATGAGGCCTTGAGCAACGCCTCCAGCACTTATAACGCGTCTCCAACCTTCCTGCAGGCGGAAAACGTGCGTCCCGCAGCGCTCATTTAAGAGCCCGTTAGCCGACTATTCCGGTTTCTCCTGTTCTGTGGTTTTCTTGCAAAAACCGACCGTCAAATTTCCTCTTCTGACCTGGAAACAGTGGACGAAGAGCCAGTTCGTGGACGTAACAATTTTAAAATCGAATTTATTTATTTATTTATGACTGATTACTGAACAAGGGCGAACTGTTTCAAAGCCTGTTTAGCTTTTGATGAAGCAAATTAATGTGAAGTTTCATTTTCTATAGTGATCATCCTTCATTTGGCCACTTAATCTTCCAAATCTTATTCATCGTGATTCCATACGAAACTTACTTATTATAAGGATGAAACAACTTTTATTTAAACAACTGCGCTTGGAAGGTCCCAAAAACTACGTTTTTTAACATGCAGCAGCCGCTAAGGACTGCTTCTCTCGCTTGAACTCAATAACTTACAGTCTCAAGTTTTAATCACTGCACCTCTTTAACAACAATGTACAGTTTGACATGCATTTTTGTCCATCAAGAGAAGCAAACGCGTCCGAATTCTAGACCAAATTCCTCTCCACTATCTCCAATATCATATACAGCTACATCAAGAACGGGGAGACGGTGAGGTTTGGGTGTGTCCACTTCCAATGTGGTACGATGCCAAGATCCGTCTTTCAACTACACAAGACAAAAATAAGCATGAGGATATGGAGGGGAGAGGAAAAAGAGGATAAGGTGAAGGAGAAGAGAAGAGAGAGGGACAATCAAAAGGCGAAGGGGAAATGGGAAATGGAAATGGAAATGGAAAAGGAAAAGTGAAAGAAGGCAAAGTAAAAAAAGGAAAAGAAGGAGAAGGAGAGGGAGAAGAAGAGGCAGAAGGAGTAGGGGACGGAGAAGAAAGGGGAGAGGGAGAAGGTGCGGAAGAAAAATAGGGAGAGGGAGAGGCAGAGGCAGAGGCAAAATATCCTTACACTCTGCTCTAACGTGCTTTAACAATTTAGACTTTGATGCCTAACTTTGACGTTTTAGAACGTGACTGAACCTCGATCTCGTCTTCAAATGATAAAGTTCGGGTTTTCATCCCAACCCACGGCCAATAGCGGACATCGTATTTGTCTCTTGATAGTCTCATTCTTTTTTTTTTTCGGTTTCACTTACCGCACAGTCATCCCCCACTAGTGTCGGTTTAAATTTGTTTGAGGATCTCGCGTGCAGTTCAAGCCCATTAACAGTTAACATCTTGATGGACTTTATCCCTTCATTCGAACTCTTCTCAGGCCATGCTACTGAGTTCTTGCAGTGATACGTAATCCGCTGGCGGGCACGATCACTTAACAGCTGGAGGAACTCCAACTGACTTTGCTCCGATACGTATTCAAGCTGTGCATAATACAAAACAAAAATAGACGGTGGATAACTAAACTTCACAAGTTTAAATCAATCAAAGAAGTTGAAGCCATGGGTTTAGGCCAAGTCGAGACCTCTGGTCGTTTTGCATCGTTTACCTTCGATATAATCTCTCTAATTTTAGTCTGCCTGTGACGATCATACCTCACAAGTCATCTGTGATCAGGATTGTGAATGGCGCATATAAAAAAATGTGTGAAATGTAGAAAAACAAGTAATTCGGACAACAGAGGTGAAATAAACGTTGTTTTTTCCAATTCTGATCCATTACGACTTCAAAACGTGTACAACTTCTAATTGTTTTTGGAAGCTCTTAATGTATGCACAGAAAGTAGTTTAATCAAATTTCGACTTCCAAAATAGACTCCTGTTTGGCTTATCTCTGAAGATTATTTGTCCTGATAAGCCAATTAAGAGTTGTAACCGCAATCCAAAAAAGAAATCATAGCTTTAAACCCCATGGTTAACACGACATCCTTTGAGGATAAGTCAACAAACAGAACGTCTAGTGGCAAATAAAATATTTTTTTTGGAAAGAATTCCATTAAAAAAATATATCTTAATAGACGTTTTGATGTGTAACACGGTAATTTAGCGTTATCAACTGAGTTGAAAACGTAAATTGGCCTCCGTAAAGATTTTAAAGGCTGACGTTCCGAGCGTTAGCCCTTCGTCAGAGCGATTGACGAAGGGCTAACGTTTGAAACGTCAGCCTTAAACTCTTTATGGTGGCTAATTTGCGTTTTCAACTCAGTTGATAGCACAAAATTACTCTGTTATACTCTCCCACCGACGCAGCACCACAGTTTCTTACTCCTTTTGTTCATCCGTTTTGGTGTGAAGTATCGCTGAGTATTTTTACGAGTTGTGCCGTATTTTGACGAGCCCGTAGAGAAGCATGCGAATTGCTGTAGGTTGTGTTTCCAAAGAAAACGAACAAAGTTTTGCAATTTGAGTTTCTCGTTTTTGATACAAATGATTCATTGTTAGGGATTTGGGGTCAGAATATTAATATCGTTAAGTTTTTTAACTATACGTGAAAAAAGCTGCAAAAACACAAATGTTCTGAGACTTGCACTTCTGCTACAAAACGAATAATTACCCTGAAAGGAATATGTTCAAACGTAGCACTCTCAAGTTTCCGAAGACTGAGTACTTACCTTGTCAAGTCCGAGCAGTTCTTTGCCTAGCCATTTGTATCCATCGCTACCGCTGAACCATTTCTTCTTGTCAGTTACAAACGGCTGTAGAGCAAGAAACCATACAAATTGATTGACCCTCCCAGTTTTGAAACAAAAGAGTCCTATATTGAGAGCATAGCTACAGTCACACCAGTCCAACACAGCGTTTTAGAGACAAAGTCGACACCAACGAAAACACAGATAATGGAACAAGATCACCAACCTGGTTTTCTTGTCCCGGATACAGGCAGGACCCGTTGGTTTGGAATTCACAATAAACTTCGATGGCATCGTTTGCTATCCCACCATTAGGATCAATCCAATAGAGTCCTAAGGTAATTAATTAATCGATCAATCAAATAATCAATCAATCAAATAATCAATCAATCTATCTATTTATCAATCTATCGATCAAACAATACTAAATCAAGATAATTTAGTTTATCGACCGAGTTGACAATGTAAACTGGCCACAGTAGAGAGGATAGTCTGCATGAGTAAATAAATGAACGAGAGATTGATTAGTTGAAACACTAGACTTTCGAGAAATAGTCATCTCATACTTTGGATGACAGGTCGGTTGCCAACACATTTTGGACCAATTTCGTGATTGTGAGGCACATGATGTGAGGCCTGAAAGGAAATTTCGCGAACTTTGTTATAGCTCTCGCAGGTTGAAAAACCAAACATTTCTATTAATAAAAGTCAAAAAGAAAGATGATGTGTATTAAAAAAAAAAAAATTATAAACAAAGATCACTTTATGCACAAACCGCTTTTGAGTTCAGGATAGCTCATGTGCAAGTCTCGACAGGTCCTTGCGGGGAATGCTTGGGAGCCGTTCGGATTCTTATACATATCTATACGATAACTGATCACGTCGTAAAGGTCAATCTATAAGTTAAAGAAAAAAATACAAGTACAGGTCTTAGGAAAGCGACTATGGAAAGTAAGTGTTGTCATTTTAGAATACTGTATGTCGACGCAAAATCTAGCGTAATTACCTGTGGCGCTTTCTAGTGCATTGAGCTAGTAAGTCCTATTATTACTGTGGCACAGAGAAGAGCAGATCAGAATGGAAATCCAATTCCAAAGGAAAGTAAGCTGGAACTGTGGAAATTTCAGGTTGCGTTTTAGTTTCTGAGAGGAACGGGTTGGAGCCCGCTGCCAAAGGCCAAATTATCTTTAGAGTAAATGCCCGCCAACATACGCTAAATCAGCTTCAGGTGATACTAGGAATTTTTCAGTTGCCTACAGTAAAAAGGAAAACCTTGTATCGACAATTTCTTGATCATGAATGCAGCGGAAAAGATCAGTTGGTCAATTACATCTATAGTTCATCGATCTAAGAAGTTAAAGGTACGACTTTCAACGTAACTAAGAAGAAGGTAAGAACAACAACAAAAACAGCCACAATGACACCAGGAACAATAAAACTCCACTGCATTCCACGGCAATAATATATTGTTGCCGCATAAGGGACGTCGAATCCAATGATTAAACTGTTAGCATTAATTTACTAACTTCAATACTCAAGCAACGTTTATGAAAATCCTATGGGACTTCCACGGGGAAAGCGGTTTGTAACTTGGAAAAAAGTCATCTTACCTGAGGCTTGGTTTCGGTCTCAGTGTCCTGTTAATTGAAACACAAAAGGTCAACTGGTCAACTCAATTAGTTAAAACATTCACACACAAGTGACATCGGATACACTTATGACATTTAATTAACATTAAAAGAAAAAGAAAAGGCAAACTACTAGTTTTAAATGGTGGATTTCGATATGTGTAGTTAGTTTTAAAACCTGAGGGAAAGAAAATGAGAAAATGACTAACATTGTGCCTAGAAAGGATATTTTGATAAGCTTTCTACTCCTCCCCTTTTATAACACCTTTCTATCCATTACCCCTCTCGATTATTACTTTGATCGCCATTATGGTGGAGGTGATATTCATTGTACAGAAACTTAGGATACCATTTCCCACATTTAGTACATCTTCACTACACTACGCTAATACCTGTTCGCCGCTTCGGTACAACCTCCTAGATCCAGATTTTTCTGTTTGGAGAGAGGCAGGATCGCTGTAATCTTGTTGGTAACCTGGGAACTAGACCGACACAAAGCGTAGATGAAGTTTAACGGTTCTAAACATGACTACTAAACAGTTAATCCACGAGCGCGCGTTGGATATAAGATGATAGATAGCCAACGAGGCCCGTGGGACCGAATTGGCTTTAGTCATCTAATTGTTTAATACAAACGCCCCAAAGTATAGATAAATCTTCCCAACTTTATTTTGTAAGAGCAAACGGAACGCCAGTGTTACAATGTAAAAAATCACTACTGGTTTAACTCGCCTTCATGCGCGCAGATGGTATAATGGCTAAGCCAATGAAAACTCTTTTATTGCATTATCCAATGCTCCAGTTTTTAGTAACAAGAAATATTACATTGTACTTAAGGAATTAACAAATCGATTCCATGTTGCCGTGTGTCTGTTCTGAAACAGATCACAGGAGACGTCAAAATGTGGTCAGAGCATAAAAGTAGCACACGAGGCGTAGTGTGTCTCACTGATGTTCTTCAGCTTTCAGAAGTTTGGAAAGCGCAAGAACAACATACGAACAGAATGTGAATGACTTACTGAAAACTGTCCCGCAAACTCAGCTGGAAGAACGGCCTAATGAAGGAAAAATAATGATTAATACTAGGGTTCTCTTTCGCAGCCAAACAGGTTCACAGGGAAGAAGGAGGGAGGGGAGGGTGGCTGGAGCTGTAAGAAATCCATCACCTGCGCATTCCCGTCATTATTATAATTATTATTTTTTTCTAACAACGAGAGATTTCTATTAAAAGTCTGGAAACAATCCTTCCTACGCCTTTAGATCAGCTTTGGAACGAAATGCGAATTCTTGGGAAAAAACCCAAAGAAAAGGAAACAAACGGACAAACACGAGGGGCTTGCATGGATGATGTAAAATGCAAGAAAATATTTACGATGAAAAGCGACCCTCTAGTTTAGCTTGTATGCAATTTTTGTTCACTGGGTATTTCACTTACCGGTGAACCAGGAGGTCCTCTTCCACCTGCGGGACCCTGAGATAATTTTATTGAATACAATCAGAATTGTTTACAAACTTAATTTAATAATGTTATATCACACTAGCATTGACAACACAATTAAATGCAAGAAACTCTCATATCAAGAACCTAGAAACAAAACCGTATCAGGCCGCTCTTTGAGCCTTAACTTGATAAGAAGCACCTTTACTGTACTGATTTCTTTCCCTGTTAGTCAAAACGATTTTCTTTTTTTCTTTATGTTAAAGCACAAATTTTTCATTTTTGAAAAAAATGTGAAGAGAAAAACTTACCTCTTGACCGTCTTCGCCCTGAGAAACCACAAAAAAATAAGAAAGGAGAAAAAAAAAAGCAGGATATGAGAGAAACGTCAGTTTACAATTACTTTGTGCTAATGGAAAGCCATGTTTATTTCTAAAATATTAGTTTTTTTGAAAGATTTTCAAACTTAATAAACGATAACACTGTTACTCTACCTGACGACCACGATCTCCCTGAAAAAGTAAAAATAAAAGAAAGTAACGTTATTGATGAAAATAAACAGAAGAAGAAGCAGCTACCATAGGACGCCAAAATTAATCGTTAGAGCCATTCCCAACAAAGGTTCATAAAAATACTCAGTAATAAATAGGTTGTGATCATTTACGCATTACGGACCAAATTTTTAACTGAGTGTCGAAAGTAGTTTGTAATTGCTTAGGTTGTGCTTTTCTTCGCTCTGTGATTGGTCCAGAAAACTCACGCCATTCTGTAAACCAATCACATTCAAAACTGAAACCAACCATGACTTGTTCCCTAACCTTTGTCCGCGCTTTAGGCAGTTTGTTTGGTTGACTTTGAGTTCTCATTAACTCAGTTAAACGAATTTTCCTTCTTCTGATTGGCCGTTGCGATTACCTTGGCTTTGATATTTTCGAAACTCAAGTGAAAACTGCTCTAAGTCCGACTCATGGAAAAATCAGCGCCTGAATTAAAGCCGTTCCAGAGTTGAGATTCCCGTATCACGTTGAAGAAGTTAACGTAAGCAAAAGTAAGCAGCTAATGAAAAAATAATAATTAAAACTACCTTCAATCCTACGGATCCAGACATTCCTGTTGGTCCCTGTCACGAAATAAAGTTTAATAATGTTATAAGGACTTGATATCCTGAATATCATCAAAATAAAATACCTATGTATTTGACTTACTTCAAAACCTTCGTCCCCTCTTTCACCGACCCGACCACGTGGCCCATCAGCACCCTGGGCAGAAGACAAAAAAAATCCCTTAGTAAATTAAACTTAATTCGTGAGCTTCCATGTTTATTCGATGAACGCCGCAGCTAGGAACGTGGCGCTTATCTGTTCGCCTGCTTGCAGGCCATTCCATTGTAACAAATGATTGTATTAAGTTTAAATATGAAAAAACGTTTTTCGTAATGATTTCTATAAAACGATTTTACGATTCTTCAATGAGCACTGCACCTGAAACGCAGTAGATATATTGAATTCCGTAACGCTTAATTAAGTCAGCGTAAAATATCTTTTTGCTGGAAAATACATTAACAAATAGGCAAATGAATAATAACAGCTGACAGCCTACCACAGCTCCTTCTAACCCACTATCTCCTCGTGGACCAATGGAGCCTTTTTGACCCTAAGGTTGAAATATCCATATGAGCATTAGCGAAATATCAAAGGATCGTTGGGTCCAGAGGCAAAGTTACAAAACTGGACAATCATATATCACTGTGGATAATTGTTTCAAATGATGTGAAGAATTGTTGTAGATCAGTATGCGTATCCTACTGCATCAACAGATTAAGCTTCTTGTTCAACTCGACGTCTTATGCGCAGACGACACAATAAACATATTTCTTTGGTGTTGAAGTGTACCTACCAACAATGAAAATTTATCATCCCATTCCTGCACCGAACATTTCCTCACTGAGTAACGTTAAATGAAAAGATTTTAAGCCACGACCTACCTTTGGTCCCAGGCTCCCGTCTGGGCCAGTGTCACCCGTATCACCCGCGTCTCCCTAGAAATTAAAATACGTAAAGAGAAAACTTTAATACACCTGCTCTCTTTTCGCCTAGGAGTTTTGGCTCTTTACACTTTACATCCTTCAAAAAATAAAGATCTAATGTCAACGAATAGAACACAGATGTTACAAATAACAATATCTTGTCAAAATCGTTTTGTTTGATTTTCTTGTGAGGGAATCTCACTTTGTTTTTTCTCAGATATTCTCGACATAAATGTTTGTAGTTAACATTATTTTGCATTGTGTGCTAGGCGAAATGAAACAGATAAATACATAACCAAATAAATTAAATGATCCATTAAAAAAGAATGAGTCATCAAGGATTCTAATGAATACCTTTTGTCCTCTTGAACCGACGTTTCCATCATCACCTGATTCTCCAGGATCGCCCTGGACTCAGACAAAAGAAAACTGGAATTATTAATAAAAATGGGAAAAAAGGTATTATAAAAAATTGGTTTCTTAAAATATTACGTTGGTCTTATTGAATTTAAAGCTTAGGTATATGATGTCATGTCAACCAAATTGGTGTGAACAAGCAACCAGAAATACATCGGTAGGCTAAATACGTCACGAGTAAGTTAATTTAACGATATAAGAGGCTGAAACCGGAAAAACCGGATGAAACTGCCTTGTATAGGTTAATCGACTCACCGTGGCACCAGGGTTGCCGTCAGATCCTCGCGAGCCACGCTGACCTGGAACACCCTAAAACAAGACACGCGAATGAGTGGTTTGTATGAGAAAACAAGGCCTAACCCTAACCCTGAATGAATTTATGAATTAATGAACCCCTCACATACCAAACCTCTTTTACAACGGCGCACTTTGATGACACAATGTAATCATGATCTTAACCCTCTCTTTCAGTAAAAGAATTAACTTGCAAGTTACCGCGAAAGAGGATGCTAGATTAATCCTGGTTGTGGTGAGCTTTCTTTTGAGGTTCAAATGCCACACAAAACGGAACGGGGTTCTACTTCTCATTAGGACTGTGTTATCAAACAAGGGGTTTAACACCAGGCAATGTCTCGTGCGACTACCCCACGCGACTCTCTGTGGACCTCTGGGAAACTTACAATGACTATATTATAAACATATCGGAACCAGAAAAAGTGTAACTTGACTAGAAGTGCCTCTTCAGTGAGGGTAACAGATTAAACGTAACCTCAACCCAAGGGATGCTTACGAGACTGTAAAAAGTGTCCCCTTAATAACAGCGTCTCTGCAGCAACGGTCACAATTAGGATTAAATTTGGTGGCCCTTAAATGGGGCTGAATAAATGGCTAAAAAAAAAACCTTTTCCAAAGAGAGGTTCCAATTGAATTTTTTTTCTTTACAACAAAAGCCGCACAAAGTTCAAAGCAGCCTCAAACACTTAGTAATTAAAACAGGAAAGCGTTGTCTATATGAATATTGAACATACCACAGTGCCTTCGGTTCCAGTGGCTCCTTCTTCGCCTTTTGGACCCTCCGGTCCAGTTGGACCAACATCTCCCTGTGATCCAGCTGCTCCCAAGTCGCCGTCAAGGCCCTGAAAAGCGATAGGCAAGGGTTATTCGGCTGTCAAACAAAAAGTCATCCGCTCGCTGAAACAATATCACCAGAGTATCCAGGAAACTTGGGAAAAATGCATTCCGATCCCCACCCCTGCTCCTAACATTAATACAACGTTAACTAATAGACAGCTATGACACCTTCACAGAAAAAATTGTGAAGGGGAGGGAGGTGTGTGATTTTCGTCGCAAAGTAGGTCCATAAATAGCAAGTGCTTTAATCTTTTACAACGGAAAATCAGGAAGTATATTCTCCATACTGTTCTCTATACATTTCCTTAGGTGCTGACAAGAAGAACTTGTTTAACAATGAAGAATTTCTTAGGTTGGTAATAAGAATGATTAATAAACAGACAAATGAAAGAATGAATGTTCACATGTATCAATAAAAAAGAAATGAATACATATATAAATATATATATAGTGGTAATAGGACTGAGTGGAGTCCAATTCGGTCTGTAATCACACGAGTGATTAGTAAAATCGGACGACCGCGAAGCGGGAGTCCGATTTGTTTATCATGAGTATGATTACAGACAGAATTGGACTGCAAGAAATCTTGTTACCAATTAATCATAACCATTTCAATTTCCGAAAAAACAAATATCTCCAGTGGAGACAATGTCTTTAGTTAAAAATTCCTCCATTTTGGAAATTGCCTAGTTTTTCTTTGGATAAGTGGTTGTTGCTTTGGTTATTGTGATCAATTCTGTGATTGGTGGATTTAGCTGAGTGGACCTAGTATGATTGACTGCTTAAACTGTCCGATTACAGCCAACTGTCCGATTACAGCCAACTGTCCGATTACAGCCAACTGTCCGATTACACTGTCCGATTTCAACTGTACAGAATGATTAGTGCAAAATGAAGCTGCAAAGGCACCAATAAGAATTGGGGAATTTGTAATGGTTATGATTAATGAAGAAAAAGATAAACACAGCTCGAAGGAGAGCATGCCAACATAGAGACTAGATAAATAGCTGTAAAACTACTGAAAGTTTAGGAAGCTTATTTTTCTTGACGAGCCCTACTTTAGATCCATCTCTTCCAGGTTTTCCTGCTTCACCAGATTCACCAGGACTTCCCTGTGACGAAAAGAGAGTTCAAATGGTTTTCAGTTAAAGGGAAAGCAGAACAGCAAATGAAACTGAGCCTTTAGCTATATCCTTTTGATTGCCTACAAACGCTCTCAAAACAAGAAAAAGAAAGGATTACTGAGATAATACTGCTACTCAATTGGGGCGATCTGATGGCAGACCCTTTTTTCAACGAGTTGCCCTTTTTAAAAAAACACTTAGTGCAATGTAACCAAAACAAACAAAAAGAGGACAAAACGAGCAAGAAAATACTTACAGTGGAACCGCGTTCGCCAGACTTCCCTGGAGAGCCAGCTGCTCCTACCTCACCCTGTAAAAAAAAAACAAAAAAAAAATTAACCAGGATGAATTCAAAGAGAATGGTTTTCTTTTTCTCGTGAAGTTACCACAGTATATAAATCTTCATCATTTCAGAGCAGTGACAAGAAGATAAACTTACATCTATGCCAGCTTTTCCGTCTATTCCTTCCTTTCCTTGTTCTCCTGTTTCTCCCTAGCAAAAAAAATTGTGAAACATTGACAATATTACGTAAACGTGATATTGTTTCGGCTAACCGAAATGAAATCATGTTCAACTTTTGAAATAGGTTGCAATGAAATATGATCTTCTTTTTTTCTTGAGCGGCCTGTAGTGGGCCATTTTGTCTTTTCATAGCCAAGAAAATTGAATTTCAGCGAGTTTCCCTCACCATCATACATGTGTATGTTCCTTATACGAAAACATTCTTCTGAGAACGACGATAACTGATGATTTTAGTTGAAGTCTAATTCATCAATTAAGAAAGCACACACTCCATTCTCAAGTGAAGCTGATCACAGACCCCTTAACCACGCAATAATCGACCACTCAACCCCAGGCAGGGTGGCTCAGCTGCAGTGTCATGGACGCGTAATCCGAGGAAAGGAAACCTGAGATTTGGGATGACTCATGACTCAGTAAACGTTCTGAAAGGGTTTGATTTGTATTCCCTTGTTCATCGACAAATATTGCAAATAGCCAAGAAGTCTGTCTTTAAAATCCCGTTCCAGAATCGGTATTTTTACAATTTTTGTATCATGAACAATGCCGTATAAATCACACATAATTTGATCTATAGCTGAATGCTGGTAACATTAACCGTCTCACTCTCAGAAGTGATTCGATTGTTACTTTCCTTGACAATTTTAACACAGTATCCAGCGAATAGCTCATTAGAAAAAAAAAAAAACCTATCAGCTTATCAGATAACATCAAATATTCTCTACTGATTAATTTCCAAGAAAATTCACAGCAGTCGGAAGGGAGAATCATTTATGAGATCTCTAGAGTTTGAAGGGTTAAATCAACTGTACCTTTGCTCCCGCTGCACCTTGGATTCCTGCCTTACCAATCGGTCCAACATTGCCCTGAAAAAAAAAATGTTGAGTCTCTCTGGCCCTAGAGTCCGTTTCTCGAAAGTCCTGGTGACTTTATGGCCCCGTAAAGCTGTTCTAATTTTCATTCCAGATGGGGGTTTCAAAGGTTTTGAAAACCCCACCAAATAACAAACAATTAAAGAAACAAAATGGACTGGTTAGGATGCCGGAAACTACTACTTATTCAAATTTGATTTTAAAATATGGTTTCAGGCCCGTTTAGTTACCGGGACTTTCGAGAAAAGGGCTTCTGAACGGATATTTTTCGTGTCAGAGGAAAGTCACTTACCCTCATTCCAACTGGCCCTGAGTAGCCGGCAGCTCCATCTAAGCCAAAATCACCCTGCGAATAAAGTAAGACAAATAACGGCTCATACACCATGGTGAATAAGCCAATCAAATCACAAGAATAAATGGCGGTGACGTCAACGTCTTTGTCACCAATGGTTCATTGGTGCTCCATGCCAGCGTTGGCAAGGACGTTTTAGATCCAATTGAAAGAGAATCTCCTTTCTCCTAATTTATTAATGTCCCACAATCGTTGCAAAAGAAAATAAAAACTTTTTTCGTTTATGTATACAATCTTCCACCTAGCCATCTGACTGATCTTGCAATTTTGCAAGGGCATTGTCGTAGGAGGCTATTTTTTAAAAAAAGGGAAAAAGAAAAATGAAGAATTACATTAACTAGAATAATAATTCAACCACAATTATCTTCACTTGCAGGAAAAAAATGGAGGGAACCTTTCAAATTATCTTCCACTTACAATTGACCCAGCAGTTCCGGGTGGACCAGGAGGTCCAGGCTGGCCCTGGGCTCCCTGTACAACAAATTGGAAAAAAAACATTTCATTAGTCTCCTTGAATGCAAGATGACAACAAATTTCATATGGGCCAGAGCTCAAACAGGAATGCAAGAAATTGTTGGCAACAGTAACGCGTTAAAACCGTTTCCTTACGAGACGTTTGGGGATAATTTTCTCAGGAACTTAGGATTAACGTTGAACTCTTTTACATCGAAATTGCTGACATTACAAGTAACACCAAAAAAGGAAAAGCGTTCAGGGTCCATAGGCTAGCTTAAAGTTAACACCATTGATAACGTTAGGTTTCTCATCATAGATTGCAGATCACCCCAATCCCCTTTTGTAGCCTATGTACTCATTTAATGCTTCCGTATTATAGTCAAGATGTCACTTATGCAGGACACATCAATGCGAACAATGGAGAAGCTCTTACCGGTGAGCCCCTGCCTCCGTTGTCTCCTGGGGGACCAGGATCACCAACAGCACCCTAAAAATATGCAATTCAAATGAAAATGTTAAAGTGGCTCTGAAAAGAAAACATAGCCCCTTGCCGTACACCTAATCACTTAGAAAAATCAAAAATTCCTAGAGCCATGACATTACCTTATTTCCATTGCGACCAGTTTTTCCACTACTTCCTTGATCACCAGCTCCTCCCTAAGGAAAACGCGTGGGTGAAAATAAAATAAGCAACCCTGCGTTATATTGGTTACAGAAAGGTCAAGTCATTAAATTTACCGCTGGTCCAGGTTCTCCCATCATTCCCGTTGCCCCGGGTCCTCCTGGTCCTCCCTGTAATGATAAGAGTAGGTATAAACCTTAAGATTCTTAAATGCAGTCAATGGTTTGAATTTAAATGATCGTTCCTTTGGTTACAGAAAAGGTAAGCTCCAGGTAATATTCAATGAGATGTCTTGTTTAATGAATTCACACTGCGGGTTACCCTTAGACCACAGTGTGAGTATCGAGAAAAAACTGTCATTTCTGTGAAACTTATGAAGTAAAAACCACATAAACTTCAATTTATTAGTGCAATAGATTCCGACTTACGCTGTCGCCTTCCTCACCACGATATCCCTTTTGACCCATGACTCCTTGAGCTCCCTAATCATAGAGTGGAGACACAGTTACACTTGCAGCTTATCACATGAGATTGTTCGCGGTACACATTAGCAAGATAAACTGGTCAAGGCTCCTTGACAAATTCCATAAGGAATAATTTGCACCACCCGGCCGCCCGTCCGGACGTTCGTATGTCAGTGCAGAGGGTTAAAATCATCTTAGCGTGCCATTTTTGGACTGGTGAATTGGCAAGGAAATGTGTCGGAACTTTTCATATAACGCTTTAAAGCAATAGTAGTGAGCGAATATTCAAGAGCCAATGTACCATTTATTTACGAACGTTTCTCCTGTCGTACAAAAATCTTCATTATGAACTCCAACGGTCTCGGCCCCTGGTCCTTTTTTTTTTTTTTTTTCAATGTCACCCCCTATCCCCCTACCCCACCGCCTCCCCCCCCCCCCCCCCCTAAAAAATAAAAACAACAACAACAACAACAACTTTATTGACTCCTCAGGTGGTTAAAGGAAGCATGTCTGCCTTAGTGGAAAAGTTAAAGACAGAAAGAAAGGAAGGGGAAGGTAACAGCGGGCTTAAGGAAACTTTATCTAGGCTCTTTTATCATTGAGCCGTGTCAGTATGTACCTGAGAACCTGTATCTCCACTGATCCCATGTAATCCGGCAGCTCCTTCTTGACCCTTCGGAAAAAAAAAGGACACAAAAGCAAATGATGATTAACTCCAGATTTTCACCGAAATACAGTAAAACTCTCAGAAATTCCAGTGATGCAGTAATGTGTTGCATATAGGTACAAAGAAGATTGTATTTGACGTTAACTTACCCTAAATCCTTTAAGACCTGTTGGCCCTTGATCTCCAATGGAACCAATCATGCCCTGAAATAAAAATACATTGCGGCCATTTTAACACCTTTAGCTCAATAGCGTAAATAAGGGTTGCAGTTTTCATCGAGGTGAAAACGATATAAATAAAGTAAAATGGTTTGGCTCAGGTGATTCTTAACTCTAACAGAAACTTTTACAGGAACAGTGGAAAACATTTCCAGCGGCATGGATTCCCTCTATTAAGTAACAGAGCAACAGGACATGGTCAGCGTGCGCTAAGGAGAATGTATTCGAAATGTGAAAATTACAGCTGAATACAATAAGCCAATTGAAGTGGAGTACGATGCTTCAAAGATTGGATGGTGATCAATGGCCCTTATCGTTTCACGAAGACTAGCTGTATGCAGTAGAAACGTCGCGATACACATCGGGAGACAAACGATAATACCTCATAACCGTCCAAATCTAACCATTTATGAATTTACATATTAAACAATGAAGATTCACCTAGGGCGATCAACGATGCGAAGCTGTTTGTTTCTTTACAGCAGAAATTACGTTATGCTACGTACAACCAGTTTTTAAACATACACACCCATGATATTTAAACTCAAATTTGAACGCTGTTGATGACTAAGATCGTTTACCTCATCGGCACTACGAGGTGGGGGGAAACTGATCAGTTGAGGAATGTATATGCATTTTTCATGACTTTTAACAGAATAATTGTATCAGGAAAGTAGAAGATATTTGTAACGTTTAAAGTTAAGCATTTCACTTGCCATTTTCCCTTCAAAGCCAGACGCACCAGGGGCTCCCGGGTCCCCTTGTGGACCCTGAAGTAGTTGAAGGAGAGGAGATTCATAGTTAACGCTTCGGATCATAATAAACACATGTAATCAAAAAAGGGTATCTAGAGACAAGAAGGATATGTGAACTGGCGAGGACAAATAACATTTTAAGTGTTAATAAAAAAAGGAAATATCGATACACTCTTCTACCAATTTTGGCATGACGTGAAACATCTGTGCTTCCAATTGCACACGGTAATTTGCCGATGAGTCCTTTCTATTTGAAATAGAAGTTCACGTACATCAATGTTAAATAAATCATTCATAATAGTGACGTGAAATCCTTCTTTGTTTGTTAATTAATAAATGAAAATAGTTGTTACGATTGAGGACTTCATACATCTGCTCCACTTTGTCCCGGAGTGCCAGCGAGACCACGATCGCCAGAGACACCCTGAAACACATTCACAATAGCTAATATGAGGTACGTATATGCTTAGGAAGATACCCAGGATTCTGGTTGCCTTGGAGATGTGTTTTGATCGGCATTAAGATGGTCCGTCAATTACACGTTGGTACGTCCTAAGTTAATAACTACTCTCATTCTGGTTTGCTCATCTCATCGTTTAATTTTGACGCGCCTTTTTAAGACGATTATGAGAGTGAAACCCATGGAAAGTCTCCTAAGGAGATTAATGTAATAACAACCCTCGATCATTTCTTTAACATTCAAATCATGGTGCTGATCGTTAGAAACTTTCACATTTTTCAGAATTTCTTCCATACCAATTATGAGTTTTGATCTCTGTACAGAGCATGGATGTGCTCTAGTAACGACAGATTTGGAGTTAAAAGTTAAATGAACACATTATGATATTACGAATTAGTGATAAGTATTCTATGATTATGCTGCTGAGTAATTTTCTCCGTCTGTGAACTCACATTAGGTCCTCGAATTCCAGTTTCTCCTGCTTCGCCAGGTTCACCCTCAGCGCCCTGTTACATTAGAGAGAGGCAGTTCAGCACCTGATATTACTCTTCTCCTTAAATATATGCCATGCAAGACCAAAGCGACTAATTCAAACAAACACCTTAATAGAAAATTATTCGACTACATTCAATAAAACCTGAATTCATACCTGGATGAGCTAGTAAGGCGACACAACCAACTGGGATACGCAAAAACTAAATTTAAGAAGCGATTTAATTTTTGCGGGTTGTTTGTTCCTTTGAAGTCCAAAATGTTATAATCACGGTTTCATCGGAACTGACTAAAGGTATGGAATGGAATAAAAACTTTATCCTGTACTGTTTCAGACACTTCACCTGTTGTCCCATCGGTCCAGGTCTCCCAACTCTGCCGGTCGGTCCAGCATCGCCCTTTTTAAAATAAACACACAAATATCACAAATCTTACGAAAAATTAATTTTTTAATTTGATCAAAAGTCATTTCACTGTTAATAAAAGCGATACATACCGCTTCTCCTCTCCTACCCGCTGCTCCAACAGGACCAGTAGCTCCAGCACCGCCCTAGAAGGACGAATAATAGAAAAACTGATCATAATCTTCATAGCAACATGATCAAAAGGTCTAACCCAGAAGCAAATTTATAACAGTAATTGAAATAGGTTTAAATTGGGCAGAAATCATACTCATGATAACAGACAAAAAATCTGTCGACTCGAAGTTCAATAACCACTATTTAGCATCTAGTTTGAAATGGGTCACTACTATTGCCTGATTAGTGTTGGATAGTATTGGTTAATTGTTACAGTATTATACGGATCCAGTTGTAAAATAAGCAATATAAAGACACAGAAATCAATTAAGAACTTGACATGAATTTTTGCTGATAAATCACTCCGCCGAAATCTGATCAATCATTTTTTCCGCCAAGCAGATAATAGTGGCGAAAGCCAATCTGTTTTAGAGGATTACCCGGATTTCAAACAAATAAATAAAATCTCACAAAATAACTCGAAGAGTAGCATATACTTTAAATATGATTATGCTTACATTTATTCCACGAGATCCATCTACACCAGCTGCACCTACGGGTCCCATGGAGCCCTGGAGATATCGTTTGAATAATTTAATAATAATAATAATAATAATAATAATAATAATAACATTCAAGAGTGTATTTTTGGTTACTTTTCATTATTATTATTTATTTATTTATTTTTTATTTATTTTAGATTTAGATAAACTTATACAACGTGTACATATATATATATGTATGTATGTATGTATGTATATGTTATATCCTAGTCCACATTGCCTAAGCTGTGCTCGCAATGATATTGATATATACATTGAATTATTTTACAAGTTATTTTGCTTCTTCGTCAAATTACCGACAATTGCAGTGAAACGATAACAGATTTATGATTTGACCACTTTCTATCGTAGGATTGAACAACGAATTTTCTTTTCCTTGACAAGATCATGGAACTTTCCACCAAAGAGTTGGGGGGAATGAAAAATAAAAAATAAAAAAAAAATAGCAAAGAAAATACATTTATTGCTTCAACACAAAATTGCTATAAGCAACTTCATCACAAATTTGTGGTAAACTGAAAGAAAAATTGAAACTCAACATCCGAGGATTGCCAGAGCTCACGTATAAAAGCGTTACATACAGGTTCTCCCATGCCTCCTTCGTCTCCCGGAAGTCCAGCTAATCCTTGCAAGCCCTGTATTAAGTAAACAAAAAAACGTTCTGGTACGTGTCCTCCGTCAGGGTATTTAACTTTCGAATCATTCATTGAGATTAGAAACTTAAGCTCAAAAAGCAGCATATGTTAGATGGGACTTTCTTTTAAATCCTTCACGGAATTTGGCAATACTAGACAGGATCTTTTGACAACGATCTTAGAGATTTCACGAAAACAAATACCTTACAAAAACATAAATATTTAACTTGGATTTTGACACAGAAACTTAAAGGAATTTATCTTGACCCCATATGTACCTGCCAAAAATACGATAAAAGTGGATCTGGGTAAAGGTATACAAAACGAATAAGTGTTGACAAAACGTACTGCGCTATTCACCGGATAGGGATTTATGCAAACGACAAAAAAAAAACAAAACAAAACAAAAACACACACACACACACGCACACAAAAACACAGGGGCCCACACAGGGGCCTGAAGTTTTGTCCCTCTTAGAAAAGAATTTTAAAACCTACCGGATCTCCATTTACTCCGTTAAGGCCAGGTTCACCAGCTCTTCCCTACAAAAGGATAAATCACACATTTATGAGACTTTGCTTGTAAAGTAACAACCAAAGACACAAATTACGACAGTTTAGCTTCGCAAGCAATGCACATGTTGAGATGAAAATATTTCCCAGGTCACAGGATTATAATTGTACGCGTTTCTGTTGGATTCTTTGAGCACAATGTCATCATACTGTTCGGAAATCATTGTTTTTTTAGGAATCAAAATTACGTTGAAATCTCCAATATGAAAAGTGGGTCAAAATCTTGAGCTAAAAAAAAAAATAGACCTACAGAGCCTGTTTATGTAAACAAAAAAACGAGAAAAAAGGATCAACAATGGAAAGATAAAATGCCATTTTTTGGAGAGCTGGGTATACAAAGAAACTTGTTACACATCTGATTTTTCAAATAGTACTCACTCTTTTCCCAGAAACTCCATTAGAACCTGAGCTTCCTTTGGGCCCCTGAAAGGTGTAAAAGAAATCTTTCATGAAAAAAGGTTTAATTAAAACGCAGAAGTTATCCTAATGTATCTTAGGTGTTCTGTCTTTGAAAATTTGTCCACCCAATCCGGATACTCCCAGCCAATGAGTGTATCGTGCTGTTTAAGTTAAAGAGCTGTGAAATATGTTGAAATAACACTCTTTTTTCGAGCGGGAATCTCACATCACATCACATGTACCGCTCATCCATTGACTCACCTGGCGGCCACTGAATCCTACTGAGCCCGCATCACCGGCAGAACCAGGAGCTCCCTAGGAGTTGAGACATTTAATTTTGATTAACAAAAATCCACACATACATTAAGAAAGATATAAAATTTCGATAATCTTACCTCATCACCAACGTCCCCAGTTGATCCCTGGGACCCTGCAGGACCTTGGAGACCCTGTGGGGGACAAACAACGGACACAATCATTGCTCGAGTGACACGGTACTAATCGTTTGTGGCCATGGAAACGTCATTTATGTTTTTTATTTTCCTACCATGGTTCCTGATGCCCCTGCCGCACCTTGACCTCCTGGGGCACCTGATTCACCCTAGATAAATCATTGAAAAACAAAAAAATCAAACAAAATAAAAAATGTTATAAGGATGTATCGATATCTGCTTCTCTGGCAGCAGAACCAGCTGTTCACATTATATCATCCAGAACGCTTGTCTACGAGACAACTTCTCAACTTGTTAACGTAATAAACCAGGTTATGCCTGACACTGATCCTTACCTGAAGGCAAATAGACGATGCAGACTCCTCACCTGCATCCTAATATAACTTTAGCGAGCTTAATAGAGCGTGCTCCATGACAAACAAGGCGAGATAAATGGCATCTTTAGAACAATATTGACAACAGTCGAAGATTATAATGATGATGACGTTGATAATGACAATAACAATGGCGAGGACGATCTTAGCTCTGTGCCTTACTTTAAGAAAACTCTCAGCGATTATTCAATAACTTAGCTTAACCTTCTTTACCGACCATACCTTTGGTCCAGTTGATCCTCGTTCCCCTTGACTTCCATCATTTCCAACAATTCCCTTTGATTTAAGGCAAAAATAAGAATATGGAAAATGAACATTTAACTCGGACATTACTAAGGCAGGCAACACAACACTCGCTTAGTACAAAGGACAACCGACTCACATTTCGTCGATTATAAGTCTTACTTGAATGACGTAGTTTTCACAAATTCAGTCAAAACTGGATGACTGTGATTAAAGAACTTACTGAAAGAAATGACTTTCACATAGAACAAGATTTAAGGTTTTAAGAATTGTCGTCTTTTTTTCATCGAGAAGATTGTGCTACGAAGCTCGCTACCCTACCTCAACTCCTTTCATACCAACAAGTCCAACGCCTCCAGATTTACCAGGAAAACCCTGTGAAATAAATCAATAAATACGTCATCAAGAAGACTTAGTTTGGATAACTTTCCAACAATTTGGTCATTTTTTTGGCTTTACCGGTGCACCGTCCTCTCCTGGAAAACCATCATCGCCTTTAGCGCCCTATAACAAAACCCAAATCAATCAATAAATTATTAAAAATATTTTTTAAAAAGAGCCAACCATTATTAAAGGGTATTTAGTGACATTATATTTGCCCAATGCACTGTAAATATGTAATAAGATACCGCCCTCCTTGGGCACTTTGTGCTTTACATAATAAAGACATACCGAACTTCCTGGTGCGCCTGCAACTCCACTAGATCCTGGTCTGCCCTCAGAACCCTATCAAATAAAAAATCACACGTGATGATGTTCATTAGCTGACTTTGTGTCAAAATAAAGTCCCCTATAAAGGAAGTGTTTTTAACTGCAGTTCATTTTCAAGTAATGTGTTCACAGAGCGTCATCTCGTGTACCGTGAAGCGAAAATTCGAATGAAGCTGCAGCTGTCTCCAACATCATTGTTTCTTCAAGGTACAATTATTTTTAGAGTGTTTCTTGGTAATATGCGACTACGTCTGTATATTTTCTGATCAATTGTTATTTGAGTCTTACCCTTGATCCGGTTATTCCTGGTGGACCGCGTAAGCCTAGAGCACCCTAAAGGAACAGAAATATGTATAGAAATGAAATGAAGAAAAACTGAAAACACAAGGATACACTTGTGCTACAAGTGAAAACATCACGTGATAACCTTGGACGACTGTGCCATAAGAAGCGATGAATTAAGTGGTTAAACACTTACCCCATCTCCCTTAACACCTCTGGATCCTCGTCCCCCACGTCCTCCAGTCATTCCCTACAATATGTAATGATGCAAATGAGTATTTAATCTGGGAGTGAAACGGGTATTTTCTCACTACTCTCGACAGTTGAATATATTCTAAGGGCTCAAACTTAAAGTTATCATCAACTTATAAGTAGAAGAGCCTCATGGGCGTCGATATTGAAAACAATGTCATGGCTGACGCTTGTTTTAAAAAGAATGTACTAAAAGGAACAATAAATATGCCAACTTTTATGGCATAGTTAATGAAAAGAGTATAAAGTTATTCCTACCGTTATTCCCATTGCACCCATAACACCCGGATCTCCTTCACTACCTCGCACTCCCTGTCAGAAAACGCAAAGGCAGACAACTTTGTTAGAGTGTGATATTTGCCGTCGTCAGCATTAACTGCTTCTGTCTGTCTTTAATCCAATCATTTTGCTAAAAGTTCCTTATTGCGATAAAAACATCACAATTCTATTTGAGGGGGAGTCTGAAGCGTAAAAACAATTTAACCCACTCTTTGTCCGGTTTCGCCATTTCTTCCGGGACTGCCCGCTCCGCCACGGCCACCCTGTTGGAAATAAAAAATTGAAAAATAAAAAACACATCCAAGATGAGACTTTGAACGCTTTATTTACTAGTGTACTTTGAATAACAATCTATCATCCAGCACACACGCGATTTATCGTATGACTTCGCACGCCGTAAAGTTGTTTACTGTAGGCAAAATATTTGAAGGATATTAAGCTCAGTCTTCCTATAGCTAAATTACGCCACTACCAAGATAAACTTTACTTCGTGAATCGTAAAGTAAACGATTTGAAACCGGAAGCAGAAGTTAGTCGAGTATCCTGATAGTCTCGGAAAGAGTAGTCCACATAAGGAATGCCGTCGATAATATTAAGCGACGTATCAAAAACCTGCATGGAAGTCATAAGCAGTGAGGCCATCCTACCTGTTTACCGGGCGAACCTTGAAATCCTCGGGCACCATTTGGTCCCGCAAGACCCTAAAAGGACAACTTCGTATGAGAAGAACATGCATATTCTTTGAGTTAAACGCTGTATGTTTAAAACTAATTTTTCAGCATGTCTCTATTGTTTTATTACAGTTATGTCCCGTAATCCCGAATCCCGAATCCCAAATTTCTAAAACGGTAAGAAGACAAGGGGACCAAAGGAACGAGATCAGAAAGGAAGTATTTAGGTGTCACAAGATTGAACACCTTTAAATAACCGTTGCCTTGTCCTACATATCTTGGCCTAAAGTGCCTCTTCCAAAATAGGCAATTAACTTATTCCTACCGCTGGTCCTTTATCACCAGTGGATCCCGTGCTTCCTGGTCTTCCGAGCTCACCCTGAAAAGGAAACATGTCCAAAATGCATGAACACTATTTTAAGATCAAGTATGCATAAAAAAAGAAGTAAATGGCTGGCACATTACTCAAAAAACAGATAGTCTGATTGATAAAAACATAGCAACTACTATCACGATCCGTTTGAAAAAAGGTTTGCATGAAGGGGTTGCTTTTAATTTGTTTTCAGTTCAAATTCTACAAAACTACGTAACAGTACCTTTGCTCCTTTGCCGCCTGTTGGTCCAAGATCCCCCGGTATGCCCTAGAAATCAACAGGAAATAAGATTAAACTGTGCATACGAATCAAATGTAATCGAAACACTCCGTAGACGTACAAATGTTGACACTTGAAACGGCTGCATATAGAGACACGGTTCTATCAATTCATTGTGAGAAATAATTCCTCTGGTTGGCATGCAACCCTTTGACCCGCTGAGAGTGACTAGCATCTAATTTCTTCGCACAATATCACCCCTGAATCAAACATTAAGGTTACGAGAATAAAGGAAATCATTAAATTTGAAACCAATTCTCCTTGTCAACACCTTGGGTCCTGTATAGAGCACAGTATCGAGAATATCTACACTGATGTTGGGTGTTAAGGTTTAAAAGGTGAACAGTATTCGTTCCACGTTATAAACTTGTACTAACGGTTTCTCCTGAACGTCCCTCTCCTCCCGTAGGTCCTGCTGGTCCAGGATCGCCCTGAAAGTACCCCAACACGAAACCTCAATAAAGCCACAAAAGTAATACACAAACAAACAGAAAAATTGCAATAATGACAGATTAATGTCAAAAACTTAAAGGTTTCTACAAATGTAGGAGTTTTACACTAAACTGAATCTGACTCATGTCAGTATACACAAAACTGGATCATTTTTGCGATGACATGCTTACCGGGCCCCCAAATTCCCCTTGTTTACCAACCGACCCGCGGGAACCCGTCACTCCGTCAGTTCCCGGCAATCCATCAGATCCGCTTTCACCTGTGGGTCCGGTATCGCCCATGAGGCCTGTGTCACCTCCCTGTCCTGGGCTTCCTTTGATTCCTGGATCACCCGGCGCTCCTGGGCTGCCGGGACCTCCTTTAAAGCCCTGGTAAGTTTTAAAACAAGGGCACATAGATTTAAAGTTCCTTACTCGTAAAAAAAAATATTTTAATACTCCAATCATCCTCAAAGAACGCTTCACGTTTTAGAAAAAGTATAAATGAGCTTCTTTTGATTTTCTCCGCTTTACTAAGCCCCCACCTTGCACCTACGATCATTGCCACCTTATTGCCTGTCCCCAGTAAAACCCTTGTGAAATCCTTACCCCCCCCCGTAAAATCTTGGTATTTGTTTGGACTGCGTAACCTTATGCCTTATTCCCAATATACTTTAATTTGATACCCTGTATCAGTTTTTGTTATTAATATCGTAGGTTTTCAACCACAGGCGGGCATACTGGTCTCTTTATTTACTAAATCCAAGGGACAAATGGGAGAAACTTAATATTTGCACTCGGCAAGTATACTTAGTGTGAACTTTATTACTATGATAACAAACATTAACATACCTGAGTTCCAGGTGCACCAGCTGGTCCCTCTTTTCCCTCGAAACCCTGAAGAAATAAAATAATAGGTAGTTAATAAAAAATAAATATAAATAAATAATAAAATAAATAATCGGATGAAAGTTTAACGAAAGTGTTCGAGACTATGAACTCATACCTTGTCGGATGACGTATTGTTACACGCATGACGAAAGCATTTTCCTCTTAGTGTCTACATTGGCCAGCTGATAGCCAATCATATTAGCGAATGGTGTCATATTATCTTTTCGCACCAGAGCTGATTTAATTTGATTTCGGCGGGAAAGTCAACCGCACGTTACTGACCAGAATTCACCAAGCAATTGATGAATAAAAATGCTTACTGCTTGACAATGAGAGAGAAATTTTCAATTGAGTGCAGGAAATCCCGAACCAAAGTAATCTCAACAGCCAATCACAACGAAGAAAAATATCATAAGCAGCCAATGAGAACTTAAAGCAAAGTCAAGCAAACTGCCTGAGGCACGGGAATACGCGATTAACCGGTTTGTGATTGGTTCCACTTCTGCAGCTATTTGGTTGAAGAGCTGGCGCCATTTTTTTGGACCAATCGCAGACCGAGGTAAACCAAAACTGAAGCAATCCGGTATTAATTTTGACACAAAAAAACTGACATAAAAAGAAGTAGTAATAGCGTTCTTACTGAAGGGCCTGGGTAACCGGGCCGTCCGCTCACTCCGCTTAATCCATTCATACCCTAGATCAACAAAGATATAAAAAACTTAAACTTAGTAATGTTTACCTCTTCAGGCGTCAGGCATAGTGTGCATTTTCGTGGAATACGCATGTTAAAGAACATTATTCGAACGCCGTATACTCGAGGAGATGCTGCCCCCCACACCCAACGATAAATTTGTATTTGCAGGGGAATTCGCGAATACTATTTTGCACGTTTTCCAGGGAACAATTTCAGAAATAAAAACATGCAAAACCACTGAGTATTTAGTAACTATTTTTCTTAACATAAAGTTTGCAATAGATTGTAAGATTGCTAGAAGGGATTAGTTTACTAAGAATTAAGAGGAAACTACGAGGTATCTCACGTAAAAATATATAAATTTTGACACGTTTTTGTATATATTATGTGACCATAAAACTTAGAGGAGGCACACGTTCGTCGTTGAGCCCCAGCAGATTCACTTCTCTTAAACTGGTGACTACTAAATTAGCTAGCGCTCACATAATAGCCGCGATTCACATGCTTTCAGATGGTAATGATCGACCTTATTTCATCTCCATTTCTTACGCATGACTAAAATATTTCTGCTATTTAAGTCTCGACTGCCAAAAGTACTTATGACAAACAAATTTAAGGGTTTTTTTTTTTAATGATCGATCGGAGACCACCGAGAAAGAGTTGTGTCAGACATCTATAGATCGTGTTTTGAAAGTTTTCTGAGCGTTCTCGGAGGTATTTGGGCGTGATCAGACATGATCATGTGAGCATTCATTTGAACTTACCACTGATCCGTCAGGTCCTGGTTTGCCAACGTCACCGGTATCACCCTACAGTAATATCACAAATAATAAATTTCAACATCTGTCAAATATAAAGCTTAGCTCATTCATTCAATTCTCGAACCGGGTAATCCAAAGGTGTAAGGTTCGAATCCTATCTGGATCGGACATTCAGGAGTTTTTTCTTTGTCTCACAATTAAGACAAATGAATCAGTTTTTGTCCTTTACTCCACTGCTGAGATAAAAATTAATTATCTCTCTAACACTGTGTCAACCACGTAATTTGTTGACAAATTTCACCTACCAGTTCACCATCCTGTCCCTGCTGTCCAGCGATTCCAGTTCGTCCTTCTCGGCCCTTAGACCCAACAGGACCAGGATTGCCTAATGGTCCAGGATCACCCATTGTTCCCTGCGAAATATTTTCTTATGTTAACCGTAAACAATCTCATGACAGTAATAAGCCTTCAAGGGGCTTATTAGATTGGGGGGAGCCCCTTGTACTGGATAGTAAAAAAAATAACAACAACGAAAATGCAAAACGGGGATTGTATTCGATGACTTGCCCATGCGGTCGAGCAATTATCGTTGTAGTCACTTCCATGGAATGTTCCAGAAGCACAATAGGGAGAAGGTGAATTTTTTTGTTGCTTTTAAATAATAGCACACATAGAAACAATTCAAAATTGTACTCACCCTTCGTCCTCTATATCCTTCAGGTCCGGGTCTTCCCTTTGGGCCCGCAGGTCCCTTGGAAAAGAATAAAAAAGTTTGCATATTAGCAGAGCTAACAGGTTCCTTTTATGCTTCGCCCTTGTCTACCATCTCGTAATAGAAATCTAGAGCTCATAATCTGATTATTAATTAGTCCAAGTCTATCCGCGCAAAAAAAGAAGACTGAGTACTAATCCATATCACTCACATCTGGACCATCCGGGCCAGGCTCTCCAAAAGGACCTAAGGGGCCTTGAAATCCCTGAAAAAAACAAAAGCAAGTAGAGATTTTATAGCTAATGGTTTGAACCCACACATGAGAACTCCTTCCCCTTTTTTCTTCTATATCTTGTTAACTTCTAAGAGAAATATGCATCATATTTCTTCTAAAAGCATCACTCCTGAAACAAACATTAAGGTTACAAGAATATAGAAAATGATCGAGATGTCACGAAGCTCTTTATTTTTGATGCAAATTCTCCTTGTGAGCATCTTAGGAAACGCATAAAGAACAATATGCCTACTGAATTGTTGTTGTAAATGGATAGCGTAAGCAAGCGATGAGAATTAAGAAGCAAAATAGTTCAGAGGTATTGTTTGATTTAACCCCAATTCTCAGAAATATCATATGAGGATATATATTAAAGACAGTAAGGAGAATTCATATTGCGATCTTAGGAGTGAAAAGCTTAAAGTAATATAGGCTGCGTCTTTAACATACCTGACGTCCATCATCTCCGGGACTTCCTGTTATTCCGGCAAAACCGAACGCCCCCTGAAAAATATTGGAAAGGAAATTACCACACCACCCTTCGAAACTCACTTTCTTAGCTTATTGCTTACTTTTCTGTTTAAAATAACTGCATTCCATTGGTAGGAGCTCAGCTTGGACAGATCACCAAACAAACAAACAAACAAAGAGACAAACTAAACGACGACCACCAACAACGAAACAACAACATCAAAACAAACAAAAAAAATAACGAAAAAAACCAACAAACCGAAAAGCGAACTGATTACAGCACAGGTGTTTGACGATGATATTTTTGTGCTTGTACCCATCAAATCGTGTTCCTCACAACACAAAGTGAAATTCTAGGTTAAGTACAGTAAAGACTTGCGACCTCAAATTCAATCGCTTCATCATGATCTCAGTGGCAAATTAATGCCAACCAATTTCGGTTTAATTCATTGCCCGAATTTTTCTGCGCCGCTATGGAACTCGGAGAAACAAACTATGCCATTTTTAAAAACATTCCAATGATAAACCGAGGATTTTATTTTCACAATCATCTTGTCGTTTCCTTACCTCATATCCCTTTGGCCCTGTATCCCCAGAGCCTCCTGGCTGCCCGATCTGAATGAAGAGAATTAATCGAATGTAAATGGATTTTCAAGTAAAATGTTCACTGCACTGAGATAAAAAAGATGAAGGTGAGGAAGGGGGGGGGGGGGTGGGGGTATATGAACAATACATAAGGTTGCGTAAAATGTGACAATATGCGACCATGACAACGAACCACTTGGTAAAAACTTACCCTCCCGCCGGGAATGTCAGGTACCACATTAACTAGAACTAATGGACCTTTTTCGCCAGGTACACTCTGAAAATAAAACAAAGAAACCCGCACGAATAAGAAGTAGTGTTAACCCTACCTAGGTGGCGGTTGTATGGACGCTTCATTGAAATTAAGTTGGCAAAGCCTCAATTACGAATAGATGAACTTCAAGTGCAAGTCATCCGCGGCCACGAGGCTAAACTCGCTCTCGCGCAAACCAAACCTGACAAATTATTGCAACATAGTAACAAACACTCTGCAGGGTGAATCAAATACCTGCCTACAGATTAAAAATTTCTATCGATTTTTTTTTTATATACTGAATTACGTTGGTTGACACATGAAATAAGTATACGAGTGTCGAATAGAAGCTGATAAACCTCTAGAATGATGAAACTAATGAAAAAAGGTATCTTAACAAAAGGCGAGGTTGAACATTTGTAAGCTGAGTATTGAAAGAACATAAAAGTGGCTGCGTGAATGGTATAATGTAATTGTTCACCAGATAATAGCTTTTCTGAAACAGCACATTGGCTTTTAGCAACTACATTGTATACTAACTCACCGGTAGCCCGGCCGTCGATCCTGGGGGGCCGGGAGGGCCTGGATTCCCCGGATCTCCAAGGTCGCCCATTGCACCTTTGACCCCTGAGAAACCCTAAGGACATTCCACAAACCAGTTAGTTTTGACAAAGAGAGGTCTAACGTCATGTCACGTTTCAAGGCTTTCCACGGTGCCCATCACGTATTGCCATGTCTCACTGTCTTGCAAAGAGGCAATTATAAAGAAAAAGCACACAAAAAAGGCTACAAGATGACACAAAATCGATAATGTGATGTTCAAAGCATAACCACGTAAGTTTTTTTTTTGTGTACTTGTTTGGTTTTAGGGGGAGAGGGGTTGAAGGGTGGTCAAGATATTGCTTTAATAGCTGAACGGGCGCGAAATGAAGAGCAAATTGATACAGGTCACCGGAAATTCTCCTTTCTAGTGCCACAGGTAAGGTGTAGCGAACAGTATGGAGAATAGGCATATGGATATTAATGCTTAAGGATGTAAACACTAATCCAGCAAAAACGAACATACCGTGTCTCCCTCTCCTGTCAATTCATTGTGTCCTTATGTCGCCTCGACCCCTTATCCCGTCCCGTATAACGGGAACTCTCCCTCTCCTGCCAATTCATTGTACCCTTGTGTCGCCTCGACCCTTAATCCCGTCCCGTACGATGGGAACTCTCCCTCTCCTGCCAATTCATTGTGTCCTTATCTCGCTCGACCCCAAGTCCCGTCCCATATGGGTAGAAACCAAAGTGAAAACAGTCATAATAGACGTAAGAGAGAAAGAAATACAATACCTTTGGTCCGGCTGGCCCTGTTCTTCCGCGACGGCCTGGTGCCCCGACGTCACCCTAAGGGACATCCGAACGTAAAATCAAAGTCATAATAACTCAGTAGTTCTACTGAAAAGCGATTACTAATGATGTCTGGTGGACGGTTTGCATTCAGCATATCTCTTCTCTTATTACGAAATTATTTTATTATTAGTCACGTTTGCTTCCAGGCAAAAGACTTTACTAATGATCTGACCCAGTTGGCCCAACCAACCCAAAGGTGTCTTGTCGTGTGAAGCGACAAGGAGTATTTGGTTGGCAGGTATCCAGTTAACCTCCCTGTGCGGTAGCAGAGAGGCAGACAAGAGATGGAGATGTGCGTGTGTTTTTGTTTGTTTGCGTGGGGGGTAGGGGGTGGAGGGGGTGGAGGGTGGGGGAGCAATTTCTGATTTGGCTTGAACGTGCATGGGCCGTCTAACAGGACTACTGCTCTGGAGTGTTTGATGAAGTTGTTCTAGAGAAAACATCTTTCAATCCCAATAATTATCCATCAAACATTACTAACCCGAAGGCCGACTGCTCCTCTCTCTCCTGGGGGACCAATAACCTAGGAAGTTAAAATGTACCAAAAGGTTAACAAGGATAATTCACTAAAAAATTACAGTTGGCGAATAGTTAAAAACTTAAATAAGGAAAAATAAATGTTTGTACTTACCGTGGTTTCAATCGACCCTAAAATACAGGAATGAAAGTTAAGAAAAAACTTCAGTGATTCTTTTACAGAAGTGATCAGTAAGCAAGCTCTCCTAACAATACAAGCTCGTTGTCAAATTAATGAACGTTTGCATTAAAAAACTATCAACTGGATGATATAAAAATCTAGGCTTTGTGATGCCAAAATCTCTGCTTAAACGTTTACTGAAGTTTACGGCATTCACCCGTGCGAGTGTCCACTTAGATCTGGGAAGGGAAAGGCTCACGAAATTTTACCAGCCATAGATTAACCATTTTAGTTTCACATATGAGGTTTTTGAAGAGTAAAAAGTTAAAGCTTCTACAAGCGATACTTAAAAATACCCAAATTAACGATTAAAACAAATCAGCAAACTGAGGAATAGGTTATGATTTGAATAACGGGGGTAAATTTCCAAAGAAACTGTAGTGCTGTGTCTGTGGAGGGTATAACAAAATAATTTGGTCTCACCAACTGAGTTGTTAATGTAAATTAGCCACTGTTAAGTATTTCTAAAGCTGACGTCTAAAGCGTTAGCTCTTTGTGGTCAGCATTCGCTCTGACGAAGAGCAAACGCTCGAAATATCAGCTTTAGTATCTCTCTCTACAGTGGCCCAATTATCTTATAACTTACTCGGACAGAGTGCTTGTGCCACATCGACAACTTTCGTGGGAAGTTCATTCGGCCTTTTGACAAAGAACAAATCTTTGTTTTTTAAATTTTCCAATTCCTTGTAATGTGATTTGGCATCTCCGGCACCGATGGCGTAAATCTCAAAACCCCTTTCTTTCAGTTTGTTAGCTGGTATTTCAGGTCTTTCTGGAGGGGTTTGCGCACCATCAGTTATAATTAAAACAACCTAGAGGGAAAGAACACCATGCAGAAATTAAGTCATTGCAGTAAGATTAATTTCATTGCCTGTCACTCTTCCACCCGTTACGTAAAAAAAAAAAATTGGTTAACCCCTTCACTCCCACAAGTGACCAAGACAGAATTTCTCCTAACAATATCAATACAATATCAAGCAGGCAGGTGATGAGAATAGAGAAGAATATCAATCATGGGATTATTAGTTGATCCAATACCAAATTCTCTGAACTAACATCATAGGAATTGTATGGCAGATAGTAAGGAGAATTACTAATTAGATCTTGGGAGTGAAAGGGTTAAACATCAGGTGTCCATGTCTGGCCGTGAGGACAAATTGATTAAAACGACCTAGCTAGCGGTGAAGGATTAGAGGAGGAGTAGGTGGGCAGTTGCCCAGATACTAATATTGATCCAGAGAGGCATGCAGAAATTAAGTCATTACAGTAAGATTAATTTTATTGCCTGTGACTTTTCCACTCTTTACGTAAAAAAAAAGAAAAGTATGGTTAAATATCAGGTGTCCATGTCTGGCTGTGAGGAAAAAATGGTTTTTCCCTCCTTTCTAGTTCTTATCTGCTTCGTGCCTTGAGGTACTCATAACACAACAGATTGCGCATGCCCAGAATTTGCAATGACTAAGCAATATGCTTGGTGGCGTGCTATTAGGCTGTCAGAACCAAGTTATCTCACATGAGTTACAAACAACCTCGTTAGCCAGTAAGAGACAGTGTTTTAAAAACGTAGAACTTTTTTGGTAAAGCTCAAAACAAGATACGTTACAAAGTTCTTGAATAAACAAGCTTTGTGTTCGAAAGTTTCGAGTTTTCTTCGGACGTTTAAATTTCCATTAATGGTGAAATAAACCGCCTTACCTTCCGTACATTGGGATCTTCTCGGAAGCTATTTGTCTGTGGGTTGAAAAGGTCGTCGTTTGCTTTTTCGAGCGCTGAGTGCAGCATGGTTCTTGAACCCGGAATAGGGGGATCTAGATTAAGCAAATTTCGAACAACAGTGTTTTCGTTTTGCCCTTCATTGAACCCAAATTCTATTTTGGATGTCTCGCCGAACTTAACCACTCCAACATGGGATCCATCGGACGATATGTTCACCAGTTTCGCGACTCCGGCGGCAAACTTCCGAACATCTTCCCAATAAGGCTCGATGCTACCAGATGCGTCTATGATGAATGCCAGGTCAAGAATACATGGGTCATCCAATCGCTCTGTTTGAATGAAAAACAAATGGAAAAACAAAACATAACCCTTTGCAAACTAACATCAGTATGCATATTCTCTTTACTGTTCTCTATACATCTACTGAGGCGCTGACGGGGAGAATTTGTTCAATGATCAAGAGCTTTTTAGTTGGTGATGATTTCCTTTATTCTCGCGACCTTAATGTTTGATTCAGGAGTGTTATTGTAGGGAGAAATTAAATGCTAGTCACTCCAAGGGGTCAAATGGTTTATAGGGATATTTTTGACAAATTTCCGTTGTTCACCCTATTAACTCTTTACATCCTAACATCAGTATGCATATTCTCCATACTGTTCTCTATACATTACCTAGGTTCTTAAAAGGAGAATTTATAAAACCACCAAGATCTTCGTTAGTTGCTGATCATTTCCTTTATTCTCACGACTTAAAAATTTGATTCAGGGGTGATATTGTAAGGAGAAATTAGACCCTTGCCACTCTTAGGGGTTAAAGGGTTAAGGATTCTCGAGTTTGGAAACAATAAAATGAGCAATTTTTTTAATACTGAGGGTGTCTTCCGCGAGCCTTAACTCTCTATTAAATAAAAGATTCGCCATCGAAAAAAAGCTAATATTTCCCACTCTTCTTTTGTAATAGTGACAACTGCTGTTTTGTTCACACGTCACAATCCACAAGGGTGTTGCGTGACGTGGTGTAATAGTGTATTCTTTGGGTTAGCAGCGCAGTGGATTTCGTTTTACTTAAAGCACTTCTATCTCTTCGTTGTTTTCCTCCGAAAGCTAAATCTACAACCTGAATAAGCTAGAGGTACAAAAAACATATGAACAGAAGCTCTCTTCTGAAGTAATTCAATATTCACAAGCAAGTATTCCATCTATCTCACTTTTGAAATTACATTTTCTGTGGGAGACTCTTGCGAATATATCCTGTCACCTCATACCAAATTAGAACCCTTTGGTTCTTTGTGTTACTGCAGCGATGAACGAAATAAACTCCCTTCATTTTATCGACTTTATCTGTTCGCTCCAGGGTTTCATACAAAGCGGACTGTCTAGGTTTTACAAACAATTACTTCTAGGCGATATCAATCAAATACTTCTTTGTCAAACCATTGTTAATGTTGGTTTGTGGAAATAGGCATAAAAGGACATAGAAGGAACCTTATTAATTTCATAAGTTAGGAACAGCGTGGATCAAAATTTAAACGACTTGCATAGCGGTGATGGCGCTCTACTCAACGAAAGACCATTTAATACGGAGTTAACAAAAGGTCATTATGTTTGACGAGCCCAAATGTGCAATTCCCGTATTAATAAAAAGCTTGATGTTAGATTTGAGCGTTTTTCTTTGTCATAACCCTGAGCAAAATATTAATTTAAAACATAAACTTTATAAAACTCTTCGATCGTGTAAAGTACGGTTTAATAGAAAGAATCCGTAGCGACTTCAGTAATGCCATAAGATTACTAGTCACGTTACCAGAACAACACTGAAAAACATACTTACGTGCTGTTGTCGCTGAAATCCCAAACAAACCGAGCAGCAGGACGCGAAGGAAAGTTATACGAAGCATGTTTCGTCCTCGCTCAGTTGACTGCCAATGACACTAGTCTCTGACCATCTAGAAGAGGCAAAATGGCAACAGAGTCCTTGGCCAATGAGTCGTTCGTGTGCGCGCGAGAACTAAGCCTGAATAAGCCCCTTGTGAAACTTGAGTAGATGTCTTTTCGTTTTATGACCATCCTGTGGCCGGACAAGAGGGTAACACAACATACATTTTCACGAAATAATTTTTTTCCTCATTACCATGCATACGGTGGTTTCGCGATTATTTTTTTTTGGAGAGTTTTAAACGGTTACCAGGAGAAAGAACAAAACGTAATGTTGTGTTTGGAATTTGGAGCTGCCATTTCTCTGTGCAGTGTTATGTCTAGCCAAGTTAATCATTCAACGCCCAAGTAATATATTACTCCATGTAATTAACAACCGTTGGCTTTGTTGATAGTTTCGGTCTTTGACTTCTCAAATTCCGTTGCTTTTCTTCAAGCCTAGGAATACACAAGGAAAAAAATTAAAATAAACTTTCTACCAGAGTGCAATCGTTTGATAATTCATCGAAGAGAACGAAGAGCTGACAGCCTGTCATCAAGAAACAAAAGGTCAGTTCATGGAGGAAAGAAAGCACCGTTGTTTTTTAAATTATAATTTACTTCGTAATGCACACTCAAGTGGCATAATTTAAGAACACTTTTATGGGGCTCATTTTGAGATTACGTTTTGGGAACAAATTTGATGAAGTGATTGAAATTATTGAGAAAGCATACATTAATTGTGTGCCACGAATCGTTTTTCAGTACATTCAAGCCTTTTAGCCAGCGAGCGGTCCTTGGCGTTCTTAGGGGTTTGGCACTGATAATTTTTGTTAGTGCCAGTCCCCCGCCAAACACCTCCCCGACCGTTAATACTGACTATCGATCAATTTACTGGGCTCGGTGGTGGTCCACTTGAACGACAGAAACAGAATAGCCACCTTTATCAAAAACTAGCACATTGCCTCTGATATGTCGGAAAATCAGAGTCGTCACCACATAAACAACAAAGTCTAAGAAATTGTGAAAAAGGTATGGAATTCTTGACGTGTGATGGATGCGAAGATGAATACAAGAAGTAACTATGTGTATGAGTCTGTAGGTTTGTAGTAAACACTAGTGCAGAGATCATTGCCGTCAACTGAAATGTTTATGCCTAGAAAAGCCAACTAAGTGTCGGAAATTTGCCAGGTATATTTCAGAGCCGGGTGAAAGGAACTGACGGGGGTTATAAATTAAGTGAGCTCCTCTCTGTCAGAGGAGGTAGCGCCGATGCAGTTGTCAATGTGCAACCATAAAGTTCAAGTTTGGGGCCGTTTTATTGACTTAAAAATTGATGTTCGATAACACTGTAGAGATTGGCGTAGCTGGGTCTCATTTTGGGCCCCATGGCTACGCCATTAGTTTGTTTGTAGTAGTTGCCACCGAATAAAAAACAGTTGAGTGTTAGTAATAGTTCGCCTAGACGAAGTAGTGTTTTAGAGCTAGGTTCCCCAACTGTGCGTTGATCGAGAAATATATGAGGGCCAGCAGACCTTCGTCTTGGGAAGGACAGTATAAAAAGATGTAATATTCATAGTGAAAAGAAGTATGTCCTGGCCACCATTTCCGGCCAAGGAAATGTAAGTCGCGAAAAAATTCAAGTGCGTGTCGGCTTTCCTTAATGTTTGATGGTAAGGTTTTGACGGTAGGTGCCAGTTCTAGGAGAGGTGATGGTGAGATTTTTTGCAGTGGCCGGCAACTCTTGTTCAGCTCTAAGATCATTGGTCGTGTTTTTGACAATGTTTGGTGGCCAATTTACGTTATCAACTCCGTTGGTAAACTAAGTTATCCTATTATATCTGATTGTGGTCATAAAACGGCCAAGTAAGGGAGTGATTTAAAGTTTCATCAAGTTTTAAAGTACGAAAAGGCAAAGCTGCAACGCTGTGATCCAAATGGTAGCATTTTTATGCACAAAAACCCATCTGCAAGGGGACATTTGTAGGAATGATCAGAATACTATTGAATACAGCCATTGGGGGCATAAATATTCGGCAAATGAATTTTGCATTACTTGACTGGATACGTCAGACAGAAACTAGCAAGTTCTGCTTACGAATTGATAGGGTTTTTTGAAGTTCTGTCCCTTGTTAAAGAGGCAATGAAACCATTATAAACTGATTATTAAATCAACTAAAATTCCAGAGCGCAAAAGTAAGCGCAAAATCAAAAGAAAAGAGAATTAATTGATTAGTACTGATCAAATTGTCGCAACCTACTAGCTATGGCCAGCAAGATGATAATGGTCACCGTCAGTAAGAAGGCAAGTCATGTTCAAGACTCGTAAATCTATGGTGGCTGATCTCAATAGCTCTTCACAGGGAAAAGTGCCTTAATTTTTGGCCCATGAAAAAAGTCTGGGGCACGTGTTTCAAAAATATTCCAATGATTCTGCACCTTTGTTCTTTTTTCGAGTCTCCTCAAGCTAAAATTTGTTTTTGTCCTGTGGAGCGAAAAGATAACGATGAATTTTCACAGCGCCGTTATTCCAATAATTTACCTAATTATTGTCACCTTGAACTTTGGGATTTTTTCACCCATCTATTGCATGATTCTCAGTTTGAAATGCCATTTACCGTATGTCCCAACAGAGAACCTCTTTTTCTAAGCCTCATGGCTGGAAAGTTAAAATTAGTTCACATTCGAAAAGGGACAAGTCTGAAAAGTTTCCATTCTACTTTTTCCTATATTTTGGAAGATCTTTGGACGTAAGGAAATATGTAGGACGTATATCTATGTACAGTAGTACCATTTGCCGATAAATGTTTTTTTCCAAATAAAATTATTAAAATCTGCAATTGAGAAACAAGGATAATTTAGCGATGCCGATAAAGCATAGCCTTGTGGAGGTTTTGCTACTGCGCACACTTGCTTGATTTCGCTTATGCGGACGATATACCCACAGTTGAGACTGAACAAATGGGCCTTATGTAGGAAATCTCCTAGCCTAACGTTGGTTGCCGTTTTGCACGTTACTGAACAGCCTCAGTAGCGAAATAAGAGTTAATCCCAGCTATTGTTTTTACTAGTTTCAAAATAGCGCATTGTTTTCGCCCCAAGGAGTGAATAAGGTTCATTAGCGCGAAATAGCCAACCAATCAGATTACTTTTTGAAATAACCAAGTATCAATTATCATATAGAGATATGTAATTAGCGATTGGGTGGGAGGGCCAGACAGGGGAATATTAAGCTTGAGGTCATAAAAACGGACAGAGCGTACGCAGGTCTATACATTATGACCGAGAACCAACTACTTTCCTGATCGGCCCGATCTAACCTAGTTGATAGCCATTTTGTCCTATGAACGCCGCAGTTGCTATTTGTCCACTTTGTTTTTTGAAAAATATGTTATTATTAAATCTCAAATTGAGCCCGATGGTGCAGAAAGGGCTTGAGAAGAAGTCTTGTTTCATCGCACGGCACGGCGAGAAGAGAAAAGAAAAGAAGAAGGAGAAACAGCGGCGGTCATCAGATAAAATGCTAATTGCTGAGTAAGTAATGTATTCGTCTGACGAGACGTGTATGGACAAATAGCTCGTGTCCAGGCCTTACGAGCGCCCTAGAAGATGCATGTGAGAAAGAAATAGAAAAGAACAAGGATAATAGTACCATGGGCTTCAGAATGAAAAGATCGTGAACGCCCTTTTATTCAGTCACACAAAATTAGGCCACAGAAAATAGATTTCGAAAATATTAATGGAAAAACAAAAAATGAAAATCCGCAAAACGATTAAAAAGTAGTAACAATTGCCAGCAGTGCTAAACGTGCACGGGAGATTCCGCTGCTCCAACTGTTCTGAAAACTGAGTGCATCTAAAACTTTAGGTGACCACGCCAACTGAGTATAAAATAAGTTTAAACGAGCAATAAGCGAAATGAAAAGTAGACTTTTAAAGCCTTCCACGGCTTACTTCAGCAGTGCTAGGCCCAGGACAGAGGAAATGGCCAACAGGATGATGTTGGCAGCTAAACGGGAGCTTGCGTTACATCCGTCTTCAGAACAGCAGCCAATCGCACAATGGTAGTCCTTCAGAGTATCCTTCAATTTATCACAAGCGGACTTTTCGGCGTCACAGAGCGTTTGGTAAGTGCATCCACTCGAAACCAAGGCATCGTCATCTTTGCTTTGAGACCAAGATCTGACGCATTTATCGCCGACAAAACACGTTTTTAAAAAGTTGGCTTTGTTTTTTTCCAACTTGCTCTTCTTACAATCGTCTTCAGTACCCTTGCAGACATAACATTTTAAAGCAAAAGCTGACGAATTAAAAAAGAAAATGATTAAAAAAAAATTGTACAGATAACACGTTACTTACATTGTTCTCTCTGGGGTTTAAAGAACTACAACAAATGCACTATTCACTCTTTAAAAGCAAGCAGAAAGTAGCGAGCGTTGCATGGGTGTCCACCTTTATAGATTCCACTAATTGTGTGTACTCTTTGATGCAGCTCTCATAAAATTTTTGAACATTTATCTTACGCTTGAGAATGCGACGTCAAAGCAAAATGTCCACTGATGTGAATTTAATGAATTTAAACCCTAGGAGGTGAGTGAGGGAGGAATTCAATCATTTTAATCAATCAGTTGAAGATTATAATTTTATAGTTTCATAGTAAAAAATGATGAATAAATTTCTCCGTCTAGCAAACCGATACTCAAATCTAGTGTTATAGATGTTCCCTTTTTTTAAGCCGACAACTTGAGACATAGATATATCACTGCAACGACCCCGCGTATCTTCAAAATTAACAATTCTAGAACGGTTTGTACCATTTTTATTTGTTAGCTTCAAATTTAAAGTAATTTCAGACGCCTTGGAGCTTTCTTTGAAAAAAATCTGATATAAACCTGTTTCTGGAACAATCAATTCACCGCCATTTTTAAAACCGAAATGTGACGCATCCGACGTTACTGTACTGTTTGCATGAGATAAGTTTAACAGTTTTTTCGTTAATTATTGTGCTCCAAATTGTTACCATAATTGTATTTAGAGAAAACTTACCATCTCTCTTATTTCTATCTATAATAGTATTTGCTACGCTTTATAATAGATTTATTTAAAGTATTTATATCGGTGTCATGTATCTTTTTAGACAAAGGATTTTAATTGTTGACAGGATTATTGTATTTATGAAGATGAATTATACATAGGCTGTGATCACTAAACGTATCAGTTTGCGGTCTTGAAACTGTCTCCATACTACTGGTAGTGGATATTTGGACTATTGAAATGTCAATTGATGAAGGAAAATACTGTTCAAAAACGACAGTATATTCACTAGTTGCATAAGATAATTTTGCACAAAATTTCCTATAGTGTATGAAAGAAGATCAAGTTAAGCGGTAATCCAAACCACATTCATACATCCCCAAAATTTCAAAGAACAAACAGAAAAGAGGGTTAGGACTGAGTTATGATTCTGAACAAATCAAGTCGAGCCTAAATCAGAGTCCATCCATAGCACAGAAATCATTTGGAAACAATGAAAACTAACTGAGACCTGAATGATTTTCAACGCGGATTTCTTCTCCTGGTTTAACTTAAGATTATATATTTTCATACCAAAACATAAACAAAAGCTGTTACATGCATTTTCAAGGATTACTGTACGGTTGATGGGAAGAAAGCCTGTCATACTGGCGGCCGAAGCCAACGAAGATACTTGACGGTTATTTTGCGGCAGTATAATATGTTTCAGTGTCGCATCATTCCGCGATGCTTTTAATAAGACACAACATTTCCTGTGCGATAAATCTACCTTTCAAATTCCAAAGTTGTACAGTACTTACCATGTGCAGCCATCAGAACGACAACGGTCAGAGTGAACAGCAAACGATCCATTTTTGAGGCTCCTTACTTTTGTTGAAGTTGAACTCCTCGTGCTTCACCGAACAGGTGCAGCCACGCCAAATTTATGCACGCTAAATTTATTATGGTCACTACGGGCGTATAAAAGGTAACAGACAAACATAAATGGTCGGGGGTGGGGGAGGGGGGGTATATACCACCCCTGTGTTCCTACCCACAAATCATTAAATTAAATGTTATTGGTGTCATTACGTTACTTGGTGTCATTACGTCCCTGAATAGGAGCACTAAACGTCATACACCTGTTTATCTTGATCAGATTTGGAATGATGAGTGCTCATCTTCAAAAACTGAAGGTTTTTCACAGAAGTAATCCACAAACTGTACGCATGGTTGTAATTCATGGACTCCTGGTTCAAGTCTTGTTAATTTGTGATCCTTAACAACGCGCCAGCGAGTCATTAGCGTGTCAATTTGCCATAGTACCCACAGGTGGCTTAAGCTTCAGCTGTGAGATGATCATTTTGCGAAATAACAGTCATGGGGAAATTATAAGCAGAGCCCTTCCTATGTATGTAGTAAACCTAAAAATGACTAACTCGCCAAAATAGGTTCTTTTCAACATAGTAAGCGGTCAGATAGCAAGCAATGTGCTGTGGAGGTAAGGCTAGGTATTTTTTTATAAGGAGGGAGTTGTTTTGCCCACCATTACACCCTCTTGACCCATTTTTTGAAGGTCATATTCCATCTTGGATCTTAGTGTCCTGTGGTAACGTTCAACCTTGCCTTGTGATTGGGGATGGTGCGGGCGACTGTGAATTCATGCGATCGTGTTTGAGGTAATGAACGAGCCCTTGTATTTTTCAGTTAGCTCTGAGTCTGCAAGTAATCCTAACTGTCGCACTTGTTTACCATGCGCGTGTGTGGGAAACTTTCCCACTTCTTTGGTGTCCTTAGCAATGTTATCAGAAGTTTACCACGGGTTAGGACAAGTATCAGTAAATAACCGACTTAATTTTGCAACTTTATTTATTATAACTATCCTTCTCCGCCCTGCTCAAAACACGGTAACACTGCCATGTTGAAAAAAAGTCTCACCCGCGAGAGGCTGGCGTAGAGTATACACCGGGGCTCCTCGCGTTCGGCCTAGCATTCGATGCGCGTGTGCCCTTCGATAGTGACCATTCAATTTGAAAATGAGCCATTCAATTTGGTGAGCCATCCAAGAGTGAGCCATTCAATTTGGTGAGCCATCCAATAATAAGCCATTCAATTTGGTACTATTATGTTTGACACAATCCACCCGCCATACTTCTTGACGAGTGTAGTTTTTTACTCCTGTGAAACAACTTGGTACCGGCCTTCAATCAAGATGTCTAACCGCCATATTAATCTCGCCAACGTTTGCTTATGCGCAGCCATTTGAAATCTCCTGTTTGCTCGAAATTGACGATGTTTTGATGAAATTCTAGGCAAAACTGACATTGTCAGTCATGAGGAATTACACCAAATAATTTTTAGGGGATAATCAATGGTATTTGCGGAGTTTTCAATTGAGCCGTCTTGCGACACGAAAATGTGTACGCATCACAAACGTGACTTAAAAAATAATTTTTAGTTTTCTAAGACATCGCCTTGAAAAATGAAAATTGTTTTTGGTCAAGTCTTTGGATTGCTTCTTATGGCTACAGTCGATAAGCATTGCATCACCATCAACTTATTTGATTTCGAAGTGAAATTTTGAAATACGTGCGTTTGCAGCGCAATGACGGCCCTATTAGTTGACTCGTCATTTTTTTTCATTAAAATCTGGATTGGAGATATTTACGACATATGTTTGTTAATATTTGTGTTTCTTATTTTGGAAGATCTTTGGACGTAAGGAAATATGTAAGACGTATATCTATCAGACATAGTTTGACGCTACTCTGGTTTGCAGAATTAATGAATGCAACCGAAGAAGTTACGATTAATAGACCCAACGTTTCGACACTCCTGTCTAGTGCCTTCATCAGGGGTGATCTAAACGCTGCAACAAGAGGTCCTTTTATATGATCACTAATTAGCGGCCTTTTTTCTGACGAGGTGTAAATAGGCGTCAGGAAGCAAACCGCCATCGTCACGATTTAAAGGAGCGTGGGCGGAGTTAATATGCCTACAAACAAAGGCGCTGATGGTAACGCCGATTAGTGGTGATAATTTTAGAATCATCCCACCCAATTGTATGGTTGGTTAGGCATGTATGCTCCGATAAAGCTGAATTTTCCTTTTTGCAAAGAAAAACCGCTTTTTGGTGCTCTTTGACCGTGTACCAAAATGACGTTTGGTCTGTCCGATGTATTCGTTGTCACAGTCATTGCAAGGAATAGAATAAATGGCGTCAGTTCGTTGTTCTTTCGTGACAGGATCCTTAGGTTTGGCGAAAATATGCCCCAAAGTCTGAAAAGGTTTTTGAGCAACTTTAACGTTGTGGCTATTCAAAATTCTCTTGATGGGTTCCGTAACACCCTGTATGTAAGGAATAACATCAAAACAGTCACTGGTTCCCTTTCATCAAGAGCGTTACTATTTGTAACTGGTTTTTGGCAGTTAGGAGAAAAGTTTTTGTATAGCCATTTGCAAAATAGCGCATTATTTTCGCCCCAAGGTGTGAATAATGTTCATTAGCGCGAAATAGCCAACCAATCAGATTACTTTTTTGAAATCACCAAGTACCAGTTATCATATAGAGATATGTAATTAGCGATTGGGTGGGAGGGCCAGACAGGGGAATGTTAATCTTGAGGTCATAAAAAACGGGCAGAGCGTACGTAGTTCTATACATTGTGACCGAGAACCAATTACTTTCCTGATCGGCCCGATCTAACTTAGTTGATAACCATTTTGTCCTATGAACGCCGCAGTTGTTATTTGTCCACTGTGTTTCTTGAAAAATATGTTATTATTAAATCTCAGATTGAGCGGGCTGATGTTGCAGTAAAGGCCAGAGAAGAAGTCTTGTTTCATTGCACGGCGTGGCGAGAAGAGAAAAGAAAGGAAGAAGGAGAAACAGCGGCGGTCATCAGATAAAATGCTAATTGCTGAGTAAGTAATGTATTCGTCTGACGAGACGTGTATGGACAAACAGCTCGTGTCCCCATCTTTAGGCCATTACGAGCGCCCTAGAAGATGCATGAAAGAAAGAAAAAGAAAAGAGCAAAGATAATAGTACCATGGGCTACACAATGAAACGATCGTGAACACTCTTTTATACAACCACACAAAAGTAAGCCACAGAAAATAGATTTCGAACATTTTAATGGAAAAACAAAAAGTGAAAACTTGCAAAGTGATTAAAAAGTAGTAACAATTGCCAGCAGTGCTAAACGTGCACGGGAGAATCCGTTGCCTCTACTGCTCTGAAAACTGAGTGCATCTAAACTTTAGGTGACCACGCCAAGTTTAAACAAGCAATAAGCGAAATGAAAAGTAGACTTGTAAAGCCTTCCACGGCTTACTTCAGCAGTGCCAGGCCCAGGACAGAGGAAACGGCTAACAGGATGACGTTGGCAGTGAAATACGAGCTTGCGTTACATCCGTCTTCAGAACAGCAGCTTAACTCGCATTGGAAGTCCGCGCCATCTCTCCTTATATCACAAAGGGACTTTTCGGCGTCACAGAATGATTGCTTAGCACATCCAATCGCAACCATGGCATCGTAATTTTCCCTTTTATACCACAATCTGAAGCATCTATCGCCCTCGTCAGCTGTACACGGGTATAAAAAGTTGACTTTGTTTTCTTCCAACTTGCTCTTCTTACAATCCTCTTCAGTATCCACGCAGGCATAACATTTTAAAGCAAAAGCTGACAAATTAAAAAAAAAGAAAATGATAAAAAAATGTGTACAGATAGCACGTTACTTTCACTGTTCCCTCTGGGATTTAAAGACCCACTACAAATGCGCCATTCACTCTTTTATAGAAAAACGAAAGGTAGCGAGTGTTCCATGGGTGTCCACTTTTATAGATTTCACTATCTGTGTCTACTCTTTGATGCAGCTCTCATAAAATTTTTTAACATTTATTTTGCGCTTGAGAATGCGACGTCAAAGCAAGTGAATTGAATGAATTTAAACCCTGGGAGGTGGGTGGGGGAGGAATTCAATTATTTTAATCAATCAGTTAAAAAATATAATTTTAGAGTTTCAAAATCAAAAATGATGAATAAATCGGTGCTCATATCCAGCGTTACGGGTGCTCCCTTTGGTAAGCCGACAACTTCAGACATAGATATATCACTCCAACGACCCCGTGTATCTTCAAAATTAACAATTCTTGAACGGTTTGTGATATTTTTATTTGTTAGCTTCAGATTTAAAGTAATTGCAGACGCCTTGCAGCTGTCTTTGAAAAAAACCTAAGAAAAACCTGTTTCTGGAATAATCAATTCACCTCCATTTTTAAAACCGAAATGTGACACATCCAACGTTACTGTACTTTTGCATGAGATAAGTCTCTTGAGTGTAACGGTTTTTCCGTTATTATGCTCAAAATTGTTACTATAATAGTATTTGTTACGATTTATAGTAGAGTTATTTAATCTATTTATATCGGTGTCCTGAATCTTTTTAGACACAGGATTTTGATTGTTGACAGGATTATTGTATTTATGAACATGAATTATACTTAAACTGTGATCACTAAACGTATTAGTTGATGGTCTTGAAACTGTCTCCATACTACCGGTAGTTAAGAATTTGTTCATGTTTGCCCTGCGTATATCGAGTTATGGATGCACGCGGGAAGTTTGGAGAGCACGAAAAATGCGTAAGAGTAGCTTGAGGCGCAGCCGAGGGCAACTCTAGCTTTTTGAGTGCTGTCCAAACTTCCGAAGTGCATCCATAACTCGATATACGCACAGCTAATAGCATGGGCAAATTCTTTCAGAGCGACAACAAGGATCTGCGCGAGTTATTGTACCGGATAGAGTGCAAAATTCTCACAACGCACCAAAAAAAAAGGAAACAAACGTCCCTATTGGCTGGTCAATAACACGCCACATTTTAGACTTTGGTTTGAGCGAGAACATCTGATCCAGTTAACCGATAACTGTGAATGGAAAGCTCAAAATTTACGGGGAAAAAGGAGAAAATCAAAGCCAAATGAACTCGTGTCACTAAAAATTGTTTTAAAAGTCAGAGACCCGAAGTTAGCAAGGGTTTTCATTGTTCAAAATAATGTTTATGTTTCTGTGCACGGTGCAATTGGAGAAGACAGACTGCGGAGAACTTGCAAAAATATTCTCACTTCATCTTGTTTACGCATGGCTCAGTAGGACTTATATAGGGCAAGCACGCGCGCTATGTTATAAAAGATATTTGGACTTTTGAAATCTCAATTGATGAAGGAAAATACAGTTCAAAAACGACAGTATATTCACAAGTTGCAAAAAGATACATATTCAGACCTACACGACTGCTATGCGCCACCAGCTAATATGCATACAATTTTGCATAAAATAATTTCGCATAAAATTTTCTTTAGTGTCCTTAAGAAGATCAAGTTAAGCGGTAATCCAAACCACATTCATACATCCCCAAAATTTCGAAGAACAAACAGAAAAGAGAATTAGGACTGAGTTATGATTCTGAACAAATCAAGTCGAGCCTAAATCAGAGTCCATCCATAGCACAGAAATCATTTGGAAACAATGAAAACCAACTGAGACCTGAATGATTTTCAACGCGGATTTCTTCTCCTAGTTCAACTTAAGATTATATATTTTCATACCAAAACATAAACGAAAGCTGTTACATGCATTTTCAAGGATTACTGTACGGTTGACGGGAAGAAAGGCTGTCAGGCTGGCGGCCGAAGCCAACGAAAATACTTGACGGTTAGTTGGCGGCCGTTTAATATGTTTCAATGTCGCATCATTCAGCGATGCTTTTAATAAGACACAACATTTCCTGTGCGATAAATCTACCTTTCAAATTCCAAAGTTGTACAGTACTCACCGTGTGCAGCCATCAGAACGACAACGGTCAGAGTGAACAGCAAACGATTCATTTTTGAGGCTCCTTTTTGTGTCGAAGTTGAACTCCTCGTGCTTCACCGAACAGGTGCAGCCACGCTAAATTTATGCACGCTAAATTTATTATGGTCACTACCATAATAGTATATGCCACCCCTGTGTTCCTACCCACAAATCATGAAATTAAATGTTATTGGTGTCATTACGTTACTTATGAGGATTTAATTACGTCCCTGAATATGAGCACTAAACGTCATACACCTGTTTATCTTGATCAGATGTTCCACAGAAGTAATCCACAAACTGTACGCATGGTTGTAATTCATGGACTCCCGGTTCATGTCTTGTAAATTTGTTATCCTTAACAACACGCTGGCGGGTCATTGGCATGGCTTTTGCCATAACACCCACAGGCGGCCTATGCTCCAGCTGTGTGATGATTATTTTGCGAAAAAACAGGCATGGTGAAATTGTAAGAAAAGCCCTTCCTATGTATGTAGTAAACCTAAAAATGAATAACTCGCCTAAATAGGTTCTTTTTCAACATAGAAAGCGGTCAGATAGCAAGCGATGCATTATGAAAGTAAGGTTAGGTGTTTTTATTAAGAATTTGACTGTGTTTTTTTATTCCTAAGAACAGTCGTTAATATTTCCATACAAACTCTTATAATTTCGCCATGACTGTTATTTCGCAAGATGATCATCTCACAGTTGGAGCTTGGGCCGCTGTTAATAACACCCCGTATTTGAATTCAACCGAGCTTACCAATCTCTGCTATAAACATTTCTCGTTCATATAATAACTGAAAAGAAATTATACGGAGACAAGCGTACAGTTTTGATGTTCAAGCACCAAGAGCGTAAAACTCATATCTTTTCGCCAACGTGTAACATCCTATATCATAACACAAGGTGGCACAATGCTCTACTACCTTAGCTTGTATGCACAACTCACAATAAGTTACATGCTATGTACTTATTGACTGAGTGGGAAAGCCGGACAGGATAACGTTTGGCTTGAGGTCATGACGTACGAGCCTCGCTCAGTGATTTCTTATCACTTCCTTATGGCGGGTGGATTGTGTTTTAACTGATTAGTATCAAATTGAAAGGCCCACCAAACTGAATGCCTCACCAAATTGAATGGCTCACTTTCAAATCGAATGACTCACTATCGAATGGCCCACCAAATTGAATTGCTTGCTATTGAATGGCCCACCAAACCGAATGGGTCACCATTGAGTAATTCACTTTCACTATCGAGTGGCCCACCGCGCATTGAATGCCGGGCCGAACGCGAGGAACCTGGTTTATACTCGGCGCCAGCCTATCGCAGGCGAGATTTTTTTAAAATTAGGTGTGTTTAGGATATTCCCGTGTTTTGTGTATCCCCGTATCCAAAACTCTTATGTTTTCGGTTTCCCCTCTGGAGCTAGATACTGGGGCAAGTCACATGGCATCCTGTTTTGACTTGGTCGTGGACCAAAAATAATTTCTTGCAGTCGTTAGAAAATTGTCATTAATTCTCGCACTTGAGGTTGTGGTTGGTGAAGAAAAATGTTCATTTTTTTTTTTGAAGCATTGGAATGAAGCTAAGTTTATTGACCGTGATCCTCGCTCGAAGAGGCAATTCTCATAAGACTTTAGCCTATCAAAATCAACAGGGACAGTAGAATGAAAATTCCCGGAGCGTGGATGCCCACGACTAAAAAACACAACAACCGGAGAGCTGTGCGACGGCGGACCGCCAAGGGAACAACTCACTGGCATCGAGGATCGAAACGCGTCAATCACAGCTGTGGAAAAACCAACCAATCACAGCAGAGCATCCAGCTTTATAACAAGACCCGAGACCAGTCGACCTTATCGCCTGATGAAGACTAGCAGGTTCAGTCGAAATGTCGCGATTCACATGATAAGTAACCAAATCGTGAGACAAACGATAATACTTAATTACTGTTTATGTGAGTTGCTTCGCATGTAAACAATTTAGGCGATCGATTTCAGACGCGCACGCGAGGAGAATTTTTCCACTTGTTGGGATTTCGCGTTTGAGGTTATGAACGAGCCCTTGTATTTTTCAGTAAGCTCTGAGACTGTAAGTAATCATAACTGTGGCGCTTGTTTATCATGTGCGTGTGTGGGAAATTTTCCTATTTCTTCAGTGACCTTAGCAATGTTATCAGAAATTTATTACGAGTTAGGACAAGTATCTTGGCAGCAGTGAATCTATGGGGTGTGAAAAACTCTTTGAGTAAATAACCCACTTAATATTGCAACTCTGTTTATTAAAAATCTCTATCTCCGCCTTGCGCAAAACACTGTGACACCGCCATGTTTAAAGAAGTCTCACCTGAGAGAGGCCGGGCATCGAGTATACAACATGTTCCTCGCGTTCGGCCCAGCATTCAATGCGCAGTGTACCCTTCGATAGTGAACATTCAATTTGAAAATAAGCCATTCAATTTGGGGAGCCATTCAATAATAAGCCATTCAATTTAATACTACTAAATTTGACACAATCCACCCGGCATACATCTTGACGTGTAGTTTTTTACTCCTGTGAAACAACTTGGTACCGGCCTTCAATCAAGATGTCTAACCGCCATATTAATGGCGCCAGCGTTTGCACATGCGTAGCCATATGAAATCTCCTGTCTGCTCGAAATTGCCAATGTTTTGATGAAAGTCTTATCAAAACTGACATTATCAGTCATGAGGAATTACGGCAAAGAATTTTTAAGGGATAATCAGGGGGATTTGCGGAGTTTCAATTGAGTCGTCATGCGACACGAAAATATATATATGTTATTTGCCGGCTGGGAGGTCCGTATGGTGAAAAACTGCGACCGAGGTCTTGAAAATACTGCCCGAGGCCGTAGGCCGAGGGCAGCATTTTCAAGACCGAGGTCACAGTTTTTCACCATACGGACCGACCCTTAGCCGGCAAATAACATATTTATTGTTTTTAAACTTGACGAAATTCTTTCCCAAAGAACCCGAATGATTTAGGGCTGAAAATACGACAAGATCTTCCATAAACTGAACAATTTTTGAGCGAGTAAATGGTAGTTAAAATAGAGGTGATGCAAATTAAAGAGAGATGCCTCAGCGAAACATTTTCATTTCCGTAACGATAAAGGTGATTTAAAAGGCTTCCAAACAAACTTTGAAACATTATTTTTACAAGTATCTGTCACAATCTGACACCTGTCAATTAGAGAGCGCGTAAAAAAAAAAAAAAAAAGCATAAGAGCATTTGAAAAACAACGGAACTAGTTTGGCAAGGACTGTCACGACAATGTTTTCTTCAAAATCAGTCAATGATCTAACGGAAAGTATTATTCACTCTCATCGACGATTCATTCATGTACGAAGATTTACCTCTGTTCATTAAGTAAACGGCGAGGAAAGTAATTGTGAGTAAATTCAATCTTTTTATTTTGAAGTTGTGAGAGTTTGCTCGTTTGTTTGCTGCAATGGCGTGTGTAAATCTGGTCTTTCCTTCACAAAAACTAAATTGGAACGGCACACTCCAACAAGACAGAAGGGAATTTAATGCGGCCTTTTCTCAAAAAATTCCTTCAGTTTCTGTTGTGTAATTTACGGTACAAATGTCCAAATTGAACGGAATTGGAAAGACTCACCGGGAGCCTATATTTGTTGTAGAACTTAAATTAAAACTTCGCTCGCTCTTTCTCTACTAACAATTTCTCGAGAAAATTCAGATGTTAAATTAATGAAAGTTCCATCGTTCAGTTTAACTGTAACCAAATACCTCACGTTTTAACTTTCTGGGTACTTTTTGTGAACGATTAAAATTAATTGCAGACAGTTTTTAGGCCGCTTGTCAACCAACGTAATGACACTATTGTTTATACAAATTCATTCTGAAACCAATATTTTTCTGTCAACCAAAGTGATTTGATAGAGAGAAAAGAGAGGATTCATAAGTTATTTATCGGCTTGAGGTAGTGACCGACTTGTTTGCTTAAAAATACTGCCCAGCCGGAAAACGAGGTATATTTATGAAAAATGACAACGAAAGTTAGGATGTACTCGGCGACTCACGAAAGCGTTACCGTGGCCCGTGGGCAGAGATAGGAAAATACTGACCGGGTAAAGAACCAATCAGATTGCAGGATTCGTTACCGTGCCCTCTAAAAGAACAATAAATCTGCATCTTAAACGTGATTTAAAAAATAACTCTCAGTTCTCTAAGACATTGCGTTGAATAAGGAAATTTTTTTTAGTCAAGTCTTTGGATTGCTTCCTAAGTATTGCATCGCCATCAACTTATTTGATTCGAAGTGTTTGCGTCTCAAATCTTCCGATAACGAAGAAACGTGCGTTTGCAGTGGTGATAATGACGGCCCTACTGGTTGATTCGTCATTCTTTTCATTAAAATCTGGATTGGAGATATTTACGACATATCTATGTTAATATCTGTGTTTCTTCTCTTAAAATCAACTCAGATTTTATTCGAAGTTTTTCTTTCTTCTCCAGTTGAGAAAGTTACAGTATTATAGAAACTAGACTAATAATAATAATGATGACTTTATTGGATAACACAATTACTGGTAGAACCAGTAGTTCTCATTGTGGTCCTCTAAAACTTCAAATTCAAATAGCAAAAATACGCTGAAAATATATAATTAAAAATTTCTGCTTATCGTAAAATTATCAACTCTGGAGCTCCGATCTACATATTTCTTGTATAGTTGATTTTTAAATTTACAAAGGGAAGTGAGACCCCTAGTGGCACTGTCTTGAACTTGTGTTTTCTCGAGCCATATACCCACTTCATTCATTTCTTTTTTTTTTACCAATTTGGTGAAAAAGCGCAATCCATGACTTCATCAGCCCAAATCAGTCGATCTGCAAGCCTATACACCCCCTCTTCCCAAATTGTTTGCCTTAATGAATTCATGCGCTATTTTATTTGGACTCGGGAGTACCTCAGCCAAGAAATAAGAGGATTGGTAGTAGGCTAAAACTGTCGCCGACGTCTCATTAGTAGAAATGAGATTTTTTATCTAACTTCAATGATCGCTGACCATCCCGGAAATCTGGCTAGCGTCAGAAAAATTTCCGGCTGACTCATTGTGTTG